GTAGTCATTTTTTTCTTGTTGTTAAAATAGATAAGTTTTAATTATTTTATTGTAGAGTACGACTACTCCGCAAAAAAAATCTTAATCTTAAAATCAATTTACTATTGTATTGTCACCAAAATTTCTGGATAAAAGAGACCAATTATTTATGTTTAACAAAATAAGTATATTTATAATAGAAATAACCAATAAAATAACATAATATTTTTATAAAATAATTGGTATTTTATTATACATAAGTAAATTTTAAAAAATTAATTAAAAAATTAATGCTTAATTGATGATTAAAATAATTAATTTGTTAATTTTGTCCAGAAATACAACACTAGTATTCAGTTACTATATTATTTATTTTCAGACATGTATTCTCTCTCTCTCTCTCTCTCTCTCTCTCTCTTTCTCTCTCTTTCTCTTAATTTGTTGTTTGAAACGAAAAAACTTGAAGTGAATGTCCAATAATTAAATCACAATCGGTATCACACGTGTGAACATATATATATTTTTTTAGATACAACTCTTATCAGTTATATGTGTATAAAAATAATTGGTTAATGGTTGCAATGCTTATGTAGTGGGTTTTTATATATCATATATATTTATATATAATATTATATATAATATATACCGTATATGTGTGTAAGCATGAAAAAAAATATTATTAAGTAAATTGTGTAGGTGTTTAAATTATCTGGTATTGATTTATACTCTAATATAATATATATATATATATATATATATATAGATTAGATGTCAATATTTTGGTTTATAATTTAGATGCTATAAATAAATAATATAACAATTATCAAAAAATCAATCTAATTATAACTGAGATATATATACATAATTAATTAATTAAATAAAAACTTTATCACATACTTTATAATTTTGTGCATAAAATTAATTTATCTAGTTTACATACTTTATATATAATTTAGATAAAATAATGATATTGTTAAATTTATTTATAATGTTAAAAATACTGTAATATCACTTATCCAAGTTAATGCTAAAATTATATGCTATTAATTAAGATTATTATTTATTTTTAGAAAATAAATATGAAAAATATGATTGAAAACAATAACAACTTATAATATATTTTTTTGCAAACAGAGATTAAATCCTCAATTTTACACAAATTTTGAGGCCATTAGCATTACAAACGATCTGATAAAACAATACTTGTTAATTATGTACAAAAAAACAACAAAATATTAATAATAATAATGCATTTAACTAATCGTTGTGCGCTTTTTATTATGCATTATATAATAAAAACATCAAAAAATTTAAAAACATATTTTAAGAGCAAATATAATGTGTTAATACATTGGTTATACACTATATGTAGTTATTATTATACATCAAATATTAATGACTTAATGACTTAGAATACTATTTTTAAACTCCATTTAATCTTATATTATAAATGATAATATATTTACAGTATATCTGCATCTTATAGTAAATGCATTGCATTGTTATAGTTTTTATTATGTTATGCATATATAAAATACTATATATTGTATATAAATATTTTATATAACAAACGGATGGTTTCACTTATAAATTCATTTATCATAATCACATTGATTTGTGCTTTTCAAAAATTTTATCAAAAAACTATAATCACAATAATGTTCAAGAGATAGATTAGAGAGAGAGAGAGAGAGAGAGAGAGAGAGAGAGAGAGAGAGAGAGAGAGAGAGAGAGAGAGAGAGAGAGAGAGAGAGAGAGAGATAAAGTGAGAGAGAAAAAAGCTTGTGTGACAATATGTGTCTTAAAATATGTTTCATTAATATATCATAAATTTGTTTTCAATTCATTAAACATAAATTTTAGCAATAGATTTGTGCGCTAATAATAGTAATAATAATAATAATAACTATTTTATTATTATTATTATTATTACTGTATTATTATTATTTATATTAATAATAATAATAATAATAATAATAATAATTATTATTATTATACAAATTTTAAGAAATATAGAGATAGCAATAGATAGTTTATGTTATTGAACCTAATTTTTTGTTAATAATTATTTATTGATTGTTTTTTAAGGATAAATGAGTATAAATTTAATGCTAAATAAGCACTTAATAGATGTCTCACTATAATGTATGAGCGCCGGAATATATAGCCCATAAAACACGACATTTAACAGATATACACAACGTTTGATTGAAACATAACTGTCCATTGAAAGGCATGTAAAGACAGCTAATGTATGAAAAATAATTATTATCAGTACTAAACTAATACATGTGCCATAAATTAAGACATAAATTGTTTTTGTGTAAATGTATGTCTTTGTTCAATCATTTTTAGTATTAAATATTGCATCACATGTTTAATATAAACTACTGTCCACCGGAACTGTCAGCTGGATATAACAGTGCGCGTGAAGTCTCATTATATCATCATAACTGTCCAATAAATTTATTGCTTTAACCCAATAATGTCCAAAGTTTTTATTATTTTACGATAATTATTATTATGTATTATATCGAGATATGCGACGATAACATCAAAATAAATGTTTAGAGAAAGAGAGAGAAAGAGAGAGAAGAGAGAGAGAGAGAGAGAGAGAGAGAGAGAGAATTCATTTAATCGTTGTCTCAAACATTAGCTGTAATTAGTTAAATAAAACTAAAGTAAAAACAAATTTATGGCCACATTTTGTTGTGATTGAATACTATACATACAAAAAAATTTTTTATCATTGTTTACTGTATTTAGACTAAAATATTTATAACACATAATCAAATTTTCTGATAGATTTTATTTAAAAAAAAAAATACAATTTATTTTTTAAAAAATTGTTTTACATATTTCCGTATATAATAGAAAGCCCTTTGGGTGACAATGAAATCAAATTTCAATTTGACGTCAAATATTATAATAAATGTTTTCCAATATTATAAAAATAACAACAACAACAAAATTATGTTATTTTGAAAATTTCCGAAAAATAGTAAATATTATTTTCATTTATTTTTTTTTAAATTAATAATTTTATTAACAAATCTGTGAAATATTTTTATACATAATTAATTATATTAATAATAATATTGACAATTCATATACAGTAAGAAATGTTTATTTATATGTGTGGGTGCAATAAACCCGACAGTCATTTATAATAAATATATTCACCAGTATATGTAAATTATATATATATTAATATATATATATTGATGCCAAATATACCAATAATTATATCAAATATTTAATATATACAGTACAATGAAATGTGTGTATTGAACAAAAATTGTAACAAAAAATAACATATCATAAATACATGAAAAATATTTTGATTTTTCATATCTAACTTCAAAAAAAAATCTCTTATATAATAACTATTCAATATATTTTTTTGCTACTACTATTATATTATTTATATTTTTTATATGTACAGTATATATATATATATATATTATAAGTTATATATACTGTTGTATTTAAACTTTAAATCGTAGACTATATACCGAAAGCTAAGTAACAAAATTTACTTTTTTTTTATATTTCAATATAATAGTAATACAACAAAAATTCATGTTTTTATATGACTTTTATATTTTCTTTTGAGTTAACATAAAATAACTTATATTTATATATATATATATTTAGTTGTTGATGTTTTTGAAAATTTCATACTTAAAAGTGTATAGTATTTTTCAATGAACACTAACAACAAAAATATACATCACTCACATTGTTGTCAATAAATAGTATAATACATCACAACAACAACAAAAGTTTTTACTGATAAACGCCATATACGATACAGTAGTGTTTATATACTATATGATATATGTATACAATATAATAGTTGTTTAGATATTGAATTTTATATTTTAGTTTAGAAACTTTTGCTGAATATACAATATTTTATTTTTAATATGATTTTATTTTTGAAATATTTATTATTTTTTAAAATTCAATTGTATACAATTAATACATTATAATATATTTAAATGTTTAAAACAGTAAATAACGTACAATATTATAGATATGTAATTTTTTTATCAATGTTTATAAATAATAAAATAAATCATCATAGTTATTATAATAAATTTGTAATATTTAAAATAATATATTAAATAAATTTAAATATTTAATAGTTTAGCTATGATAACATTATTTGTTTATTATAAATATTAATTATAGATATTATTTTTTATAAATAAATGTACTTGAAAATTTTGTACTTAAAATTATATTATATAAATTTATAATAATTTAATTAATAATAATTAAATGTATTTTTTCTTTAAAAAAAAGTTAATGTGATTTTTAAAGTAGTCATTTAAAAATTTTTTTATCTAAAGGATATAATTTTTAAAATGACTCAAAATTAACACTTTTTTAAAAAAAAATTAAATTAGTTTTCTATGCAATTCACTCGTCAGTACTAAACATATTACAGAATTTTCAAATAAACGGAAACAATATAAACGTTTATCAAAAAAAATAATAATAAAATGAAATGAAAATTTAGTTAAAATTCTTGTCTTTTGTCGTTATTGTTCATTGAATTTACTAAAAAAAGTTTATATATTTCATATATTTTATATAAATTTACAGTATATTCAGTGTATATCTTAGAAATTCAATATATACTATGCCTTCCGACACAATGACATCTAAACATTTGAAATGACAATTACATATCAGTGCTGATCACAAATGAATTAATGTCATAAAAAACAATAACACATCACAACTATAGTGAAAAAAGAAAGGATACCATAAAAGTGGTGTCCCTTTTCATGTACTCAATAATGCAGAGTAAATGTTATATATATTTATAAGTGATATATAAATATCTAAAAGAATTGACAGAATAGTGTCATTCAATTTATTTTTATTTATAGTTTTGACTGTTCATTCAATTTGTTTCTCTCTCTCTCTCTCTCTCTCTCTCTCTCTCTCTCTCTCTCTCTCTCTCTCTCTCTCTCTCACACACACACACACACACACACACACACACACACACATCATATTAGATGTCAAACAACGGCTATATATTTTTTGTTACCCACTCTCGTAAATGCCAGAAGTGGCCGGCCTTTTGTTGGTCGGTGTCATTAGTAACTGTCTTTTAGGACTTCCTAAGCCATTGGATATGCATTCAACTGTTGTTGTTGTTGTCGCTGTTGACATCCTTTCATTTACATCATGTGATGGCAAATGTTTTGCATTTTTTTGTTGAAGATATTTCTTGACAATAACGCCAACACGACTGGTACTCGCTGTGCCATTCAAACCATCTAACTGTCCACTAATAGTGGTATTGTTATCTCCAATCTTTGTATTGTTATTATTGATGAGAAACCGGATTTCGGGCATCTTTTCCACTAAAAAATTAGTAAAACCAAAAAATGAAAGACCGCTGACTATTGCAATCAATGCTGATATATAGGCCAACAGCTGTCCAAAAGTAATTAACGGTATGTGTGTCTCAACAATAGTGCCAAAGGACTCATCCAAACGAATTTTGACGACAACCCGCTTATCAATACCGGTGTCGACACTGTTGTCTTTCCCTACCATCCATTCATCGCCTAAAGTCAATAATTTGTCGACTTTTCTCACACATGTGTATCGTATCGATTGACAATTATTAGGACAGTTGTCTGTTGTCAGACACATACCGATGTCTTTGGAAATTATGTCATAACAGCTATCAGTTCTCATACTTGAATCCTAATATGATATTTTAATAATGCGATTATCAAGAAATAATTATCAGAAATATTAATAACAATAATAGCAAAACTATTAACCAAAAAATTATATTATATTTTTGCTATGCATTTACTGTACAATAAACTACAGTACTATAAAAATAATAAAATATCCTATTTAGACATATAAATATTATTGAATATTATATATTACTAGAAAATAATAATAATAATACAAAATATTTTCATAAATAAAAGACATAATGTTTGACTTTTACTATAGAGTTAGTGTACTGTATAGTCATTTTAATAAATAACTTTTGTTTTGTTTAAACTTTTTATTTTTACTTTAATTTATTATAATGCCTCAAAATTTTTTATTGGCTATAAGTTATTATAAATATCAATTGTTATTATAGTAAAATTTATTTTTTTTAAATAATAAATAAAAAATAAATGATTACATACTCTTAAAGTACAGACAGTCGGCTCAGATGCGTTCAATAGCATCACTGTATTAGTCAAATGTATTGGAAGGCACCGGCATTTGTCACGGTATAAGCCGATCACACAGTTATCAATGCACTGGTGTCTCGATTGGATACCATTTCCCCATTTGCCGTACCAATGACATGAAGTTTTGTACGGTTTTTCGAGTAATTTGGAAACAATTCGGTTAACAGTAAACTCGTATCGATGTCCGGCCATAAGCTCCTGGCGTTCGTTGTGATGACTATTGCCGAGCATTTTCTGGTGATGTATAACCAAAGTTGTTTCATTGGCAACAAATCCATAGCTCAGATATCTGTCATAATTGATGTCAAACTCCAGGCTTACAATCTCTGATAAGTCGTTAAGATTTTTTACGCCATCGCCTAATGAATAGTCTCCTTTAAAAAAAATATTTTCAAATATGATATTTTAAACTCTGAATATAAAAATAATTATTTTATTAATTAATAATAGTATTATAAATATTAAGTTACAACTTATAGATAGATAGATAAACTTAAATAATTGACAGTATATTAATATCATTTTATATAAATAAGACTAATATTATTTAGTTTATTTAAAATTTTACAGTTTGTTATAAGTTATAATTTTTTAATAAACTAAATTGTATTAAAAATGTAAAATGTTTTGTTTGCTTGATTTTCTAAAATTTTTTATATTCAAAAATACAATACAATATTTAGATACTAATATTTTACTATTCAATAAATGATAATTTCTAAAATATAAGTTTTTAAATATTTTAAAACTGATTTTTCACATATGTTTTATATAAAATACAATAATTATTTACTGTAACTAATTATAGCTAAAAATAATACTAAAGTAAATAAAACACAGACTTACCAATAAAATGTCTATTATTAGCTAATTGACTAAAATATGTAAAACATTTTGTTTTACTATTTGAATAGCTTTCGATTGGTTTAACCACATCTCTGCATTGCATACCTGTTCCCAATTTATTTGTATAAATTAATTGATCCATATTTGATAATCTATTAATATTACTGTTATCTTTTAGTGGCCAATAATTTAGTGTACAATTAAATACATCCGACTCTTGGATCGTGAGCTGAGTCCACACCATTGAGTCCAATGTTTTATCCAAATATTCTGTAAGAATATTCTGTTGTTTGGTTTGGTCTTCATTTGGCGTTTCATTTAATTTTTGTTGTAATTCTGGATACTTTTGAATCAATTTTTGTTTATCAATAATTGTCGGCAAACATATCGTAAACGATGGCAACTCATTATACTCCCGGAGCTCATAGTGGACGCTGAGCACCGTTTGATACGAATGATATAATTTGATTAAACCAATTGCTTCGTACATTATATAGACAGCCGGCAAACCAATTAACACCAGTTTGACTGTTAAGATAATTATTTTTGTAAACTCATGGTCAGTGACCTCTCTTTCCAAACTACCTGACCTATTGTCAGCACTATTATTATTATCGCCGCCAAAACATACAACAGACACCTCTTTACTGCCATTTGATTGATCCATATGTTCAGACAACACAAACACACCTAAAATTAATCAATTGCACCGACAATATGTTACCCAACAAAATGATAACTGATTGCATATATAGATATTGTAGTTTAACAATGTCTGGGAGTTTGACTTTTATAGACACACATAACCTCAACAAAACAGACAACACTTAAACACAGAAAAAAGACAACAAAAGTTTATTATATCTAAAAATAATGTATTTTTTGGTCGATTATTTCTAATAGAGATCTATTATATCCAGTTTGTTATCAATACTATTTTAGTTAATAATTAATAAGTTTATTATCGTAGATATTGTTTTGAAATTATTTTTATTTTGTTTTCTCCTACGCTATAGATATTAATATTATAGATAGTGGCGTAACATATTGTCTATCAATGTTGGTATCTTAGTATACGATATAATAAATTTTAGTTGAAATTATCATATATATAGAAAATATACGCTAATGTCAATCAAATGGATACTACACTACACTATAATTATTTAACAGTCCTTATCAGTGATCAACAAATTGACATATCATTGTGTTGTGGTTACGATGAACTTTATGTTACCACTGATAGCTATTATAGTTATTTTTTACATTATATATATATTAATATTACATATATATATTATTTAAAGTATATATATATTTATTGTTTAGTAAATAATTAATATATTTAAAATGATAGTATTTATATTTAATAGATATATTATAAATTACCAGAAAAAAAATTATTTTTAGTAGTTTTTATTTAATATTTGTTAATAAATATTTTAATAAAAAGTCAATTAAATGTTATAAATGTAACTATTATATTATTTCTATTTATAAATAAAATATTTTAAATATGAGTACTTGTTATTTAATATTTTAAAATTTAGATTTAGAGAAATAAAACATTTTGAAAATATATTATTTATTCAAATTTTTTATTTTTATTGTAATTTTAACTGTATTGGATTATTAGATTATTTAATTATAAATTTTTTTATGTTTCATCAAAAATTATTTATTATTTAAATTAGTTTTAAAATATCATTTGATTTTTTTATTACATTTTTTTTAAATAAAATTAGTTTTTACATTAAATAGTTTATATTTCTATTAATACTACAATAACTTTTAAACACACATTATTGCAATACACTGTCACCGGGCAGTGAAACTGACATCTCTGGCTTATATAGTTGACTACATTATTAATATACAATAAATGTATTAAAATTTATCATGTATTTTATACAGTTTTAAAATATGCAAATTCAAATTAATATATTTTTTAAAAAAAATTATAGATTTATAAACTTTAATTATAAATAATAATTTATTTAAAAGATATAATGAATACTAAATAATTTTAATAATAATTAAACACAAAATAATACTAATTAATTTAATAAATTTTGATTAATACAAATAGTTAGCCTTACATTCTAATAAAATATTTTTATTTTATTTTATAAATAATAAAAACACATTAGTTTTGACATAAAGTTTAAATTAAATTTGTTATTAATGTAAACTAATTTTAATTTATAAATCAATAGATGGCGCAAACTATACAATATTATCACAATCTACTAAACGTATAACTTAACAGTAAATAATTTCATAGGAAATAATTGAATTTTAAATAAAAACAAAAATTTAAGTTTTATCATGCACAATTAGTACATTCAAAATTATTATTTTTGTAATTATATCTTCAACAAACTTTAAAAAATTTTCGTTATCTGAAATCTATATATGCGTTTGTCTGTCTTTATGTCTGAACATTTTATTTTTGAATTTTTTTTATATTTTTTGACTTTGTATTCATAGATAGAACATTAAAAATACAATTTTTATTAAGTATTTAATTTGTCAAAGTTCGTTCTGGCAATGCTATCTCAATTTATTTTATTCTGTAAAACAATATTACGAGCAAATTATTTATTTAGTAATAAATGAAAATTTTATTTAAAGATAATTTAATATATTTATTTAATCAAAAAAAATTACAGTTTGTAAATATCATTGTTTAACATATGGTATATGAGTTATATCACAATATAATTATAATTAAATTGTAAACATTAATAATAAAAACATAAATTATACAGTAATTTATACAAATTGATTATAATTTGATTATTTTTAAGAATAATTAAAATAAAATAAAAATAACAATATTTAATTACAATAATTAATCTAATAAATAATAAATTATTAAATTAAAAAAATTTAAATTATAATTAAAAAGTTGTACAATAATGATAAATAATAATAATAAGTGATTACAAAAATATAAGGAATTGGCATTAATTAATACTAATTGGAAATATTTTTTACAATAAATACAAATAATTAAAACAAATACAATTAATGCCAAACAATTTTTTGATGATTTATTTTATATAACATTTTAAGCATCAAATACAATGACATCAGATATAAATAAATATATATATATATATTAAATATTATATATACTGTATATAGGCTTCAAATAAATTGTTGATAATAATTGTTAATAATGTATAATAATTTACATAAGCAATTGATAGATAAATTGTCGATGTTTTTTATACATCAAAACTTTAATTGTCAAACCCAACCGTTCCCCGTATAGCCTGTCATCGATGAGCTACCGTTTCCAGTAGTAAAATCCATTTGATTCATATGAGACAGTGAACTACTCGAACGACTCATACAATGATGATCGCTGGCGGCATACATGTGCTGTCGGTTAGACATATGATGACCAGCAGCTGGACTGCCATAGTATGGATGTTGCTGTATATGCTGTTGTTGTTGATAATGTAATTTTTGTTGTTGTTGTTGTTGTTGCTGCTGCTGCTGTTGGTGATGATGATGATGACTACCGGGAAACATATGGTCTGGTTTATGGTGTTGTTGTTGATGCTGTTTCTGTTGATGTTGTTGTTGTTGATGATAGGCCAGACTAGTCTTGACCAGATTGCCCTGATTTTGGACATGAAGTGCACTTCGCGATAAGTGACCATTGATTGATGATAGTGGCTGTTGTTGAGCGCTTAACGGACAGCTCATGTCACAGTCGTCCAGTATTGTCGTCGTATCGATTGGTGGCCCAGTATTTGTACCGGTGCTGGTGGTGGCCGTACCGACAGTGCGCTTGTGTTTGGCAGCTGAGGTTTCAGCTATCATATCGGTGTCCATCAGATCGTGTGTCTTAATTGACAAATCCACTGATCGACGGCCAAACGCTTTGATCAAAACGGCCTAACAGTTCAAATATGAGGACAGTTAGATAATATTAATAATGTAAAAATACAGTAAATAAATATTTTGAATAACTCAATAAATGGTAAAATGCTAATAATTTTTCTATTATTATAAATTTTGTTTAATTTTGTTATGATTATTATTAGTTATAAATAATAATAATAATTAATATTATTATATATTACATTATTATTATTATTATATAAAACTGTATAGACTAAAATGAAATAGTTTAAATAAATTGTAAATTATATATATATATATATATATATAAAGTTATATAATTGTATTTTTAAGTTTAATAAAAAAAACGTAAAAAGTTCGAGAAAATCATTTTCGTGTTTTTGGTTTTTTTGTTATCATTTTTTTGTTGTAATTTTTTGTATATATATATATAAATCCCAATTGAGTTGATACTAAAACGTGACGTCCACTATTTTTTTTACTGATCTACCCTTTAGTTTTATTATTTTATTTTGCACTATAATATATCCAGTATATTAATGTTTCACTTTTAGTAATCAATTATTATAAATAATAAAACAATGATTTTTTTTGTTGATACAAATTATATAATATATATATAATCTATAATATTTCATATTTTTATAAAAAATAATTTTAAATTAATAATTTATCTAAGTTAATCATTCTAAGAAATTTTGTACAATAAAATAACATTGAAAACTTAACAAATGTATAAAATTAAAAAATAATAATAAAAGTTTACAATGTTATGGTGAGTAAATGTTTTAGCTTGATTTTTCATTTGATTTTTCATTTTTACGTTAATTTCAATTTGACTTTCAATAGTTAATAATTTTTTTTTGATCATCAAATCTATTTTGTATAACATTAAACTGCATTATTGAATATTATTATAAATAAGTTTTTATTTGTTTCAAAACACAAAAGAAAATCTCATTTTGATTTATCGATTTTCATCCATTTCTTTATATATATATATATATATATATATATATATATATATATATATATATATATATATAAATATATATGTGTCGATGCCTTTTATATTCAACTTATACCCTCTTTTATCTATTTGATACCTTCGCTTAACACACAAAGTCCTATCCATTTGACTAGTCTTTCATCAAATAATAGCACAAAAAAATGATAAAAAAGAAAAGAAAGTTAAGAGTCTAATACAAGGGATGACTAAAAATGTGAGCCAAAAGTCCTTACATTTCTCCTATTTCTCGTTGTTATCTATAATACACATATAATATATATATATGTCGTTGCAAACCATTATAATATCATATCGTAAAAGAAAAACGAAATATATATATAACATAGAAAAAAAATAATATGAAACACAAAATTATACATATTTTTTGCTCTCTTATATTTCAATTCATTGCTATTACTTTCACAATTTTTTTTCTCTCTCTCTCTCTCTCCTAGTAATGTGTGTCAACCCATTTGTTATATGACTTTTAGCATTGAGAGCATCAAAATAGACGACCATTACTATTACTATTATTATTATTATAGTTCTTAACTTAAAAAAAGAAAGAAAAATATATATTATAAAAGAATATAATATAATATAAAGAATATTCTTTAAATGTGAATATATATATATATATATTTCGTTGAAAATTATATTTAATTTTTATTATATTATAGTATATTTACTGAAAAATAGGGAAAATGTTTTTTTGACTAAAAAAATACTAAGTATGTAATTTACACAAAATTTTGCATTCAATAAAATAATATATCATATAACACTTTTTATAACGCCAAATAATAATAATAATAACAATAGAAATATATAGCTAAAATGTATTCCTAACTCTAAAAGCCAATATAATTATATTTTTTATAATCAAAAATATATCGATAGTATAAAAAATAAAATGAAAAATATATTTATGTCTATTTAAATTGCACACAAAAAACAGTAGCTTTTTTTAGGTCAATTCCTTTACACACAAAAGTAGTGGTAGAGTAGTAGTAGTAGTAGTAGTAGTAGTAGTAGTAGTAGTAGTAGTAGTAGTAGTAGTCGAAGCACACGAAAAATGCTTATATTATATATATATTTGAGTAAAAATGAAAAATGCATTAATAATCCCGACATCTGTTTTAAGTAATATATATTTCTTTTGGCGTCAATAATATATTATACTCGCACTTCATTCACCCACTCCATCACTATTCACCCGCTTTTCTTGTATAATATAAATGTCACTGTAATAGGCATATACTGTACTGATAGAAGAATATATGTATAATAAGGGTAAGCATAAAATAAGAGGAAATTTACATTCAATCTTATGTTAGGGTTGTTTGACACAACTAAATGCAAAAGCATTTAATAATATTAGAAATTATTATTATTTAATTTTTTTTGTGTGGATATATTTAATATATGCCTTAAAATATCTAATATATATCATATTTTTTTAGCAAAAATGTTATATTATATTAGTTATATAAAGCTAATACCATATGCTTTTAGTGTTCATATTTTTCTCTCAAAGGTATTTTGCAACAATTACCAGTCCATACATATAATTCAGTAGTACTACATATCAGAGCACTGGTAGTTCAAAAATGAAAGAAAAAAAAGAGAGAGAAATTGATGAATTTCAATATAATATATATACATATATTTTTGCACTATTTTTATAAAGTATAGTGTATATGAAAAAAAAATTTACATTATATTACATTTGCATTCATGTAAAACATTTCAAATCCCAATAGTTATTCAAAGTTTTGTTTATATATATATATATTATTTTGTTTTTGTTATGTTATTTTGCAATTGTTTTTTTATGTAACACATATATTTCAAAACGTGATTATAGATAAATATATCTTTATATATATATATATATATATATTTGTTGTTGTTGCACAATTTAATACCATTTATAAGACATAAAAATTTGTTTTATATATATAAATGTATATTGAAAAAAAATATTTATCAAAAAAAATCCAATGAATAAAAATGTAACCTTATTTTTTCAAATACTATAGGGATTCGGATAATATACCGTATAAATATATATATATAAAGCATATATGAATTATTATAATTTTCTATATGTTTCATGTTATATATATATATGTGCAAATTGTAAGTCATAAAACATAAGTATAAGTTATACTGGCATAACCATAATAAGAGAGTGGGTAGGGGTGACTATTTGAATAAATGAGAAAACCGGCAGTTTATTTTATATTAAGTCATAAAATATTATCACTATATATATACTATATATACTGTATATCTATCTATCTATCCTTCTTTTTCTCTCATTGTTGCAATTTTCTCTTATTTTTGTTGTCATAAATAGATATAAATTTCAATATATATATACAGTATATACAGTATATAACATATATACTACTGTATATTGTATACACTATACAGTAAGCATTTGATGGTTAATATTGTGTGAAAAACGAGAGTAAAAATAATCGATAAACGAAATAACTTTTTCTTCATAAAACAATTATATAATATATATATATATAGTGTTGTGTGTATGTGTTGTGTGCCATAATTTATTGGTAGAAATTAATGTAATAAATAACAAGTTATATGTATTCATACAATTTCGGCAACAAAATTGTTTTACATTTTTTTCTGTACGGACACAATAGGATTGTCAATATAATTGAGTTGTGACTAACAAAAAAAAATATAAAACAAAACACACGACAATAATATTGTACTAAAAATATATTGCATTTATTGGTCGTTCACATTCACGAGAGACTACTATTTTTTGGCAAACAATACATTATATATCTAAAAGTCTTTTTTATTAAATGTATTATTTTTTTAGTTGTGTGATATGAGTTTCTCCTAATTCAGCCAAACAATTGAAAGGGACAGGTATTTGATGGCATTAAATATATAAACCATTAGTGTACAGTAAATTGTTGGGTCTATTAGGTTAGTAGTAGTAGTAGTAGTAATGATAGTTAGTGGTAGACAGTAATGAAACAAAAGTGTTATTAAGTGTTATATATTTTTTTCGTTTTGTTTTTCTTGAGAAAGAAAGTTATTAATGAGTTTTGATTTTTTCCTTATGGCTATAAAGTAGTTATGAATGAGAGCTATGATTTCATCGTAGCTATATATATATATATTTACTGTATACTCTACTGTATAAAAATATATATAGATTGCACATGTATTATTTGATAGAGAAGCACAACCAAACCACTTACCACAACAAGTAATGTGATTAGACATAGTATGGCCATATAAAACCACTGTTCATTGAACCATTTCTTCAGGGACGCCATACTCTCATTAGACAATAGTAAGCGCCTTAATGTGGCCAATGGTCCGGACGGGTCTACTTCTCTGCACTTTTGATTGGCATCGCAATAGCCGTTATAGTTATCACATGGTGTACCCGCTTTGGCGTACAGATCGGGCACGTCGTATGGCACGGAATTCCATTCAAATGATGACCTGTCCATTAGATATATGGTTAGTAAAACAATGCAGTCATAACTATACAAACTTTTTCTAGTTTTCATATAACTTTAGGTTAGATTAGCACTATTGGTAAGTAGGATAGGAAGTGGATGACCATCAAAAAAAAAAGAAAAATAATATAAATAAATAAACGTTAAACTGAGTCATCTATAAGATTATATTATAAATGCCAAAAAACAGTAACGATATATAATGATTCTGGAGTGGAGGGGAGATATATATATACAGTATATATATATTGGACTAATTTTTTTCTATGATAACTCCCGGTTCCATAACTTTAATGCATTCATATCCATATGGGAGTCGTTTAACATACATATGATATTTTAGTATTATATATACAATGTATACAATACTCACACACATTCTTAACAGTTATTATCCCTTAGTGTATAATAACTGAGAAATAGTATTTATCATTCATTCTCTCACTTAGTTTTTTTTGTTTATATAGATATATACTGTATATAAATGAAATAATAATATTTTTATCTAATTCACTACAGTATATATACTGTATATATATATATATATATATATATATATATATATATATATATGGTATTTGTTTAAAATATTTATAACAGTGAAAACCAGTGGATAGCAAATAAAGATAGAAAACTACTGTTTCTTAACACTATGTATGTATAAAACAAGAATATTAGTAGTATTTATACATATTTTTTAAAATTCATGTAAATTTAGTATTTTTTTGTAGGGTAAGGGAGAGGGGAACTGTAGTTTAGTTAGTAATAGTTGATGACATACTTGCACGTCGAGTCTTTTGAAGGCAATCGACAGCACAGTTCGCATGATTTGGTTAGTGGATCCTTTGGTCCGCTCCGGCACTGACACGACTCCAGTCCATAAGCCATACATATACTACCAGTGCATTCCTGATGTATAAATTAAATTTTTAATAATAATGATAATAATGTTTTACTTTTTATTTATTTCCATTAATAGTTGAAATAATACATGTTATGAATGTTATGAATAAATTAAATATTTCTTATTTATAATATAATGATATATAAATAAAACACATTCATTTCAATAGTATTTTCATCATAAAATATATTATGATATTTCTATTAATGTAATAATTATCATAAAAACTAAATTATAATTAAAAAATACAATAAAAGTTAGATATTAATAAATGCAATGAAAATGTCTCACGAAACAAATTAAATAATAAATTGCGTTTAAAAAACAAAATAATATTAATTTTTGTCTCTCTTTTTTCCTCTTTTTTGTTTATATCTCTATACACTAACCGGTAATATACCTCAACATAAATGACAATTATATTTAGATTTTACTGAAGCAAAATTGATATTATCATAAACCCAAATCCATATATATATATATATGTATGTATAAGTATAAATAAGTCTTACTATCGCTATATTAAATATTATATTAATCTTAAAATAATCTCTAAAACAGACATATTTTTTTATTACATACATAGTGTACAAAACTGGTATATATATATACAGTACTTAATGGCATTTGTATTGACAACTCAATTGAACGGACCGTAATTATCATGTCATGCAAACTATGGTATATAATACTGTATATATAAAACAATAATATACAAAAACCTAACCACTGATGGCATATATTAAAACCCATATTACACATCAAGTTATGGTTATGTTTATGGATATACTGTATATATATTTATAAAATTATTTTTATATGCTTTTTACTTTATTAGCAGAAAGGTTGTTGTATGGCATATAAAAACTGTCAAAAACACTTCATAGACTCATATTATTGTTAATTCATAAGTTTATGTAGTCTTTTGATTTTTTTCAAAGTGAAATAATCTATTATTAAAAAGTTTATTTACTGTTTATAAAACTTTCATACAATTTAATGCATATATCAAGTATATTATACAGTATAAGCTGTATATTATACAGTATTTGCAGTAAACTATTGTTATATAATACAATACAATATACTTTATTTTTTTTAATATTATATAATATCGTGACTCATGTGTACAAAAACTAATTGTTAGCAAATTGTAATTTACTTTCGATAATTATAAACATGTATTTTTTTATTATTATTTGGCAAACACTTTATTTTGCATTATTATTTAACACATTATATTCAGAAATATTCATTATAAATGTATGTATGTATGTGTATGTGTGCAGCTCCTTAATGACATTATTACTTTAAATACTACTACTACTACTACCAGTGCTACAAATCCATGCAATAGTATTTATTGTTTGGGTGCAAACATTTTTTCACTGAACCGAAACTTTGATTCAAAGTGAGTGAGAGAGAGAGAGAGAGAGAGAGAGAGAGAGAGAGAGAGAGAGAGAGAGAGAGAGAGAATGAGACATAAAAAATATATACAGAATTTTTCAATTAAATTGAATCCAAAGTGCACTCAACTGAGTGCACACATAATGTTTTAGTTTAGTGCTCTTACTATATATATATATAACAGTATGATGTGTAACGTTATGTGTGGACCAATGTTTTAGTAGTAATACTGTAGTAATGAACACATATATTGTACAGAATATTCTTTACTGATTATATAGACATTTCGCTAATACTCTATATATTTATATATTAAGCATTAACTAAACAAAACAAAAAAATATCAAATAAAATAAAATTACAGTAAATTTGCTGTATATATATATTGATATATATATATATATATATATATATATACAGTAATTACTTAATAATAATTAAGAGCACAGACAGACAACACACACACTAACAGTTGTGTGAGACAACTGTATTAATTGAAATAATTACATAATTGTAATTAAAAAATTTGAATCGTGCATACATATACAAAAATTATAGACATAGACATGTAATTATTATTATTATAGACGTCAATAAACTGGATTACTTACCCCCATATAGCAAACGTATTCATCATTGCAAATGGTTTTGTTGGGCTTATTGGTTGATGGAGGGCATTGAGGTCCCTGACCAGTATATATAATAACAACAAAATAGGATCGACAAATAGACATTAAGGAAAATAAGTCATTTATATTCAATGGTCTTATATTTATATATTATATGATATATTTATATGGATAGAAAATATTTTAAATTAGAAATATTTTTGTTGTTGTAAATAAATTCTATATATATATATATATATATATATTTAGCACAAATATGTTTATATGTGTATATGAATGTATGTATGTATGAATTTTTGTGTGCAATAACATAAACAATCATACAGTTTATATATATATATATATATATATATATATATATATATATATATATATATATATATATATATATATAATATTGATGATAAATAAAATTATTATAAGTGATAATAATCCACAAAACTAGTGGCAAAATCATCATAATATGCCAGCCTTTTTTACACACATATCTTTAAGACAACTATTACTACAGTATATATATATATATATTTATTATATATACGGTATGATTCATACATTAATAAATTTATAAACGATGAGTGACTGGTAATGTTCGCATAATTTAATAAAAAAAAATAGTAAGAGTTTTATTCATAATATAGTATACTGTAGTATAATACTATAATTTCGTCATAAAAGTCCTAAATTTATAAATATTTCTTAAAGTTATAAATATATTTGCAATGTCTTATAATATCTTATTATTATATATATTATACAGTATTTTGTTTTGTAAGTTACAACTAAGTAAACTATAATGTATATGTCTCGACATTTTTTATTACCTAATAAAAAAATATTTTACTATTTTATGTTTTATAAATTCATATAATATATTTGTAGTTTATATTCACAAGAAAAAACTTTAACATAATGACATATAATAAATAATAAACATAATAATACTGTATATACACATATAAACTATACATACTGTACATAATGACTATAATTATATTAAGTTATTTATATAAATATTGATGTCTTTATATTTAAGTTATTATATCTATATATTAAATGTTTACCTTTCTTTTTTAAAAAAATACAAAAATTATTTTTTTTATTATAAATAGACTATAAAAATATTAAATTGATTACTTTTATCAGTATTGTATATAAATAATATAGTAAACCTTATTCTATAGCGTTAAATAATAACAATATATAAATATATATACATATATAATAATAATATATAATATATAATGTTTGTATCGATCAAATAAAACAAGTAACATAAAAAAAAGTTAAGTTAACAAAATAGTTTTATAACAACAAAATTGATGTAAAGTTTTGTATTGTATGTCATATTAAAAGTGGGCGCACAATATACAGGAAATGAGTGTATTATATTTGGCATTCAATAAAATGACACTAATTGTGTGTGTGTTATATATAAAATTAAACTGATAACTAAATATTATTAGTTTTTTAATTAATCAGAAATATTCATGATAACAGTTATAGATAAATATATCCAATTGTTAAGTATACTAATAAAAACATATTTTTAATAGAAAAGTTAATGTAAATATCTAAAGTTGATTATGATTGATATGCGTGTATTATAATAGTTTAAAGTTTAATTATTAATTTACTAGAAAATTTAGAGGATTTAGTAATGATATTATAAACAAAATTTATATAAAAATATCTAATTTAAAAAAAATGTTTTGTTGAAAATATTGATTATGATTTATATTATTAGCTGGATTATCATTTTGTCTCTAATATAGACACACCCGATTAAAATATAATTTTGATAAATAAATATGATAATAGATGTCAAAATATATTTATATAATATTATACTATATGCTAAACTAAAATTTTAATCCAAAAAATCTATTATATATTATTATGGATTAACATTATTTAACAACACAACACAATTTGAATTACCGTATATTATAATAATATAATAAAATAAAACAATAATTATATAATTAAGTAATAATATAAAATATTTTTAAAAATTATACATAGATTTAGTATCATATATACATAAACACTTTGTTTATATACTGTATATATATAATAGTGTATTGAAAAGGATATTTGCAGTAACTTGCAGTCCGGCATCCATTATCGTCCCGACATTTATTACCCGCTTTGACCTTACAATCCTGTGTACAACAGGGCCCCTGACTTGGACTATGCAAATAAAAAAATATATATTATTAAAATAGTTATATGATATTGTTTATAAAAAAAATTGCAGTATTAATTCATTAATAATTGTTATCAATATTATATAAATATTGGTTAATCTTGGGTTGAAAATCTATATAATATATCTTTATGGATTAGAAAAATGATTAAAAAAAATTTTAAAAATGCTTTAAAAAACTTGCTCTTAAAAAAATATCAATTTATTTATTAATTATTGCTATTAAATCTATATCTATTTAATATAGAAATATATTTTCTTATTTTTAATAAATCACAAAATACTGTATTTAATTTAAATAATACAAAAATCTAGTGTTAAGCTTATCATATATATAGTATTTGTATATATAATATTTGTAAACTATTCTAATACTTTAAATTTACTGTACTTCTAATATACAAAAAAAAAATTGTTATTCATAATATATATTAGTTTTTGTCAAAATATATGTAAATTATTTGACGAATAAAAAATTGAAATTTAAGTTTTGAAATGAAAAATCAAAAACTGAAATATAAGTTAAAATTATTCTATGAATATAAATAATTTTGATTTTTTAGTATAATTTTCTTTTTTTAAAAAATAAAAAATATTGACAACAATTTATTATTTTGATATAATCCATAACTTCATACATACCTACAAATAACATTTGGGCGAAGTCTTTATTAAATGTCACACGAGTTTTGTTTAAATGCATTATATATATTAGAAATTGAAATAACAAAAAATTGTTTGGTTAGTAATCAATTATTAATACATATATATTCTTATATACAGTATATATAATATATACAATCATGCAATCTATTTATTATCCAACATATTTTCTATTGCTTAATTATTAAATAACAAAAAAAATTATATTATCTATACTGTATATACTGTATAAATTATTGTATGGGTTAAACTTGAATTTAATAAATTCAGCTTAGCATCATAGTTAGCGTGTATTGGGCATATTAAATGAGAGAGCACAGTTAGGTGCCAGATATTGTATATAAATTATATGTATATAATTGGTCCATTACCTGCAAGGCACTTCATCGGGTGGCGGGTTGGTCCTCATTGGGTAACAGCACGGCTCCTTACAGTCCTCCTCCCAACCGCAGTCACATTCCTCTCCCTCTTCCACCACTTCATTACCACATATAGCATCCTGTGGTTCTGTAAGTGTGTRTATATATGAGAGCAAGAGTGGGTGTGTGTGGGGTCACAGGGGTAACAAATGTGACAAAATTATATAATTATATATATATAATCAATATATCAAACACTTACAATAATAAAGAGTAAATTACTATAAGTTTACTTTTAATGTGTGTGTGTGTGTGTGTGTGTGTGTGTGTGTGTGTGTGAGTATGTGTTTTGATAAATTGCAAAATGATAAATGACATGATAATCATTTTTGTTTCTCTCTCTCTCTCTCTAAAATAATAAGTTTATATTTTTGCTATTTATGTGTGATTCACATAATATTTTTTTATCAATGTTTTGGTGGGTTTTTTTAGAGTGTGAGTGTTTATGTGTGGTGTGTGACAGCAATTGCAGTAATAATCAGTGAGAGAAACAAAAACTTTCCAAATCATTAATCGATGAAACAGTTTATCATTTAATAGAGTTTTATATATAAATATCTTTTCTCTGTATATAATATGTACAGTATGTGTGTGTGTGTGTGTGTGTGTGTGTGTGTGTGTGTGTGTGTGTGTGTGTAATAAATGTGTTATGCAATAGTGTGTGTGTGTATACTGTATAAGCCTTAGAGCACATAACACAGAAATAGCTGACACTTGAGGGGATGAAATTGCAGTAAAATTGTCATTAACTATAGTGTCTGTATCTATTGGTTTAATGCACAGTATATGTGATTCAAATTATTATTATCTAATGATATGTATATTATAATATCATTAATGAAATGTTATTTTTCTTAATACTCCAGAGCTTCCCATTCTTTATACAGTTTATTATTATTATTATAATAAGTATAACATATAGTATAATGTGTTTACTTGTCTTTTTCCTTCAGTAATTTTTGGTATAATACTTCTTAATAATGTAATTGTGTGTTAACTCAAAATAATTGTAATATCATATTATAAGAAAGTTATGATTGTGTAGACATAGATAGATAGATGTGTGAAATGGTATGCAATAGACAGTGAAAAGACAGTTAACAACGGATATACTGTTTATATAATTTATATATGTTTTTAAACTAATGGCACATACCTTGAAAACATCCCTTCAGACTCTTGGCTTTWGTATTGAGGACAGCGTTAATACTTTTTAGACTACACGGACTAAATTTATTATTGTTTTTCTTGTCACCCGAAGTTGCCCGGGCAAACATTATGTAATTCCCGTTTTCACCTCCCGGTGTGCAATTGGTGTCCTCTTCCGGGTCGTGCTAGTGTTGTCGTTGTTGTTGTTGTTGTTGTTGTTGTTAAGGYGATAGTAGGTAGTGRTGGACAAGTAGTACACAAAAAAAAAAAAAATAAATAACAATGAAATTAAATTAATGATATCAACAATAATTATTGTATGATTTATATATACATATATACATTATGCTAATTATTATATCTATTATAATATATGGTACAGTATTTTATTGTATTTTTGTAACATATATTGTATAATATACTGTATTTATATATCATTGCTGATAAACATATTATTGAAAAACTATATAACTAAATTGTATATATATATATATATATATCTATATAAATAATAAATGAAATTCAATTTAAATAATTATSTTTTATTTTTATAGTTGTTTTGTGGCAATTGGATATAAATAGAGATAATACTTTCTATGTTATGACTTTTATATTAAGTAATTTAATTATGTATTCATTCAAACCATTGCAAACATTTTTTTTAATTTGTATTATTAAATATTTAATAAAATTATACTAATCATATAAAGTAGTTTTTTTTATAGATTTTTAACCAAAAATTAAGATAACTTAGAATAAATTAGAAAAAAGATAAAAAAATAAATAATACTAATTATAATTTATATATATATATATATATTATTCGCTTATTCATAAACTTACTAAATGTTTGTGATCTTAGCATAATTTTTTTAAAAGTATATTTTTATAATATCTTGCAAACAATAATAATAGTAAATAATATACATATACGTTATACTTAAAATCCATGGTAATAAACAATTTTCACCATTAAATGCAGTATACATTTAAAATAAATGATTATAAACATTAAGACAACTGCATTTGGAAAAACTAAGTGCATATAAAATATCTGATTTAATATATCATAATAATAATAATAATCATAATCATAATTTTGGCCCATCATTTTGGACTCAATTTGCTTAATRCCAACTATGCTAATGATAATAATAAAATTTTACTACTTTTAATATTTCTAAACTTTTTAAACACACACATACACATAAATTTATTATAAACTTTTATATTACAAATTGGTTTACTSTTAATAGTAAAACACATTATAGTTAATATAAATGCATMAGTATATACTGTATGTATGTATTTATTATCATTAGACACTCATTTATATGCAACACATTAGCGGACATCTCGTATGCGGGGAGATAATTGTCGCTAAAAATCTATGGATAGTAGTGTTAAGTGAGATGGTAGCCTAATTGGTTGGTAAGTCATTGAATTATAATGACTACTAATGAGCTTACATTGTGTACATTAATGTTAGTTTAAATAAATATGTGTGCACTAGAAATAATAATAATAATAATAATAATAATCGTAAAAAATAATTGTTTTCAACACAAATCCCTTACCGGAGACCCAAAGTTGTGTCCGATTTCATGCGCGAGCGTTACGTGACTTACGATTGGCGGCACGTGTTTGCCATAATTCAATAGCGTTACGATACCAGTGTTCAAACTTTTCAAACTTCCTCTATAATGCTGTTTAAAAATATAATATAAGWTATAACGTTATATATTTATATTTATATACAAATAATTTATAGTAATTATATTACTAAATGATTAAATATTATGTTTACTTAAATCTTTAATGAATACTACCATTAAATAAGTCATATGTAAAATTCAAATAATTAATGAATATATATAGTATATATATATATATATATATATATAATATTGATGTTAATTTCGAAAATTACAAATGAAATTTTAGGCAAATTTAAATTATTTTATGTAATAAAATAAAATAATATAATAAAAATTAATGATTGAACAATTTTATTTGTTTATGTTATAATTAATTAAAATAAATTAAGTGAAAATATATTTTTAGGGCATTGAATTCATATAAATGATATTAAAAACATTTTTATATTAGATATTGAATACTACAATATAATGTAAATTACAAGTATTTGACTAGTATTGCAATTTGTTTGTAATGTAAATGTGTGCAAAAACTGTAATTTTAAAGTAAATATAAAATAATGTTAATAATTATGAATCTATAATTAAGTAATACATATAACTAGTGGTCCGCGTTTCTCATTAAATACATAATTATATTTATTACAGATATATTCAAAATATATATACTTTTAACCGTTTTTAAAAAAACAATAAAATATATTTAAWGAGAAGTACATATTATATGACCACGGTTATACTTTTTATTTATATTAATYTATCAATAAATATTAATTATAATTAATAAACATTAATAAATTCAATTATTATTTTGTAATTATTTCATTAAATTATTAATAAACTACAGTATATACAATATATTATACTCTTAATATAATTAGTAYWATATAAAAAACAATCAAAATTATAGCTATGTTTTTTTAAATAAATAATATAATACATTGCATTTTTAATGACAGTAATTATTTGTATACAATAATACTACTGAAGTTTTTTCCGTTTGAAAAAAAGTTAATTTAATGTGTAAGTGATATCAAATAATTATGTTTTTTTGTGATTTTTAAATAATAAATGAAAATAAATGCCTTTCCATGAAATTAAATTTTATAGTTAGAGGGTTACACTTATAGTAAATTAATCCACACATTAAATAAATGTATGTATGTTTGTGTATATGTGTTATGTGCGGGTAGTCGGTTGACTGATATCTAGTTTTATCAATGGTATAATCAATGGAAAAAAAATCAAAAACAATTGTCTATTTTATTGGCCATTCATTATTGTAGACATATTATATACAGTATAACTTATAAACAATAGAGTATATATACAGTATTTTATAAATAGTGTATAATATTATATACATATAACTTAATATATATAAAGCTTTATAAACAAAGTATATATATATATATATATCGTAATCGTAAAGCAATGACTCGGAAACACATAACACTAACTGTCATTAATAGCAATATATTTAATCATCTAATGGTAACTCACTTTTTTGTCTTAAATCAAGACTAATATCGATTAGCAATATTTTGGTGGTATATATATATATATATATATATCTATATATATATATATATATATATATATATATATACTGTATATATATATATATATATAAGATTACGGTATATAAATGTATTTCATGTACAGTATATAAGTAATACTATTTGGTGTATAATTTTGAAATTTGCTATTTTATACGATTACTGTGTGTATTGTTATGGTATTTTGTATTATTATTATTATTGTTTTGTTGGTCATAGTTTTTATAACATAATTTTATAACATCTATTATTATTATTATTATTATTTTAATTTTAAAATCATGATTATTATGTTGTTTTCCTATTGATATTCAAATAATAAAGTTTATTATTGTATAAATTATATTATGTTTACATTTTTAGAAAACTTCAAAATAAAATATGAATGCACTTAAAACAAGTGCTTAAATTAAATTAAACGGAAAAGTGTTATGTTTTTCAATGAAAAACCAATTTTATATTGTATCGTATAATACTGTATGTTATATATAATAATAATAATAAAATTATTATTATTATTATTATTATTATGAAAACCTACATATACTCTATTATATAATATATATATATATATTTATGTTTTCATAGCAGTGGACAACACATGCCATGAATTTTATAGTTTAAAATAACAATAATATTATAAAAGTATAAATCCATTGAAAATAGAAAGTGTTGAGAATAGCAAAACAACAACAAAAAAAACACAAAAACAAAAATAGACAATGAATTCAATAAATTATTATTATAACTTTGTTTTGTTTGTGTTTAGTTATATATATATATATAATACATATCAAACGTATAATATTTTATTACTATCGCAAAATTCATTATATTTATCATACAGTATATATATATAGTACTGTATATAATATATGATATATAAAATTCATATTCTACTAAATATTTAAGCCGCATAAATCAATTGTGATAAATGAGCAAGGCTATTTCATGCGCTTCATATTGATTAATGTATATATGTATATCTATACAGTATTATATATATATATATATTATATGGTGTATTAATATATGTACAGAAAATAACAACAGCAAACTAAACAACAAACACACAAAAAAATCAATTYCACTTCACTCTCAGTCTATTTATATATTTACGTGCATTGCTTACAATATAAGCCAAAATAAAAATAAATAACTAAATAAAAATATATATATATATATATTGGACAAATATAAAAGTAAAAAATGTGTGAAATAAGCGATAAAATTATATTAGCACACATAGAAAATCGTAATATATATATATAACTATTATATCGTTGTATATAAATATTTAGTTAATACAGTTTTATAGTATACAATTAATTTAATAAATATCTTTTAAAAATGATAGTACAGAAAAAAAATTATTATATTATTTTAATTGAAAAACATGATAAAATACAATAAATTATTATAATATTTAATTTAATGTTAAATAAATATTATTTTGTTAAATCGTCTACTAGTTTTTATCAGTTAAATAAAATTGCCTTGCTATATAGTCATTTTCATTTATATGAAAATTATTATATTTGCTGATAGTTAGCACAAAATAATACTATATAAATATTGCACAATATAAAAACATTTTTTTTAATATTATATATTAAGTAAACCAATAGATAAACTTTATATATTGTGTGTATATTAGGTATAACTTGTATAAAAAAACTTATTTATTTAACGAACAAATATTAATTTACACTTAATCTCGTAAAATATAATTTTATATATACTATATATATATATATAAACTTATATCAACATTGAGAAGCAAAAAAAATTGTTAACAATTGAATGCTATTCAATATATATTGAATAATAGCAAAACACATACTTTGATAAGACATTTATCAAACATAACTCGATATAACAGTTAAGTATTTTTTAATGTACATATTATAACAATTTTATTTACTATAACTACTACTACTACTACTGCTTCTACATCATTTACAATATTATTTTTAGCCATAGTAATCGTTATAACAAATAAATAAAATAAAAAAACATAAAATAAGAAACAAAATAACAACAACAAAAAACTAAAATAAAAAAATAGAGAACAATAATTGTTACATAGATTCAAATTTTATGATCTCAATCACGTTATATTTTTATATAATATACTAAACTAATTGTTTGTTTGCAACTAATATTATAAAAATAAAATTTATTATTGATGAAAAAAATATTTCTATACTACTCTACTCTATAGTAGTAATAAAATTAATATTAATTAAATAATAATAATAAAATCAATTTAGTCGTCCATCACTTACTCCATTTTTTTCGCAAACTCCGCCGGCATTTTTGAGATCCCCAGTCCAGGCGAGACCGAGTGTTCCGCCCTCGAAGTCCCGGTAAGTGAACATATAAGCCAAACAAAAGGCGTCGTAATCTTCCTCTGAGAATAATTCCAGAAACTTTTCGACCCCATAGTTACCCGGATAACGATATTCCGGATCTTTTAGGGCGTCGACCGTATGAACTTTGATGCGTTTTATCAAAAACGATATATTATCGGGACGACCATCCAGATCAAAATCTATATATCAATATATATATATAATTATTTATTTATAATTATTTATTATTATTTTTTTCATAAATTTAACTTTTGATATTTTTTGTTATTATTCAATTTTTTTTGGTTATGTATTTTGGTTGCTAATTTTTTARAAAAAATTATTTAATTAGAATATTTATATTAAATAATATATATTTTTTATAATTTTAATATAAATATTTATTATTTATATTTTATAAATAATGATATATAAATAGTTGAAATTGTTATACATTTTACTGAATTAATAATTTAGTCATTTTTTAAAAATGATATGAAATATACTATCTATAATAATAATATTTTACATTTATTATGTATTTTTAGTAGTTTTTTAAGATTAATTTATTTATATAAACAATAATAATATTAAAATTTATATTAATAGTAGTTTTATGACAATGAATTATGTTTAAATGCAATAAATTATTTATATTGTTTTGGTTGCTATTATTAAATTTTATTCATTTATATTATTATTATTATTATTATTATTATGTTTATTTGTGAGATTGAAATACAAGAAAAACATATAATACATATAAACATTAAAAATAATATTTATTAATATGTTGTTTATTAAAAAATTATTTTAATTTCTATTAATATGTCTATTTTAAATTTTACTATATATTATATAACTAATTTTAATAAAATCTTCTTTTTAATTAAATTTTATATAATTATTTTAAAACATAATAACTTTATTTAATAACTTTTAATAACTTTTGTAGATATAATAAATTTTTATCGCTTTATTATCTACAGAAACATAATATTATGCATTCAATAAATATTTAAAATAATTTTTAATAATTTATTTTYTAATACATGTTTGTTTATATTTCAATGTAAAGTTAGTTATTATATAATTCAAATTTTTTATCAGATTATTATTATACATATTCTATAGATATACTGTACTGTATTTGCAATTTATGTTTTATATTATGTAAAAATGAATGAAAATGAATACATAAGTAGTGATTATTTTTTTGCTAAAAATATATATATTGTGACTACTATACTAAAATTCATTTATTGAATTTATTATTAAACAAACTAAACAAAAATAAATATAAGTGATTTAAATATTGGATAAAAAAATTTACACAAGTTTTTTTATATTATTATAAATATAGGAATCTCTATATGAATAATAAAGTATATTTAATAAGAAAAATATTAATATAAAAGAAAAAGTTTTTTAATATTTATTATATTTAGAAAATATTTTTTTTATAAAAATATAATAATAATAATATTCATACCGTATAAAAAAAGTAATACTAATAGTAATATCAATGTATATATAGAATTCATATTCATTTTATATTTCTGTCAAAATTTTACAATAATAATAATATATTAGTTATATTTTTCTTATAGAAATAAATGTGTACATGTTTTTATATAATATAGATGCAATACTTGCATCTAAAAATATATATATATATATTTATATTATTATTATTTGATCCGTGTATTTGCTATTATGCCAATACAGTACACAAACRGAGAAAAATGTTAACAAAATATWATATTACATACGGTATATACTATAATATACAGTACATGAATATATCGCTATAAAAATGGTATTAAATAAAATATATATATAATAWATATATCTATATGAGTGTGCATGATATTTTTATTGCTATTTAGAGAATATTCTGTGTTTAAAAAACATGAGTTTGCATACAACAAAATTTTATGTATACTATTAATATTACAAGTATAGTGTGTATGCGATAAATAAATTGCTATTTAAAAATCGATTTAAAAATGCTATTGACATCTATAAGTATTACCATTAAATAGGAATCAAACAGAGAAATAGTGAGTGAGTAAGTGTGTGTGTGTGTGTGTGTGTGTTGAATCACATTTTTCTAGCTATAGAGAGAGAGAGAGAGAGAGAGAGAGAGAGAGAGATAATCGAAATTTGACATAATTTATGATGATTAATGAAATTATCTTAAATATCATTGATATTCACCATCCAGTTCTTTTTCTCCAAGATGCTTGTCTACCTTTATCTGGTTAGAAAGCAACAGCATTAAGTTAACCAAGACCTTTAAGATAATTTGGTCCAGAATTCTAAAAAATTTAACTATACAATTTAAAGAGGGAATTATAGAAATAATTTTTTTAAAAATCGGGAACAGATTCTTATATATACTATTTGAATATATTATTAAAAATCTATTAAAATAATTAATTTTGCTATTAAATTGTAGTTTACTTTATATATATATATATATATATATATCATTTCATATATATATAGAATATATTGATGTATAAGTTATATGCCATATATATATAAAATAAAGAGAATTTATATCCTAAAGACTTATATACGATATATAATAGGATACCAATTGAGTGTTTGACTGATCAATAAGTCATTAGACTATAGTTTGTGTGTTTGAAATATCTCTCTAATCTACTATACTTAACACGTTATCGTTATACTAATTTCCACACATATATCCGACAACAAACTTTAGTGCAATATATGCCAGTTCACTCACCAAATATATTTATATATAATAGTTATATATATATATATATCATACAGTTATATATTATATTGAAGCCATGATTTTCACAGCTGATATATCGATCAGGCCTTTTCCTATAACTGCTTCAATCATCTCTCTCTCTCTCTCTCTCTCTCTCTCTCTCTCTCTCTCTCTTTCTAACTAACTTACTCACTCATACATCCATATACAGCTAAGTATTATCATAGCTCAATGGGCTCAATAACACAAATATGAACTAATAATTTTCAGTATCGTTTTTGTTATTTTTTGTTATTTTTCTTGAGTAATAATTTTATGTTGCAAAACACTAATAGTATATATAATAAATTGAAAAATTTTTTAACAACAAAATATAGAGATATATTTATATATATATATATATATTATATATCATTTGAAAACTTTCCGCTATATATATACAGTATAATATATATATATATATATATATATATTGTTAATATCATATATTATTAAATACTATCCAATATTTTTTACTTTTTTCCCTCTCCCACTCACTCACTCACTCACTCAATGACAATAATTTATCAAATTTGTATTATATTTCCTACAGTTATATCTATTTTGTCAGTTTTCAAAACATAAATGATATATATGTATAACTAATATCAAAATAGTCATTATAATTGGCAAATGATATGATATATGTTTGTATATACTATACATTCTATATGTTTATCGACATTTAGATTTATAAAAAAACAAAATTTTATTTATTTTTCGACATTTAACAAAAAAAATCATGAAATTTAGTATTTATGAAATTGAATTCATTGCATAAATAAGTTTCAAATATACATATGTTTCAAAATTAACATTTTTATTGCATCTATTATTATATTACTTAAATATTAATGTTATACAGAAAAACCATAAACTAATAAAATGAAATTGATTTATATATAATATATATATATATATATATATGTGTGTGTGYGTAGGCTATAGATATTGTTAAACAATATCTATATCCTACATACAGTACATACATACACTTGCTATACATAAATATATTTATACACACACTGCTAATATATTATTATTATTGCTCATTATTTTGTACATTTACTAAATCTTTATTCATTATATATGAGATTAAATTAAAATTATAATTAATTCTCTCTCTCTCTCTCTCTCTCTCTCTCTCTCTCTCTTACTTTGGCTAAACGCACAAAATTTATTATCAAAATACCAAAAAAATCACATTCGGTTTATTGCATACAAACGGGTTGTTAATTATGGCAAATGATATATTTGAAATATATATATATATATATATACTGTATATATTATATATAAATTTAATGCTTTACATTATCGATTGCAAAATAAGTTGAACAACAAAAAATAAATTAAAACCCGTAAAATCAGTAAAATAAAATGTACATTATATCTATTTATTATATATATATATATATTATAGATATATAAATGTCTATTTACTTTTTGTAAGTGAAAACGATGGCACTTAAAATAGGAGTGACATTAGTAGGAGAGACTGGTTTACTGTGTAGTGTTGTATAGATATAACGGTTTTTATCAGGTCATCAACAAATAAAATGAAACTCTTTGATTAAAATTTATTTATTATTTCCATTCAAAATAAATATAGACAGATATATATATATATATATATATAGTATTCCACTTAAATCTCGAAAATAGTAAAACAGCTCTAAATAACAGAATATTCTGTAATATACTGTATATATCAACAGTATATTTGGTACAATCGATTCAATAATGAACTTTTGGTTTGCAATTTTGATGACATAAAGTTTTTGTGGGTTACACTCAATCTCTCTCTCTCTCTCTCTCTCTCTCTCTCTCTCTCTCTCTCTCTCTCTCTCTCTRTCTMTCTCTCTCTATCTCTCTCTCTCTGACTCACTCACTCACTCATTATTTGTACGCAAATAATAATAGCCGTAAAACTTGAGATGAGAGCGAAAAAGTGGAAGACATATAAAAGGAAAGACAATTCCTATAAATCCCATTCATTTTCTGATGAGAGATGAGAAGAGCTAATAATGGATAACAAGAAGAATATAAGCAATAAGTGATCCAAAAGAATGCGAGAAATCAAATGAAATAAAAGTCTTAAGAAATCACATGAAAATCCAATACTTAATGACATGAATGGGATGAGAGATGAGAGAGAAACTCATTGACTCTCTCTCTCTCTCTCTCTCTCTCTCTCTCTCTCTCTCTCTATAAGTGAATAAATTACAAATGATTTACACTTATTAAGAGTGCATATCGTATAATATTCTTTGACAGACAATATGTGCCGCAGTTTCATAATTAGCCAATTGATTAAAAAACAGTATGTATTGTAGTGTTGGACACAACTGTAACTGAAAATGTGTCATAACTTATTGTATATGATATATGAAATAGTTTAACATAATCTAATAAACTAAACCAAATATACAGTACTATACTACTCAACAAAAAAAACTATACTCTATGTTGAAACTTAATTAAATTTATTATAGAAAAATATTGTTAACAATAATAACCTCTTATGGTTTGGCCAAACAAATACAGCGAACACTTTGGTAATATTATAGTAAAACACACGAAAAAAATCAGTTTTATATCATAAACATTATACACACACATACACACAGGGATACTAAAAAAAATATCATAATTGAATCATTTTTATTTTTTAGTCAACAAACCRTATACTTTTATTTCAAAAAAATATATATAAAATAGTAATATAAATTTACAAGCATTTGTCTTTTTTTCAATAGATATAAAAATAATATACAGTATTATTGTCCAAAACAATAACTTATATATATATATCAATAGTAAATAGATTGTATATATAGATATATATATAACAATTCTTAAACTCAAAACCGGAAAAAATCAATTAAATTGAGAACAGATTCTCTCTCTCTCTCTCTCTCTCTCTCTCTCTCTCTCTCTCTCTCTCTCTCTCTCTCTCTCTCTCTCTCTCTCTCTCTCTCTCTCTCTCTCTCTCTTATTATGGCTCTAGATTTTTCATGTTATTTGTTATGTTATATTAACAGTGTATTTGTGATATCAAAAGAGAGCAACAACAACGACATCATCAAACAAAAACATCAACAAAAAAAAAGAAATAATACGATAACTTTGCACACATACTGTATATCCTAGAAAGCACCGGGAGGTATATGGCAATAAATGATCAGTTTATATCAATATTATTATATATTATATAGCCAAAAAATATGAAGTCACTGAAGTACTATTTATATAATATATACTGTACAGTATATATACAGCATATATATATAAACTACTGTATATCTTTAACAAACTTTACTATAATAGTGTTTTTATATATATAAAAAACGCTATTATAGTATACAGTACTTTAAATTATATTTTCTATGTTATAGAGGTACTGGTTATACCAATATATCTATATACAGTATATATATATATATATTTGTTATATGATATATGAGCTGATATTAAAGTTAACTAGCCATCAAAATCATAAGGTAATTTTTTTTGTGTGTGTAAATATATAGCTYAAGCACAGGCCTACTARTATTATATTACTTACCAGTGTTTCTGTAGATACTATTAACTTTCTGGACGTGTCGGGTCATGGCCTCAATGCATGCTTCGTCTGAACCCATTTTCTCATAGAAAAGATGGTCCGCCTGTAGATATAACATACACGTAGTCTTTTTGGGATCAATTACTACATGCCTGTCGAGCCTATCCTCCGACCAATGGGTCCTATGGACAGCCCTAACGCCATAGGCATCTGATTCAGTATAATGAAGCGAATCTCTATCCCGATAATAATATGACTTTCCTTTCTCTCCAAAACTGTTTTTGGCATTTGTTTTGACACTCGACTTATAAGTGTCATCAAACTGACCACCAATTGTCATCTTACTGTCCGCACCGGTCTTATCTCGTTTGACGCGACGCTTATCACCAATTAATGCCTGTCGACGACGTTCACCATCTCTTAAGTTATCAAACTTTTTATTAATAATATTATTATTATTATATTTATTATACACTCTTTTGTCGCCACTCTTAACGTTGTTTGCCATACGCTTCAGTTTCTTCTTGCCATTCATTGATCCGCTGATTAATTGACTAAACAAATAATCGATAGGCTGTTCATCATCGCCATCACTACCACCGTCACCAATACCATCACCAACACCACCAACGTTAACGGTTATACCATTACGAAAACTACTGTTGCCATTATTAACAGTATCGTTGTCATAATCAGCAATGGTAATATATTCGTCAACATTATTATTATTATTATTAGTAGTATTTTTAGTATTAAAGTCCTTCATATTATCACTATTACTGTCGTCCACATCATTAACATTATCGCCACCACCACTACTATTGCTGCTATTATTAAGACTATTGGCTAAAATGTAATTATTTTTAATGTCAACTCTTTTCCTATTAATAGTCGCCTCACCGGAATGGGAACAGTTATGACAGCGGCTCTGATCGCTATATTTGTGGCACATGTGGCTCAGGCTATGTCTAGGCCTTGAGCGTTGGCTATTAATRTTAATATTGTTATTATCATTATCATCGTTATTAATATTAATATTATTATTGTTGTTGTTATAATCGGCACTGTTTTTGTTATCATCGACACCACCACCACTACTACTAATACTATTGTCTAATCTGATGCCATAACTGTGTAAATATTGGCAAACATTTTTGTTAATCTTTGGGAAGACCACAGCCGACAACAAATAGATAATTGAATGAAACTCTTGTGTATCAAAGTAACGGTTGGCCGGCTCTATGAAGTACTCTTCAGTTGGCGTCTGGATGTGACCGTCGATCAGACCGTCGGCAGTGATGACACCCTCAATGACTGAGTCTTCATTATCTGTTCAGAAAAAAGTAATGCAAATGAAAAGTAGAGGAAAATTAATTAAATTTGAAAAAAACTGTTTAAACAACACATAGACTACAAAGTAAGCTAAACTTCATATACTGTACAAACTTGTAAAACATTTTTATAATTAATTTTTATTACAGTATATGTCATATGTTTTGTATTTATATTAAATAAACAAAAATTATACTAAAGTATAGTATAGAATAATCTTTTATGTGTCAAAAACTTTTTTATTTTTCTAATAAACAAAATAATTGAACATTTAATCTGATTATGAAAAATTTTAGTTTAACGCAACTTATTTTTGTTGCCTATAAATTAATATTGAAATCATGTTTACATTTCTCTCTCTCTCTCTCTCTCTCTCTCTCTCTCTCTTCCCATTTCCACTACTATTTACATCAGTAATAGGAAATCCTTAGTAATTAATAATAACATGTTTTTCACGGAATATTCTGTGTATAAGTTATTAATATTTTTCAATTATTAGATAGCATGTACTGATTTTTGATTATATTTCAAAAAGGTATTATGATTAATGTTGATTTATACGTTAATTTATTTCTATAAATATTAGAATTAATATAAATAAATATAATACAGTAATATCTAATATTATTATAATTATTACTTATTTTATTTAAAATTTTAATAAATTAAAATCTAAATTAGTTTATTTGAATAACATAACATTGCAATAATAATACCTTATTTATTTAAAAATAAATTAAATATTAAAACAGTAATAATTATTAGTAATTTGGTTGAATAAATATTTTGTGAATAATAATCTAATTGGACTCATAATAAATATATCTTCTACAGTATTAAAAGTAATTTTTAAAAATTATACAGTATTTTCAGGATATGTATAACAAAAATAGTGTATTTAACATTAACTTTAATAGATATTAGTAATTCATTAGAAAATTAACCAAATACTATATTTATATTTTGCTTTTATTWTAAAAATTTTTTTTTATTAGTTTGTAATAGCAATACTAGGAAAGTAATAATCTCTAGAATAAATAAACAAAATTATTAGAATTGAAATTTATTTACCAAAACAAAATTATTTAAAAAACATTATGAAATTAATAAATATTAAATATAACAGACAATACTTTAAATAGATAATATTGTATTATTATTTTAGATTTTATTAAAAATTACTTTATACTATAAATAAAAATTAATATATCAGGAAAATTAAAATTTATTATGCATAAATAAATATATATACACAGTACTTAAAATTAATTAAGAAAATATTTATTTATTTTAATATAATCTGCATTCCTTAAAAAACTATTAAATAATTTTAGCATTGAAATTATAATCATTAATATGAATACTGAGTTATTAAAATAGCAAAGTGTAACATATATATTACACTGAATTATATATTCAATATATATATATATAGTATAATATAATATAATATATATCAGCAGTATATATATATATCAACATTAATTATTTGCATAAAACAATATTTAATCTCTCAAAACATTTGTAAATAAGTAAAGTATTTAATACATTTACAAATGCTCACACTTTTTTGAATACATATATTAATGATTTAGTCAATGCAAATGTATAAATTTTYTAAATTAATATTTTTTTATCCATATTGGATATTTAGTTATGCAAAATGAGTTTAGATTTTACTATTGTATAAATATTTGCATTTATTGTAATTCATATTATTTTTTCCTCTCATTATTATGTTTGGACATTCAATATGGGAATTGAATTCAAATTAATGCTAAAAAGGATGGCAAACATTAATGGATATTCAGTGATATAGTAGTGTAAAACCTTTTAGTTCTAATATATATATGATTTATATATGCATTTAGTTTTAAATATTTTATGATGAATATTTAATATTTGATTATTTAATGTAAATATATATATATATATAATTTTGTATAATATAATTTATACGATTTTATAAGGAAACATTAAATATTGAAATGTGATTTAATTAAATGACAAAATTTATTTTATGGAAACTATAAAATAATTTATTATGAATTTACTTAGTCTAAAGTGTATAATTTTATAAAATAAAAATTTCTAAAAATATATCACAACTAAAAATAAAAAATATTAAAACTTTTGTAGTATTGATTTTTATAAAAAAAATATTATATATATATATATAAATTAATCAAATAATATAAAATTGATTAAATTAATTATTATTATATTAATAATTAATGAAGTTTTGATTTTTTTAGTAATATAAAAAAATTAATTCAAATAACTTTTTAAAATTATAAATTTCAAAATTAATATAAAATTCATTTGTTTTTATCATTTGAATGTCAAATGTTTATATATACTGTACATACCTTCGAGATATCCTTTGATGATATTATTGGTGTCATAATTTAAGGCACCTTTAGTTGTGGACTCAAACACAACATCCGGTGTGAACACAGAGTTGTCGGCTCTGATGACGAGCCGAAACAGTCGATTGTGTGCCGAAAAGTTGAGTCTAATCTCGTTGTGTGCATTGTGTCGCCCATTGAGGCCGTGATGTCGATCGCCGTGAGCCGACTGGTCAGTCGACTCATGCGTTTGAAGGCTTTGGAGGTGTCGTTTGACGCGCGAGTGTTGGTTCCGGAGCTTATGGTTGTCATAATATAAAGGCTCAAAGTGTTTGATAAATGAGTTTAATTCGAGACCTAAAGTCATAAATATAAACAGCAGAAAAAAAAGTTAGACTAAAAATTTACTGTATTTTACTAATAACTAATTATCACTATTTATTTTGGGGCAAAATCTTAAGTTTAATATAGATTTTAATTTATTTTATTTTTTTAATTTAATAAAAAAAACTACAAATAAATATTTATATATTAAGTTATAAAATTAATTCTACATACAAAAAAAATTATTAATAGTTATTTAAATAATTCACATTGAATCTTTTTTTAGATAAAATCAAATAAATTAAAATTTGTGTTTTTAGTAACAAATATATTATAAATGATTAAATATTTATTGATTTATATTGAACTTTATAAATTAACTTATAATACTAAGTATATGGATTTATAATGAATTTATTTAGTAATTAACTACAATATATAATATCTAAAATATAGTATTTTATCTAGATTTAATTATTATTTTAATTTTTAATTAAATAATCATTAATAATAATGGCAATAGATTTTTTTTATTATTATTAATATTAATGTAATTATATTAATTAGGTATGCTTAACCTGTATTATTATTTCGCTTAATAATATTATCAAATAGTATTTTGCTATATTATAAATATTTAAATATACTAATAATAAAATATAGACTATTATAATAAATATTAATAGATGATAAAATAATGTATTTAATACAATTTTATATAGACAAACACTAATGATGAAAATAATAAAAGAAACTTTTTAGTATAATTAGCTAATATATGTATAACATTAAACCTGTTATAAATTTTTTTTAAAAAATAAACAACATAATTTTAAAAAATTGATAAAATGTATTAATTTTTTTTGTTATTATATCATTAGAAACTTATTTTTTTAGTATAACATATTTACAATTGTATGACATCCCAGTGCACGCTTTATGTGTGTGTGTGAATTTGTATGTATGTTTAAGGTTAAATAATATGCAAATGATGATTACTTAATGTATAGATTGTTAGCTAAAAGTAGTTATATAATGTAATTGTATTGTCAAATGTGTAGATAACAAGATAATAACAAATATGTTTTTTCTAAAGACTAATGATAACAAATATATTGAATATATAAAGTTTTTTAATTTAATTAAATAAATAAATCCATTTAAATTAAATTTAAATTATTCTAATAAAAATTTTTAAAAATTCATAAAATTTATATTATTGATATATTAATACTAATTAATAAAAAAATATTTAGTCTTAAATTTAAATATTTGCATATTATACATTCATATTTTTGTATGTACAGTATAATATGTGAATATTAAATGAATATATCTTATTTAATTTTTTTTATTAAATTAATATTTTTAATCAATTTTCTGAATATTAAATAATTTTTTATAATATGAAAAAATATATAAAAATGTATTTATTTAATATTATTTTTTTTTATAATATTTATATGCATTATTTAGAAATAAAAAAGTAAGTAAACATATAGTGAGAGTGAAAGATAATAAAACGATATAAAAATGTCAATTATATTTTTTCTGTAATTCAATTGGGAGATTAAATTTGTTTTTTAATAATAAAAGTTAAAATAACATTTTTATTACTAACAAATAAAATTTATTAATATTTTATAACTTCTAAGTTTTTATAGTTTTTTTTATTAAAAATTCATATCAACTAAACTAATTAAATAATATTTATATTAATTTGCATTGCATACATCAATTAGATGATATTATTGATATAATTTAATTTATAATTTCTATGAAAAATATTATATATATATATATATATATATATATCTTATTAATAATATTTTGTACAGTACATTATAAGTAAATTTTGATATATTGAACTATAGTAATAATAATATAGTAATAGTAATAGTGTATAAAATCAAATTATATATTGAATTTTGTTATATGACTATATAATATATATCAAAATTGCAAGTTTTCATATAAACATTACTGTATTAAAAATATAGTATGTGAATAGTGGTATTATACAGCATCAAGTATACAGATTTCATATAAAATTTATATTAATAATATAATGTATTTTAAATTTAATATACTACCATAATACTAATATTTTAAGTTATACTCTGTTCAATAAACTTTATATATATTTTTAATATTATGGATATATTCAAGAGAGTAAAAAATCTATTGATTTATTTACTTTATTATATATATATTACTACTGTATGTATATGTATATAGATATGTGTGTAGTAAGACATACAAAAATATTTTAAATCGATAGTCGTGATGTTTTCATATATATATATATATATATATATATATATATATATATATATAGTATATATATGTTTTTAATATTATATATTGGATATTGTATATACAGTTAATATATATATATATATATATTCTTAAAACCTTTATATCTTTAAACCTTTATTTAACTTGTTTTGTGGGCCAAATGGATAGAGATTTTATTTAAATCAATTTAAAGCAAATTGAATTTGAATGAATAGCTCGAGTCATATATTATATTCACTAATACTGGCGTATATGGCGTGGAAAGGGAATAAAACAAACTGTGTTTATATATATATATATATATACCGTATATATGCTATATATCTTATATATTTATGTTTGTATATATACTGTATGTTATAACTTAGTTAATGGAGAATAGGATTTCATGACTACTATAACTATTATTATATTACTAGAGATATAATATGCGAATCGTACGCTATTTTAACGGACAATCAATAAAATATTAATGTATTTTTGGCTAAACATTTTACTATTGTATAAAATAGTAGTATTTATAGTAGTAGTAGTAGTAGTAGTCATAATAATAATAATATCAGTAGTAATAGTAATTGTTATATTACAATGATATCACTAATCTAGTCTTACAGTAGTATAATATATGATATAACTAATTGTTGTCTTTAATGTCTTTAATAAAATTGAAATAAAAATTATATACAGTATACTAATAAAAATGCATACATTGTATACTGTATTAAATTGTATACACTATGTTAATAATAATAATAAAGATTTTTATCACAAACAAAGTTAAATTGTATGTATCATATGTATTGTAAATACTGTATAATAGTAATAGTGAATGAATGGCAAAATTTAATTTTTTTTAACAAACATTCAAATAGTTTGATGGATTAAATTTTAAAGAAAAACCTTATTTTAACTTTTCAATTTTTATCTGATAAATATTGTTCACTGTTTATACTGTATATATATTAACTACAGTATATATTATATCAATTTATGCTATTAAATGAAAAATGAGGTCAACAAAAAATTTGCAGATTTTTTACTCTCTCTTTCTCTCTCTCTCTCTCTTTCTCTCTCTCTCTCTCTCTCTCTCTCTCTCTCTCTCTCTCTCTCTCTCTCTCTCTCTCTCTCTCTCTCTCTCTCTCTCTCTCTCTCTCTCAATCACTCACTTTACACTAAAATAATGTTTGTTTGAGAGGTTTTATACGTTACATAAGAGTCTCCAACACACTGGAGAAGTCTTCAGATGCCACAAATTATTTAATAAATGTGTTTTTATTTATTTAATAATAATAATACTCTATTGAAAACTCCAGTATATTATTTAGTATTTATAATATTATATATTTATGTATTATGTAATATATTATATATATATATATATATATCTATATCTATAATATGTAGTTAATAAATTGTATACAAAACACAATACATTACAGTAAAATAAACTCACAATTGTATAAAATATTTAGGAATATTCTGTATGTATTTTTTGGACACTGGAGTTAAGCTTAAATATCTTTTCACAATTCAATTTTTATATATTATATTGTATATAATAATAATGATAAACATTATATTACTGTATATTTTTACTTTAGTACTACATTTTAGTGCATTAAATTTGATTTCTCTCTCTCTCTCTCTCTCTCTTTCTTTTTCCATTCAATTTGAAAACATTGTGTTTCAACTGAAACTAACAATAGATTAGTGAATAAATAGTAAATGGTTTCAAAAAAATATATAAAAAAAACTATTTGCACCCCTTTTTCAATATTACTCACTCACTCTTTTCAATTACTTATTTAAACTTTGAAATCTCTCTCTCTTTCTTTCTTTCTCTCTCTCTCTCCCACTTCACGCCATTAAATTAACTCCACCTAAATGTATGATCCATATAGATGTATAATATGTCTAATATATTTTAAAGTAAAAAGTATAGTAGATTTTTATATAGCAAAAATGTCACTATGTTTTCAAATGGAAACTTTATATAAATGTACTGTAGTTTTGTTAATACTGTATTATACTGTTGTGTATATCCAAAAAAGCCCGTCAACTCACTCAAGCTGAGGGAGTTGTTGTACAACAGTAACAAAAAAAATAGAGGCTTTAATGCCAGTCATTTGGCAATTGTATTGAAAGAAAGAGAGAGAGAGAGATATGTGAGACAAATAGTTTGCTTACAATGTTTAGGGTGTGAATAATACGGCACTACTCAATACATTTGCCGTTATATTTATTGTAAAATATTATATATATATATATAACTCATAAATTAAATTCTTTCAATTTTTTTTCTTCAAAACATTTTCACTATTGATGTTAAGATTAAATTTTTAATGCAAAATCCACAGTACAGGCAACCTAAGCCTTCATATTCTACTACTGTATTGATCTATAATATATATACAGTATATATACTGTATATAAGTTATAACTGTGTGTGTCTTTTAAAATAAATATTATGTACACTCAGAGACATATATATATTATATATATATAGTACTGTATATATATATATATCTAATATTCCTAAAAAATTTCGTGATATTTTGAAATGTTTTTTCTTGAATTAAAGTTATAAAAAGAATTTTATACTTTTTTTTATTTATTTTTCAATATATTTGTTTTACTGTCAAGTATTACAACGACAACAACTACGAGTGGAAAATGTATTTATGATATATTTTTTTGCAACACAAAAAATAAGGTTAGGTTTGAATTTTTTTTAGACTTTTGTTAGAATGAATCAAATAATATATATATACTATGTTTACTCAAAAAACAGTATAACTTATATTTTTTATATAACATTTAAAGAAAATCATGTATTGTATTGTATTCTCTCAAATTATAACATAAATTTTTATGGCAATTTTTTATATACATGTTTTTATGATATATACTATATATATATTGTAGGATACATATAGTAAACGATACATATATGCATAATATTATAATACACCAAAAATCATTTATCTCTATTACTTTCACTAAAATAGATATTTAAGAATAATATTATTTATATATTTTAAATATAAAATTTATATGTATTATACAATATATTGCATAAACATACGAGAAATCTTATTATTTTATTATTTAACTGAAAAATTTTCTGTTTACTATTCAGCTATCATATGAATAATATTATATTTATATATTATATGATAAAAATATATGAGTTTATTCCCCAAAAAACAACATAAAAAATATTGAATATCAAATGAGTTGTTTTCAAGATAAGACATATAATGTACACCAACACCACTACAGTTAAACTCATTATTTATAAATTTTCAAATTGATTAGCTATTGTGTACGTTATACTGTATAACTTATACACATATTTTTATTATAAGTTATATATATATATATATAGCATAAATATATATATATGGAAAACGCCTAAAAATGACTATTATTTATAATTAAAAAAATTCTTTAATAAAATATACAAAATACATATCACATAAATTTATTGATTATTTTCAGCACTTATTTTGTTGTCTACATAGTGTGTATAATACAATATTTAAATTATATAAATATGCAAACTTGTTTTGCATATAATCTATAGTTTATTATAGTACAATGAATAGAAAAAAATTACATTATATTTTGTTGTTGTTTTACGTTATGTATTTGCTATGCTATATTAAGCTTAATAAGTGTAATAATATATATATATAATATTTATACAGTATATGATATACTACGATATTTATAGGAATTGCATGTAAAAAATATACTCAATTAGTCGTCTAATATGATTAATAATAAATGAGAAATATTTTATGTATTGTACAAAAATAATGTATGTTTATATTGCAATAAACTACTGTATATATTTATAAATTATAATGTGTTTGTATATATATATATTTTAAATTAATTGTGTAAATTATTATATATGAATGACAGATAGATTCATAGATGTTATAATAAATAATACAATAATAATAATAATAATATAAAAGAGACAAAAATAAAATATTAATCGCATATATCACTCACTCTTAAAAGACACATCCGTATCAAACAATACTAAATAATATTATATTAAAATATATAATAACCATCATAATCATCATAATAATCATAATAGTCATAAACGTAATGAAAGCCAAAAATGACAGTAAAATTTTTATATCATTTATTATTATTTTTTAAAAAAAAACATAAACAAAAAATATATATAAATAATAATAACACCATCAATATAATCAGTTTTGTTTTAATGGAAAAACATCATTATTTATTTGATACAGTCATCTATTAAATATATACCAATAGAAATTTATACAGTATTTTTTGTAGACTAAAATTTTTTATATATAATATTATTATATGTATAACATTTCATATATATATCAATAGATAGTCTAGGACAACAATTAATAGACTCGTGTTTTTTATTGTTGTCTAGCTTTAAGTAAACATAGTAGACAGCGCTTAAAAATCAATAACACATTAACAAAATTAGACTAGGTTATTTTTTTATAAATATAATTTATATGCTATAAAATTTTTAATAGTTTTATTATTGTTGTTTATATATGTTTATATATACATAGAAAACTTAACTAACCTGTATAAGCAATGGGTATAAGACATGATAGATATAAAAGATGCAATAGTGTTGATAACATTGAATATGATGTTTATTATGATGTGTATGTGTATGTGTATCTGTATATATATATATATATATAATATATAGTGAAGCAATGTTATATATATATATTTTGCTGGAAGATAACTGACCACTCAATTCAGTTTAACTACTGTTACCGCATCAGTATATACAGTATATATTGTATATATGCCATATAATCGTTGAGTGATTAGAACCACTAAAAGATATCAATCAATTATAAAACATACACACATTTATTTATATAGTGAGATATATATATATAATATATATGCAATAATAGTGCATTAACAACAACAACAACAAAATGAGACAATCTTTTGAATTAATGTCAACAACAAAACAATCGATTAATACATAACATCACAGAATTTGATTAAATTATTATTTTTTTGTGAGATTATTATTATTTAATTTTTCTTATTTGTACATAAAATTTATTTGTTGTCAGCGATACATTTTGAATATAATAATTTATATTCTAATATTTTATTTTAATAAATATAAATATTTGACTAACTTGTAAATAGATATATTTTATAAATAAAAAATATTAATTCCATATATTATACATTGTATTTTATTTGTATATGAATTTTATTATTATTATATTTACTTAATTGAAAACTATAAATAAATATTAGCAAAATAATATTTTTATTTGTTACTATTATGAATTAAGTTCAATTGCACGATATTAAATATATGTTACACATTAGTTATTATTATTATTATACATATATATAATTTTATTTTAATGTTATATTAATTAATTTAAATACTGTATATTGGCAGTTTATATAAAATATTATTTTTTAAATGTTATATATATACAATATATCAATATAATTTTAAATTTTAAAATATACTAGAAATTCATACAGTATTATATAATGTATGTCGAAATTTTACAAAAAAAATTAATATACTCTATATAAAATATTTTTTTTTATTTTGTTGTCATTGTTATTATTATTTTAATATTATTATTATTATTATTATTAATACACTAAATAATAATAAACACTTCACTCACTATCTATTTCTCTCTTCTCTCTATTTGTGAGTCTATTTAACGCTTATGAGTATTGTATGAGTAGTAGTAGTAGTGGTAGTCGTCGTTCACTCATTGAAGTTGTCATTCATATGTGAATTCAATTTTTATGTGTGAATACAACACAACACTGACACACACACACTCTCGGCACTTACCAAACGGCACATACACACTCTCTCTCTCTCTCTCTCTCTTAATGTATGTTACATAAGCTAAACCGTCACTATTGGCAACACAATGGGGATGTAGTAAAAACCGACAGTCGCTTTCTCGCTATCTATCTAACTGTGCGCGCGATTAGATCAGTGATTATATTCACGAGAAACGACATGAAAGACAACAACAACAGCAACAATACAGTATATATATATATATATATATATATATAAACACTGGTATAGAGAAAGAGAGAGAGARARAAAGAAAGAAAGAGAGAGTAAATGCAGAAAATCAGATCATACCATGAATTGACATTAATTTGCAATAATAAATAAGTTTATATAATTTACAGTATATCTCGTATAATATATTATACTATGCTTATACTGTATATATATATAATATATTTGATTTATTTTGTTTGTGTTTCTATCAGATTATTATCTATTTTAATAACTAAATCTAAGACAAGTATAATTCAAGCAAACAAAAACAATAATATTCTGCAATATTATCATTATTAGTATTACTATTATTCTGCATTTTATAAATATAATTATAATAGATTTTGTGATTTATTTATGGTTCATAGTTTTGCATTGCTGTCTCTATTGATTTAAATTACAAATGTGAATTGAATTGAATTTTTTTGTTTGTTACTGTATATTAATACAAATGTCAAAAGGTTTCATTGTTTGGTAAATTTTGTCTAAAATTTTATTTATATAGTATATATAGTATACACACTACATATATACACACACACAACATTACATAACACTTTAGTTACAGTATTATATGTTTTTCTAAATACCAGTATAACAAAATTCATCGTACCATTAGATGAAAAGCAATTTTACTTTTCAGTATAACATACAGTAAATAAGGGAATGTAGTTATACAGGAGATAGTGTGTGTATGTGTGCACCACTTGTTCACAGTCAATAAGCAAAATAAAGGCCAAGTATGGTATGACTAAACAGTGACAGTATTCTGACAGTGTGTGTGTGTGTGTGTGTGTGTGTGTGTGTGTGTGTGTGTGTGTGTGTGTGTGTGTGTGTGTGTGTGTGTGTGTGTGTGTGTGTGTGTGTGTGTGTGTGTGTGTGAGTGAGAGAGAGAGAGAGAGAGAGAGAGAGAGAGAGAGAGAGAGAGAGAGAGAGAGARAGAGAGAGAGAGAGAGTCCAAAAAATATGTGTCTCTGATCGTTGAGCGCACACATACACAGCATTACTGTCTAACAAATATATAAACGAAAGAATATTCTACAAAATGAGTGCAAAGAATTGGACACACATTGAGATTTTTGGTAGAGATTATTGATTTTTGCTGTATATGTGTGTCTATGTGTTTAATAATATACATTTGGGAAACTGTATGTCTACTACATGTGTGCTGTGTTTTTCTTTAGGAATAAAGGCTTAATTAAAGCAGCAAAAAAATACAGTATAGTATTAAATATATAAACATCAAAATTCAAATAAAATATAGAAAAAAATTAATTGGATGAATGTTTTTTTCTGTTATTTATACGTAAATCTAATAAGAAATACATAATTTTGAATTTGTTTTACATAACTATAAGCTCTAAAAACTTATTTTGCAAAGTAATACTGTATTTTTTAGTACAATAATGTTTTTAAACTTTAAAACAAAAAATTTGTTGTTAAATATATTTATAAATATATTTTCTTTTTATATAAATTTAATTACTGTGTCTGATGTCTAATAGAATAAATTTTGAAAGACTTTTATTTTTATTTTTTTTTGGATTTAGTGCTTTTTATTTATTTATTTATTTTATTTTATAATGATTTTGTCGGTTAATTATAGTTAGTTTTAGACTTTTAATAGATTTTTTTATTACAAACAAAAGATTAACGTTGAAAGTAATTATAATTTTTTATTAACATTATTATAAATTTAAGATATAATTAATTATTTAACACTATAAAGTTTTGTTTTGTTTTACATAATTGTTTTTTAAAAAAATGAATATTTTCAAATGTTATTATATTGTAAATTATTATTATTATAATTTTTTAAATATAATTTATAATATATATAATAAATTTGATACCAATTATGTTGTGTTTTTATAAAGAAAAATTAACAATTTATAATTAATATTCATGATTTACAATTTATAACTAAATAAAATTAATGAAGATTACGATTAATAATAATTAATAATAAATGTTATACTAATAAATAAAAAGAGACTTATTTTAATAATTTAAAATTAATATTTTATTTTTTATTACTAAATTCTTATAATTGATTTAACATTAAAAATATTATTATTATATGTCTAAATATTACAGCTAAAAATATTTTTTTCTTATTTTAAACTAAAAACAAACAATAGAAAAAACAAAAAATTTATTTTAAAAATCAATTAATTAGAAAACAATTTTCTAAAATAATAAAGTGTCTGTCATTAAACAAATTTAATGAAAAAACATATCATTAATTAAATGTTATTATAATTATTTATTACAAAAATTACTTACAAACATTACAGAGAGAGAGAGAGAGAGAGAGAGAGAGAGAGAGAGAGAGAGAGAGAGAGAGAGAGAGAGAGAGAGAGAGAGAGGGATATGTTAATATGAATTTAATATTATATAATATAATTTATTTTCAAAAAATTTATTATATAACAATGATATACAATAAAATAAATTATATAATCAAACGCAATTTTTTGACAAATAAGTTTAATTTTTTAAAATATTAAAAAGAAAATAAATTATAAGTTACAAATTTTAGGAAAAGATAGATTAATATATAGTTTATTTTATTATTTTATTGTCATTCATATTGTAATTGATTATTTTATTTATAAATAAATTATAATTTGTGTCTTATGTATTTGTGTGTCAAGAAAAAAAAAATATTATAATAAAATAAATGATTTTATTAGTTTCTCAATTTGTCATTTATGTAAATTGTTGTAAATGTCATAATTATATTTAAGCTATTGTTGTTAAATTATTTAAAGATACAACACATAAAAATAAAATACAAGTTAAGAAAATAAAGCTATTTTCAAATATACAGCATTTTTTTAGTAATCACATCGTTATCAATAATATAATACTTTTCATATTCATTTCATTAAAAAAACAACATTATACAGTGGTATTAAGATAATAATAATAATAATAATGTTTTTCAATTTTTTTGGATGCTTTCCAATATTGATTACATTATATTTATAAATATAGTGACGATTAGAGAAAGAGAGAGAGAGAGATAGAGAGTCCATAATATACTGTTTGTCTTCAACTACATCCCTAACATAGAGTGTAAACTCTATGAGAAAAAAAAACTTTTTATATTTAATTATTTATCTGATTTTCAAAAGACTGGTTGGATAGAGATTATAGGCGACACTTCTGAGACTATTGCGATACCAGCGCTCTTTATCTTCATTAGATTTGTCGTCACTTTTGTTGTCGTCTTTGTTTTTTCTGCGTGACTCGGATGAAGCTAACGGTTCCCAACGAAAAGTAAACGGTATACCAATAGTACTTTCCGGTCTCGGTTTGCGACCGGTTATTGAACGACTTTTTCTAAGAGCACTATCGCTCGGAGCGGTCATCGGTCGTCCCGATGTAGTGAATGACTCCGAGTGTCTGAGACCTGGTTTTGGCGAATCGGTGTCCGAACGACGCGACGAACTCGACGATCGGCCGCTCATCGATGACGACAACGAATCCCAAGAGTTTTGCGATACAAACTCTGGACGTCGGGACCAAACACTGGAGCGACCGATGAACGCACCGTTGTATCGCATGTCTATGTTGGCTATCTCTTCCGAGTACAGGGATGTGCCGTAATCGTAGTTATAGTTATAGATGTGATTGTATGGCCGTTTCCATACTTTAGGTGCTGAGACTCGAGACATATTGATTATTAAAGAGAGACAGAGAGAGAGAGAGAGGGGGAACGACAGGTCACACAAACATTTGATAAACAACACGAGTTTTTTCAATAATACTGTCAATAGTTATTTTTGAGAGATAAACAAACTTTAACTTAAAAAATCGTTTTTTATTTCTTATAATTTTTATTCACTTTATATATATATATATATATATAAATATAAAATTCTTGAGTTTGACTATATCTACAACAACAACAACAAAATTTATCTTTTAAATTAATATTTAATTTTTTTGTAGCAAAAGTTTTATCTCTACAATACTCTTTTTTTAGTGGCATCGACTAACCAGTTTTGTCACTAATGTGTCTGTCCCTGATGTCACCTTTTCCTTTAGTGTCGGTCCTAAAAGTCGCGCAAAATCTTATACGAAAATTTTTTATACTTAAATATATATATATTGTACCACTATATGTAAAAACTAATAGATTTTCAAAATTATTTTGTCATTTCAGTTTTAATACATATAAGTAGTGCCAAAAACACTACACAGTGTGTGTGTGTTGTGTGTGTGTTATGTGTGTGTCTTAAATTAAATCCACTGACTTTTATCCATATTATATATTTATATAACTATTTATAAACTAAGTGCTGATTTATAGCAAGTCGGCTAAAAATATAGTATCAACTTAACTATCATATGTTTGTTGCTATTTTCAACTATTTTTGTTGTCAACTATACTACTATATGGTTGAAAAGATTTTTATTTTTAAAAGTATAATTTATTGATTGAATTTTTTTAAGTTAAAGAAAAAAAAGTCAAAGTTCTCGGAAATACAGTTTATTAATAATTATTTATTTAAATTTTTTTGTTATGTTTTTTTTAATTTTAAAAGTTTATATGAAATTTTTCAATTTTTAGTAAAACTCACAAATAAATTATAGTTAATTTATATTTAATTAAATTTTTATATTATTATTATACTATTTTCTGTTTTAGTTTTAGAAAATTTTTAGTTTTTTTGCTGACTTTGCTTAACTATAAATTTTTATTTCTGTTAATTATGAGCCAACATTTTACAAATAGACATTTAATACTGTATAATAAATACATTACTAATAGAATTGTTATTGTTAAAATTAAATTAAATGTAAAGTGTCAAATATATATATATAATTTATATATATATATATATATATTTATATATATTAATGTCAAACATGTTTGGTATGTCTTTTATTGAATAAATTAAAATTGACATAAAATTTATTTTTGTTGTTATTTTCATAGTGTTGTGTTGTATTCCAGAAACTAATTTAATTTATTAAAATTCTTTCTACAAAACTATAGTAACAATTGCCTCAACAAAAGATAATTCAATTTTTAAATAATAATAATAATAATAATAATAATAATAATAATACACATCGTATAGTAATATTTATTAGTTGAAAAATATTTGCTTAATGTGCATAAATAACAAGAATTTTTAGTTTTATTTTTAAGAAATATTTATTTATTTATTTTTTATTATTCTCTACTTTATAAATAATTAACATTAATAATTTAATAAATTAACATACTAGATATATATATATATATATCATAATAGTTAAATAGTTAGCTAACAAACCTTGTGATTATTATTATTATTATTATTATTATTAGTGTTCATTGGGTACATGATTAACAAAATTAGATAAAATTTTTGGTTTATAAATTACAAAATTCATAAAAATTTTGTAATATAAATTTAAAACTGATTTATGTTATATCATTTTTAAATTATAATAATAATAATAATAATAATAATACTATATTACAAGAATATTATTAATTATATATATAAATATACATAAATCCTAATTATTAACGGCCGGTGGTGATGATGGTCGTGGCAGTGTCGATAAAAAGCTAACTGTTCCCTTTGCCAAACTTGTTTTTGACTGTTTTACACACAAATCATTTTTTACAATTATTAAATAATTGATTTAGTTATTTATTTTTTTGCTTTTCATTATTATTATTAATCAATTTGCTTTTTTTTAATCAATTAAATTGTTTTTAACTGCAGCTGCATCATCATCATTAATAATAGCTTTAAAAATAAAGCGATACTTTTATTTGCATTTTTTGTTGTTGTTGAACAGTTTGTCCATACATTTATATTTTTTATAGTTTTTTTGCAATTAAATTTATTTATATAGTAAGCATTTGAAGCATATTGACAAAATTTAAATCAATTTTTTAAAAATTAAAAAATACTGTTTCTACTAAAATCTATCGACATATTTAGTAATTTTATTATTTCTATATATATAAAATTGAAAATTAATTTAACAAATCCTATACAGTATATAGTAATAATTATTTATTATATAATTAAAAAAATATTTTTAATTATATATATATTTAATTTGTTTTAATTAATATAAGTTATAATGAATAACGCGATTACCAATATTTTTTAAACATTTTATTTTACGATATGGGAAGTTGAAAATAAATTAATATATATTTTAAAACTATTATAATAACTTTTTAATAAATATTGTAATATTTTAATTAATATTAATAAATTAATATTAAATTATTAATTAATTAAATAATTAATAAATATATATAAATTAATATTTAATAAATTATTTATTTATATAACAATCAACCCGTATAATTGAATAATAATATGTCATATTATAATTATGATAAATTTTGGTAACTTTACAAATTTTAGGATATTTTTCGAGTGTAATTCTATCTCATAAAACAATTTCTAAATTAATATAATATTTAAAAATGTTTCAATACTTTTTTTAAGATAAATATTTAACATTACTGTATATAATAATAAAATAAATCTCTATTTTTAAGCTAAAAATAAATATTAACGTTATTAATATTAATAGATTCCGTAAGCAATAGCTTGGCTTTATTTAGGGCTAAATAAATTTTTTTAATAATTATAATTATCTTATTATTATTTTAAATAATAATTAGCGACACAATGTGTGTGTGTGTGTGTGTGTGTGTGTGTGAGCACCGGTAGCTTTGGTTTTTGCTTTTTGTTTGTTTAAACAGCTATATATCGGGCACTTTAAATGAATACCTTCTCCAAAGCAGTCCTAATATCGTCGACTTCATTGCTTAAGTTTTGGCACTTTTTCTGACTGATAGTCAAAGTCTCGCTGATGTCGGTGTAGTGTCTCTGCGATGCCTCCAATTCAAGTGTCAGATCCTGTGCCAGAATATTCAGTATATATTTATAGATATATAGATATAATATTTTTTGGATTTAGTAAAAGCAATAGTAATAATATTAATATTAATAATAATAATAATATAAGAAAATAATAATTGATTTAAAAAACCCCAATAAGTTTGGCCTGTTTTTTGGTCATCTTCTGGAGGTCCTGTATTTGTCTGTCCTGATCGTCAATAGTAAGCAATAGGTCGGTGACCTCATTGGACAACTTAGTCTTGATTTGATTGCTTTCATTACGCACTTTATCCTCAGTTTCAGACAATTGATGTACCAATGAGTCGATCTGTGTTTGCAATTCGCGGCTATTAAAACAAAAAATAAAACTATTGATACTTATACTACATATTTGAATATTTTATTTGTGAAAAAATATTTTTTTTAAGTATATCATTTATAAATATTAATTTAAGTTTTTAAATTCATCCTACTAGTTTTATATTTATTTTATGATTAAAAAAATCTATTAAATATATATATTATTTGAAGCTGTTATCTAATTATTAAACTAAAATAGATTTTTAATATTTATTAACTAAATTGCTAATTCAATACATATTTAGGCTAATTGAAGAAAATAATATATGACACTAATTTATTTTGTTAGACAAAAAAAAACAATAATAATTTAAACATTTAAAACAATGTCTGTATGACATTGATTAAAATTGACGACTCGTTTTTTTTCCTATAGTTTAAGAGTTAAAAATAAACCAAACAATTACTTGAGTTTAAGGAAAAGTAGATTAGATATAAGTTAGTAGTGTTTAAAAAAATAAAATAAAATAAAAGGCTTTTTATATTCAACCAACATGTGTTTGATAGTTTGTTTTACTATTTAGGATAAGCCTAAATACGTACAGTTAGTTAGTTTGTGTTTACTATACTTGTATACATGATATTCAATATTATTGAACATTTAGTTTAGAGTTAAATTAAACAACAAAGAAAAAGAAAGAAATTTTTTTATTTGATTTTTTGTTTGTTTGAATGTTTGCCAAACAAACCTAAGAATTCAATTAAATATTTTGTATATATTTTTTCTGTATTAATGCAATATTATATGCTATAAATGATCTGCTATTAGATTATATAGTATTAAATATATAAATTATAGTTTTTTTTTAAAATCTACTGTATATATATACATATATATAGGACATACCATTTTTCTGACCAAAATGACTGATTGTGATGTCCAGTATCTCTACTAAGCAACGACTCTTCATAGGGTGTCGACGGTATGACAATACCGGACGACATAATGCCAATAGTGCTTTCCGGGCGCCGGCGACGGGTTGTCGATCGACTGCGACGAAGTTCCGCACTCTCCGAGTTCATACTGACCATAGCTCGGGCGTAATTGTCGAAAGACTCCGAGTGCTGCAATCGACGGGATGAGCTCTCTTCAGCAACAGTGGCAGTGGTTGCAGTTGTCTTAGCTCGAGTCGAGCTTAACGATCGATATCTATCGCTGAGCAACAAATCGTTTACCGCATCCGTCGAAGCGGACGTTCGCAGTGCCCGACGGGCCGACTCGCCAGTCAGTTGGCTGTCCAAAAATGAGGACAAATTGAGATCCGGACGGTCCGACCGAAATGTAGTTTTGGCCAGAGCTTCGTTGTATTTGCGCTCAATGCTAGATATTTCGGTCGAGTATAGACTACTACCATATTTGTAATTATGATTATAAATACTAGTATACGGACGCTTCCATATACGCGGTGCAGTATATTTAGATGGCATATCCACCACAACTACTATTATTATTATTCAATATAAACTTTAAACGTAAACTTAGACACACTGTATATATATATAAATATATAAAAATTTCTTTGATCTCGTGTTATGTATGGTGTAACAGATGTATTGTATTTGTTAATTAAGTTTCAGTTTACATACACACAAACACTACAATATATATTTCACTGAACACTTGTAAGAGTACACACAACAACAAAAAAATATTTCAATAATTTACACGCAATTTTGAATACATTTGGTGGCAATTTATACAACAAAATAAAAAGTTTTTTTATATTATTATTATTCTGCCGACAATTTATTCGTATAGTCGTGTAGTTTGCAATTGTGTGATGTGTGTGATGTGTGTGTGTGTTGTAGAAGATAATAAATGAAATGAAAAAATACCTGATTTTGTTAGGTTATCATATAATAGATTTTATTATATAAAAAATACTTTTTCTCGTATTTTCAAACAGGCATTCAAATGAAAAAATATAACTCAAAAAAATATTTTCAAGTCTCTGTCTGTTTGTCTGTAATATCTCTCTCATTTGATTAGTGGTATATTTGATGTCAAAATGATGTCAAACGCCATATATATCGCTATCTCCATAACATTAGCATCTCATTAGTAGTAGTAGTAGTAGTAGTAGTAGTATTGGTGGCACTTATGTGTCGCGCAAAATCTTTGAGAGAAAAAACTTTCTTTTTTTTAATTTCTAATACTATTTTTTATAAATATAAATGATTTGAAAAAGTGAATACCAGTGCCAACAGAGAGAGAGAGAGAGAGAGAGAGAGAGAGAAAGAAAAAATTTTTGTTAAAGAATTTTATTGGAGGGTTTACTGGAGACTTATTTTTAGTTGCATTGCTTACCAGTCAAGTATCAGTTGTAAAAGTACTGTATTTGTCTCACAAATAATATATATATATATATTGTTTTCAATTTTGATTTTGTCAAACCATTATACGATTACTTTTACTGAAACAATTAATACACAACTGATTTTTTTTGTGCTGACATTTGCACTGTTAATGATATGTATTTCTAATGTATTGTATTAACAAAATAAATGTAATATTGATTTTTATATATATATAGTATTTATACAGTATTTGCTAATTATAGCACGTTTTTATTAGACAATTACTACTTAATATTGATTGTGTGAAAGAAAAAAGCAAAAAATACAAACAAATTATTATAATTGAAAAGTTGTTTTGTTGTTAATTAACACAAATTCAATTCAATTAATGTAAAAAAATAAATATTCAAATTAAATTAAGTGATAGTAGTGAAAAATTAATATTATGCATCTACTAAAATATTTTTCAATTATAATATAGTAAACAGATATTCATAAAAAACAAACTAAAATTTCTACATATATTGATTAAAATTTTAAATTAATTTATAAAATGTCAAAAATAAAAACATTTGTGTGTTGAATTTTTTGTTGTTGTTATAATTTCTCAATCTACAAATTTATACAAACATTTATATTGTTTATCTATTAAAAAAATATTTCAAGTATTGATTTTTCTTTATTTAATATGCAGTATATATTTATTTATTCTCCAGAATAATGATCTGATGGCATAAATGCATAACTTAAACACAAACACAATAATAGATTAGTTATACAACAAATACAATATTCTCTAATATAATACTCTATTAGTTATTTAAGAATATTCTGTGCCTTTTGCCAAACAAATGTTAACAAAAATTTTTCACATTATTGGCAGATATATTATATACATTAATAACATGCAGATATGGTTACTGTATTACATCTCTCTCTCTCTCTTTCTCTCTCTCTCTCTCTCTCTCTCTCTCTCTATCTGTACTGACCCAATACATGCATTATTACCAATTGTTAGACATGACTTATCATTATTGTTATTATTGTTGTTGTTATTATTATTATATTTTATTTCTGATTTTTTTTGGGTAGTTTTGATTTACAATACTAAACCATAAAATCTATTTTCAGTGCAATCATTATATTGATGCTTAGTCTGTAGCTTAGCAAACATATAATACAATATACAGTAAATACTATACATATATACAGTATATATATATACCACATCTAAGTAAATATTATATTTGAATTTATTGTAACTGGATATATACAGAGTATTTATACATATAAATATTTATATATACAATATATACTAATGACAAATAGATTTAAATATTAATATAAATATATGTAGAAAAAAATCAGCTTTAATGTAGCCTTAAAGCCAACAATTTGTAAAAAATGTTGATTTAAAATCACAAAAAATATATTACATAAAATGTTTTAATTCCTAATTATGCCTTATAGTCAAATGAATATTTGAATAAATAATATAAACTATATAAAAAAAATTGTCAACTAAAACATGTAAAACATGTCATACATATTGTTATTATATTTTTTTAAAAAAATGTTTTACGTGGAAAAATAATAAGAATATTAAATTTCTATAAATGTAGATTTAATATTAATATAAAATTATTATTATTATAGATATTTATAATAATTTGTATGAATAAACAATTTGATTATCATCTGACACATAAAACTTCAAAATAATATACATATAATATTTACCATGTGCTTTATATACTAGAAAATATAAGTTTTACAACAATATAAATGATTTATAACATGTGAGAAAAATATTATATAATGTAATAATTATGTAAAAACTATTTTTTATAACAATCCGTGTGGTTTATAATACAGATATTTTTTAACCACAAACATAATTATACTATAAATACTATATATCTACTATATTATATATTATATATTATACTATATATATTATAAATATATATATATATATATATATAGAGAGAGAGAGAGAGAGAGAGAGATGCTTACAATTTATAAATGATGTTAAAATAAATTTGTGACAATTTATATAAGCGCATAAATTATATATGACTTTTTAAAAAAAAAAATAATTGTTTAATAAATTAATTATGGCAAACTATGATTCCTAGTTAATATGTTAATAATAACAATGATAAAATTATAATTAAAAATATTAGTAATATATTTTATGCAAATAAATTTTAATTTAAATACTACTGCAATTTGTAGTTTTGAAAATAAAACAAAAAAAATATACAAAATTTTATGATTAAAAAATTTATGTATGTATTTTTTATAGTCTGTAAAAAAACACTTATTAACCAGTTTTTCTATATATTGGGTTAACATTACTAATAAATAATCTATGGTTTTGTATGACATCGTATTGAGATTTATTTCAGTAGGTATTGGTTGAGAGACTTGAAATCTACAGTACAGTACAGTATTTGTATTGTACTCTACTGTATATATAACTAATAAATAGTTAGGTTTTTATTTTCTTGTTGTTTTTGTTTCATTGATGTCTATAAAATTCATGTCACAAAAAGCAATAAACTGTTATTGAATTTATATCCAGACATAAATCATAAATACTGGAGAATACAATAAAAATATGTCGTTTATATTTATATATTTCTATACAGTATAATACTGTATAAAATAAAAGGTAAAATACTGTATTTTGTATCATAAAATAAAATCTTCAAAAAAAGCAGTACCGGTTTAATTTTATTAGTTTTATATGAATTCATATAAATAAGTGTAAAAAATTATACATAAATATTATATTATTGAATTAAATATTATTTTTTAAAAAAATATATATCAATTAATTCTAAATAAACATTTAGTAATCTATTAGTGTTAACAACCAAACTGTGCTAATGATTTTAAATATGAAAATATTAACTCAATTATTAACTTAACAAACATACTAATTACTAAAACGTGAATTAAACTTAATGATAGATATTTATATAAAGTATTTTTTAATTATTTAAAAAAAATAATCTATTATATACTACTGTATTTTGATAATGATTTGACATATAATTTGCATACATATTCATTATTATGTATTATTATATACAGTAAGATAGATAGCTTTATACAGGTATATACTGTATATATCAACAAATTTATATACAGTATAGTAATGTATTATAATGTATGTATAATTTTAGTATTATAAAAAACAGTAATGACACCTATAGTTTGTAAATATGATAAAACTATCTACTTTTTTAATACCAAATATTATTGTTAGTTATAGACAGTGAAATAAATTGTATGACTTTTTTATTTTAGTAAATATAAATGAAACAACTTTATATTTTTTCTAAGATTGAGTTAAACTTAAAAAAATACAATTAACTTAATAAAAACTTTGGATATAAATTAGATTTACTAAAAATACATTTTTTACATTAATATATTGTTTTCTCAAATCGATAAAAAATATATTTTTTATGCTATACCAGTCAAACATATATCATATGTTTTACTAATAACATTAAAAAAAGATAACTTAATAATAAATAGATAAAAAAAGACAATATCAAATTATAAATTAAATTTTATACTAATAATAATACATCAATGTTATCATTGTCAATAATCTATAATAATAATAATAATAATAATAATCAATAAAAATTTCATCAAATAAAAACAAATATAATTAACTATATATTATAAGATAATAATCTTAGCCAAAGTTTCTCCATTGATTCAAATTTATATGAGGTATTTCAGTGCACTTTATTATTGGATTACTATTGCGAAAAAACAATTTTTCAAAAAATAAATAAATAATTAATAATAAATAATATTTTTTTTTATTTTATCAAATAGTCATACCTATTGCTCGGCATCAATAAGGCTAGCGATTGGAAATAGCGGACACTATCGCCATTGGCGCAGATTATGGACGCTAAGCTAACTTTCCTTATCTGATATAATTGAGCTATAATTTTGTGTGTCATTTACATATTATATATATAAAAAATTTTATATAAATAGATCGGGTGTGTCAGCAATATATAAATAGATAATAAATAAATATAATCATAGGTTTAGTGATAAATTGTCAATTGTTTGGACAGTTAGCTATAATTTATATAATTATCAATTGTTACCTGAAGTAAATGAATGTCTTAATCCATAATTTTCAAACCAAAAACGGTCGCCCTCTGGAGATAACAATTTTATTATTATAATTAAATTTTACTAATTTTTTTTTCTCAAAAACCAATGAACCAAACCTTTAGTCCGACGAAACTGTTCGGCAACAATACAGGTAAATACCGGACCCATTATGCCGTCTTTGACTGGCCTTTCGTGAATGCCACCCATATATAGATCTATATCGTCGACCGATCGGTACATTTTGGCGAACAAGTCTACCGCTCCCGCAAACCGAAACACTTCTTTCAGGTCATCAAAACTGGTAATTTTCGGCAGACCACAAATCTCCCGGTACCTGACGTACGGTTGGAGACCGTGATCGCGACCCCTCTGTATGTTAATAGCTATGAGATCGCCGCCAAACGTAAAATTAGGCGATGGAAACAATTGGTGTTTGATTTCATCGACAAAAATCGGGTCAAAGTCCTGTGACGGCTGCACCGCTGTACCGTAGATGACCTCATCGACAGCACCGACCCTATACATTGGTGTCGGATCGTTGAATATATTTCGCAACACATGATGTCCTGTATATACACCGTTGGCGTTCATCAAATGATATGAATTCTGTGTAATTGTTTAAGAGTGTTAAGGTATTTTCAAATTAACTACCGGTGCTTAAACTACTGTCCAACACTACCTGAACCAATGTATGCCATCTAAAGGCAGCGGTAGCAAATTCGTTGATAATACCCAGATTAGTGTCGACATTATACTTGTTAGAAAAGCCTGACGAACTCGGGAATAGCTTAAAGTTTTTCATTGTGTTCCGACCTAAACATAATAGTCCATTAATTACAGTAAATAATCATTGGCTTATCACTTGATAGGAGGATAGCCTAACCCATACCAATAGCTAGCGGTAGAAATTCATTATAAGTTATCCATTGAAGTTGTGCGCCAATTATGCGACGACTTTCCTGAAACAATGTCTCATCCGTCCACTCTTTTCAACCATTTTTTCAATACAAATGAAAACATCATAATTAGTGTCATTAGTAAAATAAAAAATGTTAGAAATGATACCCGGGTTTAATAGCCTAAGTTTGCCAGCTATACGATTATGCTCTCTATAAATAATAGGTCAATTAAAATGACAGTTAGTTATATTGTGTTTTATAGCACAGGTATTATATTTATAGATATTAATGATAGATTAAACTATTATTAGTATACCTTAAAAATAATAGATGCAATACTGTTAAACCAAATTGTTGATTCACTCGGATATCACCTATTATGTTTTTAGATAGAAAAAAATATCAATTTTTTACTAAAATATAATTTTCAATTATTAATTAAAATTTATGTTAATGTCATATTTATCAGACCGGCATAAATACAATGATGACCTCCAGAAGCGGCACAAACAACTGACAACTGTTTGTCTTTATCTGACGGCAAAAATTCCCGTCCATTGATTATCTGTGTCTTTAGTTTACCTGATAATTAAAATTTAAATATAAATATATATATAAGCAAGGTTGATTGATAGGTAAGATTGATTGACATTAAGTAAATTAATACCGTCAATATATGACCGGACAAACTTGACCCGTTCCCCATTACTGCCATATATATGTGATCCATCAATAGCGTGAGTGACGGCACCGGCCTGTTCTCGTGGACCCAATACACAGGCCGTATTGGGTGCTGGTATGCTTCGGACAAAATTATTACACGAATGGTTATATCGACTATAAAAAGGATCGTTAGATAATATCATTATCGGTCTACAGGCCGGATGTTGTATCAGTTGGCCGTCATCTGTGTTCTCACAACACGACAGCCCTTCTCCACTGTCGGCTGAAGATTAAAAATTAATTTTTTAAAGTTTTATTTTATTAATAATAGTCATACTTCTAGTGCTGAGTCCAAGAGTCATGTCGTGATCTATAAACTAATGTTTTACAGCTTTATTTGATTGTTTGCAAATTTTTTTATTTAAAATATTGTAAAACTATTTTAACATACCTGTCCAAACTGTAGAAATAGTGCCGACAATTTCGGGTGCTCCACATTGTCGGTCATTGTAAGCTAATAATAATAATAATAATATTTTGTCAATTAAACTTTTATTAACTAATTTATTAATTTACTTACAGTTGTAGATAATTCACGAGCACTGGGAAGATCTGAGCCGTCTATGGCTTTACGGAAAGAGTCGATTCCGTCCGAATATTCGGGTTCAAGTAGACGGACCAGTTGTGTCATTGATCTTTCAAAAAAAGAGGTTATCTATCAGTTAGTTAATTCAAACAATCATACCGTCCCCAAAGTGGATGTTTTAGATTATTGCAACTGCCATCATATGTCCGATATTTCATATGTAGATCGCAATGGGGTTCAACCAAACACCGATCCCGAAGCTGACTATCATTTAGATGATATTGACTGAGAACTGAATGACACTCATGTGGTTCAAGATTAAGTCTATTAATTAAAAATATATATAAATTATTTATATAATAATAATAATAATAATTAAATGAATGCTTACTTTTGAGCCAACGATCTGGACGTCTCCATCAGTAAACAGCCGTCTCTAGTGATGGTCTGCCGGTGCGTGTCGTGACCGCCAAAGAATCCCTGATGAAAACTTTCCATTGTATTGGCTTTCTGGTAGATACCTGGGTTCACACATAACAATTGTAAACAAATTAGTAATTAATTGTTAATTTAGTATTATCTGAGAGGAGAAATGTCTTCAAATACCAGACTTAATGAGATATTTTTCATGCGATAACTGTCTCATCCGTACATCGTTTGCATCATTGATGGCCTCATTGAGTAACTTATTGTCGACATTAACGCTAACTTTCAAACGTTTTGATAGCTTTGGAGGCCTGAGAGTAACTATCGATACAAATCAATCAATCACTAGATTTTAATTAGATTTTTTTTAACGATTTCTTTCAAACAAATAAGTATTTTTCTTATCATTAATACATTCACTAAATTTTGTTTGACGTGATTGACCATCAATTGGAYAACAAGTTCCGGCACTGCCATCACGTTGTCTACATTTATTTATTATCAATTGATCCAGGTCATCGACATACTCGTAAAAACAGTAGGTGCGGGGCATACATGAGCCGTCCAAACCATCACTTGTTTTACAAATACATTTGTCATAACTATTATCTATATATTATTTACAAAAATTATATTATAATATTATTAGTTTTTATCAGTAATTATTTAATTTTCTATGCAGGTACAGTAGCATAATAATAAATATTTATCAATTGACCAAATTGTTTTAATAAAGCTAAAAGGCTAATATAATAAAATTAACATGATTATTTTTAAGTAATTAAAATAATGATTATTGAACATTAAGTATTATTAGAAATAATAATAATAATTGGTGGTAGTAATACTTGTAAAATTAATATAACTAATTTTTAAAAATATTTTTTTAAACTATATTTAAGTTGAATTACAAATTTACAAAATTTTTGTTTGTTAAAATTATTACTTACTTTTAACATAATGGACACAATTTAAAAAAATTATGATTAAAAAGTAATTTATTAATTTTAATTTAGGAAACATTACACAAATTCAGTTTTATTATTTATACTTTCAAAAAATTATGGGTTTGACTAAAAGTTAATGACATATCAATTGACTAAAAATAAAAATAATTAAATAAATATATTCGTAAAATTCACATATAAATTGATTCAAATGGACATATGATATGATAAAATATAAACTTTTATAATTTGTAGATATATACGGGTAGTTATATTATTATTTGTATGTTATTTATAAAATATAATGTTTGTCAATAAAAAAAATATAGCAAATTTTTAAGTTTCTCATAGTAAGTAAAATATTATTTTAAATACACAGTTAATATTATTTTTTATTAGTAAAAATACAGTATTTTGCGTTTAAACTAAAACATCAACATTTTTCGTACACTACTATTTTGTTAATACAGTATTATTATTATTATTAACTTAATAATATAAATTTGCAGCTAATAGTCACTTAAAATATCATATCAAAAAATAAAAGATATTTAGTTTTAAAAAACAAAAATAGTTTAATAATTCAAAATTGAATTCTACTGGAAACAATTTAATTTATTAAAAATATAAATAAAATATTTTTTAACTAAATATTACTATAAAGTATTTAGTAAATGCTATTTACTATTATAGTAAATCACTAAAATAAATTAGTTCAAAAATTTTTTTACTTTGAAATATAATAACATTATTAAATTAGTAAAATTTAATGATTTTATATTTTTTAAAAATATTTTAGTAAACTGTTTAGCTTTCACTTTACATTATAATGTTGTTTCGATTCACTTGTTATATATATATATATTTGCGAAATTTATGCGACTGTTAAATGTAAAAACAATAAAAAATTTAATTTATATTTTATGAAAATTAGCAAATTTCGTATTTTATAGTAAAACAATTAGTACTAATTAAATTATAAATTACATTTTTTTCATATATACTGTATATAGTATACAGTGTRTACAATATACCTGTATTGTTAAGTCAAGTGTTTATTAAAATATAAACATTAAATATTTGTCAATATTTAAGGTCTTAGATATTAGAAATATAATAAAATGTTTTTATTGACAAAATGTTTTTATTTACTTTTTTAATTTTATATTAAAGTTTTGTAGATTTTGTATATCTATATAAGTTAAAATTTTATATTTGATTGTATGTAATTAAATGATAAATAATAATTAATAATTTATGTAATTTTATCATTTTTAAAAATTATATATAAAGTTGTAATTAGATACAGACACAATTTATTTATTTAAACAATAAATTGATATTGTTATATTATTATTATTATATAATTTTTGTTTATTAATTAAATTATAATGAATGCAATTTATTTATAATTAAAACTATAGATGTATTATATTTGTTTCAATTAAAATTTTGCTAATATTTTCTAAACAAATAAAACACTTATTTTTTAGAAAATTTACATATAATGTATTGATAATTAAAAATTTCATAATTATTTCTTTTTAAAAAATTGTGTTTCTATAAATCCAAGTAAATGTTAATATAAAGCAAACAAACAAAATAATTATCTAACAAATGGATGTTATTTTATTATACATATAGTTTTAAATACTCTATAATTATTATATACAGTAGAGATAGATAATATCGTAAGTTGAGTAAAGATTATTTTTAATAGACTATGTATTTTATATTTTAAAACACTAATAATATAACAATTTTTAATTAAATATTATTTTATGTTGAATTTACACACCAAAAGTATTTATATAAAAATTATTAATAATATATTTAACATAATTAACAAATTGATGCTATTTAATAAAAATCTAGTGAACTATACCATGTTAAATATTAATATAACTAATTTTTATAAAAAATAATCTGGATATATGATTAAATATTATATATTAATGAATAATTAAGCAAATAATTAATTAGTAATAGTTTATTTGAACATGATAAAATACCTTATAATGCAAAATAAAAAAAATACTTAAATGTATATTTTTGAAACTCCAGTAGTCTTATATAGAGTCTAAATGAACTATATTTATAAATTTATAATATCAATTTTTTAATTATAATAATAAAGTAGTTAGCAGTTAGACCTAATATTTAAATTAAGTATTTTCTATATATATATATATATAAATCTTTTTTATTATATTGTATTATATTAGCAAATTGTTTACAAATGTTATGTAAATTATAAAGAATTTTTTTTATGTTTACATTAAAAATAATTGACATTACAATAAGATTATATGCCCAACGGTTATATTGAATGTTATAATAAATTTTTATTATATTTATTACTTATAAGTTTATATTAATATTTTACAACACTATACCGGTAGAATAGCTGTCATAATTGTATATCAAAATTAGCATAAATTTTATAATTAAAAATAACATTTACCACATTTATTATCCATGTAGTATTCAAAGTCAAATATTTGTAGATTAGTTTTAATTTATTAAAAAAAGATATTTTATTTTTGTTACATATAAATAAATTCTCGTTGTTAATTTAGCTATAATAATAAAACTATATATATATATTGTATTTAATAAACAAATAAGATATTTTAGAAATAAAAATTAGTTAGCAAAGCATTGTAATTTATTGTTATAACAAATTTCACAATTAACAAATCTGTAACAAAATTATCTTAAACAAAAGTTAATCAACTAAAAATTTTATATTGTTTATCAAATTTATTTATTTTCTATATTATTATATACCAGTCTATTGTAATAATATTTATTGCCTACATTGTATCAAAACTATATTGTTGTCAAAAACTATGTAACTTATATTGAATAATAAAATTATATGACTATTTAATTTATAATTTCTAAAAATATCTGACATTATTTTATTATTATAATAAAAATAATATTTGTTGAATAGAAAGACAAGATTTATTTATTTTTTTCTACTAAATAACAAAACTATAGACTAATAAAAATATCAAATTTAATGTAATGTTATAAAATTGCTGCAAATATATATATATATAGTATTTTTAGAAATTACCTGATATTTTGTTTCTGTATCATAATTATCATAATTAAATTAATGAATCAAATTACAATATCTAATTATTTATAATAATTGCTAGACATTTAGTTGAAAATAAAATTATTAAATTTACCAATTAATACCTGTGTATTTGTAGTTTTATAAATTTAAATTTAATCTTCAATATATTGATATATAAAGATAGACAAATTGTCTGCAATTGGGATTTACTATCTATGATATCGCTTTGATCCTTTAAGTATGTCTAATAAGACAATGTTTATATATATATATACAAAGTATATAAATATATTAGCAAACAATTTATATTAAAATCTACTGTATATATATATATATATATATATATATAAAGTTTAGCTCATATGATCTCAACTAAACAGTCAAACATAAGCCATTGGCACCGGGAGAGAGAGAGAGAGAGAGAGAGAGAGAGAGACTAAACTTGTTAATATATATGCAATTCATAGGCGACACCAAGTTTTGTGTGTTTTTCAGTCTATCTATCGCTCTATTTTTAAAACTAAAAATTTTAAAACCATTGGCGAGACAGAGACAGTTGTTTTATTATTATTATTATTGTTGTAAAAGAGAAACCGTAAGAGACTTTATGTATTTTTAGGGAAAGTCAAACACTAATATGTTTGGTGACAGTATTCAATAGCAGCTATTATTTGAAAACTTATTCATTGCTATAGTATTTTTAAGGACATAACTAAAATAATTACAAAAAATCTAGTTTAATTACTGACTATTAACTTATAGCTACTGTATATAATAATATTATATATTTGATTTTAATTATTGTGTTTTTTTTAATTTTATTAATTTTTTATTTCCATAATTATGTCAAACAAAACAATTATTCTATTATTTCTAACAATTAGTGTCAATCTATTGACAGTTAAATGCAAACCAAGCATAAGATCGTGTAGTAAGTCATTACCTAATTGTTAAAATTATAATATATTTTATTATTAATTTATTATTATTAATGTTTAATACATTTTAAAGTGAAACAACAAAAACATCTGAAACAAGAGATTATAGTTACTCCCTGTGCTTCACTTCCCTGTCCACTGAAAAGAGGCACAAATGCAACATTGAGTGTCAAGTTTGAGATACCGGAAGATAGCGAAAAATTAATGGCAAAAATGGGTATAATTGTCGGCGGCTTAAGGCTATCGGTTCCCAAATTTGATGCCAACCTATGCGGCGGATATGGTGTTACGTGTCCAGTGACCAAAGGTACACACTATCGATACAACTATACGATAGCCATCGGAGACGATTACCCGATATTTACGACAACATTGAGACTTATGGCTAAAGATGATCAACAAAATATGGTTTTCTGTTTCAAAGTTCCCATAAGTTTTGTTGATTAATAAATTATTATAAATTAATTTATATATTTAGCAATAATACTAGAGTTTTTTAAATACTAATTTTTATTAATACTGAAAAGTTATATTTACTTTTTATCGTACTTTTTTTGGATAAATATTTTCTGTAAATGTTTGTGTATTGTACGACTATTTATAATAAATTAAGATAAAATTTTATTTAAAAAAATATGTCTACTATTTAGTAACAAAACATCTTTTTATTATCTATTTTTTATTTTTAACAAAATATCATATATTTCGGGTAAAACTAAAAATAACATTACCGATATTAATTTTATAAACTAAACATGAAAAATATTTATTTACTTTTTTACATTTAAAAATTTTTTTTATATATAAAAAATATTAGTAATAGTTATTCTCCAATGGATTACAGTATTTACTGATGATAATTCAAAGACAAAATTAGTTATAAATACAAAATTAATATTATACGATAGACAATATTATTTGTTTTTTTAACTTTATTAAATAACTATATGAATTAGATAAAATTAAAAATCAATAAATTTCTAAAAATACTTATTTAATCATTTTTCTATTTAGTATAATTTACTTAAATAGTTTACAGTAAGTATCTTACATTTCCCTGACAAATAAATTATCTATTATTTATCACCATGATACATTCAAATTAAATACTATACTAGTATATATTGTACTAGGGTATCTGGTTTTCATAAGTTTATTGTTAAATTTAATTTAATATTTATAATCTCTTAAACATTATATGAATTTATTTTCGGAAAATAACTTATACCCACACTTTTGTTGTCAACATTTATATTAGATTTATACAGTACTACTACTACTACTACTGACCACACAATGTTTATTGATGTAGAATTTTTGTTTGGCAACCATAAAATAAATTAATATAAATGGCAAACAAAATTTCGGACAATAACCAAAAAAGTATGATTTATTTTATGCAATTCATACATCTATACAATTGTTGTTTAATAGTTATATTCATTTATTATTATTATTATTATCGTTAATATTATTATTACTGGTAATAAATATGTATGCTTTAGTAATGTTTATCACTATTAAATATTATATATAACTCAATAACATTTAATGGATTACAATTTTATAATACTGTAATATAATTTTTGAATTAATAAATATATGTTTTTATATAATTTAACAGGTGTATGCTTTTTATGACAATTTTTTTGTTTAATCATATACATAAATATCAAATTTAATGAACCAATTTATATTAGTATATACTAGTAAATGTCATATTTTTTATAGAAATTTATTTTATTTATAAAACCTATAAAAACTTTTAGTTTTTGGAAAAAAATATGTTTGAATTTTAAGTTTTTTGAAATAAACGTTATCAATTTACAACTCAATAAATATCTATTTTTTTCTTATAGTTATAGTAACAAAATAAATATTTTTAGTATTATTTTTTGTTTTCATTAATTTAATGACAAAAAAAATTAAATGAAACACACATTCATTCAGTTACAATACTTTCACTTTTTACTTATTCATTATACAATGAATTTAAACAATATATTAAACATAATGTATTATATATACATTATAGTTACAGTATATTAATAGATAATGTTAAATTATAGAAACAATATTGATTTCTATATAGTTAATGAAAGCAATTTTTGTTAACCATAAATTGAGTAAACACTACGGATAAAAAACAATAATAATAATATAAACAGGATATAAAATAAAATTATATTATGTAAGTTTTTTTTATAAATTAATATTATTTGAACTTTATAAATATAAATATAAAAATAGATAAAATTGAATTTTTTATTCTAATAAAAAATGTGTAATTTTAAATTAAATTTTTTTATGTCTTTGAGATATTTAAATTTATTCAGTTATTTTATTTAATCGAAATTGTTTTAAAAACATTTTATAAAAAATATTATAAAATATGTTCACATGAATAAATTGATATTTATATTTAAATATTGCACTTATAAAATGTTATTATAATATATATGCTATATTGCCTAATTTACTATATTTTGCTAATAAAGTATACTATTTATTTTAACATTTATTTATATAACTATATAAAATTACTTTATTTGTAAAAAAATTAGTAAATAGTTATTTAAAAAAATAACTTTATAAATATAATTATTGATGTACTAGTATAATATTATATATAAGACGATAAGACACGTGTAACAAAAAAAATTGTATTATATTTTTGTTAATAATTTTTTCATGTGTCCTTATAATATTATATTGAATATATAATAAAAATTTCTATTAAAGATATCAGATTTAACATTATTACAAATATAATTATATATTAACAAAAAATTATTTTCTAAGAAACTACGCTAATTGAATATTCAGAAAGATTATTAATATTCATATATATAGAAATGTTTAAGTAGAAAAAGTTTTTAAATAATTTTATTTAGTATTTTATTTTTTTATCTAATGTATCATAAAAATAATAAATAATGAAAATAATAAAAAAAAACTAAAATACTGAATGCAATCATCCATTTGTACGCAACTGCAACGTACAGAATATGTGTTTCATTACTTGTAATCGTTTTGTAGTTTTACTCTTCAATACAGAATCCAAACACAGAATTTGCCGACAAATATATACTATAACTATAAATGTATAGAAAGAGTGTGTATATAATACATAAATTCTTGAGAGCTTTTTTTTAAAAAAAAATAATATACTATTATTTTATTATTAATATATTGTATAATACAATACACATTTGTTATTATATTAATGTTTATAATAGCACTGTTTGTTGTTTAAATATTATATAATAAATTGCCAATCAATTGCTCACATATTTTTTTATTTTTTGTTTTCCTAATATTAAAGTAAATAATTTAATGTGTATTATATAATATATTGAGTACAATATAATCAGCGTTTTCAGTGAATTTATAATTGATTGTCACATTTGTTCAATAATAAATCAAATTTTTCTAAAAAAATCATTTTGTTTTAGTTTTACTAATAATACATTAAATTACTATTAATAATATACTGAAAAACACCATTAATTTTTCTTTAAAAAATGTACAACTTAATTTTATAAATAAATAAATTAAAAATTGAGTTATTGGTAATATTTATTTTTAAAAAAAACTTATAGAGTAAGTACAATATTGATTGATTAAAATTGAATTGATTAAAAACTTTTATAATTTTAATAATTTTTTCAATTTAGCCGTTTAATTAATTATTAGATTATGGATCCTTTAAATCCACTCAACATAAGTAATCGCCAAAATCTTGACGATTTTGAGTTGGAAGCCCTCCGTGAGCCCTACCAAACCATACTGACTATTAGCTATATCATAATGGCACTGTTAGCTTTTATTGGCAATACTACTGCCATTGCAACACTGGTCACTGGCCGCCAGCGTTCGGCACCGGAGCTCAAAAAATATTTGATAAACTTGTTTACCACTGATATACTCATTGCCCTGTTTTCCATACCCTTCTCCTATACGGACTTCATGTACGGCCAGTGGATATTTCCAGCCATTATGTGTCCAATCACTCAGTTTATTACCGGTTGTGCCGTTTGTGTCAGTGTTTATACATTGATTGCTATTGGAATTGAAAGGTATGTTTATAAGTGAGAAATTATTTACTAAAACAAAAATAAATAACAAACAAAATTAAGTTAACAAAAATGTCTAAATGTTATAATAATGATTTATAGCATTTTTTCTAATGCTTTTTTTAGCTAAGTTTCGTTTTTTCTTATTGTTTAAAACTTTTGCAGTTTATGTGATTATGTGCTGCAAAAAAAATTGAAAAAAGTATTTTAAAAATAAATTGTTAATGAGTTGAGATTTTTTTTCGTTACCACTAAATAACAAAATGATAGACCAAATGATATGAAACATTAATTAGACATTAGTTTTGTATAAATGACTGAATGTTTGGGATGAAAGTCACTTCAGAAAAAATACATAACAAACAAAAGTGTAGTCAATGTTGAGCTATAATTAGGTTTTTTTCGCATGTATTTGTCTATTCATTTGCTATCATATATAGTAAGAGAAAATGTTATATTAAAATATCAAGTGATGACAATTCCGGCAAAAATATAACAGTTTTTAGTTCAAGTTTATTATAATAATTATTTCTGATTATTTAATTAAGATTACAATATTAAAAAAATAGTTTTTTTAATATTTTTAAGCATTATATACAAACATATTTTTTTCTGAATAAGTTTTTTAAATTTATCAAACTTATTAAAATATAAATATAACATTTAATAAAAGCTATTTTTACAATATAAAAATAAACAAACAAAAATTTACATTTGTATAATATATTAAATTGCACGAAAAATATTTTTTAAATTTTAAACTTAATTTTTAATACAAAGTTTAAACTGATTCTATTTTTTTTTAAATAATATCTTTTATTATACATGTTTTGTCAAATATTCATGTATTGTTAAAAAGTATAATAATATTTTTATCCCAACAATTATAGAACATTTTACTTAAAATTGATTTTTTAAAAAAAGTAAAGTTCAATTCAATTAAAACATTTTAACACTACAATAATAAATAATATTAAATTTCATTTTTCTTAAATACATTTTTTTGAATATTATATTTTGTTTTTTCTAATATACAGATTAGTATTTCATAATAATAATTATTGAAAAGATTTTTATGCGAATATATTAAATTATGGTAACTAAAAAAAAAAAAAGATTTAGACAATTTTTTTTGCAAATAAAAAAATTTCAAAAATTTAATTATAGGTTTTTTAATATAAGTTAGGATAACGAAATTTGATATATATATTATTATTATTTAGAAAACATTTTATATATTTTAGCTATTTATATTAAATTTGTAAAAATAATGTTACTTTCAGCTATTTTATTTAATTATATTTAGTAAATTGAACTTTTATTATTTTTTTTACATAATATAATAATATATTTATTGTATAATATATATAATGTATTGTATTAAATAAAATTAGATAATTATTAATAATATAAATTGTAATGTTTGTTGCGAAATATTATATTTCAATATACAAATCCGTTAAATTTTAATCTTTATATCATATAATTTGATATATTGTATCTATTTATAAATTTATAAATTATTTTTTTAATCAGATATRAATTAGAGAAAAAAATGTAACCATAAAATTGATGAAATATTTTTATATAGTGTCTACAAAACTACTTAATTAATAGGTTTACAAATTATCTACCAATCATTGGATTCATAGTTTTTTTTTATTTGATTATTTGTTTTATTAGCAAAAAACAAATAAATCATCTAAAATTTAATGAATATTTTTATGTTTTTGACAAATAACATGACAAACACAATCATACTAAATGTGTTTCTATATATATATATTTATATTTATATCCAATATATAAATATTACAGTTTACATAAAAACAACACTTATATAATGTACACTATTTTCATGCCATTCAAAGCGGGCCGACATAAACAAGTGCTTATTTTATTGAGTAGTTTTACATAATATACAAATAATACAAATTATATTATAAATACTTGAATTAGTTGTTTAGGATTAACATAAAAACTTAATATAAAAGTTAATGTAATAACATCTATAAAAAACGATATTATGATAACCTCAAACATATGACTTTTTGTTTTTTTTGTTTGTTTTATAATAAAATCCCAAAAAAATCCTATAATAACAACAACGTATACTAATTTTTGTTGTTGAATATATTGAATTTCAATATGTTATAATTATTTTTTTTATAATTAAATTTGCTAAAAATAATATTATTATGATTATTATACTGATTAAAAAATTATATTATTTTTTATTGTTTTATGAAAATAATATTTAATTAATTTTAGATGCGATATTATACTGTATTATATAGTTATATGTATTTATAAAAATATTGGAAACTAATACATATTATAAGATTTTTCTTTTACGTATAATATAATTATATCATAATCTTTTTTTATGCATTTTATACTGTAATACAGTATTATTTTGAAATTTGTGATTATCCTATTTAACTTATACGTAATGTATATGTATTTACATCAGTTTATTATTTCCAATATTATATTAATGTTAAAATATAAAGTAAATCTTATCTATTGAATTAATTTAGTTTTTTACACATTTATACCATATATATATATATATACACTATATATAAGTTATCCACTTTTGTACAAATTTTTGTCTGCCTTTTGGATTAGTTTTTTCTTTTCAAATCGATTTATAAGTTGTTCATAATATTCTGTTGTCTTTCAATTTATATCAAATCAAAATCATTTATTTACTCAATTTGATTAACAGTTATACTGTATTTTGTTTTATTTTTATTATTGTGTGTTTGACACAAATAACATTAACAATGCATTTCTTTTATTACTCAATTTATTTTTTTATACATAAAACATACAATATTATGAATTAAGATTTTATTATTTTTTTTATTAATATTAGATATATATATTATTGAAAATAGTAGTTATGTACATAATTATGAAGGTTTTATTAAATTTAGTAATTGACAAATCGTGTTAGTATTTTAATAGTCAAAAATTTGTGTGTTTTTTATATTTAATTAATATATAGTATGTTGTTATATATATTTTACATATATGTTTAATATAATGAGTTAAAAATAATTATATTTTAACATTTAGTATAAAATATATATATATATATAATTTCTTAGAAATAAATAATGATGTTTAAAAATGTATAACTTTATGGTTATTATTTATTTAAACATATATTAATATTCATCTAAACGTAGTATATTGTTATTGTATTTTATTTATACTAAAATATACTAATCAACTATTTTTTAATTAGACAATCAAATAATTATTTATAATTTATAAAATATTTAATATAAAAGAAGATTTACTAATTAATATTAGGTTATATTTGATAACAAAATAGTTATTAATAAAAAGCATGAAAATGATATAAAATATGTAAATATTTTATAAGCGCTTAAAAATAATATCAAAATAGAATTTTAGTTACACTTAATTAAAATGATTAGTCAATTAAAAAACAAAAATTTCCTAAACATAATGTTTTTATTTTTAATTAATTTATTTTATTTTCCTATTTTATTAAACAACAAACTATTATACAGTATATATTTTATTTTTATACATGTACTGTAAAATTATTTAATAATTTTAAAATAGCTGCTTTTATTTATTATTATATATATAATATAATATAATATTATTAGTTATTCTATAATAGTATATAACAATATAGTACTGTATTAATATATATTATAAAATTTTATATAATTTATTATAATCGGATTTTTTTCTGGTTATTTATTAACACAGTCGAGTAATTAATATATCTGGATAATATAACAATAGTTTATTTATATTTTGATAATATTTATATATGATTTGTGCTTGTTACTATTGATATAATTATTATGCTAACAGAATTATTATGTTCATAGGGTTTGAATAAAGTTATTGAAGTTATGGTTGCCATTTCAAAAAAATATAATGCACCAAACAATCTAGTATTCCTATGATTTTCAATAATTGACAAATAATATATTTTCTTTTATTATATTAAAATTCAAGACTATTCATAAAAATATAAGATTATTTTTTTTAAAAAACAATAAATACAATTGTAATCATATTAATATAGAAAATAAAAATTGTTTAATTATTATGATTTAATTGATTAAAACATTTGTTATTAATAATTCATTTTAATTCCAAAAAAAATTATTTTATTTATTTAATTAATTTTAWTAACAAATTAAATTCAATTTAAATTTGATTTAATTTAAAAAAATAAATTATCATATATGACAACTATATTATTAGTTTTACTTGAACATAAATAGCATTACTAAATAATTTTAACATTGAATTGTACTATTAAATGTTTAGTAAATATATAAAAATTTCCTAAAGAATTTTAATAGAAATTGAATATTTATTGGAAATGGTTATTGCATTTTATCAATAATACTCTATAATACATAAATAAATGTAATTTACTCCACGAAAAAATTCTCGTCAACATTATATCAATATCTAATACAATACTCAAACCTCTTTAGCAATTCAAATGTGATGTTTGAATCGCTATTATTTTGTTTTTGTATTTGAATTGCTTATTAAGTTTTTCTATAGAATAGTTTACTATATTTTGAAAAGTTTTACTATATTGTTAGAAAAATATATTGATCTTGGTGATACTACTACTACTACTACTACTTTTATTATATTATTTAAAACAAAATAATTTTATACTTTGCAAACTTAATTATATTATCTTCAAAATAAGATTCATCACAATTATTACAATATAATAGCAAGTATACGGTATAGATATATACTGTATTTAGTTTATATAAGTACCGGTAATATAAAGTGTCCTCAAGTGTTGGATATGAAACAACTTATGAATAACTATACAAAAACAAATAAAAAAATTGAATAAATAAAACACTTATTTTCTATTTTTACATAATGTTTGTTAAATAAAATTGTTTAGAGTATCTGTACATTTTTAAAAAATATATATAATTAAAAATTGATTTAAAATGTTCGGTAATAACGATTTAAAAACTTAGTTTAATAAAAACTATATGAATTTTAAATATTTTTACAGACCGGTAAACATTTAAATTTATTTAATTTTAATCTTAACTTAGCATAATTTATTTACACTATATTAATACTATTAAATTATGTGGATAATTTAAATATTTAAACATTTTTCTTATTTAAATTAGGTCGTCAATCAAACATCAACTTTCATTTTATTTTTTATTTATAAAAAATATTTTTTATTATTTTCTATAAAGAAAAATACTATTTCTAGAAAAAAATAGTTAAAACTTTTTATACAAAAAAAAAACATTTAGTTATTTATTTTCGTAAATATTTTTTTATCAATATTGACATTATTGTAATACATGATTTATATCCAAATCGATTGACATGTATTTTCTATTATGAAAATAAATTATTTTCTATACAATTTCAGTGTATGCTATTTGTATGAATTGAAATAATGTGTATATATTTTTTTAATATTGTACAATATATTTAATGTAAAACTAAAAAATATTTAGATAATTAAGAAAATAATTTTTATATATATAAAATTGTGTATTTTTGGATTTTAAAAAATGTTATTTCAAATATATTATAAGAAAATTATTAATATAAAATATAGTCAAAATATTTTTTTAATATAAATTTTATATATTATTTCAAACATCTATTTATGTATAATAATGATTAGTTATAAGTCATAACTTATAAGAAATTAAATAGATTTTACTATTTTCTTTTAAATTTATTATTTACTAATTTAATTACATTTAATATTAAACTATAAAACTTTCTTATTATATAAAAAATATTTATTTAAATTTATTTAATTAAAAATTAATATTTTATAATAAAAATATACAATTTAAAAAAATAAAAGTATAAACTAAATATAATTTTTAAAGACATTAAAAATAATTACAAAAAAAAATATATATATATATTTTTACTTTAATATTTCAACAACATATTACAATAAGTATAAATAACAAAAAATATTTTATCATTTATTATTATTTATTTGTATTATTTTTTACAAATATATTAAATTTAATTATTTTATTTTTGTTTTCTATAGATATTTGGCAATAGTTTATCCATTTAGGCAATTATTATGTTTTGAAAGACACACCAAATTTGCGATTACAATCATTTGGATAATAGGTTTGTACTAAATAACTGACTTTTGATTTTGATATCATTATATTATGTAAATCATATATTTAGGATTTTATTAATATTTAATATATTAAATATTTATTGATTATATAAACATTTTTGTGTTTTCACTGTCCATTGCTAACAAATCAAATATACAGATACATATATATTATAAATAAATAATGTATTTTTTGTATTACCGTACTTTAAATGTATAGAAATCTTAATTTGATTTTTAAATGAGTTTTTTTAATTTATTTTTTTGTCAGATATAATATTACTTGTTTTATAGATTAATCAAATATAATACTGAATTTTATAAGTACCGTATTTACATGTATTTTATATTAACAAAATAGGAAATATAATTCATTTGAAATATTGATACATTAATCAAATATTTTTGATATCCAATGATATTTTATTGTTTATTATTGTTAATAATATTATATAATATTTATAATATTATACTGTATATTAATATATATTACATATTAATTATTAACACTTATTTATATGGATTAATTTAATTTTAAATAATATTAAATTTAATTATTAAATTTAAAATAATAATTTTTATCAGGTATTGCCTTAAGTAGTCCACTGCTAATCGAGAGTCGGGCGCTTGAATTTAAATACAGAAACAAAATACTATACGATTGCCGTGAACTATGGGACCAGGAGTTGGGCGGAAAAGTCTATACAGGACTCATATTTATAACCACATTCATTATACCATTGATAGCACTGAGCTTTCTATATATTTCCATTGGTGTGACCAGTGCCACAAATACTGTTCCCGGAAATTCCAACCGGGATCACGTTCAACAACAAAATCGCATCAAAGTATGTCTATTACAATATGTATTAATACTTTAGTCAACTTTGATATTTAATTGTTATGTGTGTGTGTACTGTATATATGTGTTATACATATTAAATGATGTTATTTGACTAATACACAGTAATTTTGTTTTGACTTTTGTGTGTTTGTAATAATTTATTAAAACAAACTATCAAACAGATTGTCAAAATGTTGGTAATATTAGTCATTTCGTTTGCCGCCTGTTGGCTACCCATCCAAGTGTTCAATTTGGTGATGTGGTTGTGCGATGACTGTCGTACACTAACCTCTCAATTTCAGGTAAAGTTTAGTATGTTTTTTATGGATAATTTACTATTTTTTATTTGAATTTATTCTCAACCTTATATTCTCTAAATATTTTTCAGTATTTACTAATAATGTGTTTTTGTTGTTAATAATCAATTTTAATTATAATTTCTAGCAATACAAATATTTAATAGAATTTTAAAAATTATTTAAAACATTCATTGTATAAAAATGTTAAATAATTGATTTTAATATTTTGTGACATTTTTATTTTTTAGTCGTTCTATAATAGATTTAAAATACTTTATTTAATTTATATGTATAGTATTATAATTTAAGCTGTAAACCAAATTTAATTAAATTTTAGCTAAACTTATTACTGATTTTATTGTTATTATAAATTTTATTGTTTAATTTTAATTTAATGCAGATTTTTAGCAGAAAATATAATTAGTTTATTTTTAGCAAATAAAAATAGCATTACAAATTATTTATATATATATATTTTTAAAAATAACTTTAAAATATGCATTGACAATTGTTTACTTAATTAAAACATATAATATTATATCTCTATATTATTATTACTAAATTACAATACTATATACAATCAACTTTTTACATATAATTTTCTTAAAAATATTTGTAGTTTTAATTTTATTATTTTTCTGACTAAACATTTTACGCTAACGTTTGATATCGATGTTCAATCTTTATAAGGGTTGCATTAAATGTCGATATTATATATTAAAACTTTAAATAATTAAGAAAATTTATTTTATTTAATACATAGTATTTAGGATTTTATTTTATTTATAATTTTCTCAAATCTAATGTTTCCGTACACTCATTATATTATGTGTATGTTTATTATAAAAATAATATAATTAATTAGCTAATTAATACTTTAGTCATGTAGCCAATTATGTTGAAAACATAAAAATAAACATATATAATATTTAGTTACATAATATATAATACTACATTAAAATATTTTTATCAATGTTTATTATTTTATATTAGATAATTAACTATAAAAATCTATAAATTTTTATTGTATGTCACATTAATTATAAACAAAAATAATAATAATAATATTATTATTATTAATATTAATAATAATAACTTTATTCAAACAGATCAACATATATGTGTCCATATATTTTATATGTCATTTTTTATCGATGGCTCACGCATTGATCGATCCAATCATCTATTGTTTTATGTCTCATAATTTTAAGGTAATAAAAACAAATTTATTAAATTATTATTTATATAAAATTTATATAATATTTTTATATGTTAATTTATTTTAATAATTTTTAATATTTAGAAATTTTAAGTTTAGTAAAATTGTTTTTTTTTTAAAAAAATGATATTTTAGATTTAGAAAATCACATTTAGTTTTTTATATTTTACTATTTTTAAGACATATTTTTGTTGTATTAAACAACCACTTGATAACAAGTGTGATAAAAAAAATTATTTTTAGATATTTTTAATAGCAGTAGTTATATATATATATAAGTATAATATAATTTAAAACATAGTATATTTCTATATAAATATATCTATATATATCTAAAATAGATGGATCAATTGCGTTCATACATGTATGCCAACTGTGCTTATAATAATCGCAATGAAAAGAGGGGCGAAATAATTAAATTTCGATCAAATTTTATGTCAAACACACATTCGGCTACCAATGGAAATGTTAGTGAAGTGGCCGTATAGGAGACAAACTGTTCACTTATTTAATATATGTTTAAAATGTGTTTTAATATTATATTTTTTAAACTAAAAGTATTATAAGATAAAAGTTTAATTTGATTGAATTCATACACAAACACACACATATAAAATGTTAGTTTTTAATCTTTTAAGCGGCTCATATTTTTAACTTAATAAATCAATAAATTATAGTTAATGTTTTTTATTTAATAATTATTGTATATATTTAAAAAATATAAATTATATCATTAAAAATAATAATTCTAAAAAATATTATTTAAATAAATGTTCAGTTAATTATAATCTGAAACTTGATATCTTGAAATTTGTTAATTAATAAAAAAAATAAACCGGTATATTGTTTATTAACTTTAAAGATATTTAAGTCCAATAAATATTTAATATTTAATATCTGATACAAATAATAAATTATTTTTATTATTTTAATATGTTTGACAAATCATGTTTATAAATATTAAATTTTTATAATAAATAATTATTTTTAAATTATAAAATAATTAATAAAAAATAAACAATATAATTAAATAAATAAAATTATTATATATTATTTATAAAATTTAAATATTAATATAAATAACTAATATATATATATATATTAAAGTAAATTGTTATTCAATGATAAATAATGTATTTAATATATTTTGTTAATAATTGTAGTTTTTTAAATAATTTTTTTCTTCGTATATTATATGTCATTAAGAAAAATAAATTGAATAAATTAAAATATAATTATAATTAAAAAAATTTTCTTATTTTCTAGAATAGTATCTATTGTTAAATTATAATTTATAACATTCTATGATATGTTTTGTATCACACAAAACCACAAAATAGATTTTAACAAAAAATTTGTTAATACTATATAAAAATATAATTAAAAATTAAAATTAATTTAATAATTTTAGTCTTTAATATAAATAAAACTAATTTTAATATAATTATTTATATATAAAAAAATAAATAAACTTGAATAATTAATATATTGTAAAATTAAAGTTGTAACCTAAATTTTTATTGAATTAAAAAATAAATTCTAATTTATCCATAATAGTAATTTTCGATATTAATATTAGTTTTTTTTCAATATGATAATTACTGTAAAAATATTTGTTAAAAAAACAATAAAAATAAAAAATATCAATAATTTGATTACAAATTAATTTATTACCAGTAAATGTTGAGTAATATCGTATTGAATACTGTATTATACTGTATATAATTTTTTAGTTTACTGAATAAATGTCATTTATATGATAGTTTTAATATGTAGAAAACAAAATTATTAAATGCAATTATATTTTATATAAAGTCTATAATTATCAAGTAATTAATATGTAAATTAAATGATAACATTGAAACTAAAATTGATTGATTGACTATCTTTCCTAATGTAAAGGAGTGGCTAATTTATCAAACAAACATATTTTATTATTTCATTTAATCAGTAAAACAAAATACATAATTCAGATTTATATCTAATATAGAAATGTTAATCCACTATAGCATTACAATTGTTTTAGTTGTGTCGCTCATTGAGCGCATAGAAAGTAATAGGAGATCAGTCAGTTGGCGAGCACCGGGAGGTTTTGGTAGACGACTTAGTAATAATAATAATGACAGTTCAATAGAAGCTGTTGTTATTGGCAATGGTATTGTACCCGATGTTGTCGACTCAGTGCCCAATCAGTTAATTAAGGTAAGACCAGCTTTTAGATAATAAATTTGTTAAATTATCAAACCTATAGATCAGTTATCCCAGCGGTGTTGGCGTCGATTTAGGCAATGAGTTGACACCATTTTCTGTGAGAAACCAGCCATCTATTGAATGGTCAATAGAGCCGGAAGCTTACTATACGCTTGTTATGACCGATCCGGATGTGCCGTCAAGAAAAGACCCGACCAATGCTGAAGTCAAACACTGGTTGGTTATTAATATACCAGGAAATCAGGTATCAAAAGGTGAATCACTGGCCGCTTATAGAGGATCTGGACCACCGTTGGGCAGTGGACTACATAGATATGTATTTTTAGTCTACAAACAGCCCACACTTATTATCAATCACTCGGAACCGGTAATACCAACTCCGGCACGTGAAGGCAGACTAGGCTTCAAAGTCAGAGAGTTTGCCCGCAAATATCATTTGGGCGAACCCGTGGCCATTAACTTCTATTTGGCTCAATATGACGATTATGTCGGTTGGATGAGAGCACAGTCAGCGCTGACACAAAAACCCAGTGATATTGAGACAACAATTGTGACAACAACTGTGCCGACAACCACACCATTACCACCTGTTAAGTCACAGAGAAGCGGAGGAATCAGATTTGGAACAAAACGCCGAAACGCGGCATTGAAAACATGGACACCAAAAATGCCGGACAAACCAAAGTTTCCGCAAATGGTTTGCATTAATTATGACAGATATCTTGAAATACAAAACGAATTAAATAACTGATAACTAACTATAAATAATTAAATAATAAAATATTCAGAAATATATGAATATATAGTTTTTATTAATGAAAATTTCATACAAAAAATAATTTCATTACCATAAAATTGCCATATAATAATTTTTTTAAAATTCATATTATGATATGATTAATCTATTTTAAATATATAAAAAAAACAATAATTGAAATACAACTTTGGATAGCTTTAATTATGTAAATATTAATACTTTTTTTATTAAATGAAAACATTAAATATGTTAATAATTTTATTAATTTATTCTATTGAATATCAAATAATATAAAATAATGTTTGCATTAATAATTTATAATAATGATAAGCATACTAAATCACAATAATAATTATAAATTTTATTAAATTATTTTTTGAAAGTCTTTAATAATTAAGTCAGAAATTACTAGTTTTAAAGTCATAAGAAATTGAAAATTATAATACTAATAAATATATAAATTAATTTTATTTTACAAATAATTATACATATTTAAGTAATTTACAAGGCTTTTACAAGATAGAGTGAGTGAATGAATGAGTGAGTGAGTGAGTGAGTGAGTGATTGAGTGAGTGAGCGAGTGAGTGAGTGAGTGAGTGAGTGAGTGAGTGAGTGAGTGAGTGAGTGAGTGAGTGAGTGAGTGAGTGAGTGAGTAAGTGAATGAATGAGTGAGTGAGTGTGTGTGTGTGTGTGTGTGTGTGAGTGAGTGAGTGAGTGAGTGAGTGAGTGAGTGAGTGAGTGAGTGAGTGAGTGAGAGAGAGAGCGAGAGAGCATTAAATTATTAAGTATTTTATCATTTTAAGTGAAGTTTTGTTGATTTTTATTTTTATTTTTGATTTTGTGTTAAATTTTTTATTTTAAGTGTACAATAGATAATAACAAAGCAATTTAAAAAAAACATTTATAAATTATTTTATTACAATGTCTGCGAAATAAAATAAATGCTTTTAATTTATTTTTGTTTTTAATCTTTTTAATGGCTTTACAAAAAAAATCCACTAATTGACTGAAAAATATATAACGTTTTTAATAAATAACTACTTGAAATATCAATTATTGATACAAATTTAATAAAAACTATATTTTTAGTACTAATAAATTTAGTTAATACTGAAGGGATAAAAAAATTAAAATTAATTTTAAAGTTAAAAACATATACAGTATTATAAACACCGGACAAATGATCACATTATGAGAGACAACAACACAATTATGCATATAATTAAAACAAAGTTACAATTTATATATTAGTTTTACAAAACTATTAGATATTTCTAGAAATATATATTAATATAATAATACATATATAATATTAAGTTATTTCCTGGAAGTAATAAACAATTAAATATATCTAATAATCATATTAAAAATATTGAATTTTGATGGACATTAAAATAATTAATTTTATGTTAAAAATTCTTTCTACAATACTATAAATTATTATATTTATAATTAAATAATAAATAAATATTTTTGTTTATCGTGTTATTAATATTTATTATTATTGAAAATATTGGTAATAATAATTTAAACTAAATTACAACAACAACTAAAATAAATATAAAATAAAATTTATTACTTAAAAAACAGTTAAAAAATTTAAATTATAGCTTTTAAATAAAATAAAAATCATAAAATTTGAATAACTTTAATTACAAATAAATAATAGGTATTTAAAAAATTAAATTATAAATTCAATGTACTATAATTGACTGATATTTTATTTTATATTTAATTTTTAATTAAATTTTTGATTTCAAATAATAATTAATAATATATACATTGAAATGATTATTATGGGAATGACTGGATAATGAATTTCACAAATCACTTGATAATATCAACACTGATATTCAGTGTATTCAATATACTATATATGATTGTAATTAATTAATATAAATTATAAATATATTCTTTTGAAATTATATTCAAAATTAATTATCTATACATTAATAATTCACAGCTTTTTTAAATATATAAATGTAAAGTATATTACAATAAAATAATGTAAAGAAAGCATATATACCGATATTTATTTAATTATTATAAAAAAATATTTTGTAATTTAATAATAATGGAATTAAAAACTATTAGTTTAAATTAATTAATTATATAAAAATAAACTGATTTTTGTATTATTTAAATTAAATATCTAGTTGTAAATATACGGTGTATTAATTGTCAAATGTAATAAAATTATGTAAATTTAATGTTTAAAAATAACAAAGAAAATAATAACTTTTAAATTAACTAATATTTATAAATATTTAAATATAAAAATTAAAGTAATTGCAAAAAAAACATTTATAAATGTTAAGCAATATCCTTATAGACATTATAAAGTATTATATGGACTTATATTCAGAAAACAATATTAGTGTATAAAAAATTGTAATTATTATATATTATATAATCATAATAATTTTATAACTTAAATTTTGCATTAATATTTTTTTGTCAATTTATAACAAAAGCTTTAGAAAATATTTAATTCATAATTCATTATTTTTATTACAATAAATATACAGATAATTATATAAAATAAAGTATTAATTTTATATAATTATAAAACTATAAATATAAATTTTTATGAAAATATTTTTTTTAAATTAAATGCAAATTTAACAATACTCAAGTTTTTACTAAAAAAATCTGTACTGAATATTATTTAGTAAAATAATTTAAGTAGACATTAATATATTGAATAATAAATATATTTATGTCAAGGTTTGTCAAGATTTTTTTTAGATACTAAATTCAAGTTTATAAACTATACAACCACTTGATAACACTAAATCCTACTATAAATTTATTAGATACTAATACTTATTGACAATATTATTGCAATTAATTGTTAATATAAATTAGTATTTCGGTACACAGATAGGTGCACTGTTAACAGTAGACTAAAAAAAATACTACCAGTGCATCTGCATAAGTGTGCAGTGCATAATTAAAATACAATATAAAACTACAAACAGTACTTGACTAGTTATACTAAACTTTTAATATATATATACTGTATTTATGATATAGTGACAAAAAATAACATAAGATATACATTAAATAAGTATTAATTTTATATAATATAATAAATTAATTATATTCTATTGTATTGTTTGTTAATTTTGTTATTGTTGTATATTAATTATTAACAATTGTAATTAACAAATAATAAAATTGAAATTATGGATAAATGTGTGCCGGATGTCATTGATATTGTTCCCAAAAATGTTATCAAGGTAGATTTATGAAATCCAAAAAAATATTATGAAATATTTTTTTTTTTAAATCTTAAACACAATTGAAGAGTTGACAAATAAAATATATGTTTAATTTTTTTCAAACAACTTTAAGATTCATTATCCAAGCGGTGTTGACGTCAATTTGGGCAATGAGTTGAAACCCGTAGAGGTTAAGGATGAGCCAACAGTAGACTGGCCCACAACACAACCCGACGATCTCTATACACTACTGATGACAGATCCGGACGCATCGGTAGATGTTCGCGAAATTAAGCACTGGTTGATAGTCAACATACCGGGTAATGACTTAGCTAAAGGCGAACTCCTGGCACCTTATGGCGGGTCGTGTCCGCCAGTGGAGCACGGGTTGCATAGATATATATTTTTGGTATACAAACAGTCGGGCCATTTACAGCACTCGGAGATCCCGATGAAACTGGGCGACAGAGAGGGACGCCGTAATTTTAATACCAAATTGTTTGCCCAGAAATATAATTTAGGCCAACCCTATGCCGGCAACATATACTTAGCCAAAGCTGATGAATACGCTATTAATTTAAGGGCTCAAAGAATTAATAATAATAATAATAATAATAATAAATAATTTGAATTAATTTATTATATTATAATATTTATTAATAATATAAATTCATGTATTATTCATTATCAATGTATATGTAATAAAAATATGACATAAAATTTAATAAACATTTAACATCTGGTGTTTATTAAACAATTGTTAATATTAAATATAATTTTTCAATAATTTATAAATAATTCAATATTAAAAAACTACGTAATTAATATTTTAGTTTTATATTAACTAAAATTATAATTAAAACAAAAATTAATAATTATTTTATTTATAAAATTATTATATTCAAAAACTGTTATTATTATTACTTATAAATATGGACAAAACTATTCCAGATGTTATTAGCACTTTACCAACTAATGTTATCAAGGTAGATTTTAACATATTGTTTATAATAAATAATTTTTAAAAAAATATATTTATTAAATAATAATTTTAAATATAGGTTAACTATCCAAGCGGTGTTAGTGTCAATTTAGGCAATGAATTGACACCATTGCAGGTCAAAGATGAGCCAACATTGGAGTGGTCTACAGAAACCGGTGCTCTCTATACGGTAATTATGTTGGATCCGGATGTAGCCGAAGATATTCGTGCAATAAAACATTGGCTAATAGTCAACGTACCGGACAATGATCTATCAAAGGGTGAACTATTGGCTCCATATGTCGGCTCTCGTCCACCTCAGGATTCGGGTCTTCATAGGTATATATTTTTGGTGTACAAACAACTGGCCGGACATTTGTATCACACAGAAGTTCCCCTAAAACCCAATGATCGTTTGGGTCGCCGTAAGTTTAGCGCTAAACAGTTTGCCAAAAGATACAATTTGGGCGAACCCTACGCCGGGAACCTGTTTGTGGCAAAGGCTGATGATTACTCAAATCAATTGTGGGCTGAGATAAATAAGCCTAAACTCGATTGATTTTTGTTAGTTAAAAATTGTAATAATTGTTAATAACATAATACACATTTTAAAATCAAAACAATATTTTAATAAATTTATTAAATATAAACTTTGGATAAAATTTGCTTAAATGATATCTTATAAAAATGTTTATTTCAATTGTTAATATATATTAAAATATAGATTTATGTTAATGCATAATAAGCATTAAAACATTAAATAATTGTTTTGTTTAGTCGTTGTAATGTTAGCCCAACTTTCCATCCCATTGTGCCATAAAATAGTTGACTGCAATGGGTTGGCCTAAATTGTTATCCTTAGCAAAGTTTCTTATTTTAAATTGGGATCGTTTGGCTAAGTCCGTAGTGGACACCGGGTGCTCAATCAGTTTTGGCTGTCTATAAACTAGGAAAATGTAGCGATGAAGTCCTGTATCTTTTGGTGGTCCCGATCCCTTATAATCGGCCAAAACTTGACCACTGACTACATCTGAACCGGCAATATTAATGACTAACCAGTGTTTGAATTCACCGAAAATGGGATCGGAACGGGTGGGTGCATCTGGATCTGTCATAACTAGAGTATAGTAGGCATCCAATTCCGATGGCCAGCTTATAGTTGGCTTGTCTTTGACCTGAGTCGGTGTCAATTCATTACCGAAGTTAGCCTCAACTCCCGACGGATACTTTACCTAAAATAAGATTTTTTAATACTTTAATTTTGTTGTTGTTAAATGTTTTCATAAATATTTCATACAGTAATCTTGTATTTGGGAACCGTATCGATAACATCGGATACAATACCGTCCCGTCTAAGTGGTGACCGATTCCTGCGTCCATTGAGTTTAGTTTTATGTGTTTGCGTTGAATCGTTTTGGTCGACACACAGACAAACAGTTATGAATAATATCACGGAAATCACAGACACTAAAAATATTTGCCACAATTTATACATTTATTGAGTGTATTTCGTGTTTGTAGTAATTAATAAAACATAAACAATATTTTTTTAATAATTAAAACTATTAATACTTTTTATTTTTTTAATATTAAATGCAATGAAAACACTTGTAAAAAATATTTGCGTGTTTATATAATTTTAATTTTTTTTATAGATTTTAGTTTCTAAATCACTACTATTTTAAAAAACAAGACACAAAACTAAGTACAAATAAGAGAGTATTTTTTCTCACTTTTTTTGTAAATAAGGTATAAAATTAAAATCAAGTTTTTTAAATTTGAAAATATATAAACAATTTATGTAATTCAAATCCAACTATCGTTTCAAATATCGATGTTTTCTATAAAATGTTTGATTTTATTACTTCTCTATTATTTTATTCAGGTTTTCTCAAATTTCAAGCAACAAAAAAAGTACTCAAAAAAGTTCTTAATTAAATAAAACTGTAAAAATGCAAACATTGAAAATTTTTTATTTATTATTGTTAAAAAAATATGTATGTATTTGTAAATTACAGTATATATTATATTAAATACTAATAGTATTGTAGTCAATAATATCATTAGAAACTGGTTTTATTTAGCAATAACTGAACAAATATTTAATTTAGTATGTTATCAATAAATAAATATCATTGATTATGTTAAATTATCTAAAATTAAAGTTGTTATTTTTTTTAAATTAATTATATTTATTGTAATGTTGTGATTACAAATCACTAAATCATGAAATAAAGTTTCAATAAAAAAATATTTTAAATAAATTAAATTATCTTAAAATTGTTTTTAAATATTCATATAAATTTTTAGAAAATATATGTGTAATAGACTGATGACTACTACAATCAATGGTGGGTTGAGTTAAATAAGCCAAAACTTGATTGATTATATAATTTTGAAAACTGTTAATAATTTTTTTTTAAATAGTCACAATATAAATATGCTGTTAAAAATATTAGATATTAATAAACTAATTAAAAATAAACTTTGATTTCAATTTGCTTTTTAAAAACGAAATATAATTGAATATTATTGTAATGCATAATAATTACTAAAACATTAAATAATCGTTTTGTTAGCTAATTAACTGTAATATTAATGATCCATTACATCAAATATAGACTTATCTTTTTCTAATGTTAGCCCAACTTTCCATCCCATTGTGCCATATAATAGTTGACTGCAATGGGTTGGCCTAAATTGTTATCCTTAGCAAAGTCTCTGATTTTAAATTTGGATCGTTTGGCTAAATCAGATCTGGACACCGGGTGTTCAATCAGTTTTGGCTGTCTATATACTAGAAAAACGTAACGATGTAGACCAGTATTTTTTCGTGGTGCAGATCCAATGAAATCGGTCAAAATCTGACCATTGGCCACATCTAAACCGGCAATATTAATGACTAACCAGTGTCTGTATTGACCATTAATGGGATTGGAACGGGTGGGTGCATCTGGATCTGTCATAACAAGAGTGTAGTAGACATCCCTTTTTGATGGCCAACTCACAGTTGGCTTGTCTTTGACCTGAGTCGGTGTTAATTCATTGCCGAAGTTAGCCTCGACTCCCGACCGAAACTTTATCTAAATAGTTAAACATTTTTTTACTGTAATTAACAATTTGTTCATAAGTTATACTGTTATCTTGTATTTGGGAATCGTATCGATAACATCGGGAATAATACCATCCCTTATAAGATTCCGCCGTTCATTTGATTTCAATTCCTGAGTTTGTGTTGAATCGTTTTGGTCGACACACAGACAAACAGTTATTAATAATAATGTCAATGAAATTATTGACATAACAAATATTTGCCACAATTTATTCATTAATTATATTGTTTGTGTTTACAGCAAATAATAATTTCTAAATAAATATTTTTTAAATAATAAAAACTAATTAAAGTAAAATATTAAAACAAATGTAAATGAATATCTAGTCTTAAAATATTTGTTTAATGTTTAAATAATTTCTATTATTATTATAGATTGTATTTAGAATTTTACAAATATATTGTAAGTCACTATTATATTAAAAATAAGTACACTTACTATGAATTTTGTAATTTAGGTATAAAAAAATTAATTCAAGTTTGAAATTTTTTTAAGCAAATCTTGTAATTTAAAAAAAAACTTTTGCTTTGATTATCAATATTTGCTATAGATTGTTTGATTATATTATATATTTTTTTAGTAAGGTTTTAGCAAAATTAATGTCAAAAATAATAAAATGTTTATTTTAATAAATAAAATTAAAAGTACAAAATTACTATTAATTTTATTTGTTAAAAACATGTATAATATAATAAAAAATATATTTTATTAATTATTAAAATTATTTTATTAAATAGTCATTCAATTTGGCAAATATTTAGCTAAACAAAACATCATTAATCATCTTAAATCATCTAAAATTTATTTTTATATAGTTTATTGTAATGTTATACAATTCAATATACAATTAAAATATATATATATATATATATATATATATATATATATATATGTTTAATAAAAACATTATTATTATAAAATATGTAGTTTAGGGTTCAATATTAAATGAAATGCAATTTCTAGGGAACAGTAAAAATGTAATGGAATTTTCGAAAAATAATACAATGAATGGAATTTTCCCAAACTAATAGCTATTATATAGTTTGAAAAATATATCTTATAATATCATATAGTGTGCAAAATTATAATATAATACATGATCGCTGGCTCTGGGATTGAAAATAATTGACAGCTACCGGTTCGCCTAAATTGTTAGATTTAGTCCATTCTCTAATATTAAATTTAATACGAGTTCTGAACGATTCGTTGAGAACGGGAGTCCCATTTGTCTCAATAATACCGTTTGACTGTTTGTACACCAAAAATATATACCGATGCAAACCACCCAACGGTGGCGCTCCGGCTCCTCTATATCCGCACACTGTCCGGCCTTTACTGATATCAGTTCCGGGAATGTTCATAACTGTCCAATGATTGATTGGACTAAGTAATGGTTTCGATCGAAATGGTGCGTCCGGATCGATCATCATAAGAGTATAGTAAACGCCCGTTTCTGTAGGCCAGTCGACTTGTGGCACATCCTTGCTTTCAGACAGTTTCAGTTCTGTGCCATAGTTTACCTCAACTCCCGACGAATATTTTAACTTTAAAAAAATCAATGGTTAGTATATTAGCTAATATTTTGTTCAATAATATATAAATGGTTTATAATTTTTTTTAAATATTTTTTACATTGATTTTATGGATAGGCTCGGAGTCAATAACATCGGGAATCACACCGTCCCGTCTGAGCGATGATTTATCATTACTATTGTCACTCATAGTATTTACTGGAAATTTTTTAAATACTAATTATTATTATTATTAAGTTAGAAAATAAAACTAAAACAATATTTTAATTAAAAATAAATAAATAATTTGTTAGTAATAATTATTACTTGACACTAAATATTTATATACTTTATGTTTCATTTGCAACAAATTTCAATTATATCAAAATTTTATTTGTTTGATTGATTTGTTTAAAAAAAATTACAACAATATATAATATTTTTTAAAAAATACTTTCTATGGCAACTTATTATATATATATATATACCTTTATCAGTTTAGTAAATATCAACATTACTGATTTATACTAAATTTTTATATATGTTTTTTAATATTTTTAATATATATGTTGTTTATAGATAATGAACTTAACTGTACCTAATAAGTACAGTATACTAACAAGTAAGTTATTATTAATAATAGTCAATACGTATACAGTGTATCTAGTATTTACTGTACAGTTTTGTAATATATTTGTACTTAAATACCTGTATATTTTATCCTTGATAAATATAAGCAATTTCTAACGCTTATATAGTATTTTATTATTATGATTACTACAGTACTTATAGTAAAATTTACAAAATAAATATATAATAAATTGTGATTTATTTTGCTATATAATTATACTAATATAATAATTAATATAATAATTATGTTTAGTAATTAGCACTAAAAATGAACTGTTAGTTACTAATTCAAATCAAATACTATAAAAACTTTATGTATTTTTTAATTGTCAATATATTACAATAAAAAAATATTTTTATTAATTTAGATAAAATTTTCATTTTTGTCTGTTAAACAAAATACTAATGATATTATTTTTAAAAATCATAAGCATTTTTATTTTATTTTCTCAATAATATTTTTTTATTACAGTTCATTGTGTATTAAATAGTCAATATTAAATAATCACATATTACTCTATTATTAAAGTAATAGAAAATATTTTAACAACTATGAAATTTTTCGTAACATTTAGAAAATTGATTTGATTAGAGAAATTTTTATATAAAATATAAAACTTACTAAATTAATGATAATCACAATACAGTATATTTAGATATTACAGAAATATTAAATTCTTTAAATAATTTTTTATTTTGAAATTTAATTTGAAATCATTTGACATTTTTTGTGGTAAAATAATGATATATATATATATGTAATCATACTATCCTTCAATAGGAGTTAACTGAGATATCTCTCATAGCTATTATCAGTGAGGTTAGGGTGCGATAGGTTGCGATCCAACTAACGATAAACACATAGAGATATCTCAGTTGACCGCCAGTACTGACAAATCAAAGTATAAATATTGTATACCTTTCCGAAACACATATCAAATATATCGCTATTTATTTCGGTTAAATAATTTTGATCAAAAAGTAAGTGATTAAATCGCATAAATTTTATTTAAAAATTATAAAATAATTTTTTTATATGTTTTGCCTGTATATCGGTGCCATAAAACAAACTTATTATATTGTTTCAGCGGTAACAAAAGAATTGATCTAGCTTACTTATTATAAACTTAATAATTAACATTACCTAGTTAATACTTTTTAAAAAAAATTATAATCAAATATTTATTTTATTAATTATAAACAAATTCACATTCAATATACAGAATCTGTTACAGTATATATATATTATTATGTATGTAAAAATATATTGATTACCTTGCTAATAGTTTTACTCCCTTTATAAATTAATTGTTTCACTGTTGTGATGACAACGACTATAAGTAATATTTTAATAGATTACAAAAACGAAATTGTTAGGTATTTAATTAGGTATCTATATATGTAATATAATGTAATATTAGTATATAAAAAAAATATTTCACATCTATTTAAAAAAATTGATTTAGAAATAAAAACGTAACAATTTTGTTTTAAAGTACTATGAGTACAAATTTACATTATTTTCTAATACAGTACTAAAAAACCGGTTTCTAAAGACAAAACAAATTATCATATATTTTGTAAAATAAGTAAAGTATAAATTTGAAATTTCTATTATTATAAAGATTATCAGTTTTATTTTTAATGATAACAAACTAATTGTCAAAATTAGAATTTATTTTATTTATATATAAAGATTAGGTTATAGTAAAAAAGTTTAAATAAATGTTGTCTTTTAAAAAAATTAATTTTATTTTAATAGACTGTGTATTATTGATATCAATTGTGTTAATCAGTGATTGTTTAACACAAGAAACCAAAGGCGGAACAAAAGGAAGAGTCAAAGGTTTTCTTCGACGACAAAGAATGTCTCCGTTAAGACGCGATGGTATTGTTCCCGATATTATCGATTCCGTACCAAAAAACAAGATAACTGTTTGTCGAAACTTTTAGAAATATTTAATTTCTAAGTTTAATATTAAACATCACTTATTATGTAATTTTTAGATCAAATATTCATCTGGAGTTGAGGTCAACTATGGCAACGAATTGACACCAACACAGGTTAAAGACAAACCACAGGTCAATTGGCCGACAGAATCGGGTGCTTATTATTCGATAGCAATGATAGATCCTGACGCCGGGACGGGTCGATTCAAACATTGGCTAACTATTAATATTCCCGGCACTGACATCAGTCAAGGGCTTACGTTAGCTGACTATATGGGTTCGGGTCCTCCACAGGGAACTGGATTACATAGATATATATTTTTGGTGTACAAACAGCCGGATGTTCTCAAAACTGATGAAATACAGGTTACCAATCGAAGAATTGATGGTCGCATAAACTGGGATATAAGAGATTGGGCTAAAAATCAAAATTTGGGCGAACCTGTAGCCGCTAATTATTATAAAGCACAATACGATGATTATGTGCCCATTTTGTTCAAACAAATTGATTTCAGTTAATTAAACACATTTACCATAATAACAATTATACAGTGTTATAATATGTATTTGTTTTAATATTAATTATTAAAACTGATATAATAATTAATATATTCTATTTTTATATTTTATTGTAACTAATTTGAAATATAATATTTAAATTATCATTTATCTAACAGTATTCTTTATTTTTTATAAATTACAATTATTTTGCTTATATTTTTAAAAAATATTTTTCGTGTTTAACTTTTAACTAAATTTATGTATTTTTAAAAATTAATATTTATTTATTTAAATATTAATAATAAAAATAATTAATATTATTTGACTTCAAATACTGTTTCCGTTTGTCGATAACTCTTTTGCTAATTCAATAGTAAATTATTTAAATTATAATATAAAATAGTTAAACATCTCATACATATAATTCATAACATTCATATAATTTTTAATGTTTATTTAAATTTATTAGTTTATAAATGACAGAAATAATTATAATTTTTATGTTTACAGATTAATGTAATAGTAAAAATAAATTATATGTAAGACATGAGAGATATATTTAATCAAAATAATAAATAGTTATATGTTTTACTTAAAAAACATTTCCCACACATATATAATCTTTGTTTATAAGATGTGTTGTCCACTATAGTGACAACTGTCTTTAATTAATGTTTAAGTGTATTACTCTATGTTAACTAATGTTTTACTCTCTATTTATGTTTATTTATCTTTTAAAAAATATAACTTAAAGTAATAAAACAAATACTTCCCGGGTAGGGATTTTTACCAAATTTGATTTCAAAGTAGTTTAACTATAAACAAACCATAATTAATGGGTACAAACTTTGTACCACTAAACACAGATAAGTTACAGACCTCCAAACATGTCCCCACTATTGCAGCAATATTTAGTCCTCCAATGGAGGACTACTGCAAAAATGAATCTGACTTATGATTGGTAAGTACCGGAGCCATGGACCTCAACAGTATGCAGTATAAAAGCAACTGTCAATGAGATCCCCCATATGTGGGATACAGGATCAAGTATTAAGAGATCCACTCATTTTATGTATTTTCTATGTTTATTATATTAATAATTAATAATTGTATTTTAATATAACCTATGATAATCAAATAAAGTTTTTTATATTTAATCGAATTAAACTGTGTCACAATTTATTTACCATCATCGACATCACTAACTTCAAGACTAGTTATCTACTCAACGACTGCAACATAAACAATATTATATAATAATAATTAATAAATAACTGCTAGTCTTATATATATTACATTGAAATAACAAATTCTCTAAATTTTAGATTTATTAATAAACTATACTATATTTTAATCATGGTTAATTCAATAAATTTTATATTATATATAAATATATTGTAATAAACAATTTTTTAAATGATAAAGACATGTAATATGTAATAAAATCATTTCTATTTTTTAATAATAGAAAAATATATGATTTAATTAATATTAAATAATACACAATGACTTACATACAGCTATTGTCAAAAAATTAAAAGATTATTTGTTTTTTTTAATATTAATATCATTGGTAATTTGTTTAGCAAAACTTTTATATATATATTAAATAAACTACTTTTTATTGTAATATAATATAAAATAAACTAAGTTTTAATTGTATTTGATTTTTAATTAACAATTCATCTTTAGTGCTAATTACATGTTAAATATAGCCAAAAAAATATAATAGTTTTTTATTATGATTTTAAGGTAATAAATTTTATTTCGTTTTTATATAAATTTATTAATTATTAAATCAAAATGTTGTGATTATTTATGTACTGTAAATACAAAATATCAGTATTGATTATAATTAAACTTATTAGGTACAGTTAACTGCAATATTTATACAATATTATTTTGCTATATAATGATATTAAGCTGTCTATTCAAAAGTGCTAAAATGATAGCTAAAAGTTGATAAAAAATAGTGTAAAAAGTAATTGTATTAAAATATATTATATTATAAAAATTTTCTGTTGCTATTTTAAATAAAAATTTTATTTAATAATATACTAAAATTCAATTAATTTGCAAATCAATTAATATTTAGTAAGTCATTTATGAATTAGACTTTATGGTTGTTATGATTGTTTTAATAATACTTTTATAAAAACCGGTTGTTAATTAATAAACAAATTATCATATATTTTCTCAAAAGTATAAAGATTTATCAGTTTTATTTTATAATAGATAACAAATTATTTGTAAAATTAGCATTTTTTATTTAAATATAAAAACAATTGTATAAAAAATAAATACTATAAATGTTGTCTTTTAATAAAATTTATTTTATATTATTAGACTGTGTGCTATTGATATCAATTGTGTTAATCAGTGATTGTTTAACACAAGAAACCAAAAGCGAAACAAAAGGAAAAGTCAAAGGTTTTCTTCGACGACAAAGAATGTCTCCGTTAAGACGCGATGGTGTGGTTCCAGATATTATCGATTCCGTACCAAAAAACAAGATAACTGTTTGTTAAAATTAAATACTAAAATCTAAGTTTAATATTATATTTTAGTTATTTTATAATTTTTAGATCAAATATCCATCTGGAGTTGAGGTCAACTTTGGTAATGAATTGATACCGACACAGGTTAAAGATCAGCCACAGGTCAACTGGCCTACAGAGTCGGGAGCATACTATACGCTAGTAATGATAGATCCCGATGCTCCAAGTCGTGCAGATCCTCAATACGGTCAGTGCAAACATTGACTAATCATTAATATACCGGGCAATGACATCAGTAAAGGACGTACTTTGGCTGAATTTGCTGGTTCGGGACCTCCGCTGGAAACTGGATTACATAGATATATATTTTTTGTGTACAAACAGCCGGGTATTCTTCAAACTGATGAGAAAACGGTTAGCAACCGATCGCTTGAGGGGCGTATGAAATGGGATGTCAGGAAATGGGCTAAAAATTATAACCTTGGAGAACCTGTAGCTTGTAATTATTACCAAGCTCAATTTGATGAATATTCTATCATTTTGCGCAAACTAATCGAAAATAATCAATAATCTATTATTTGATAATAATAATAATAAATTTATATAGAGAGTCAGTTGATATATTTTTTGTTTTATTAAATAATTAGACTAGTTTAATATAGTTTTATAATGTATTAAAAATCAATTTATCAATAAGTTTGTATATTTAATTAATAAATTATGTTAAAATATTAAGTTAGTTGTTTTTATGCTAATCATCAAATTAAATTTAAACAATGTTTATTTTAATTTTAATATTAATAATAATTTATGAATAAAATATTTTATTTAAAAATTATTTGAAAGAAAATATTTTTTTCACTTATATAACTATTTTAGTCTTTATTTTTTAATCCTATCTCTTGTTCCTATAAATACTTTTTTCTTCTAAATTTTAAATATTTATTAATTACCTCATATAATCTTAGTTTTTATTTTAATTGGATATTTTTGTAAATTAAAGTAAAACTCATAATATTAATTTTTACAATTTATTGTAATAGTATAAATAAACAATATTACCTTGAAATCATAATTACTGTATATTTAAGGCTTATTAATATATAAGTTTATAATATACAGTACAATATATGTAATTTTATTATATTTTCCTTTATAATGATAACTAACCATAATGATAATAAATATCCATTCAAAGGTGATAAAATGATAGCTTAAAGTTACATAAATAGACAAAAGATTAATTAAAAGTTGTTTTGAGTAATAATAAATAACTCATATGTAAACTAAAATTTTGGAAAAATGTTTATTATTATATGATATACACATATATTTAATATAATCTTATTCTTCATTATTATTTAAAATGTTAAATAACTTCAATTGGATACCTTAATAATATACTTGAAATAATTATCAGTAGAAAAATGCACTAAAACTGAACTGTTAATAACAAACTTGTAAAAAAATATTATACAAAAAAGTAAACTTATATTATATTATATTAATTTTTGTATTTAGGTTTTCTTTTGTTTTTTAATTAAAAAATAGTTTAAGTGGAAAATTAACTTTTATTTTATATTAATTTACCTAATTAATTTATTTTGTAAGTGATTTATAAAATTAATATTAAATATAGAAAATTTATTTTATTTATGAAAATAAACTAATTATGTTTAGTATATTTCAATTAAAAATATTATTGAATAGCAAATAAATGTTGTCTTTAAATAAAATTAATTTTATGTTATTAAATGTTGTGTTCTTAATATCAATTATTTTTATCAGTGATTGTTTAACACAAGAAACCAAAGGCGGAACAAAAGGAAGAGTCAAAGGTTTTCTTCGACGACAAAGAATGTCTCCGTTAAGACGCGATGGTATTGTTCCCGATATTATCGATTCCATACCAAAAGACAAGTTAACTGTTTGTTAAAATTAAATACTAAAATCTAAGTTTAATATTATATTTTAGTTATTTTGGTAATTTTCAGATCAAATATCCATCTGGAGTTGAGGTCAACTATGGCAATGAATTGACACCGACACAGGTTAAAGACCAGCCACAGGTCAACTGGCCTACAGAGTCGGGTGCATACTATACGCTAGTAATGACAGATCCCGACGCTCCAAGTCGTACAGATCCTCAGTACGGTCAAGTCAAACATTGGTTGACCATTAATATACCCGGCACTGACATCAGTCAGGGACATGCGTTAGCTGAATATATCGGTTCGGGACCACCACCTGAATCGGGTTTACATAGATATATATTTTTGGTTTACAAACAGCCGGGCGTTTTTCAAACTGATGAGAAACCGGTTACCAACCGATCGCGTGAGGGGCGCATGAAATGGGATGTCAGGGAATGGGCTAAAAATCATAACCTTGGAGAACCTGTAGCTTGCAATTATTACCAAGCTCAATATGATGACTATGTACTTATTTTGCGTAAACAATTAGAAAACAGTCAGTAATAAAATATAAAAATTTATTATATATTTTGATAAATACATTTAATATTAAAAATATACAGTTAAATTATATACTTATTTTAATAATTAAACAGATCTAATATATTTTTATAGTCTATTGATTTAAACATTTCACTATTAAAACAACATTATCGAAAAATTTGTTTATTTTATTAATAAATTACAGTATGTTAAATATTTAACCAATTATTTAAATGTTTAATTTACAGAATAATATAATTTATAAATATTTTAATTTTGTTGTTTGCATTGAATCAAATGATGATATAAATAAAATAGTATTTAATTTAATTTAATAGAAAATAAAATTTATTAAAAACTAGATCATCACAATTAATACAAATGAGATTACAAACTTTCATTTTAAAACTAATAATAATACAGGAATATATGTTACATTTGAAAATATTATTTTTTAAAAAAATTAAAACTCGAATTAATATTACCCCCCAATATATAAAAACATGTCAAATGATATACAAAATCAATGAATTATTATTATTATTATTATTATTAGTATAACAAACGAGTGAGCCATAAAAATTAAATTAATTTAATAATAAAAATCAGTTTACGGCTCATAAACGTTATATAAATGAGCAAATAGTTACATTTTTTTTAAAAAACGGCTATTTATACAAACAATTAAAAATTAAAAACTGATTAAAAATAAAATTAACTAAAAACTTAATCAACAGCCGCTTATTTAATTGACGGCAATAATGCGATTATTATTATTAATATTGATATGATTTTTGTTGACATTATTATTGTTGTTAATGTGATTATTATTGCTAACCGGCGATGACTTGCCATACATGGCGTCGATGTCTTTCTGATAAAAATTTTGTATATTTTTTCGTTTGAGTTTCAGTGCAGCCGTAATCAGATCATTGGCCGGCGTCCACTCTTCCGAAACTAACTTGACTTTTGTCGGTATTTCCATTTTGTGAAGACGCGAATCGACGGCAAACTGGATCAGCTCTTTGAGCACTGCGTCCATTACACGCCGATCGTCGTACAGCTCCGGTAAGGGCTTATCGTTGAGCTGATTGAGATCCAGTTCCTGTGCAAGTTTGCGCACCGACTTTGCGTTTGGCAATACAAGTGCCACTAAATTGCTGTGCATTGAATCGCCGTAAACACAGACATTGTCCACCTTTTAAAAACAATTCAATGATTAGTTAGGATTATATTATTAGGGATATCAGTGCTGATTAAAAGTTATTTAAGTTACTTACGAGACGGCTATTTTTGAGCTCAGCCTCAACCTATATATAAATAATTAAAAAAAATATTTAAAAAATTATTAGTATAATTATAAAATATCAAATATTTTATTATTAAATATTATATTTTTAAAAAAAATGATATTTTGCATCCATACCTTTCCTAATGAGATATACTCTCCAAACTGCAACTTCACGAGATCTTTCTTGCGATCGATAATCTTGAAGACACCCTTTTCATCCACTTCTGCGATGTCACCCATTGTGAACCAACGTAAGCCATCTTTGTCCTCAAACTCTTCTTCAGTTTGTTTGTCTAATTTATAATATCCTGTGGCGATGTGATCACCTCCTATGATGAGCTCTCCTCTTGGATAAGGCTTATCGGTAACACGATAGCCACCCTCTGGCCAATCAATCATTTTGGTTTTGATGCCAAACAGTGGCGCTCCAACCTTTCCGTAGCTCATGTCGTCAAAGTCCATAATAATGGAAGCGGCGGATGTCTCTGTTGAACCAAATCCCTGTCCAAAATAAATAAAACGGTTAATACCAGACATTTATTACTTGTAATCCATAAGCAAATATACTGTACCTGTAATAGTTTACAATTGAGCGCCGCCTGCATTATCTTCTGCGTCTCTGGACTGAGTGGTGCTCCGCCGACAATCATAATGTCCAATTCGCCACCTACCTGTGCTCGTACTTTACTACAAAATAATTTATTTACAATTGGTGTATCCATTCCTCTTAGTCGCCAATAGGCTTTATAATTGAGTGCATAGTTGAACAATTCTTTGGTGAATTGACCCCTCTTTTCCATTACTTCAAACACACCCTTTCGTATGCGATCCAGAATTAAGGGTACGGACGGCATAATAGTAGGCTTAAGTAAAGTGAGATCTCCTTTATCACCTCTTCTGATAGCAGTTCCCGAATCCATCAGTGTGTTGGCCGTACCGTAACCCATGCGGACACCGACAGAGAAAAAGAAAGTTTCGGCACAAAACTCTAGGGAATGAGCTAATGGTAGGTAAGCCATGAATCGGTGTTTGTCTGCATTTCGGATGATTTTGTGGTCTAATATAGTCAACACTGAAGATACAGAAGCCATAAAGTTCTTATGTGTTAACACTACACCTTTAGGCGTTCCCGTTGATCCTAATATTTTAGTTAATTATAGAGGAAATAAATACATTTATTATTATTATTATTATTTTAATTAGACTAACCAGACGTATACAAAATAACCGCCACATCATCAGGTGTTGGATCGACACCAACCAATGATTTAGGTGCTGCCTGTCCCTGACTGACCATCTCTTTGAATGGCACCAGTTTGATATCGTCGCCGAAGTCGATACCGTTAAGAGCTTTGGGTCCCTCAATATATATAACGGTATTAACTAATGGTATCTTAGTCTTCATTTTAGCCAACTTTGCTAACATATCCTGTGTTGTGATAATGTGTTTCACTTCCGTTTCATTGATGCCATGAATGAGACCGTCGTCTCCCAGCGAGACGTAAAGTGTGGCAATTGAGGCACCGATTCGTACGATTGCCTGAGCGCTTAAAAACCATTCTTTAGTGGGGAAAGGGAGGCGAGAAAATCAAAATTATTAGCAAACTATTAATTATGAATTAATTAAATTGTATGTGCGATATATCATTGCATAACATTTAGTTTTAAAAAAATAATCACAAAAAGTAAATGTATAAAATTAATGCTTATCTTATATTTTGTGAATAATTATCAATTAAAAAAAAATTTAAACTGCATTTAATCAATTATCACAGAAATTGATATACTATTTTTTTTCATTGAGAAATCATTAAATTAGGTTTAATGATAATATGTATGAAACTACAAACCAGTCTCTGAAAGACAACTATGAAAGATATGGTTTTATATTTCTTACATTTTTTATAAAGTCTTTTGATTGAAAACTATGGTATCAAATGTTATCTATGTCTAACTTAATACATATTTTCACTTATTTGCCTTGAATTTTAAGACATGAGCTAAAACTATATGAATTAAAACGATGACAATAGTGTCTATAAAATACATACCGAGACGAGTGTCAGCCAGAATGAGAACAGTATCTTTTGGTTTGACACCATTGGTCAACAATCCACGAGCGATATCACCAATTTGGTCGTCCACATCACCGATGGTCAACCATTGATAGTCTGTTAGTCGCCATTTCATAAACACTTTACCGTTGGATTGTCGTTCGCCTTCTTCGCCGAGGATTTCCCGAAATCCAAGTGCCGGTCGGTTTCTGCCGTTCTTTTCGAGTGACATTCTCTGAGCTTCGGGTATTGTCTGACATTTGGTCACATAATGCTCGACTCGTTGGCCAGTTCTCACGTACGGCGAATGTAAATCATTTGGGTCTTCCCGTTCGGATCGAACTCTGTTGGCCTTTCGTAGTCGAATCCACGGCCGTTGGATCAGATAATAGATGGGAAATGTGATCACATCATACAATATCACTAAACATTTGATAGCTATAAGACCCGGTGATGGTCTCGACCGACGATGATTATTAGTGTTGGTTGTCTCGGTTGACATTATTAGACGATATATGCTTTTTAGGACTGAGCTATTGAGACACTGATGAGAGTATAGTTTTGAGCAAAATTTTTATAAACAGTATATATATATATAGTTGAGATTTGTTTAAATCAGTTGATTGAAAGTTTAAAGATTAAGATATATCTGTTGAATAAAAAAAATTATATATAAGTTTATTCATATATTCAAGAAATATTATGGGAAACTTTTCACTTCATTATTATATGAAAAAAAACTTTCTAATCGTTCGGAAATTATATATATATATATTAAATAAAATCATTTTTATTTTATTTATAACACTTAATAAAGAGACAGTCAGTCAAAGAAATAGTTGGAAATGCCTATAAAATTTGTGTAGACTTTGAACTATTTTCAATGTACACGTGCTCTTGAATATCAATTAAAAAAAAATTTTAGTTCACAAAATCAAATGATTACTCAAAAACAAAACTTAAATTATAAACTATAAGATTTGTAACTTAAATCTCCAGACATTTAATATAATCGTTAGGCAAAAATCAATTGTCATTTTCTTTCTCATTATTTGCCAAATGAGTCGTGAAATTTGATTCAAAAATAAAAATTGACAAAATTACTGTAATTTACATGTGTTTGAATAAATAACTTAATTTATTTAACAAATTCACATATGAATTATGCACCTATTTTTTTAATGCACTACTAAATCATTTAATAATTATATTTAAGTTAAATTGAAAAAAATTATTATCAATTTATTCATTTATATATTATAAATTTATTTTATAAAATAAAGTAATTAGAATGTGTTTGAATAAATTGTATATAAACTTTAATTAAAGCTAATTAAACAATTGTATTTTTTTTATAAATTTCGCAAATTACTAATTAAATTTTATCAATGTTAGTTTTATATATTATGCAATAACAACTTAATTAGTTAATACTAAAAATGCTAATTTACAATGTAAACAAACTTTAGTACAATTAGACTATAAATTACTTTTTTTAATAATGTGTTTGTGTGTTAATATCAGATTATTTTTTAATATCAAAATTGATACAATTTATTGAACAATAATACTATTGTAATTGCACTACAATACATATTTTAGCTATTAAATATAATATAAATATATATCATTATTAGATTTTAAGTTCAAATTTCATTAACTTAATCAAATATAATGTAAAATTTATGATAAAAGATATCTAAATTATATCTCTTATGACTATTTTAATATTTCTTTAATTAATTGTTTATTGAATAAAATATATATAATTTTTATATTTTTTAAATACAAATTATCAAAAAAAAATAATTGTTATAATTTTTTTAATAGAATTTACATAATTTTGATAATTTTATAGTTAGTTTATTATCAATGATTTCTAAATATAAATTTTGTTGATTTAAGAGGCGTTAAAACAAACATAAATTGCAGTCAAAAACGTGTCTAATTTATGATCTTAAAGCTGATCAAAGTTTATGATCAAATATTATGGTCTGGTTTTATGACATTAATAGTAATAAATGTTATCAAATAATTTTACCCAAAAATATAAAACACTTGCGGTTAAGGTTCACAATAATCTATATAAACAGTGACAAAGTACTTATAAATATGCGGTGCAATAATGGTAGGAAATGTTTTCACTATTTATTTATTTTTAAATAAAAATTTCTATTTTTAGTAACAGATTTGTTTAATTTGTTATGATCTGTTATAATTCAATAAATAAGATTTAAAAAATAGACTAAACTATTAGTAAAAAAAAGTATTAAATATTAATAGATTTTTAAAAATTATAATAAAAAACTTTAAAATCTATAAACAATTAAACTAAATAAAATACAAAGACTAAAAAATAATATAATAAAGCACTTTCAAAAAATATATAGATAGATATATATAGTCAAACAATAGTTATATGATATTAATTTTTATAATATAATATTTATATAATATTTATATAGTATTTTATTATTGTTACAATTTAAATATTGCATTGTAATTGTGTATAAATTACTATATTTATTAATTACAATTAGTTTATTATATTTTATTTAATAATATATTATTTTTATTTAATTCATTGATTAAACATTAATTAGATATATATTATATTTTGCATTAGTAATTAAATAAATTATGATATGATATAATTTATTATATAATAATTAATAATAATAAAAGAAATTTTCCTCTATTAATATTTATTAGGTATTTTAATTTTGTTGATAAAAATAAATATTTATAAATATTTATAAATGAATTAATTGATATTTTGTTTTTATGTCATTGAAATAATTTTTAAATATAATTAGTAATAATAAAAGTAATTTTTTTCAAACATTAAAATTCTTTGTTATAATATTCTTAAAATAGTGTTTTATAAAAAATTTAGGCATTTATGTAAATTAACATTTCAACATTATTTTTAGGGACAACAATTGGGAATCACCTTATTTTTTTATCTAATAACTAATAACAACTAGTCTGATAAAAAAAACAATGATTTTGAAAAAAGTGTTGTTTTGCAAACTATTTTATCATTATATTTAACCGATTAAGCAATTGTGTGGAAAACAATGTTTAAGTTATCAGTACATTAGTATTAGTATTATTATTATCAATAATGAAGATAAATATTATAGATATCTACATAAACACAATATATTGCAACACTGAATGTAAAATAACAGTATTGTTATTCAGTATTTCTAAGTAAATAAATAATTAAAAATTTTAAAAAATAATACTTTAGTTTTATAACTAAATTAACAAGCAAAAATAAATAAAATTTCACATACCTTTATTATAACAACAATATAAAAATGATAACTTGTTAAATAAAAATAATTTATTAATTAAATATAAGTTTTGTTTAAAAATTTTAATTTAAAACAAGTTTACAACAAAAATAAATATTTCACTGACACTTTTGTGTTTCCATAGCAAACATTTTTGAACTTAATTTATATATAAACTCTTTTTAATTAATATACTGTATATTATATTATATATAATTTATATACACTTTCTATTTCAGGAAACTAAGTACACGATAAACATTTGGTCAATAAGTCAACGATCACTTGGCTTTATAGGTACCACTTTAATACCAGTGCTTACTATAATCTTTAATTGAAAATGGACTGTACGTATATATATATGGAAATGGATTAAAGTATATATATATACAGTATATATATTGTAATATATTAGTCGCAAAATAGTGATGATAGAGTTAGATGAAAAAATAAGGGTTGATTGCACTGGTGATGGCAAATGTTTGGTAGTATCAGTACATAAATTGTAGGCATGTGCTACTTAACTGCGTGTATAATAATAATACTGTGTATCGTCGGGACAGTTAGTTTGTATTTTGGCCTTTGATTTTGGCACCACATCTCACGCCACCAGCTGTTATCAGTTTTAGTCAATCATCAAATATACGCATAATATACTGTATATATATATATACATATATGTTACATATATATAATATACAAACTTGTATATGTTTATGAATAATATGACTGTTTTATAATAAAATTAATATACACACTGTGTATATTTATATATATTATATATACACAAAAAATAGATAATGATTTTTATAATTTTATTAAATCAATAGTCAAACGCACGCACACATACAACAACAACAACTGTATTATTGATTTGTGATTATTACAACAGCGATATTATCACAGATTATTAAAAAATAATAATATATTTTATAAGTTGATATTTTTTCCTATAGTTGATACATTAGTTTTTGTCAATCGGGATAAACAATGTTTTTTAAAAAAAATTATCACATTTTATTATGTTATTTTATTCATCACATATGTATTTCACAAAAAATAAAATATTTATTATATTCATAGATAAATGTATTAATATTTTAATAATAGGAAAAATACTGTAAGTTTAGAAAACAACTTTTTTTTCGTATTAGATTTAATTATCATTTAATGTAAATGCAATTGAATTGATAGACAGACAGTGGAATAGAAAAAGAGAGAGAAAAAAAATTATGTTATAATAAAATATAACTATTAATGATTGTATTTAATTTGATTTTAATTGATATTATTTGATCGTTAAGTCAATAGTGTGTCGGCGATGAAGAGGGCATATAATAATAGCTTAAAGGGTAGTATTGGACAAGAGGTGGAGGACTGATAGATATACAGACATACATACAAACACACAATTATTGTCACAACTGGTAAACACTGTATTAATATCTTATTGAATGGTGAGCCAAATATTTTTGGTTAAATATACAGAATATATATATAAAATATATAGTTATAATCTATATATAAATTTATTTATAAAATATCAAGTTAAACATTAAGTTAAAAACATAAATTTAAGAAAGTATGCTTAAAATATACTGTTTTTATTTTGAAGGACAATATTTTATATTTTACAACAAAAACAACATCAACAACACGTTAAACTATTGACACAACAAATAGTTACAACCAATTTATAATCATTTTTTAAAAAATCATATTATTATAGATAATATAGTAGTAATAGTAATAATACAATGAGAAAGCCTTGAAAACATCCTAACATTTTGAAACTCCAAGAGAGTTATGAAATTATATAGTATTATTGGTATTTATACAATATTAGTAAAATGATAATAATGTTAGTATAATATATTTCTAGTAATAATCAGGTATATAATAATATCAAATAAAAAAAAGTTATTTTGGCTGCATTTTAACAATTTTTTTGTTTTGATTTTTCTGTTGCAAAAAAACACATGACTTTTACTTTGATGTCATATTTAGATTCAGTCACATTTTGAGACTGATATATATATAATTAGTATTTTAATTTTTTTTATAATTATTATTATTGCTATATTATGTTGTTTTAATTTACTTAAACTCGATATTATTTTGAAATTTGAAGTCATGATTATGCAATGACTAGCAAGATAAATAAATAAATAAATAATAAACTTTATTTTATTAAACTATATTTTAATTTATTGTGCTAAAATAATAAATATAATTGTTTATTTTTTATTTCTAGTATTAAATAATTCTCAGTTAATAAATAATAATTGTATTAATTTTATTATTATTAATATTGTTGTTAAAAATAATTTAAAATATTTAAAAAAAAACTAAGTAAATAATAAAAGTATTTATTTTAATTGTTAGTCTAATGAAAAATTATTTTATCAAACATGAAAATAAAATTACAAAAATGAGTTGCATGTGATTTGCTTGATTAAGTTAAACTAAATTTATTCATGTTAAATTTTATATAAAAAAAACAAATTTCATATAAAAGTTATTTTTGAAAAATGATTGCAAAACATTTGATTAGTTATAATAAGTAATTTATTTAAATTTTATATGACATTTATACTGATTAGTAGGTGACGTAAGATAAAATTATTAATTCAAATAAATTGTTATATGATTTTTTACAAACATACATAATAATAATTTAAATAAATATTATTATTTTGTCCATTAAATATTTTTAAAAAACCTATTTAATTTCTTTTACTTATAATTTATAAGTTATAAATGTATAATTTATCATTAGCTTAGCAATAACGTTAATTATTAGATAAATACAGTATTGATAGTTTTAATTAAATCTATAAATAATTATTTAAGTACTTTATATCTTATAATTTATTTTAGACTAAACTAACATTTATTTAATTATTTAATTCATTTAACAAACAAAGTTTTTGTGTTATTTAGAAATTTTTTTAATATTATATAAATTTTATTTAATTTCAGTTGCAATTATGACTAAACTTAGATAAAATAAAAATTAAAAAATATTAATATACAGTATTAAAAAAATAAAAATTTGATTGATTATAATCAATCTATTGTTAATACATAATTATTATAAAATATAATTTCAAGTTTAAGCTTTTGTCAATTGAATGTCAGTAAAATTATTAATCAGGGAAATTTTTCAATTTTAATTTTAATATTATTATTAAAATTATTTTATATGTAATATACAATATTTATATATATAAACAGTCTAATATTATAGAAACATATAAAAAACCAATATCTTATGTCTACATCAATACATAATTAAATTAGAGGACATCAATTTTTATTAGCTAATAATTAATAATTAACGATTTATGTTAATGACTTTTTAAAAATAATTTACTTAAATTATTATAATTATTATTTAAATTGTCTTTAAATTCTATGTATGTAATAGTTATGAGTACATGAATTGAATAATTTTTTTTTTAATTTATTGTGTAACATTATAATAAAAAAAATAATGACATTAAAAATGTAAATTTAAAATTATGATATAAATCTATTTTGGGTACATTATAAATTTAATTAATTAAATTATGCATTAATTTATCAGATGATAATAAATAATTTAATTTTAAATAGAGTCTTCAACAGAGGCGGCGGTTATTATAGTAATTACAATTATATGGTCACCAATAGGTTGAATTAAAAAAATGATCAATGTAAAATTATAGATAAGTTTAAACTAAAAAAAATTTAATTAATTGTATGAATAGTCAGATAATTTAAAGTCGACTCAAAAAATTTTTAACAAAAATAATAACTAACTGCATTTATCTGGTAAATCATACAATTAATTAAAAAATAATCAATTACAATTTTATTTAATCTAAAATTATCTACAACTTTTTCCATGGTCATTTTTAAATTTAACGTATTTATATTAACGCATTAAACTAATATTTCTCAATTAATATTCAAATTTTCAGTTTAATATTGCATTAATTTTTATTTATTATATTTATGCAATAATAACTTTTATAAATGTTTAATTTACCTAATAAATATATATATATTTACATAGTATGTCCATTTAACTCTTTATATTTGCATAGATGTAAAAATTAATTATAAATAAACTAAATTATTTGATAATATAATATTAATTGTCGAATTTTTAAATATTTTATTTTACATATTATATAAATAGATTTAATATACAATTTGGTCAATTAATAAGATAATATTTTTTATAATTTTAAAAAGGTCGGTATTTTAAAAATAATTTTGTTTTTTTAGATACTATTTGTCAAAATATTTTATTTTTGAATCTAATTATATTGATTTTATTATTATTAATGAAAGTGTTTCTTAACCTTATTTTTCATACCAGACAAGTCCTATACAAAACTCGTTAAGTATAGATTAAAAGCAATATAAATAAAAAATTATTTTATGATAAAAAATTAGTATATTATAAAAAAAACTAATGTCTAACAAATAGTGTCACGACATCTAAACCTGATTTATTGTAATAGAAATTAATAGATTAATAGACTCATTCAGTAATATAATATTAATATAATAGTAATTTTTTCTATTAGAAATATATATACCTTATAATGCCTTATAATTTAATTGTTTGTATCAAATATACTGTAAGCTGTTATATATTTTGATATAAAAATAAGTTTTCAAAAAAAAGTTTTAAACCTAAATATATTTTTTTTACTGATAACTAATACACAAAGTTGAATGTCAATTTTAATTGTATGTTTAAATTTAATGTCATTGATTTTTTATACGTCTAATGTATATTTCTATAAAAATAAATTGTTTTTTTTTGTTTCTAAAATAACATTTTTATAAAATTAAATAGAAAATCAATTTATTATGTATTTTTTATTCTAACAATTGATCTAAAATATTTAATTATATACATATGATAATTGGTTGATTAATATTTTAAGATATTAGACCACAATTACTAGCAAAATGTGTTTAGTTTGGTTTGACTATAAATATGAGGTCCGACTGCAGTCAACAATCATTCAAAACAACTTTTCAATTCATTTGTATTTGAAAAGAAATTTTAGCAAACTATCAACAAAATGGTAAATATTTTGCTAAAATAGTGTTTTTTAATGATATTATGTGTAAATTGTTATAAACTTAATGTTAACTAAATGTTTATATTAACTCCTATTCAGAGGCTGTATATAATATGTTTGGCAGTTATGTTGGGTGTCCTTCTCATCGGTCGCAGTCGGGCCGAGTTTAGCGACTTCGGCGACTTTGATAACGACGACTTTGGCAGTGAAATGACATCGGGCAGTGACCTGTCCTCTGGTGGCGACGACGGTGGCGGTGGAGGTCTATATTCTAGAGGAGGAGGTGGTGTCGATCTGTACTCAAGTGCTGATATGTCTCACGATCTCGTGTTTGACGAAACAACGTTTGACTCGTTTGGCGACGACTCTGACCTACTGTCCGGTCATAAAGGTTTAACTCTTATATCCAATTAATTGCAAACACTTCAACAACAATAAACCAAAAAAATCATTTTATTTTCTGGGCTCCGGTAGGTTGGAAAAAGAAGGGCTGGAAGAAACACGGACACGGAAAGTGGAAAAAGAAAGGACACAAGGGCTGGAAAAAACACGGGGGCAAAAAGGGGTGGAAAAAACACGGTAAGGGATGGAAGAAACACGGAGGTCATAAAAAGGGATGGAAAAAGCACGGGGGTCACAAGGGATGGAAAAAACATGGAGGCCATAAAAAGTGGAAAAAGTGGTAAACATACTATACTTATCGGACACCGGAAAACCTACAAACTTAATGGCATTCATTATACGGACTATGACTTTGTTATCATCTTAATCATCATTGCGAGGCATTTAAGTTACAATTAGTTGTTTAACCAATTAGTTTCATTTGACAATATTTTATTTAATTTAATTTATATTATTATTATATTATTATTTATGTTTGTAATTTAGAGTAATGTACAATTTTAATTTAATATTTATTATATTTTAATTATTTATTTTATTTATTTATATAAATAATTTAATTTGTATATTTATATTTTTACAATTTCTAATATAGTATTAAAAATGAGAGCAAATAAATAAAAATTAATTGCATTAAAATAATTGTATTAATTTATTTCGATTTTTTTATTATTATTAATATTAGTGAATATATGATAAGTTTAAAAATGATTTACTATAATATTATTAATAATATTATATAGTAAATCATTTTTATTTTTTCACTAATATTTTCAGTATTTAAAAAAACTAATATATATTTTCAAGTATTATCCTCTCCTCGATAGAAAGGGTGTCCTCCAGAAATTCATACGTTGCACAGCCTGTAGTCTAGATTGTCTGGCCTGAACTAACATGTTTAGCAAATTTTTTCCACCATTGGGTCGGCCAGCACTTGACAATTGCTGGTGCATGTTTCTGGCCGGTGCTCGCCTACCTGTTTGCGGTGGCGGCTGATCAGATGGACTCACCGCTGGTATAGTTGCTAATAATTTTTATTTTAGTATATAAAAACATTTTACTAATTATAATTATAATTTACAATTTTAAATTAATTTTTTAATTAAACAAGTATTTACCCTGAGTATTGGGAAAACCAGGTCCCGGTCCCGGTATAATTGGTGGTATAATACGACCGCCTGGTATACGTCTGCGATTACATCCACAGTTGGGCACCAGTAGGACGTATTGGTTTTTAAGGACAGCACTTTTAAACGGTTCAAATTGCGGCTCAACGACACTAGTGTCCAGTTTAGTGTTACCGATATTTATTGATTTTTGCTTATCATTAGTAATAGTAAATGATGACACCATTAATATTAATACATTAAAAATACTAAAAATAACATAAAAAGTGTAACTATATTTCATTATTTAAATTATCTATCATTTATGATAGACATTTTTTTATTGGAAAGTTGTAATTTAAAATAAAGGTATTTTTAAATTAATCTAATTAAACATTTTAATTACAATAATATTGATTATGAAATATAATATTTTTTTTATTAATTAGAATCTGTATTCAAATTAGAATATTTATTATAATTATTATATCGTTTTTTATTGTATCAAACAAATGAGTAAACAATAATAAATTAAATAATAGATCTAAATTACAAATGATTAGTCTACTTATGTAATTGATATCATATATTAACAAATTTAATTAGGACACGATTGTATATTATGTTAATGTAAAGTTAGGAAAAATACTGTATAATAAATATTTGTAAATTATATTTAAAATTTTATTATTGTTTAATAATAAAATAATAAGAAATTATCGAAATTAAACAGTATATAAATGATTACAATTTAAGTAATTATAGTTTATTAATAATTCACATCAATTGTATTGTAAACATAATTAATTATGTTAACTATTTTAATTAATATAAAAATTGTATAATACAATAATGTAAAACATTTTATTATGCTTATTAAATATATTTACATAAAAAATTCAAATACAGTTTAAAAATAAACAAAAACTAATTTATAATAATGTAAAGCTAACTAAATCTTAAAAAATTATACTGTTTTTCAAAAACGATTTATAATATAAATTCTATCTAAAATAATTTAAAATAATTTAATATTTTAAATTGAGATCTAATTAGTTTTAACTTTTATTTTAGAAATTTATTAAATGTTTATTTGTATTTGGTATTACATTATGCTATTTACAATATATTACAATATTTTTTTTACAAAAAATAACAATAATGTGATAAATATAATACTTTTATTAATATTCATTTAACAGAAGTATATTATTATTATTCAGATATTATTAAATCAATCATTTCTTTGCATAAATTTACGTCTTTTTCTGACTCTATTCCTATATTTTTCGCCCATTTTTTCAATTCTTTGTCTTCTTTGTCTAATTCGTGTATTTCTATCCATTTGTCGATCATTTCTGTTATTAATTTTATTAACATTTTTATTAATTTTATTATTATTATTGGATTTTCTATTATTTCTATTCAGATTTCTTCTATTTTTTCTTTTACTCTGATTATTATCATTATTATTATTAGAATTTTGTTTATTTTTATTTTTATTTTTAATTACAAATTTAACTTGATTATTGTTATTTTTATTTTTTATGTTATCATCAAAATTTTTATTATTATTAATAAATTTATTATTTATAAAGTGACTATTATTTGAAAAATTAGGACACGTATGACACGGGTTATCCTTTTTTGTTGATATCGGTGTAGTTGTTGTTGTAGTTGTTGTTGTAGTTGTTGTTGTAATTGTTGTCAACTGTATTGATGTTAATTCTGTTAAATCGTTGTTTGTATCACTTTCTTCATCAATATTATCTTCACTATTACTTTCATAATATCTATCAGTGCTTTGTTTAATCTCACTGTCCTTTCTTAAGGTTTGTGATATTTTTGTTTTAAGACTAATAGGTGTAGTAGTAGTTGTTGTTGCCGTAGATTTTGTCTTACGTTTAGTTTGAATACTTAATGGCAAAACTTTATTATCTCTATTATTAATTTGTTTTTGTTTATTATTAGTTTTGTTATTAATTTTTAGTTTATTTTTAATCTTTCTACGAATTGTTGTTGTCGTGGCCATCGATGTCACAGTAGTCGACAAAGTAATATCCGATTCCTCGGCATTAGTGACGGCAATATCACCGGTGTCTTCAAGTTTTTGTTCATTTGATTCTTGAGTCTGTTTTCTCTGTGAGGCCTGAGTTTGTTGTCCGCCTTCTCCACCCTCTGCTCCCTCTTCAGATGGTTGTGAAGAAGTCGGTTCCGAATTATTAGTCGGTTCTGGATTTCCATTGGGGTTTGTTGGCTGAGTTGGCTGAGTTGGCTGAGTTGGCTGAGTTGGCTGAGTTGGCTGAGTTGGCTGAGTTGGCTCAGTAGGTTCAGTTGYTTCGGTAGGTTCAGTTGGCTCAGTGGGTACACTGGGTTCAGTCGGTTGAGTGGGTTGAGTTGGCTCAGTTGGCTCAGTGGGTTCAGTGGGTTCAGTAGGTTCAGTTGGCTCAGTTGGCTCAGTTGGCTCAGTAGGATCAGTTGGATCAGTTGGATCAGTTGGATCAGTAGGTTGAGTGGGGTCTGTTGGCTGATCGGTAGGTATGGTCGGCGATACTAACAATAAAAATATAACTATAATGCGTAAACTAATATCTATCAAACCTTGAGTTACAGGCCTAACAGCTTGACCACTGGTTCCCGGTACTGATGCACAAACACATAGGAAACGACCGGATGGACCAACTGGTGAAAGAAATGGCCAGTTGTTTGTGGAAAACAAATATAACTTAGAAATGTCTAACTTGTGGATAGTTTTCAAAACTTTTGTATCATTAATATAAGGATTAATTGTTTTTGAAACGGATATATTTCCTATAAATTGATTGCCTGAATATAATTTTACAAATGACAGTATAATGATTACAATTATTATATAACTAAACTTTAGTTTAACTAACATATTATAGTTACAATAAAATAAATTAGAAATATTCAAATACATAAATTATAAATAGTCATTTAAATCATTATTAATTGTTATTATTTTGATAAAAGATTAATATTAAATGATATACATGTGTAGTATATTTATTATTTATTAATATGTCAATCAATAATAATTTGGATAATATTATATACAGATTCTACAGTTGAACAAATAATTAATACATTAACACTTATTATATTGATAAATGTATCTGTGACCTATTAATATTTTAAAATTATAATAAATAAGCAAAAATAATATTGAAATCCATGTTTAAATATTAATATTTTAATGCATAATGCATATACAATTTTAAACAATATTTTAATTAATTTTAACAGAATTATAGTCTAATATACTTTATTATCACTAATAATAATATTTATAACAAAATAATAAATTTGATTTCATGCTTACTGTATAATAAATAAAATTATATAAATTAATGTAATATTAAAATTCTAATTAATTAATGTATATATAAAATATAAAATTAGTTTTGATAATTATAATTAACTATATAATGCAATTTATAATAGTTATCAAATTGTTTTGTAATTACTAAATATATATATATATTAATTTATTGTGAATTAATATAATTATTTTTACAATACTATAATATCAGTTAATTAAATGTATGTTAGCTAACAATAATTAAGTTAAACGATAAATTAAACTATTATTTATTGATTATATTGTTTCATTGAATAATCCTTTTAAAAAATAATTAGATAGTTGTTTATAAAATTAAAGTGATTATATTCTTAATTGTGTATTTTTTTGCATTTTAAAAATATGAATTAATGTATTAATTTTATAATAAAGTACTTTCACTGATAAGTTATCAGACAAAACGTTTTTAAGTTGTAATGTTTGATAATTTCATATATCAATTCATAGATAAAAACGATATTTCATTTTAAATTTAAATAGCTTAGACATTGGATACCTGTAAATAGATTATACTATACTAAAGTAACTTTATGTTAATATTTAAGTTATTATACTATATATTATACAGTGTAAATTTATAATATTATTTTTCAATAAATTATTTTTCGATATATATATACAACAACAACAATAACGTACTCATGTAGTGGTAAATGAAACAGTTTTTAATGCATTGAAAAATACTGTATGAAAACAGATTTATAACTTATGAATTATAAGTTGAAATGTGGGGTCAAACATAAAAACGCCTTTAAAATAAAAACTAGACGTCCTTAATGATTGACATCATGTGGTAAATTGAGTTATTGGACTATTGGGTATATAAAAAAAATTTGTCTCACTTTGTGCTAAACCAAAACAATAGCAGACGCACCACAAGTACATAGATTACACTTACTATTAATATATACATACAGCTTAGTGTGTATAATAACTATGCCTTGTAAAGACTCCGCCCCCATAAGCATTAGACTTTATAATATTGCGCGCATATATATACTGTACTTAGGGTTAGATCAGATTCCCTCCCTCGTCTTATTTTCCATAAGTTCCTTATATTCCCTGTTCCCTGGGAATTCCCAGGGAAGACATTTCCTTGTGGTACCACCTATCGTACCCTAACTCACTTTACATAATGTTTAATTAAAAACACGTTTGTATAGTAAATTTCTACAAAATGTATTTAATGTTTTTACTAAATGTTTAATATTATTTGAATCGCATTTTGATTGAGTTATTGCTAACATAATGGTCCCAATTGAAACACATAGTCATTGAGATTAGGTATTTTTTAATGTATGACAAATTATATTTTCCCTTTCTAACGATCAAGGGAGGGAATATAATATATTTTCCATATTTTCCGGGAAAATTGGAGGGATTTTATTTGGGAACTTCCCTCCCTGGGAATTTCAATCTAACCCTAACTGTACTGTACTGTTATATTGAAATTATTGGCGGCCATTATTGTTTTGGTTTAGCATAAAGTGAGACAGTTTTTTTTAAATAGTATTTAAATTTTATAATATCATCGATTGGTTTATTCGAATAAAATACATAAACCCATAATAGTATGATAAAAATGTTCAAGGACAATTATACTAATTTCGATATTATTACGTTATCATTGTATATACAATAATATTACTGTAATGTATACTAATTTTTTTATACTTGTATTTTATGTATTAATATTATTATTAAATAGTATTGTTTTTTAAAAACTTTTTTTATTAAAAAAAAGTTTAAATTTTTATACATCTAGTCTATAGATTCTATAAATATCGTAGAATTTATTTTATTTTTTAAATTTATTTATTTAACTATATAAAAAGTTTTTTTTTTAAATTATATTATTAGTAATTTATTTAGAAAACTAATTTTAATTTTTAATATTATTTTAAATAAAAAAAACCAAATATGAGTGATAATAATAGTGATATTAATGATACAAACAATGAGTCAAATAAGCCAACCCTTCATCTGGAAAGGGGTCGAAATGTTGATAACTATAAGGAAAAGTGTCATCAATTATGTCAACAATATTTGGGAGGCGTTTGGTTGGACACGACTGTCGAGGATATGAAGATCAGGCGACTGAGTGGTGGACTAACCAATCAGATATACTATTGCGGTATCGATGAAAAACTTAGTACCACTGGTGATGGTGTACCCCATGAAGTGGTTGTCCTCTACTATCAGGACAAACATTTCAAGGAAAACGAACGGTTGTCCGATACGGTTATATCGGTAATGATGTCCGACAATAATTTGGGACCAAAATTGTGCGGTGTTTTTCCCGGCGGACAAATTCAAAAATTTTACAAGGTACTATTTTTTATAAATACAGTATACTAGTACAGTTAGTAGTATTAATAATAATTTATTATGCTAAATATTTTTAACATCACTAGTATTTTTTAAATTATATCAAAATAAAATTAATAATAATAATTATAAATAATTATAATATGTTATATGTTATACAATTATAAGTTTACATAATATTGAATATTATTAAGCATTTTATTGTATGAAATATTATTATTATTTTATTATAATTTTTACTAATTTTTATGAAATCATTGTTTAGAACAAGAATTTCCGAGTAGACCAACAAAATAACCCGAAATTAGTGAACAAATTAGCAAAACAGTTGGCCAGAGTTCATGCACTGGATGTACCAATTAATCGGTCAACCGATTGGATGTTTGATTATTTTTACGGATGTTATCAAAAAGCCAGTCAACGTTTTGACTTACCGGCGCTTATTGACGAGTGTCAGTGCGAAACACTCAAACTGTATGATATCAAACAAGAGTTGGATTGGCTTAAGGATGTGATCACCAATTCAAACATTCCGGTTGTCTTCACTCACGTAGACTTTCGCGGATCCAATATAATGATCACTGAAGACGAAGATATAGTAGTTTGCGATTTCGAGTATTGCGGTTACGGCTATCGGGGCTATGATTTTGGCACTATTTTTGTTGAATGGGGAAAGGATTTTGAAGTATTAGGCTATGATTACGGCAAATTCATTGGTCAGGTATCAAACAACACAAATTTTAGGCCATTCATTGAAAGTTATTTTAACGAAATGGTTGCCATATATGGCGACAAGTTTGCTGCCGATCCCCGAAATTCAGTCGATGCTATGCTCAGGGAAGCAAAATTGTTTTCATTGATTGCCTATATGTTTATCATTATTTATTCATTACAATTAACCGAATCGATAGTCAATGGTATTACAACCTATGATAAAAAACATGAAATGGTTTGTCTAAACTTTTTTTTGTCTAATATATTATATATTTATTGTTTTAATAATTAAAATTTAATTTATTTATAGAAAGAGGGAACCGATAAACTTTATAAAATATACCATGAAGTTAAAAGTAAATATCTTGAAGATAATGTGTTTCAATTTTAATCATGATTATCAATCTACAAGAAAACTGTTTATTTAATTTATTTTGTATTTTTTAAGAAATGATTTTAATTAAAAAAAATAAATAAAATTATCAAATATACAGTATAATTACAAAATTACTAACCAAATATGTTTTTTACAAAATAAAAATAAATTCATAAATATATAATATTAAAAAGACTATAAAAGTAATAATTTATAATAAATAAACTATATATTTATTTATAAAAAAAAATTATAAAAGACATAAAGAAATATTAAAAATAAAACGGATTTTAAATGATTTAATTGTCAATTTTAACAAAATTTTTTAATTATTATTAAATTTAAAAATTGTAAAAACAACGTCAATAGTTTTATAAATATTATAAAAATTAATCTTTTATTACATAAATATATAAAAACTAAAAAATAAAAAATATATATATAATTGCATAACATACCCTAGTAAAGATATAGAAATAATAAATATTGTAGTAAAGTTAAGATAATCATAATTAATATTTAATGGCATTTACTTAATTGTTGTATCTATTGTATTTAAATATTTCAATAATAGATTAAACAATAGTTATATTAGTCGGATAATAATGTAAAGTAATTCTAACTATTTATCGTCAATGACATTGAGGTAAACTAATTAAAACAGATTATTATATTATAAGTTTATTAATAGATTAGGAAAAAAAGTCCTCAGGTATCATAAAAATTACGTTTTCATTGTGTATAAAATTATTGCACTAAATATCTATAATATTGTGTAATAACGTGTAACTACTGCAATGATTGTTCAAATTAACGATAGTTTTAATTTACTGATAAAAAAGTATTTTATTCTACAGGAATATCAATAGTTCATATTTTATTTATTAAAGTATAAATACAGTAAAAGTGAAAATATAGTTTTTACTTAAACAAAACAACTTATCAATAGTATTATAATTATTAAATAATTTTTAATTAAAAAAAATTGACAAATTTAATAGTTTAATAAACTATTATAAAAATAACCAAAAATGAGTTCTAATGTTATTGATTTAAATAGCAATATAATAAAAACTGATTCAACTCAACCACCCCTTAAACTAGAAAGGGGTCAAACAATTGATAATTTTAAACAAAAATGTTATGAATTATGTCAACAATATTTAGGAGGTATTTGGTTGAACACGACTATCGATGAAGTAGAGGTCCGACGACTAAGTGGTGGACTAACCAATCAGTTGTATTACTGTGCTATAAATAAAACGACAGGTAATACCTCTGGTGATGATATACCGCATGAAGTGGTCGTCAGGTTTTATCAGGAAAAGCATTTCAGTGAAAACGAACGGATGTCCGATACTGTAATAGCGGTATTAATATCGGGAAACAATTTGGGACCCAAATTGTATGGTATATTTCCCGGAGGACAGATACAAAAATATTATCAGGTACAGTTTTAATTTAGGTATTTTTTATTTTATTATATATAGTAGTAATAAGAAAAATAATTGCTTAGCAAACTTTGTTAACTTAATTTATACTTAATTTTATAAATGTTTAGCACAAATGTTTTCGGTTAGAACAACAAAAAGATCCAAAACTAGTTGATGAAGTGGCCAAACGGTTGGCCAGAATTCATACAATGGATGTACCAAATAATCGGTCAAAAAATTGGTTATTTGATTACTTTGACTCATATTATGAAAAAGCCAATCAACTATATAATATACCGGCGCTTATCGATGAGTACCAGTGCGAGACATTGAAACAATATGACATTAAACAAGAGTTGGATTGGCTTAAGGATATGATCATCAAATCAAAGTCTCCGATTGTCTTCAATCACGTGGACTTTCGCGGATCTAATATAATGATCACCGAAAATGATGGTTTAGTACTTTGCGATTTTGAGTACTCGGCGTACGGCTACCGGGGCTTTGATTTTGGCACTATTTATCTTGAATGGGGCACAGATCCACTTCTAGTTTATAGCAATGGCATCACTGAGTTAGCAGCCGATACTGAATTTGAGCCCTTTATTAAAAGTTATTTTCAAGAAATGGTTGGTATATATGGTGACAAATTTGCTACCGATCCCCGAAATACAGTCGATGCTATGCTTAAAGAGATAAAACTATTTTCATTGGTTGCCTATATGTTTATCGTAATATTTACTCTTCAGCAAACGGAATCGGTGGTCAATGGTAATCCATATGATAAAAAATATGAAATGGTTAGTAATATTTAACATATATATATATATAGCAATCATTTATTAATTGTATTATAATTTATTTGTATTATTAATTTATTATAGAAAGAGGTAACCGAAAAAATTTATACAACTTATCACACATTGAAAAGAAAATACATTCAACAAAATTTGCTTAAATTTTAACGATTGCATAACTATTAAATGCTAAATACAAGCAACGATACAACAAAAATAACACATTTAATTAATATGTGAAATAACTTTAAATAACTTAAAAATTAATATTATTATTATCAAAATTGCAATATATATTATTATTTTTATTAGCTTTTGAAAATATCTGTAAAATAAGTACTGTATTTATTTTAAAAAGCTATATATTTTTATATTTAAAAAAATTACCAGAATAAAAATTCTATATTTTATTGTAAAATAATTAAGTTCAGTAAAAAATTTAGCCATTATGTCTATAAACGTGTTTATTGTTTATATTAAATAGTATGATATAGTAGTCATCATATGATATATCATATGTAGTGTGATATATCATTATTGTATTATTAAGTTTACATTAATTTAAGCCCAAATTCATGCAATAAATGTGCCAATTAATCGGTCAACTAATTGATTGTTTGCTTATTTTCACTTATTTTAATCAAAGACTTTATTAAATTATATGATAAACATATCAGTGCTAAACAATGAAAATGTAATGATATTAAACAAGAGTTGTATTGGATTAGGGATGTGTTGACCAATTCAAACATTACGGTTGTCTTCAATCAACATTTTTAAATAAAATCAATAAAAGAAATTTTTAAAAAATAAAACTTATTTCAAGTAATTTAATTATCAATTTTGAACAAAACCTTGTAATTAAACTTTAGGTATATTTTTATTTATACAAAACATTTACATGTAATAATTTTCAAAAAAAACTTGTAAAGTTTGTTTTCTGAAATCTATACGAGCCTTTTGTGTGCGTGTCTGTCTGTAGCATTTCATTTTGCGAATTTTGAAATTCTGACTTCAGATTCGGTTAGAGGACTACTAATAATGTATTGAAAAGTTGCATTAAAATTTTGATATCTCTTCGGGAACATAGACAAAATGGCGGCCAAAGTAAGAAAAATTTTAAGAAATTTTTTTTAAAGTATAGATTTGAATAAAGCATCAAAAACAAGAATAAAAAATATACATTAAAATTTTGATATCTCTTCGGGAACATAAAGAAAATGGCGGCCAAAGTAAAATAATTATGTAAAAATTTTAACGTTTAGAATTGTAAAGAGCATCAAAAATATGATATAATATATCAGTATAATTTTTTTTTTAAAATGGCGGCAAAAGTATAAAAAATTTTAAGAATTTTTTTTAAGTATAGATTTGAATAAAGCATCAAAAACAAGGATAAAAATATGCATTAAAATTTTGATATCTAAGGAACAAAAAGAAAAGTATAAGCGGCAAAAGTATAATTATTTTTATGATTATTTTGTTATACTAAATCATTTGATACCACAAATGAGTAGTTATTTTGTCAAACCGAGTCATTTGATACCCTACATGACTAAAGTTAAGTTTATTTTGTCATACTGAATCATTTGATACCATATATGACAATATTTATATTATGTATATTTGACCAGTTTTTAAATTTTTATATGTTATTATATAGACGCTATAATTATACAAACTAATGGTTTTCAATGCTATTCAAGTTTTCTTTCTAGCATTCTTAACTGGTTTATAAATAAAATTAATCTATTATTACATAGATATATAAAAACTATATATATATAATTATATATTATAATTTAGTAAAAATAGTAATAAGTATAATATAATTACAGTTATAATAATGATAATTAATATTTAATTGCATAAATAACTCAATTTTTATAATTATTGTATTTAAATATTTTGATTTGAAATAATAGTTTGATTATTTTAAAATATTGTAAGTAAATCTAGCTTTATCTTTACAATGTCATTATAGTAAATTATATAGATAATTAAAAATGTGTACATTATTCACAATTAAAACATATTGATATTTTTTACACTAAATGACTATGATTAATGTATAGTAATCTGCAATACGTTTTGATTATTATATTAATATAAAGTATACAAATATTATACCAAATGACTATAATATTGTGTAATAACGTATAGCAATAATTATATTATCAATTATATTATCTTATCAATAATTTTAAAGTACTTATAAAATATATTACAAATTTGTTTTATTTGTAAAGTATAAATACAGAAAAGTTAAAAACATAATTTATTTTAAACTTATTAAAGTATCATGATTACTAAATAATTTGTAATTAAAAAAATTGACAAATTTGATAGTTTAATAAATTATTGTAAAAATAACCAAAAATGAGTTCTAATATTATTGATTTAAATAGCAATATAATAAAAACTGATTCAACTCAACCACCCCTTAAACTAGAAAGGGGTCAAACAATTGATAATTTTAAACAAAAATGTTATGAATTATGTCAACAATATTTGGGAGGTATTTGGTTGGACACGACTATCGATGAAGTAGAGGTCCGACGACTAAGTGGTGGACTAACCAATCAGTTATATTACTGTGCTATAAATAAAAAGACAGTTAATACCTCTGATGATGATATACCGCATGAAGTGGTCGTCCGATTTTATCAGGAGAAGCATTTCAGTGAAAACGAACGGATGTCCGATACTGTAATAGCGGTATTAATATCGGGAAACAATTTGGGACCCAAATTGTACGGTATATTTCCTGGAGGACAGATACAAAAATATTATCAGGTACAATTTTAATTTAGATATTTTTTAGCTTATTATAAATCAATAGTACATGTAGTAATATGAAAATAATTGTTTAGTAAATAATTAGATTAAAAGTTAAATATTTGTACTCTATATCTTACAATAATGTTTATATTGCAATCAATAAAATATTTATATATTTATATTTTATTATTATATTTGTTTGAATACTTAGCACAAATGTTTTCGTGTAGAACAACAAAAAGATCCAAAACTAGTCGATGAAGTGGCCAAACGGTTGGCCAGAATTCATACAATGGATGTACCAAATAATCGGTCAAAAAACTGGTTATTTGATTATTTTGACACATTTTATCAAAAGGTTAGTCAACAGTTTGACTTACCGGCGCTTATCGATGAGTGTCAGTGCGAAACACTCAAACAGTATGACATTAAACAAGAGTTGGATTGGCTTAAAGGTGTGATCATTAAATCAAAGTCTCCGATTGTCTTCAATCACGTGGACTTTCGCGGATCTAATATAATGATCACCGAAAATGATGGTCTAATACTTTGCGATTTTGAGTACTCGGCGTACGGTTACCGTGGCTTTGATTTTGGCACCATTTATGTTGAGTGGGGAAGAGATATGCACTTAGATTATTTCAGTGGCATCACTCAGTTAGCAGCCGATTCTGATTTTAAGCCTTTTATTAAAAGTTATATTCAAGAAATGGTTGGTATATATGGCGATAAATTTGCTACCGATCCCCGAAATACTGTCGATGCTATGCTTAAAGAGATAAAACTATTTTCATTGGTTGCCTATATGTTTATTGTTATGTTTACTCTCAATCAAACACAAGCTTTAATCAATGGCGATGTTTTTGATAAAAAACATTCAATGGTTTGTAATATTCTGTATACCAATAATTTATTAATTGTTTTATAATTTTATAATTTTATTTAATATTAATTTTGTTATACCATTAACTTATTATAGAAAGAAGAAGCCGATAAAATTTATAAAACTTATTACGATTTGAAAAATAATTACATTCAACAAAATCTATTTGAATTTTAACGGTCAGACTATTCAACATAAGCAACAGTACTACACAATATCATAATTAATTAATTATAATTATAAGTTATTAAATAAATTATTTTTATAAAATTATATTATTATTATAATTTAAGAAATACTGTATAATCCTGATATAACCATTTCAAACTTTTTCATCAAGTACAAATTAATAATTTTAATTAAATTAAAATATAAATTATTATTTTTTTAATAATTTTTAAAAATATTTGCAAAATAAATGCCGTATTAATTTTAAAAAGTAATATATTTTTTATAAACAAGAGTTTCATAATTTAAATCAATGGTTTGTTATATATTTTTAATTGAATTTCAATATTTTATTTAAAAATTATACTTATTTTAGTACTATTATTAAAATTATTAACATTTTTATAGAAAGATGAAACTGAGTTTTAAAAAAAAAATATTTTTAAGTTAAATCACATATCAAAATAAAATTATATTCAACAAAATTTATTTATCTAATGTTAAATAATATATATATATTTAAATTCTAATAATTAATGTCAAAAATTAGTTTTATTAGTAAATGAAGATTAAATATGATATATTAAAATAATGATAATTAATCCTTTAAAAAAATATTGTTGCTTTTTGTGTTAATTAATACATAACATTATTATTATTAAAAATGAACTTTACTTCTCTTTTTTTTAAGTTCATTATAGATATAATTTTATGTTTGTTTGATTTGTTTTAAAATTTAGATAATTTAATTAGAGTATTACCTAATGTTATAATTATCATTATATTCATATATATATATATATATATATATATATATATATATATTTGTTGGACATTTGTTGGCAACATAACTGTAATTTAAAGAGAAACGATTAATAATCAAATGTTTTATTTAAGTTTTGTACTAAATTTATCGCATCATTTGTCAAATTACAATAAATATTGATAATATTATACAGTTATTAATATTAAGAAATATTGCACTATTCAATAATTTAAATCGTTATTTTAATTATTATTACTAATTTAACTTATATTTAACCGGGAGTTTAAAAACGATATAAATAGCAGTATCAAATTAATACTATTAATACAATATAAATTAATATTTTTGAATTATTTTTATTTTTAGTTTAAATGTATAAATCAATGATTAATTTGAATAATCACTTGTATTTATTTAATTTATAAAAACAGGTTTTTAAATAATATTTAATTATTGGTAGTATTTTCCGCTAATTATTAATAATAACAACAATAAACATTTTTCTTATAATGAATTGATAGCATTATTTTTCTTAGTTTAAACTGTTTAACATTAGTTAAACTGAAAATTAAAATGATAAACATTATAAAACAATTATTGTTTATGATTTCATTATCTTTTTTTGTTTGTTATTAGTCTATATTTTTATCAAATCACATATTTTCTTAAAATAAGTTCTCCTATTAAACCTGGACATTTGGCAATGCTATTGTTGGTATTTATGAAAATTATCAATTGATATTTTATAAAATATTTTAGACTTACTAATCGATAAATACGCTGACAAAGTGAGTATATATATAAGAGTACAAAAATAGTATTAATATATAAGTTGTAATTTATATGATTATTATTACGGGTAATAAAAAAATATAAATATAAAATGTTTAAAAAACAAAATATATTAATGGTAACGGGAGATTTTGTGGGATCAGTTATGTCATGTATAGGTATTGGGGAAGTACTTCGTGACAGTGGACATCATATTGTGTTCGCCGCAGAGCAGTACTGGAGATCAAGACTCGAGTCAATCGGTTTTGATGTCCGACTTATTGGACAGATTTCCGACAATAAAGAGTCTAACCTCCCCCCCCCCCCCCCCCCCCCCCCCCCCCCCCCCCTCTCTCTCTCTCTCTCTCTCTCTCTCTCTCTCTCTCTCTCTCTCTCTCTCTCTCTCTCTCTCTCTCTCTCTCTCTCTCTCTCTCTCTCTCTCTCTCTCTCTCTCTCTCTCTCTCTCTCTCTCTCTCTCTAACGGATTCGGTGCATATATTTGCACCGATGGTGTTAGCCGGCGGTAGTTTGAGTAACGGAGATCCGGTCGACAAATTGATGGGATCAGCTATCAAATTCATGGCTATAGGTGCCAATGAAAAACTTAATATGAATGTTGACATCAAACAAGTTATCAATGATGTCAAACCCGACCTGATTGTCGTCGATCATATGATTACTATACCATCTATAGTGACATCGGGTATACCGTGGATCTCATCGTGGAGTAACGGCCCCCTAACACTTGACTGGATTATCAACGATTATCACGGTTTGCCTCCTGGAGGCTCAGGTATAGATAAAGTTAAATAGATATTAAAGTTTTTTGTTGTTTGAATTAATAGCTAAATTAAATTTGTTATCATAAGGTTTACCAACCAATTATGACAAAGTCGTATCAGAAAATATTAGACATAAAGTGATTCAAGGTATACATGAGTCATGGGTTAAATACAATAACTATTTAGTGGCCAACGGCTGTCCCGAACTAAAACCGGGACAAATAATGCATCCGTCACCGTATGCTAACATTTATATGACACCCAAAGAGTTAGACTATACTGATGTTAGGCCACTGCCGGATAATTTCTACGGATTTGATTATTATAAGCGATCGGGAAGTGAACAAACATTTGAAATACCCGAACAACTTCGCGATAAACCGGGAAAACTCATATATTTTTCATTGGGTTCAATGGGAAGTGCAAATGTGGATCTAATGAAAAGGTTGATCAATATTTTGGCCAAATCGCCCAATCGTTTCATTGTCTCTAAGGGTATGTATCACAACACTTACTCATTGCCGGACAACATGTGGGGCGAGAGAACTGTTCCACAGATACAGGTGCTGTCTATTTGTGATCTGGTTTTAACACACGGCGGCAATAATACAGTAACTGAGTCAATGTTTTACGGAAAACCTATGATAGTATTGCCGCTATTTTTCGATCAACACGATAATGGACAGCGTCTGACGGAAACGGGATTAGGTGTGCGCCTCAACCCGTTTACGTGCACTGATCGGGAAATGTTAGACTCAATCGATAGACTACTAACTGATCAGTCATTAGCCGTGCGATTAACTAATATTTCTCATCGGATACAAACTGAACGACGAATTGAAGGAATTAATAATATTATTGATAATATTGTTAATAAATAAAGTCAACAATTGTTGAAAAGTTAAATAAATTTTATTTTTGTTAATACTTTATAAATTGTCAATTATTTGTTATTATTAGTAAAACAAATGTTTAAAATATTAATTTTATTGTATATGACATTTATTTTTATTTCAACGTTCATTTAGTAAAATAAATATTTTAATACTATTTTTCTAATAATAACTAAAACTTAACTATAGTAAAAATATAATAACAATAACATCAATTAGTAAATAATATATAAAGTAATAACTGAAATTTAAAACATGAATTGAAATATAAACTTTAAAAAGAAATATTATCAGTATATTCGATATAAATTATTTTATGTATAAACTTATAAATAAAACTATTAATTATAATAAATCTTGATTTAAAAATTGTTGTTTTAGATCCAAATAACGTTTGAAAATACTATCCGCAATTTGCTGTTGAAATTAAAATTAAAAAAAATATATTACAAAATTAATTACCCGTTAATATCATATCGTATTAATTGTATAATAACTGCTATAAAATTTATTTGGTATTAGTATTATAATGTAAATAAATATATTATTAGAAACTTTTGTATACATACTATACTTATATTATTATTACTGAAAAACTCTTCTGATTTGTCTTCATTGCCTAACAAAAAGATCAAAAACCATATTTGCATATATAATGTAAATACTTTCGCCTCTTTGATGATCACATCCAAAGTAAAACGATTTGCTTCGCAATACTCTTTGCCTAACAATTTCTCCGTTTCTTTGATATAGATATCAATTATTGGTCTCAAAGTAGAATCATTGGGTAAAGTCATCGGTTTCTTCTTGTCAGTCATAGTACGTCCCCATTCAGACATAATAATACCGAAATCCTGTCCCCGATAGCCATAACTTGAATATTCAAAGTCACACAATATTATCTGTTCCCCGGACTGGACATTAGTGTCCTCTAAAACCATTATATTATTGCTTCTGAAGTCATTGTGTGTAAACACTAGTGGACTGTTTGTCTTCTTAACCACACCTCTGATCCAATCCATCTCTACTTTTAAATCATTTTTAATAAATACCTCGAGTTTATCGACCAAACATTTTAACTCAGTTTTATTAATGAAATTATAATAAAATCTATGCATTTCCTTCAATGACCAGTGACACTTTTTGATGGGCACATTCATTGCATGAACTCGGGCTAACTTTTGAAACAATTCGGTCACTAATTTCGGATCTTTTTGCTCTTCAACACTAAACGGTCGGTGCTTTAAATATAATAAAATATGAGACATAAATTTGTATATAAATTGCAATTTATTATATTATATTTATAATACAATATTATGATAATATTATTAATATATTAATTACCTTATAAAATGCTTGTATTTGTCCGCAATCAAAGATACCGTATATTTTAGGCCCCAATTTGTTTTGTGAGACCATCAGTGCTATGACTACATCAGTGAGTCTTTCATTTCCGTCACAGTCTTTATTATTGAAATATTTTGGTCCATACAGTCTAACCGCCACTTGTTGTGGAACTTCTTGTTTATCATCAGATTTGTTAACAATTCCACAATAGTATAGTTGGTTAGTCATACCGCCCGACACTCTCTCTATTTTAATAGTATCGACGGTCTGTTGCAACCAATTGCCGGCCAAATACTGTTGGCATAGTTGTAGACATTGGCCATTGATGTCATCGGGTGTCTTACCTTTTAATATCTCTATATTTGCAAAATCTATTTCATTGATATCTTTAACATTTTGTAAATCTTTTAAACTTAATTTTCCTTTTTTCTCATTACTAGAGACAGGGTTTTCACAAGTTGTTGCCATAATTTATTAATAAATTTTTTATAATTAGTAATAATAAACAATATTACTAATTATAATTTATATATTATTTTTTATATAAATTGTTAAAAAAATAATATATAAACTAAGACAACACTCAAAGCGCTTATTTATATGATTTTAAAATTTTTTACTACTATTTAGATGACATTTCATATGATTAATATCCAATAAACTTCATTAGTTTAATCAATTTATTTTGAAGGACATTATAATTATATACTTTTTATTAAACCTTATTATAATCTTATATTTAATTACAAAATATATTTGCAGCAAACATGTGAAATAAATATTTTATACGTATTTAAAAGTAACAGCGAATCTATTAATTTATTAAAAGAATTCATAAATATACAGTATGTAAATCTAAAGACGGACGATTTAAATGTTTAATAACTTAAAAAGTATAAAAGATATTTTAAACAAATAACGTTTAAAATAATAAGGAATAGTTATAGTTTATGAAAATAAATTTTGATAAATTTGACCTCCTCAAACTTTAAGGAGGCGGGGACATTTTCAAAAATTACATACAAAAATATCTAAATTTTCTTAATTAATAAATGTCTTGGTTTTAATTGATGGTTTGAAAAATTAATTAAAGTATACTTTCCTTACACTATAGACACTAAAAGAAATAAAATAAAAAAAAAATTGATTATTTATCATGGTCAGATTTTCTATTTTTTAGTATTTTTATCTAAATTACATGTAAACAAAATCGACTATATTTTTATTTTTAAAGGAGGTGGAACCTATTAAATTTTAGTTTCATAAACCCTAACTATTCCTTATTATTTGAAACGTTATTTGTTTAAAATATCTTTTATACTTTTTAAGTTATTAAACATTTAAATCGTCCGTCTTTAGATTTACACACTGTATAATAAAACTAATATAATAATAGTTTATTATTTCAATAGTATTGCAATTTATTATATTATTGCAATTTGTAATAAACATTAGTTGATATTAAATATCATACATTACATTACATTACATTACCTTACAATACTTTACATAATCTTTATTAATCTGTATTTGTAATGCAATTAACATTTTGCATCATATTTGTGGTGCATTGATGACAAAAACCGAAACTGATATAACATTCAAGTGTTATAACAGTCGACTTATTTAATTAACTAATGATTTTGTGATAATTTTAATGAAAGTTTAATTGAAAAATATTTATTATTGAATTATATTATATGGTAAATGTCTGAAAAATTAATGATTTAAATAAATTTGATATAAACATTATAATATACTTTTTTTTAGCTAATTTAAATTAGTTAAATGATCCAGTGAAATTATTAAACTTCGATAAATAACTTTTTCCATACTTTTTTTCTACAATACGCGCGTAATATACTGTACTAAAAATCAACAATTTATTGACCAATTAAACAGTCGCTTATAGTACCTCTACATTAAAAAAAATTAATACACATAAACTACGTTATCTATGAAAGTGCACAAATAGTATTGCCAATTGTCTAAATTTAAACAATAATAATATTAAAATTTAGTCTATTTTAATAATAAGCAGCTTTTATATGTTTATTAAATAATGATTATACAAATGTGTTATATAAATTATATAATTTTTTAAAAATTAAATGTTATACATTAATATATATTAATTTTAATTTTATTTACATATATATGCCGGCAATTATACAGTTAAACATTTGGCAATTACTCCATACAATAATTGTTTATTAAATATCTATAAATAACTTTTTATAAGTAATATTTAAGTATTAATAATACAATGAAATATTATACAATATATTTAGTATTATTTTACTAATAAATAATAGTTAAAATATATAATTTGTTTATCTATTTCAATGTTATATTCAAAGTAGTAGTAATTAAATAAAAATCAAAAATAATTTTGTTATACTGTAGTAAACAAACAAATAATGTCATTAAATATAAACGATTTTAAGCACAAATGCTATGAATTGTGTCGCAACTATTTGGCCGATATTTGGCTAACAGTGGGTATCGATGACATTGAGGTCAGACGTTTGACCGGTGGGTTCACTAATCAATTATACTATTGTGCTATCAATGATATACACCGTACCAGTGATGCCAGTGCTCCGCAAGAGGTTGTCATCAAATTATATCTAACAAAACAATTCAAAGAAAATGAGAGAACTAATGATACAATTATCGGTTTATTGGTCTCTGAGTTGGGTTTGGGTCCCAAACTGTACGGTGTGTTTACTGATGGACAGATTCAACAATATTACCAGGTTCATTTTTGCATTTATTTAAATTATTTATTATAATATATGTTTAATTTATAATTACAAATATACTAAATAAAAAACTGTAAATACTTTTTACATAATTAGCACAAAAGATTCACTAAAGACCAACAGTCCGATGAAAAACTGGTCAAAGAATTGGCTGAAAAGTTGGCCAGAATTCATGCAATGGATGTACCCATCAGTAAGACAAACAACTGGTTGTTCAAGTATTTCGATGACAACTATCGCGCGGCTAATAAGTCATTTGATATACCGGTGCTGATCGACGAAAGCAATTGTGAAACACTTAAGACATACGATTTATATGAAGAGTTGTGTTGGCTTAAGGATCAGATTCGTTCAATAGATTCGCCGATTAACTTCACTCACGTAGACTTTCGTGGCGGTAATATTATGGTTACCGAAAATGATGGCATAGTTTTGTGCGATTTCGAGTATTCCTGTTATGGCTATCGGGGCTATGATTTTGGGACAATATTTCTTGAGTGGGGACAGGAGTATTGGGCCAATAGAAAGGACGGCCAGACGTCTGAATATAGTTATGATCAACGGATACTGTCGTTCCTCGAGTTGTATAACTCGGAGTCGACTAAACTATTGGGCGATAAGTTTGCAAAAGACCAGCGAAATGATGTCAAACGTATGGTTAAAGAAGTGAAACTGTTTTCATTAGTCGGACTAATGTTTCTCTTATTATACTTTTATAAAAGGGAACAAATGGTATGTTTTATTATAATTTCTGAATTATTACTATTTATATTATATTTTTTAAATTTTTAATAAATTTTATTATTTTTTTCATTAGGCATTTGCTGAGAGATCCTATAAAAAATATCAAGATTTTAAACTAAAGTTTAAAAAAGAAAATGTTTTTATTGATAATGAAAATTAGATTAATTTACAATTACTTTCTTACTATTTATTAATAAAATATTTAAATCAAGATATTTCATTTAAAAAAAATTAATAAAAACATAACAATGACTATTTCAAACTTGATAATAATAATTGACCTGTATCATTTGGATAATCAATTTTATAAACTACCGTAAGTAAATTTGTCAATTTAACCAATTTAAAAAAAAATGTTTTATTATTCAATAAAAATTGTTATTACCGGTAATTAAAGAAACATATTTTAAGTAAAATATAATTATTATTTTGTTGTATAATTGTAATGTTATAATACCTAATAGAATATACAGTATTTATAAATCTAGTCTATATTTACGAAAACTTTCTGATTGTTATATAATTTTTTTTAATACTTGTATATTATAATATTTTTTAATTATTATTATTTAATTAATAACAATTATTAAATTAAATTAAATAAAAAAATGATTATTATATAGTCTATTATATATTTTTATTATTTATATATTGATAAATAAAATAATTTTATAAGACAATTACCTTACGGTAACTTAATTATATAATTAATTATTGCATATTGTATTAATTATGTAGATTTTTTTTATTAAAAAAAATTATGTGTTGTAATAATAATATTTAAGTTTTATCAAAAGTAATGTTTTATCAACAATACAGTATTACGTATTAATAGTAATAAATTGTATGTGAGGTATATTACCAAATAAAGACAATTATTTCTAATAAAAAATATTTCTAATCATGAATTATATGGAAAAATATTTATAAAATTTAATTTTACTTACAATTGATATCTATTGTCACCCAAAACTCACAATTAAATTGCAATATTTAAAATTAAAATAAAGATAACGATCTGAGTTTCGGGTAACAACTCATCAATTTTCAATAAAAATTAAATTTTGTAAAATGAACTTGATTAGTTATTGCATATTTTATTAATCATGTACATTTTTATTTTATTTTTTTTAATTTATCACTCAATGCAGTTTCTAATGCAATAATATTTTTTCTTTTATTAATATTGTAGAAACATATTTCTACATAAAATTAATTATTTAAATGTTTATTAAATTTCAATATTTTTAATATGAATTTAAAAATATATTTATATTGTTTATAGATATCTGTACTGTATATGCATTGTGTTGTCTGTAATAATGTCATCACTTGTCCTATGTTTATAATAAATGTTTTTTTTAACTTAGTTTTATTTTAATTTTTTTATCACTTCAATATTATTGTCAACAATATAAAGTACAGTATTAATTGTAATAATTAGTTGTTAAGGTATATTACCAAATAAAGGCAAATTATTTGAAAATAAAAAAATATTTAACAATCAGGAATTATATAAAATATTTATTTATGATAAGTAACTATTATCAGTACACATGCTATTTGCTAATAATATTGTGTGTACTACTGTAGTGTACTATAAGATAATTATTAATTATAAAAATTAATTATTTAATTAAACTTTTGTGACTAATTTAAATTACTGATGATAAGTGAAATTATTTAATTTTGATAAATAATTTTTCGATGTTATTCTATATAACATTTTATTAATGTTAAAGAAAATATATAAATAGAGCAAAAATTGGTTTATTATAAATTTAAACTGCATTTTTAAAATAGAAGAAAAATAATAAAATAGATTATTTTGAAATTTATATTAATTTTATTTTAAAATATATAATTATAAATACTTTTTACAATAATTTTGTTATATAGTAGTAAAAAAAATTATGACATTAAATCAAAGCGATAAAAATGCAGAAACTATTGATAATGAAGTTAACAATAATAAAGTTATCAATAATGAAAAACAAGAAATCGATTTAAGAAAATTCAAACTGGAAAGGGGTGTCACACCCGACGATATTAAGGACCGGTGCTATCAATTGTGTCGCAACTATTTGGCCGATGTTTGGCTAACAATCGGTATCGATGACATTGAGGTCAGACGTTTGAGCGGTGGACTCACCAATCAGTTATACTACTGTGCTATCAATGATATACACCGTACCAATGATGCCAGTGCTCCACAAGAAGTAGCCATCAGATTATATCAAACAAAACATTTCAATGAAAATGAGAGAACTAGTGATATGATTATTGGTTTAATGGTCTCTCAGTGCGGTTTGGGTCCCAAACTGTACGGTGTGTTTCCTGATGGACAGATTCAAAAATATTATAAAGTAATTTATATAAATTAAATAATTAATTATAATATTTAATTATTGTTTACAATTGTTTTTTTGTCATAATATAAATCTAATAAATTGTAAATACTTTATACATGTTTAGCACAAACAATTTAGTAAAGACCAACAATCAGATCCAAAACTGGTCAAAGAGTTGGCACAGAAGTTGGCCGGTATTCATGCATTGAATGTTCCCATCAGTAAGACAACCAACTGGTTGTTCAAGTATTTCGATGACAGCTATCAATTAGCCAATGAGTCATTTGACATACCGGCGCTAATTAATGAAAGCAATAGTCAAACACTAAAAATGTATGATTTATATGAAGAGTTAGTTTGGCTAAAGGATCAGATAAGTAAAATAGATTCGCCGATAACTTTCACTCACGTGGACTTCCGAAGCGGTAATATTATGGTTACCGAAAATGATGGTATAGTTTTGTGCGATTTCGAGTATTCCTGTTATGACTACCGAGGGTTTGACTTTGGGACCATATTTCTTGAGTGGGGACAGGAGTTATGGATCAATAGAAAAGAGGGTCAGCCCTATGAATATACAGACGACCAGCAAATACTGTCGTTTCTTGAGTTGTATGTCTTGGAGTCGACTAAACTATTGGGCAATAAGTTTGCAAATGATGTACGAAATGATTCAAAACATATGCTAAGAGAAGTGAAATTGTTTTCATTAGTGGGAACTATGTTTGTCGTCTTATTCTTCTATAAAATGAATGAATCAATCTTTACTAACGAACCGTTTGATAAAACAAAACAAATGGTATGTTCTCTTAAATATTTTTATATATAATATATATTTATATTTATAAATAAATAGTGTATATAATATAATAATATATTTTATAATATAAATAAATTATATAATTTTGTAATAATTTTTCCATTAGGCTTACACCGATCGATCATATAAAAAATATCAAGATTTAAAAATAAAGTTTCAAAAAGAAAATGTTTTTTATTAACGATAAATTCAATTTACAATTAATTAATTCAATATATTATATATTAATATATTTTATTATTAGCGAAAATTTAAGTATTTATTAATTATAGATAAATGTAATAAATATATACAAATATAATTTGTTATTTTTTGCTAATTATTGGAATCAATGACATAAATATTTTATTTGATATAAGTTTTGAACCGATTTTAATTAAAATAAAATTATTTTGTATTTTATAATATCATAATACATATTAGTAATCTATTTTTTAATAGTAGTAATGAATTTTATACTAAATAATTTTTTAATTATAAATAATTAATAAATATAATAATATTTAATGCAATACAATAAAAATAAATTGCTAGTGTATTTGAAATGACAAATTAATAAATTATTGAATTAATTTAAACAATCTTTTATTAGAATATCATTTCTCTCAACTATTTATTGTTATTTTGTTAATTTAGTTTTATAATTATAATATATGTTTAATCAATCAATTAGATGTGTATTTTACTTAAATTTTGGTTTAGTTTGCGTAATTGAACACTAGGTTATGTAACAATATTTCACGGCTTTTATATTTTTACTAATATTCATTGTTAGTGGCCCTGTAGTCATCAATGGACACATATAATTAATTGATTAAACATAATCTTAATTATAAAACCAGAATTAAATTAACTAAATAATAATAAATAGTTTAGAGAAAAATGATTTATTTGTTGTAATTTTCAGTAAAGTTCAGACACTTACTGGTGCTTATGTTTGTCTTAATATTTTTATATAAAATAATTAAATTAAAAGTTGGTTTAAAAAAGTTGAATTTAAAAAAAGAAATTTTATCGACTATTGTTTGATAAAACAAAATATAATGGCATGTTTTTTATTAAATAAATAATTGAATAAATAAATGAAAATTTTATTGTATAAAAAAATTAGACAATAGACAAAAATATTCTATTATTAAGATTTTTATTATTATGCAACACAATAATAATTTATGTATTAATTAAAACAATATTAATATTATACGTTTAAAAATCAAAATGCTTTATATAAGTTATTTAGTTTAATTTACTGAAGTATATTAATAAATTATATTATTATTTAGATTTTGTAGATATTATTTAACATAGGTAATATAATTTAATTAATTAATTTAATATAAAATTATAATATATGATTATTTTAACGGCAGACATCTGACATCTGTAATAAAAAACTTAAAAGTTGTAATATTAAAGAAAAATTAAATAATATTTATTATTGTTAATAAAAATTTATAAAAAAATGTTCTCACTTTTGTTATCTTTATGATAAAGTACATGATGTCATACATTGATGAACATAATTAAGTTAAAAATTATATAATATAATAAACTATTTGTAAGTTACACAGTATTTTGTAGTGCATTTAGTACACAAACTTTTATCAGTTGAAAAAAAATTATTAATTTATTACTTTACTATTTAAACTATATATCATATTTGCTTTTTACTGTATGAACTAATTAAATTTTAATACTCTATGTACACATAAAATAGATAATTAAGATAAATTATTATCAGTATATAACTTTTGCACTGTATATTCATAAATTTGAAACAAATAAGTTTATCGACATAAATGTTCCTTTAAATTATTTAATGAAAAATTTTAATTATTATAATTCTAATATAAATAATCTAAAAGAAAAAAATCATATATTAAATATATTGATACTATTTTTAAAACAATAGTTTTTAATTTATAACTAAAAGGACTGGCATTAAAAAAAATTGATTAACATTTATGAAAATCTGTTTTAATAAATAATGGAAATCTAATAATTGCGGGGAATTTATTTGCAACGATTGATAACTTCAACAATATTTAATATAGTAATCACTCACACGACAAATAAGCATTATGAATTATTTTTTAGTGCAATAGATTATTAGTTATTTATGTGCTTTTAAGTACTTTATTATAACTACAGATTTCAAAGGTACATCTAAATAAATATAATTATTAAGTATAGTATAAATAAATTATTAGTTATAATAAAATATTAAAGAAAATATTTTTAGCAGTTTTGGAGTTTATTTATTTAATCCAACCTTTATTTTCAATACCATTTGTAGTTTCACTATCTCTGAACATATATATATATATATATATATATATATATATATATATAAATAATTAGTGTCGTAGAAATATTTTAATTAATATCACAAAAATTTTTATTTATACAATAATCTTATAATTATTATAAAATTATTAACAATGAGTGCCGATATAAGCAACAAAACAGTTATTGAAAATATCGATACCAACAATAATGAGGCAAAAAATAATAAGGAAAATGCATTTGATATGAGTAATATCAAACTGGAAAGAGGAGATACACCTCAAGATATTAAAGACCGGTGCTATCAATTGTGTCGCAATTATTTGGCCGATGTCTGGCTTACAGTTGGTATCGATGATATTGAAGTTAAACGACTAAGTGGTGGTCTGACAAATCAATTATACTACTGTGCTATCAATGATATACACCGTACCAATGATGCCAGTGCTCCACAAGAAGTAGCCATCAGATTATATCAAACAAAACATTTCAATGAAAATGAGAGAACTAGTGATATGATTATTGGTTTAATGGTCTCTCAGTGCGGTTTGGGTCCCAAACTGTACGGTGTGTTTCCTGATGGACAGATTCAAAAATATTATAAAGTAATTGATATTAATTTATATAATATTATTCAATATTTACAATATATTAAACAAAACAAATCTTATTTATGTTTAGCACAAAAGTTTTCGTAAAGAACAACAAACGGATCCCAAATTAGTTGAAGAATTGGCAGAAAAGTTGGCCCGTATTCATGCCATGGATGTACCGATTAGTAAAACTACTCATTGGATGTTCAATTATTTTGAAAATTATTATCGTGACGGCAACGAAACGTTTGATATGCCGGCGCTCATCAATGAAACTAATAGCGAAACTTTACAAAAATTTGATTTACGACTGGAGTTAGATTGGCTTAAAAATACAATCGTTAAGTTTGACTCTCCCGTTACCTTCACTCACGTAGACTTTCGCGGTTCAAATATAATGGTCACCGAAGATGACAGTATAGTTCTGTGCGATTTCGAGTATTCCTGTTATGACTACCGGGGCTATGATTTTGGTACCATTTTTATTGAATGGGGACAAAAATTTTGGGGCGATAAAGATGATGATAAACCATACGAGTTCACTGACGACAGTCAAATAGTACCGTTCCTCGAGACGTATATTTTGGAGTCGACTAAACTATTGGGCGATAAGTTTGCAAATGATCCGCGAAATAATGTCAAACGTATGATAAGGGAAGTCAAACTGTTTTCAATGGTTTCGATGATGTTTATAGTCTTATTCATGTATAGAATGAAGGAATCGATATTTAATACAATAGAGTTTAATAAAAAACAACAAATGGTAAATCAATTTCAATATTTTTTATATATATATATATTATTTCTGTTAATTAATTTTATTTAATTAATTTATTAGGCTATGACTGAGAAAACATATAAAGCATATCAAGATTTAAAATCACAGTTTATGATACAAAATGCATTCAACACTGATTTAGATTAAATTAAAATTTGATAACAATTTAAACATGTTTACTATTAAATAAATTATCTTGTATTGCATATACATAGTGTTTACAAATAAAGATATTTATTGAAAGTTTCTAAAATATATTTCTGTCTATAAGATCCCCATGTTAATTTTGATTTTGTATCAATTTTTGTTATATTGTAAAAATATATTGTTAATTAATATTCAAAATATCACTATTTTATTAATTTTAAATATAAAGTTCCCATTAGGATAACAGTAATGTGTATTTATCAATAATACAGTATTACAATAACTTTATATAGAGATCCAATAATATAATAATAAAGTAGCAGGGGCGGTTAAGCAAATTTTGATTTTTTTGTATACCTCCCATTATAATCAAAATTTATTTTATTTAATAACTTTAATATTATTCATCCGATTGATCTAAAATTTAATATATATCTGTAAAATTTTAATATTTATTAAAATATATCAATTAAAATTAACCGCCCCTGCTACTTTTAAAGTATCACTAAAATTTCTATATTTTAGTGAAACTTTATAATAATTTTCTATTTGCCCATCGCTATATTCTATACTCTATACACTGTATATTATATAGTATAAAAAATATAATAAACTAATAAACAATTATATTTACATTTAAAATAAACATAATCATCAAAATTATCATTATATTAGAGTAATATAATTGATTAGACTGTTAATCAGTTTATTAACTTATAGATTTCAAATATTGAAAAAATCCAGATAATAATAATATAAAAATTATCTCCACATCACTCAAGTATCTAAACTATTATTTTGCCGATTAGTAAAAATAGTAATTAAAAATAATATTAACTGAATATTTGCAATTTGTTTAAAATTATATTCTGGCATAATTTTTATTTTTTTGATTGTCACCACTTATTGTCTATTGTATTATTCTGTATAATTAAATAATAGCATAATAATAATAATCTTATGATGATAAATTGATAATCAAATTTGACATATAAGCAAAAAGTTTATAGTAATTTAAATAATTAAATAATTTCAAGGATGTTTTAGGACTATAATTATAGATATAGTTGAAACTATTAAGCAAATGTAAGTATAATGGTTATTATAAAAATAATTTTATAATCCCTGAATAAAATTTTATATTAAATAATAATAACTTGTTAGTCTTGAAGAAATATTTTTTTTAATATCACTGAATTTTTATTTATACAATAATCTTATAATTATTAACAATGAGTGCCGAAATAAGCAGCAAAATTTCTATTGAAGATATTGCTAACAACAATATTAAGGAAACGGTGTTTGATATGAGTAATATCAAACTGGAAAGAGGGGATACACCTAAAGATATTAAGGACCGGTGCTATCAATTGTGTCGCAACTATTTGGCCGATGTTTGGCTAACAGTCGGTATCGATGACATTGAGGTCAGACGTTTGAGCGGTGGACTCACCAATCAGTTATACTATTGTGCTATCAATGATATACACCGTACCAATGATGCCAGTGCTCCACAAGAAGTAGCCATCAGATTATATCAAACAAAACATTTCAATGAAAATGAGAGAACTAGTGATATGATTATTGGTTTAATGGTCTCTCAGTGCGGTTTGGGTCCCAAACTGTACGGTGTGTTTCCTGATGGACAGATTCAAAAATTTTACAAGGTAATTTTTATTGATCAATCAGATTTCAAATTTATCAATTATAATGTATTAGACAATTAGATACTTATAAATTATAATTATTTTTAGCACAAAAATTTTCGTAAAGAACAACAAACGGATCCTAAATTAGTTGAAGAGTTGGCACAAAAGTTGGCCCGTATTCACGCCATGGATGTACCCATTAGTAAGACTACTCATTGGTTATTCAGGTATTTCGATGACAACTATAGTGAGGATAACGAAATGTTTGATATGCCGGCGCTTATCAAAGAAACTAATAGCGAAACTTTACAAAAGTTTGATTTAAGACTGGAGTTAGATTGGCTTAAAAATACAATCGTTAAGTTTGACTCTCCCGTTACCTTCACTCACGTAGACTTCCAAACCAGTAATATTATGGTTACCGAAAATGACGGAATAGTTTTGTGCGATTTCGAGTATTCCTGTTATGGCTACCGGGGCTATGATTTTGGCTCTATTTTCATTGAATGGGGAAAAAAGTTTTGGGGCGATAATCAAAATGATGATAAACCACAAGAGTTTGCTGATGACAGTCAAATAGTACCGTTCCTCGAGTGGTATATTTTGGAGTCAACTAAACTATTAGGCGATAAGTTTGCAAAAGACCCCCGAAATAATGTTAATCGTATGCTAAGGGAAGTCAAACTATTTTCAATGGTATCGACAATGTTTGGAGTGTTATTCATGTATAATATGAAAGAATCGATATTTAATACAATAGAGTTCAATAAAAAACAACAAATGGTAAATCAATTTCAATATTTTATTTTGTATTTATAATTTTTGTTAATTAATTTTATTTTATTAATTTATTAGTTAATGACTGAGAAGACATATAAAGCATATCAAGATTTAAAATCAAAGTTTATTATACAAAATGTATTCAACAGTGATTTAGATTAAACTAAAATTTGATAACAATTTAAACATTTCTACTATTAAATAAATTATCTTGTATTGCATATACTATAACAGTTTTACTATAATATATTGCAAAATTAATACTTTAATAATTATATCTATTAATATATATATATATATATATATATATATATTATACAATATACGGTAAATATTTTAAAAATCAATTTATTAGTTATTAAATCTATTTTTTTAATTATTTTTAAAAATAAAATAAAGTAAAATAATTTACACATTCTTTTTTTTATCATTATAATACATTTTATTTTTAGTATTTAATAATATAGTTTATTTATAAAAATTATATTAATATTTAAAAGTATTTTTAATATCACTATTTGTTTAAAAAAAATAATATTTTATTATTCCTATCATTATTACAGTTAATCTATAATTTATAAATTACAAGTTCTAGTCTATATTTTTCATCGGTAAATAAGTTTGAAAATCTTGTTTATAAATAACTTATAATATTGTATTACTTTATAGTGAATACATATTTATTTACGGCACAACTTAATTGTATTATTAATTTGTTATTTGAAAATACTATGAATAGTTTAATATAACTATTAAATTATTTTATCATTCAAAATAAACTGATTATAATTGACAACTATATCCTTGATTTGATTGTCAAATTGACATTAATTTAGTTATATTAAAATAAATATTTATGACATATTCATGATTATATGATGATTATATCAAATAAATATCAATAAATATTTAAATAAATAAATAAATGTGTTGTCAACAAATTATATTAAACATAATAAGAAGTTATATGATTTTAATTTGTGGTCTTCATGTTTATCATTTTATTTATATTATATATAAAATAATAAGAAAAATATAAAAATTTTTGATGAAACATAAAAATGACATACTTTAGTCAAATATATACAGTATTTTGATTAATTTTTGATACAATAACTAAATTATTATTATTATTATTATTATTATTATTATTAGTAGTAGTAGTAGTAGTAGTAGTAAATATAGTAATTTTATTGTATTATATTGTATTTTTAAATTACTTTAAGAGATTTTGGTTTATTTTAATCATTTATATATATATTAAACTGACAACTATTTGTTGAACTTATTTTGAGATGTGGGCGCTTGAAATCAATATCTATTTAAACTATAACTGAAATTATTTATTAATTTTAAATATAAACCCTGTCTTCAACTGCTCTTTTACTCCTATACTCTGATTGGGACAAACATTGATTATAAGGACATCCAATCACATGACGTAACAATATTAATACAATAAACTTTTTTTTAATTAAAAATATTGAATCAGAAATTAAACAAATTAGATGAAAAAATAATTAATTTCAAGGATATTTTGAAACTACGATTTAAATTTTATATATAATTATATATAACTATTTTAGTTTATACTGTTCATTGTTCAAACATATATTGTTCATTCAATACTACAGTATAAAAACATTTGAATCCTCTAAATAAATAATAAAAATATTTTATTAGTTTGCTATAATTTTTTAATAATAAAATTAAAACCTAAAAAATATAAATAGTATTAATAATAATATTAAAAAATGACTGATTATTTGGATATTGATATTAGCAAAATTGATTTTATACGGGGAAATACTCCCGATAATATAAAAGAGACCTGTCTCAATTTATGTAAAGATTATTTGGCTGATATTTGGCTTAATATTACCATCGATGACATGGAATTTAAAAGATTAAGCGGCGGTTTAACTAATCAATTATATTATTGTGCGATCAAACAATGCGATAATGATAATAATAATAAAGAGATCAAATCACCGATTGAAGTGGCCATACGTTTGTACGAATCAAAACATTTTAATAATTACGACAATAAAGGCTATGAAAGACTAACGGATACAGTGGTTGCACTAATGGTATCACAAAATAAATTGGGACCAAAAATATATGGCATGTTTGAAAAAGGACAAATTCAAAAATATTACAAAGTATAAAATTAAAAATTATAATTTTTATTTTTTAAAAATTGCAACAATTTTTCATAGCACCGACAATTTCGTGTGGATGAACAAAACAATCCAAAACTAGTCAGTGAATTGGCCACTAAATTGGCACAAATACATGCAATGGATGTACCCATAAAAAAGTCAAACAATTGGATATTTGAAACATTTGATCGTTCCTATGAAGAGGCAAACAATTTGTTTGATTTGAAAGCATTATATGATGAATGCAATTGTCAGACATTAAAAGGACACGAATTGATAGATGAGATCCAATGGCTTAAAGACACGATCACATCACTGGACTCTCCCATAGCCTTTACTCACGTGGACTTTCGTGGCTCAAACATTATGGTCACCGATGAAGACGGTATAATATTATGTGATTTTGAGTATTCATGTTATGACTACCGGGGCTGTGATTTTGGAACCCTTTTTGCCGAATGGGGTAAAAATTTTTTGGATTTTTTAAAACCACAAGATTTTCCAAACGACGAAATATTTAAACCATTTATTGATATCTATATCAATGAAATGACACGTTTGAAGGGAAATGTATTCACTGATGACAAACGTAATACCTTTGAGCACATCCTAAAAGAGGGTAAAGTGTTTGCATTGGCCTCTAATATGTTTTTTATTGTAATGACACTAAAACAAAATGAATCCGTTATACCTGACATTACATTTGATAAAAATCAAGAAATGGTTTGTATTATTGTATTAATTATATATTAATTTATAATATAATATTTATTATAATTTTTAATTTTTTTACTTTTTTATTTAGAAATTCAGTGAAGTACTTTATTCAAATTATTTTTATTTGAAGAATAAATTTATTAATGATAAAGTTTTTTAATATTAATAAAATTGTATAATTTTGTTTAAAAATTTTATTAAGATTTAAGAATTAAAATTATTTTAATAAAACAATTCTTTATTATTTTGTAATTGAATTATTATAGAGTAATTGATAATGTTTTACTTAAAAACCCATTAAATAATAATTGATCACAAATTGTGATTCATAATATAATTTCATATATCCAATACAAGGGTATTAATAAACTTTAATGTTTATAACTATATATATATATAGAAAACTATTGTCGTATTTTTGTAACATTTTTTTTAATGCCAACTGATCTCATCATTGATAATATAAGTCTTAAGTTTTCAAGAATAAAAAGTAAATATAAAATAAAAAATACAAAATAAAAATAGTTTATTAGTAAATTAATATGAAATATTTTTAATAAAATGTATGACAATAAACAAAATTAATTCAACTAACATTTATATATAATTAACTGATTAGCAGATATTAAATGAAATGCTTAAAAAACATAGATTACAAATCTTTAAATATTTAATTCATAATAATATTAAATTTAATTATTTATTTTTTAATAACAATTATTTTCTATAGTTTTTTCCTAACAATGATACTAATAATCTCTTTAAAGGTTAGTCACTTAGTCTACGTATTGAGTATTCAAACAGTTAACTAATTTTTTTTATTTTTGGTTAATAATCAAAATTGTAATAAATATAAAAATTGACTCAATTTTGACTTTTTGTTTATCAAATATTTAATTAAGAATTATATTCTTAAATATAATACTTGTTTTTGTTCTAATTATTTATCTAATTAATAAAATAATAATAATAATATTTATTTAAAAACAATAATAATAATAAAATAATAGCATAATATCGATTAAATTGTATTTAAACTAATTTATTGTACACTTAATATAAGTTAAATCATAAGATATATTGGGAATAATATTTAGTTTCAAGGATATTAAAACAATTTTATTATATTTTTTTATAGATAATTATAGATAATTACAAAAAAACTATGCTATATATTAAGCTGTCACAGTTTAGACTAAAAACAGTGTATATTGTTTTAATATTGAATAAACATTTTAAATTATATTACAGCGTAGAACAGTGCGGGAAAAATATAGAAATATATTTTTAATAACTATTAATAAAATTAACTTAATTTAATAATAATAATATATATGATTTTAAGCATAAATTTTATGAATTGTGTCGCAACTATATGGCCGATGTTTGGCTAACAGTGTAAAAAATATTTAATCACAATATTTAATTTCAAGGATGTTAATACAATTTTATTTTATTTTTTTATAGATAATTATAGATAATTACAAAAAAACAATGCTATTTTTTAAGCTGTCACAGTTTAGACTAAAAACAGTGTATATTGTTTAAATAGTGAATAAACATTTTAAATTATATTACAGTGTAGCAATAAATTTTAAATAACTATTACCAAAATTAACATAATTTAATAATAATATTTATAAATTAATTTATAAAAATGACCGATCTTTTGGATTTAGATTTTAGTAAAATTGAATTAGTCAGGGGAAATACACCCGATAATATAAAAGAGACCTGTCTCAATTTATGTAAAGATTATTTGGCTGATATTTGGCTCAATATTACCATCGATGACATGGAGTTTAAAAGATTAAGCGGCGGTTTTACTAATCAATTGTACTATTGTGCCATTAAACAAGTTAATGATAATAATAATAATAAAGAGATCAAATCACCGATTGAAGTGGCCATACGTTTGTATGATTCAAAACATTTTAATAATTACGACAATAAAGGCTATGAAAGACTCACTGATACTGTGATTGCATTAATGGTATCACAAAATAAATTGGGACCAAAATTATATGGCATGTTTGAGAAAGGACAAATTCAAAAATATTATAAAGTATGAATTTAAACTAAATTATATTTATTTATAAAAAATAATTGTATTTTTTAAAATATATTATGTTTAATAAATAAATTTCAAATAATTTAATTATATTTTTAATTGATAGCACAAACAATTTCGTGTGGATGAACAAAAAGATCCAAAACTAGTCAGTGAATTGGCCACTAAATTGGCACAAATTCATACAATGGATGTACCCATAAAAAAGTCAAACAATTGGGTATTTGAAACATTTGATCGTTTCTATGATGAGGCAAACAATTTGTTTGATTTGAAGTCATTATATGATGAATGCAATTGTAAAACACTTAAGACATATGATATTCAAGAAGAGATCCAATGGTTAAAAGACACGATCACATCACTGGACTCTCCCATAAACTTCACTCACGTAGACTTTCGCGGCTCAAACATTATGGTCACCGAAAATGAAGGTATAATATTATGTGATTTTGAGTATTCATGTTATGACTACCGGGGCTGTGATTTTGGGACACTATTTGCCGAATGGGGTCAAAATCTTATGCTTGATTGGAATAAACCACAAGAGTTTCCAAACGATGAAACCTTAAAACCATTTATTGATATCTATATCAATGAAATGACACGTTTGAAGGGAAATGTATTCACTGATGACAAACGTAATACCTTTGAGCACATCCTAAAAGAGGGTAAAGTGTTTGCATTGGTTTCCAATATGTTTATGGTTTTAATTACGCTTAAGGAAAGCGAATCATTTATACCTGAAATCATATTTGATAAAAAACAATCAATGGTTAGTTATCAATGGTTTATGTTTATTATATTAATAATTTATTAAATATTATTTAAATATTTTTATAACTTTATTTTTATTTTATTTTTTTATTTAGATCTTTACTGATGTATTATATGCAAATTATTATTATTTGAAGAATAGATTTATTAATGATAAAGTTTTTTAATATGACAACAAATTTGTTATTTAAATGCATCATATTTCAATAGGTTTACTTATTAATTAAATTTTAATTATTTTAATTAAAAATATTCTAAGTTAACAGGTTTTTACTATTTTGTTATTATTTAATATTATTGTTGTATATTATTTATTCAAGTTATTGTTTTTTTAGATTTATGCCATTTAAATAATTTTTTCATTGTTATAAATTATGATTTTTTATGTTAATTTTAATGCAATATTCTATACTATATTATATTTCACTTTATTGTTTTATAATTTTTGTTGTATTAATTTGTTGTTAATATATATGATAGTATAATTCTAAATATAATAAAGGCAATTGATTTTAAGAAAAGAAATAATAAATATTATCAGTAAATAGACTATTAATGTTATTTATATACTAAATAACTTTAACAATTTAAATTACATATTATTTATAAACAATTATTTCTATATTTTTTTATATAATACGCTCCCAATACTGATATTCAATATTTGATTGACAAATCAAACAGGCGTTTAGTTAAGTATCTATTAATGACTTAAGACTTTCTAATGTAATATTATATTCAAATACCTGTATTAATAATACAATGAAATATTACACAATATATTCAGTATTACTGATAAATATTAGTTAAAATATTTAAATAATAATTTGTTGATTCATTTCGATGTTGTGTTCAAAATAGACATTATTAATAGTAAATTAAAATCAAAATATATTATACGATAATTTTATTATAAATAATACAAACTTAAAATAATGTCATTAAATATAAATGATTTTAAGCACAAATGCTATGAATTGTGTCGCAACTATTTAGCCGATATTTGGCTAAAAGTGGGTATCGATGACATTGAGGTCAGACGTTTGACCGGTGGGTTCACTAATCAATTATACTATTGTGCTATCAATGATATACACCGTACCAGTGATGCCAGTGCTCCGCAAGAGGTTGTCATCAAATTATATCTAACAAAACATTTCAAAGAAAATGAGAGAACTAGTGATACAATTATCGGTTTATTGGTCTCTGAGTTGGGTTTGGGTCCCAAACTGTACGGCGTGTTTACTGATGGACAGATTCAACAATATTATAAAGTAAGCATCTTTTAAATATCTTATTTTTATTTATAAAAAATAATTAGAATTTAAAAAAAAATTTATATTATGTATAATATATTTCAAAGAATTTGTTTTATTTTTTTTGATTAACAGCACAAACACTTCCGTATGGATGAACAAAACAATCCAAAACTAGTCAGTGAATTGGCCACCAAATTGGCACAAATTCATGCAATGGATGTACCGATAAAAAAGTCAAACAATTGGATGTTTGAAACATTTAACCGTTTCTATGACGAGGCAAACAATTTGTTTGATTTGAAGTCATTATATGAAGAATGCAATTGTAAAACACTTAAGACATATGATATTCAAGAAGAGATCCAATGGTTAAAAGACACGATCACATCACTGGACTCTCCCATAGCCTTCACTCACGTGGACTTTCGCGGCGCAAACATTATGGTCACTGAAGAAAATGGTATAATATTATGTGACTTTGAGTATTCATGTTATGACTACCGGGGCTGTGATTTTGGGACCCTTTTTGCCGAATGGGGCAAAAATTTTATGCTCGATTGGAATAAACCTCAAGAGTTTCCAAACGATGAAACATTAAAACCATTTATTGATATCTATATCAATGAAATGACACGTTTGAAGGGAAATGTATTCACTGATGACAAACGTAATACTTTTGAGCACATCCTAAAAGAGGGTAAAGTGTTTGCATTGGTTTATAATATGTTTATTATTTTATTGACACTTAAGGAAAACGAGTCATATACACCTGAAATCATATTTGATAAAAAAAAATCAATAGTTAGTATAATTTATGTTTATTATATTAATAAATTATTTAAATATTTTAAAACTTATTTTTTATTTTATTTTTTATTAGATGGCTAATGATGTTTTATATGTAAATTATTATTATTTGAAGAATAGATTTATTAATGATAAAGTTTTTTAATATAACAAATAATACATCATATTTCAATAAATCTAATTATTACAGTAATTAAATTTTGAATATTTAAATTGAAATTATTTAAAGTTAACAATTTTTATTATTTTGTAATTTTCTTATACAATATGCTATACCATATTTTATATAGATTTAAATTATAGATTTAAAAAAATTAAACACAATTTTTATATATTATAAAATAATTTGCTCATTAATTATTCAATACATATTACCACTTATAATAAAAAATAATCTTTAATATTATAAATCAATTGTTGTCTTTAATCGCAAATAATTTTTGTACGTACGTTCCGCTAATTGCTAAATAACAAAAAATAAAATTATTATTTAAACTATAATACTATATAAAGATTGATTAAATAATTATAATACAAACCAGAAATACTGTTTCATTTGGCATATCATCTGAATGTTCATCTATTCTCAAGCAAAACAATATCAAACATATTTTGCCAATCAATACAAATAGTTTGACTTCTTTGACCAATTGATTCATTGAATTGATAGGATTTTCTGAATAATTTATACCAAAAATTTTGATATTTTCATCGATATAATAGCCAAGTAATTGATTAATGATAGAGTCATCAATAAGATTGTGATCTACTTTAAAATCACTCCATAGTCGACCCCATTCACTAATAATTGATCCCAAATCGCTACCCCTATACCCATAACAGCCATATTCATAGTCACAAATCAGTATCTGTTCTTCACTGTTATGATTATCGTTGTCCTCCAATACCATTATATTACTACTAAGCAGATCATTGTGTGAGAAAACCATAGGACTTCCAATTTCAATGACTTTCTCTTTGAGCCAATTTATTTCATCACTGATATCGACAGTCTTAAGTGTTTCGCAATTTAATTGATCAATAAGTTGAGGAATAGACGATTGATTCATAACTTTTTGATAGTTGCCATCAATTTCATCAAAAACCCAGTGTTTCTTTATAAGCGGTACATCCATGGCATGAATTCGGGCGATCTTTCGGAACAATTCTTCAACAAGTTTTGCATTTTTTTGTTCTTCAAGTTTAAACTGTCGGTGCTATGAGTTGTTTGTAATGTTTGTAAATATATAATAAATTAAAATAATAAATTTATTACACTATGTTATGCTTTTGTCTATTTATATTGACATACGTTATGAAAAACACTGATTTCTCCGCCATTGAAAACACCTAATAATTTTGGTCCCAATTTTCTTTCCGAAACCATCATCGATATGATTATATCACTGAGTCTTTCATTGCCGTCATAGACATTACTTTTTGACCATTTGCTACCATATATACGTACGGCCACAACATTGGGAACCGTTGGGTTGGCATCTGATTCATTAATAGCACATTTATATAATTGATTGGTTACACCGCCGGTAATTCGAGTCACTTCAATGGTTTCGACTGTCTGTTTGATCCAATCACCGGCAATATAGTCCTGACATACCTGTAAACACTGTTCCTTAATATCTTCTGGTGTCTGACCTCTTATAGTTTCATGAAAATCTATATCCAAATTGTCCAAACTTTTGACATCATTACAACTATTAGATTGTTGATCATTAGACTCCATATTTTCAATTTCGTCGAAATAATATTAATTTCTTTTTTAAAAAAAAAATATTTCTAACAGTTATTGCAATAATTTTTAATATTATAATGAGTTATTTATACAGTATATTAATAAATATTTTTTATAAATATTAATAGATAGCTAATTCTTTAGATATCATTTATAGCTTATTTGAATCGAATTCATTCAAAATATATATTTTTTAATTTTTAAATAAAGAAAATTATATTATAAATTAAATTTAGTATAAGTTTTGTTAAAAACTAATAATTATCTATATATTTTGTATAACATTTATTTTCAAAATTGATTTTTATGTTTTTTTAGCTATTGTATATTTTTACAATAAGATTGTTGAATATAAATATGATAAAATATTGATATTACCACTATTTTGTTATACCTAAGTATTTATTGTATCAATGTTTAGATAATTTTTGTTGTTGTCTTTTTAATTGGTTATTTAATTAAGTATTTTTAATAATAATAAAAAAAAGTTTATTATTAACTAAGAAAATAATTTACAGCTCAATTTTTTTAATTCAAAAATAAAAAAATAACTATTATTATTTTTTAAATATATACAGTAAATAGTTTTAAAATACATCAATAGCATTTATTATTAAATTATTGTTTATTTATACTAATAAACCAATTTTTTATTTTGAAATATGTGTTTACTTTTAATTAAAAAAATTATTACTAAACCAATTGTTGTAATATAAAAGTAATTTGATAAATGTTAATTAAATTGTTTAATCAATCCTAACCAACATTAAATAATTATTGACTGTTATAAGTAATCAACCAAAATAATGATAAACTTTTAACTGAAATCAAGTGTAATTTGAAGGTTGAAGTAATCATTTCTATAAACTATGATAAGTATTACTTTATGTTTTATAAACACAATCAAACTTTTTATATAGAATTTTTTCACTTTAGATATTTGCTAATATATTGATATATTAAAATAAATTTTTAAATTTATTATTATAATGACTAAATTATTAATTACAAAATAATAATAGTTTATACTGGATATTTAAAAAAATCATAATTTTGTATATTATTTATGATTTAAATTTTGATAATAATTCACACATTGGTTATCATTAATTAAAGTGTAATTTTATCAATAAATATGTAATTTGATAATTATAAAGAATAATAGTTTTCTTTGTATTCAAAAATGTGTGACTGATATCCGTGTTTATGAATATTATAAATAATTGTCAATCATTTAATTATATTTAGTTAAATAAAACATTTATTTTTTAAAAATATTATATTATATTTTGATTATTTAATAATTACTAAAAAAAAATTCATAAATAATTTTTATTTTATTTAAATTGTCTTAAAATGAGTGAAAATGATAGAGAAACAATTGAAAATTTTGATTTCACCACGATCAAATTAGAAAGAGGACACACACCCAATGATATCAAAGATAAATGTTTCGGTTTATGCAGAGATTATTTGGCAGATATTTGGCTTAATGTGACCATCGATGACGTGGAAGTCAAAAGATTGAGCGGTGGACTCACTAATCAATTATATTATTGTGCGATCAAAAGGGATAATAATAATAATAATAATAATGAGGAGAATATTAATGATATTAATAGTAAAACCAATGTACCGATTGAAGTGGCCATACGTTTGTATGATTCAAAACATTTTAATAATCACAACAATAATGGTTATGAAAGATTGACAGATACAGTGGTTGCACTAATTGTATCACAAAATAAATTGGGACCAAAACTGTATGGAATATTTGAACAGGGACAAATACAAAAATATTATAAGGTAGCAATTTAATATATTATTTTTAATTAAAACTGTTATTTAATTATTTTTTATTTATTAAAATATATTGATTGATAGCACCGACAGTTTCGAGAACCTGAACAAAATGATCCAAATCTGGTTTGCGATTTGGCCACCAAATTGGCACAAATACACGCAATGGATGTACCAATAAAAAAGTCAGGCAATTGGGTATTTGAAACGTTTGATAATAGCTATGATGAGGCAAACAGATTGTTTGATTTGAAGTCATTATATGATGAATGCAATTGTCAGACATTTAAAGCACACGATTTGAATGATGAGATCCAATGGATAAAAGACAAGATCACAGAACTGGACTCTCCGATAGTCTTCACTCACGTAGACTTTCGCGGCTCAAACATTATGGTCACCGATGAAAACGATTTAATATTATGTGATTTTGAGTACTCCTGCTATGGTTATCGGGGCTATGATTTTGGGACCCTATTTGCCGAATGGGGTAAAAACTTTTTTGACTTTTTAAAGGCTCAAAACTTTCCCAACGATAACACTATTAAGCCATTCATTGATGTCTATATTGAAGAGATGATTCGTCTTAAGGGAAAAACATTTACTGATGACAAACGTAATACCTTTGAACACATCCTAAAAGAGATTAAATTGTTTACATTAGCCGCCAATATGTTTGTCATTACTTTGAGTATTAAATCAAATGAATCTGTATTTGTTGACCGGCCTTTTGATAAAAAACTACAATTGGTTTGTTGTCTTATTTATTAATATTTAACATTAATAAATAAATAAATAAATATATTAATTATTTAAATATATATTTTATAATTTATTTTATATAGACTGGTACTGAAATTATCTACAAAAATTATCATCAGCTCAAAAATCAATTTATTGAAAGCAATGCATTCTAAAAACAACCTAGTTATTAAATCTATTTTTTAAAAATTAATTACTTAATTAAAATTACTAAAAATTGAAATAATAAAATTTATGTATTCTTTTGTTTATCATTATTATAGATTTAATTTGTTTTAGTATTTAATAATATAATGTATTTCTAATAAAAAAAATTTTATTATTATTTTTATTATTATATAATTAATATTTTTAAGTTTTATTGTACTGTTAATCTATAGTTTATAGTCTATAAGATAATTAACAACTAATTTCACTGTTGTTACACATGAAGGTCACATCAGTTTTGTTAAGTTGTCCCCAAAGCACCAGAAATATAATGTAAACATTTAAAAACACTTTTTTAATCTTAAATATTTAATAATTGATATATTTCACACTTATTTCATAATATAACTAATGTCTATAAAATAGCAATTAAGTTTTCATTTTTTTTTAAATAAATAATAAATATAAATATTGATGATTTATTACTAATAAATTATTAGTTATTGTCAATAACTTATTGCTATCTAAATTGAAATATTTTCAATCAGTAATTATACGTTTGTAAATCCTGTTTATACATATTTTATAATAATATAGTGAATACATATTTATTTAATTCATTTGTGGTACAACTTAATTGTATTATTATTACCATAGTTTGCTGATTGACAATACATATATGTATAATAAAACTATTAAATTATTTTGACCTTCAAAATAAACTGATTATAATTTAACAACTATATCCTTGATTGGATATTAATCATAGGACTAGTTATAATAATAATAATAATACTAATAAACTATGAAATTATATAAATATAAATGTTATAGAATACACATCTAAACATTTGTAAATTCATATAAACTTTTATATTTATACAATTTAAATATATAGAAATCTATATATAATTAAAACAAACTATTAATAAGTTATGGCAACAACTTGTGACCAACCGGTGTCTACTGATGTGACAAATGGCAAAATAAGTCTTAAAAATTTGGTAAATGTTAAAGATATCAATGAAGTAGACTTCGATAAACTAGAGCTGTTAAGGGGTGAAACACCCGATGATATCAGAGATCAATGTCTTAAACTATGTCAACAGTATTTGGCCGGCAATTGGTTGCAACAGTCAACCGATACTATTAAAGTAGTGCGAGTGTCGGGTGGTATGACTAATCAACTATACTATTGTGGAATTGTCGACAAATCTGATGATAACCAAGAAGTTCCACAACAAGTGGCGGTTAGACTGTATGGACCAAAATATTTCAATAATAAAGACTGTGACGGAAATGAAAGACTCACTGATGTAGTCATAGCACTAATGGTCTCACAAAACAAATTGGGTCCTAAAATATACGGAATTTTTGATGGCGGACAAATACAGGCGTTTTATAAGGTATTATAGAAATTATTATATTAATTTAATTTATATTAAATAAAAACAAACAATAAATTGCAATATAAGTAAAATTATATAATTTTTATATTTAAAGCACCGACAGTTTAAAGTTGAAGAACAGAAAGATCCGAAATTAGTGACCGAATTATTTCAAAAGTTAGCCCGAGTTCATGGTTTAAATGTGCCCATCAAAAAGTGTCACTGGTCATTGAAGGAAATGGATAGATTTTATAATAATTTCATTAATAAAACTGATTTAAAGTGTTTGGTCGATAAATTTGATGTATTTATTGAAAATGATTTCAAAACAGAGATTGATTGGCTCAAAGGTTTGATTGAAAAGACTAACAGTCCGCTAGTGTTTACACACAATGACTTCCGAAGCAGTAATATAATGGTTTTGGAGGACAAAAATGTTGAGTCCGGGGAACAGATAGTATTGTGTGACTTTGAATATTCAAGTTATGGCTATCGGGGACAGGATTTCGCTATTATTTTGACTGAATGGGGACGTACTATGAATGACATGAAAAAACCGATGACTTTACCCGACGACTCAACTTTGCGATCAATATTTGATATTTATATTAAAGAAACGGAAAGATTGTTCGGTAAAGACTATTGCGAAGCAAATCGTTTTACTTCGGATGTGATCATCAAAGAGGCGAAAATATTTGCATTATATATGCAGATATGGTTTGTAGTCTTTATGTTAGGCAATGAGGAAGAATCCTCTGAATTATTTTCAAATAAAGATTTTATTTTAGTAAGTAATTGATAAAAAATAATGTAATATTAATATTACTCAATATTAATCATTTAATTTAAATTGATTGATATATTTTAAATAACAAAACAATTATTAATTTTATTACTTTTTCTAATTTAACAGCAATTTTCGGAGATTGGATACAAAAATTATTTTCATCTGAAACAACAATTAAAAGACCAAAATCTATTTTAATGATAATTTTTTAAATAATTTTACAAATTTTATTTTATTTTATTTACATTGTATAGCATCTACAGTACAGTGAATAAGTGTTATCATTATATTAATAACTTGTTATTAAATGTTTGATACACATTATACAATATAACAAATTTTACTAATATTATGAATCCAAATTTACACAAAAAAAAAATGATTAAAATAAATTTATATGATAGTTACTTTTTTAATTAATTGATACTAGATAATCTTTTATACAATTTATATGTTTTATAAAAAATATAGTGTATTTATTACTATAAATATTAATAATCTGTAGAATTAATAAAATGTATTAAAAATATTTTAAATAAGAAATTATATGTATAAATTAAATGTAAAATTATATTCAATTAAATCAAATTTATTTAGATATTAAATGTCTTAGTTTATTATTAAAACATAACTTTATTATGTTTAATATTATTTAATGATATTTTAGTTGAATGCCTACAGTTTGTTTAGGTAATACTAATACTAAATGCACCACAAATACGATGAAACATTATTAGTCAATAATCAAATATTTCATTACAATCATCGACACAATCAACTAATAGACTAGTGATTAAACACTGCACTTAAAGCACCACAAAAAACAATACTATTAAATAATAAATAGCAATAAAGTCGCTTATCTTATATATACTATACTTGTATTATTATTGATATAATATTTTATAATAATTATTATTAAATAAATACAATTAAATACATTAGTTTTCATCACTATCTGAAACATATTGATTATTATAAATACAATTAATTTTTTTTTAAAAAAATAATTCATAATATTTTTGATTCTTTATATCTTAATATAAGAATTAAGAAAATTTTTCAGTAGTTTAAGGATTAGTACTATTCTTGATAATGAGTTTATAAGTGGTTTCAGACTAAAAGCCATAATTGTTGAAATATATTAATTTAAAATTCAATTAATAATTTTGACTTTCTTTTAAGTTTATGATAAACAACATAACTTATACGTTATTTATACGTCAAATTAGTATTACATACTATCTATTACATAGTATTATAAGTTTTTAAGTTTACGTCCAATAAAACAATATCACCAATGCAATATTATAATAAAATTTTATTTAATAACCTTTATATTATTATCATCATATGAATTTTAGCATTATAATTTGTTTTATAGCTCTATATATATATATATTTGTAATTCTCCAATATAAATTACTCGAAGTTGTTATTTTTTTTTTTTAAAAATATAAGTTTATAATTTTAATTTTAAAATTATAAATATGACTACTAATAATAATGAACTGCCGGTGTCTAATGAAAACGATAAAATAAGTATAAAAGATTTGACTAATTGTGAAGACATTAGTCAAATAGATTTGGATAAGTTAGAGCTGTTAAGGGGTGATACACCCGATGACATCAAAGATCAATGTCTTAAACTATGTCAACAATATTTGGCCGGCAATTGGTTGCAACAGACCGTCGATACTATTAAAATAGAGAGAGTGTCGGGCGGTATGACTAACCAACTATACTATTGTGGAATTGTTGACAAATCTGATGATAAACAAGAAGTTCCACAACAAGTGGCGGTTAGACTGTATGGACCAAAATATTTCAATAATAAAGACTGTGACGGAAATGAAAGACTCACTGATGTAGTCATAGCACTGATGGTCTCACAAAACAAATTGGGTCCTAAAATATACGGTATCTTTGATTGCGGACAAATACAGGCGTTTTATAAGGTATGAGTGTGTTGTCATTAAATTAATTTGTTTTAAAATAATTTGTTATCAATAACAGCACCGATCGTTCAAAATTAATGAACAAAAAGATCCAAAACTGGTGACAGAATTGTTTGAGAAGTTAGCTCGAGTTCACGCCATGGATGTGCCCATCAAGAAGACTCATTGGTCTCTGAAAGAAGTGGAAAGATTTTACGATAATTTTACCAAAAAGACTGATTTAGTCGATTTGATTAATAAAATTGATATTTTTAATAAACATAATTTGAAAGAAGAAATTAATTGGATTAAAGTTTTGATTGAAAAGACAAACAGTCCGCTAGTGTTTACACACAACGACTTCCGAAGCAATAATATAATGGTTTTGGAGGACAATAATTGCCAGTCCGGGGAACAGATTGTTTTGTGTGACTTTGAATACTCCAGTTATGGCTATCGGGGACAGGATTTCGGTCTTATTATGTCTGAATGGGACCGTAATCTGAATGATATGAAGAAACCGATGACTTTTCCCAATGACTCTATTCTGCGGTCAATATTTGATATCTATATCAAAGAAACGGAAAGATTGTTTGGCAAAGAGTATTGCGAAGCAAAACGAGTTACAATTGATGTGATCATCAAAGAGGCAAAAGTTTTTACATTATATATGCAATTATTTTCGACAGTTTTTATTTTAGGTAATGATTCACAAATGGATGATATTTTCATGAATCACAACACTATAGCGGTATGTATTGCAATGTATTTGAATATAAAATTAGTATATTATTAATTAGTAAAAGTAAAAACTTTCTAAATTATCATTGATTTTATGTATTACAGAAATTTGGTCATATAATATTCAATAACTATTTTCATCTAAAGGAACAATTGAAAAAACAAAATATTTTTTAATGATTTTTTTTAAATATTATAATATTAAAGAATATTTAATTATTTTTTACACATTATGATTTAATTAAAATTTGGTGGTTATATTTATGTGTAAATAAATATTAAATGTGAATTTCTGGTATTATCTTATATTTTACTATGAATTGCCTCAACGTAAATTCAAATGATATAATGTGCACATTGTAATAGTATATTATTTTTTTCTACATTTACTGATATTACTAATAGTTAAGGTAATCATTGTTTTAACTATTATATTGGCAGGGGTTTGGTATCTAGGCTAATTAGGAGAGAGGTCAGTGGTATATTTTTAGAATCCTTATTTAGTATAGTTTAAAGATATAATAGTGTCAATGGCCGCAAATCAAAGGTTTAGGAAGTACCTGGGGTCAAAGGGTAATTTAATGCAGTGTACTGTACTATACTGTACTGCACTATACTGTCTGTACTATACTGTACTGTACTGTACTATATTGAACTATTAGGTTAGGTTAGGTTAGGTTAGGTTAGGTTAGGTTAGGTTAGGTTAGGTTAGGTTAGGTTAGGTTAGGTTAGGTTAGGTTAGGTTAGGTTAGGTTAGGTTAGGTTAGGTTAGGTTAGGTTAGGTTAGGTTAGGTTAGGTTAGGTTAGGTTAGGTTAGGTTAGGTTAGGTTAGGTTAGGTTAGGTTAGGTTAGGTTAGGTTAGGTTAGGTTAGGTTAGGTTAGGTTAGGTTAGGTTAGGTTAGGTTAGGTTAGGTTAGGTTAGGTTAGGTTAGGTTAGGTTAGGTTAGGTTAGGTTAGGTTAGGTTAGGTTAGGTTAGGTTAGGTTAGGTTAGGTTAGGTTAGGTTAGGTTAGGTTAGGTTAGGTTAGGTTAGGTTAGGTTAGGTTAGGTTAGGTTAGGTTAGGTTAGGTTAGGTTAGGTTAGGTTAGGTTAGGTTGTTAGGTAATACGCTGAACACTAATACATTGAATATATTATTAAACTTTGACCCCCTATAACTTTTTGACCTTTCAATTCCGGCCATTGATATTTTGGATATAGACTCACTACCCCCATAGCTTTCTAACCCACCCTCCCTTTCCCCATTTTTCCTTCCCCTACATTCCCAACCCTCGCCATTATATTTTATGACCTTGGAGAGTCATTGATTTTTATTTAATCATATTACCAAGTTATATATGGCTATTAATATTTATGTAATACTTTATAATATACAGTGTATATTAAATTATACCAGTAAGCCTCATGATTTTGTAAAAATTTTAGCATAAATAAAAAGTTTTATTAAAATTATGGCTAATATTAGTGAAGCAAATGTTTCTAATAAAACACAAAATAATAAAATTACTAATAATACGAGTGATTGTAAAGACATCAATGAAATAGACTTCGAGAAGATAGAGCTAATAAATGGTGAGACACCACATGATATCAAACACAGATGTCTTAAACTATGTCAACAATATTTGGCCGGAAATTGGTTGCAACAGACAGTCGACACAATTAAAGTAAAGAGATTGACGGGTGGTTTGACTAATCAACTATATTATTGTGGTATTGATAAACAATCCGATGATCTACAAGAAACTCCTAATGAAGTGGCGATTAGACTGTATGGACCAAAAGATATACTTATTAGCGATTCTGAAGAAAATGAAAGGCTTTCTGAAGTAGTGGTATCACTGATGGTCTCACAAAACAAATTGGGGCCAAAAATATACGGTATCTTTGATGGCGGACAAATACAGGCCTTTTATAAGGTATTGTATAATATTATTAATATTTTATTTTCTTTTATAACTTAATATGTTTTAATATTAAAAGCAACGACCGTTTAAAGTCAATGAACAAAATGATACAAAACTGGTGACAGAATTGTTTGAGAAGTTAGCTCGAGTTCACGCCATGGATGTGCCCATCAAGAAGTCTGAATGGTTTCTGAAAGCATTGGACACATTTTACGACAATTGTACCAAAAAGACTGATTTATTCGCTTTGCTTAATAAATCAGATATTTTTTCTAAATATAATTTAAAAATAGAAATCAATTGGATTAGAGATATCATTGAAAAGACAGACAGTCCTCTAGTCTTCACACATAACGACTTCCGAACCAATAATATAATGGTTTTGGAGAACAGTATTCCCGAAACCGGTCAACAACTAGTGTTGTGTGACTTTGAATTATCCAGTTATGGCTATCGGGGACAGGATTTCGGTTCAATAATCTCAGAATGGGGTCGAACTCCAAATGATTTTAAGAAACCGCAGTCTTTTCCCGACGACTCAACTTTGCGGTCAATATTTGATATCTATATCAAAGAAACGGAAAGATTGTTTGGCAAAGAGTATTGCGAACAAAAACGAGTAACAATTGATGTGATTATCAAAGAGACAAAGGTTTATATGTTATACTATAAACTGTTTGCAATCGTTTACTTTATGGGAACCGATTCACAGGCGGCTTACTTTGCTATGAATAATACAGCAATAGTGGTATGATATTAACATTTATTGATAATAATAATTATTAATTATTATTTATTAAAAAATTAACTTTAATTTATTTTTATTTATTTTTTAATATTATAGCAAAGAGTCGAAATTGCATACAATAATTATTTTCGTCTTAAGAAACAATTTATTCAACAATATTTTGTTTAATAAATGAATTGTAAAATACAGTATTAAAGATTGTTATTTAATTAATTTTTGTATAATTATTTATAAAATTTTATTTACAAGTAATTATATTTATTAACATAATTATAATATTTTGTTAATACAGTATTATTTAAAAAATTATTTGAATATAGATCTTAGTTTTATTAGTATTAAAATACTGTATTTATGAATATATTAATAGTTAGATTATTATTAAATAGTTTATTTTTTAATATTAATTTTGTGCTTATATTTATAATTAAAAAATAAAATAATTTTATGTCTACCGACTATCGATCCATAGATATAATGTTGGTTATCAACCAATAGAGGATGTGGTGTAAAAAGGTTAAAGTATGGGAAAGTATTTAAATACACATAAAGATAGAAAAATGATTGCACTGTAATTGCTTAATAAAATTGAAATAAAAATTTTATAGTTGCCAACAAAAATTTTGAAAAATAAGAAAATATTTTTGCTTTTTATGTTAATTGTTTTAATTGTTTTGTTGATTTTAACACAATTTTATAATATTTAACACTTATTTATTATTTTATATTTTTAAAGTAAATCAAGCAACATTTTATCTTATTTATATATTATTTTTTTAATGTTTTTTTGGATACTCTAAATATAATATGAGTTGGTCACTCTAATTTTCTAGAACTATACTTGTAATCCATGAATTAGATAAATAGTTAAACAAACGTTAAATATATTTACAAAGTTTACAATAGTTTGTTTTAGTTCAACCAAAACAAACTAAATATATTTATATACAATAAATTATGTTCATAAATATGTTTACAGGTGTTTAAGAAATTTTTTTAGTGATTAATTTACTGTACGTTAAAAATAACTATTTATATAAACTACACGCTGTATATATTTTACACAATAATTTATGTACATAACAAGCATACAGGTATAACTTATATTAGTGTATTGACTATATTAGTGATTTGAATTATCCAATGATAACAATGTTAGGATAATTTTTAAAATATTGTTATTAAGTAATATAATATTTGATGGCCTTGGTAATGTCATTGAATTTTATTTAATCATATTTATCAAGTTATATACTGTATTAAAATTTATGTAATACAATACATATCTATAGTATAATATAATTTATAATATAAGCCTAACGTTTATGTATTAAAAAATAAAATAAAATAACTAATAATAATGGATAATAATAGTGAAGCAAATGTTTCTAATGAAACACAAAATAATAAAATTATTAATAATACGAGTGATTGTAAAGACATCAATGAAATAGACTTCGAGAAGATAGAGCTAATAAATGGTGAGACACCACATGATATCAAACACAGATGTCTTAAACTATGTCAACAATATTTGGCCGGAAATTGGTTGCAACAGACAGTCGACACAATTAAAGTAAAGAGATTGACGGGTGGTTTGACTAATCAACTATACTATTGTGGTATTGATAAACAATCTACAGATGATCTACAAGAAACACCTAATGAAGTGGCCATTAGATTGAATCCATCAAAAGACACACTTATTAGCGATTCTGATAAAAATAAATGGCTTTCTGAAGTAGTGGTATCACTGATGGTCTCACAAAACAAATTGGGACCAAAAATATACGGTATCTTTGATTGCGGACAAATACAGGCGTTTTATAAGGTATTGTATTATTAATATAATTAATTAATTAATTATAGATTATTATATGTTTTATCATTAAAAGCAACGACCGTTTAAAGTCAATGAACAAAACGATCCAAAACTGGTTACAGAATTGTTTGAGAAGTTAGCTCGAGTTCATGCCATGGATGTGCCCATCAAGAAGTCTGAATGGTTTTTGAATGAATTGTACAAATTCTATGATAAATCTACCAAAAAGACTGAGTTATTTGCTTTACTTAATAAATCAGATATTTTTGCTAAAAATAATTTAAAAGACGAAATCAATTGGATTAGAGATATCATTCAAAAGTCTGACAGTCCTCTAGTCTTCACACATAACGACTTCCGAAGTAATAATATAATGGTTTTGGAGAACAGTATTCCCGAAACCGGTCAACAAATAGTATTGTGTGACTTTGATTCATCCGGTTATGGCTATCGGGGACAGGATTTCGGTGCAATAATGTCTGAATGGGGTCGCACTCCAAATGATGTCAAAAAACCGCATTACTTTCCCGACGATTCTATTTTGCGGTCAATATTTGATATCTATGTCAAAGAAACGGAAAGATTGTTTGGCAAAGAGTATTGCGAAGCAAAACGAGTAACAATTGATGAGATTATCAAAGAGACAAAAGTTTATATGTTATACTATAGACTGTTTGTTGTTGTCTACTATATGGGAACCGATTCAAAAGCAGCTTTTTTTGCTATGACTAACACAGTAATGGTGGTATGTTTATAACTGTCATATTTTGAAAATGATAATTATTTAATTACTATTTATTATAAAATTAAATTAAATTTATTTTTAATTTTTTTCTGTTATAGCAAAGAGTCGAAATTGCATACAATAATTATTTTCGTTTTAAGGAACAATTTATTCAACAATATTTAGTTTAATAAATTAATTGTATGATAATATAGATTACAGATATTAGATATACATTTTATATTTTACACAATAATTTATGTCTATTGTTATTATATTTTTTAAAAATAAATAATATATCTGTATATTTTAATATAAGAAATTAAATTACGATAATTTTTAAAATGAACAAAATTTCTGTTGATATTATATATAGAATAATAATTTTTTCATTTAATTTTATATTTCAAACGGCAAACACACGGCTCTGACAAGAATTTAAAAATAAATTTTAATCATCTATTATAACAAAGAGTATGTTAACAAAAATTATTTCAAACATATTATTTTATAGCTTAATCAACATTACTTGATTGATGATAAAATTTATTAACAATTATCACTTTTTGTGATATTTAATTTTTTATATATCTTGCAAATTTAAAAATACTATATACAGCATAATTGATGTCTAAACTATAGATTATATAAAAATTTAATTTAAAACAAATAATATTATAGTTTTTTTATTAGTTATTCATTAAAATTAAAATATTTTTCACCGATTATTATATGTTTAGAAAACATGTTTATATATATTTAGACAAAATTTAGTTTATTCTAAATACTGTTAATTACTGTATATAAGTATTTCACTTTTAACTTCTTGAAAGAGTAATTAAAATTTAAAAAAATATTTAAATTCAAAATTGATTGACAAATAACTCGAAAAAAATAAATCTAATTAATTAATTAATTTTTGTTTTTGTAGTTAACTGTAAATTTTGTTTATGAAAAAATAATTTTTATTTTTTAAAAATTTATTTAATTATAGTCTAATTTTTAAATAGCTCAACTAATAATAAAAATAATAATATATTTAATAATAATTATTTAATTTTATTTATATAATACTTAATTAGATTCAATAACTAAAAAAAACTATTACTTGTTAGTAAACGATTCAATCGGATAAATGCTTTCATTACTTGTTTGCATATCAATGGTTGTCAATCGTGTTTGATTTGGACTTCTATTATCAGTGTCCTCTAGACTATCCCCATGCGGTAGATAGACATTAATCTTTCTAGACAACTGTCCAAATTTATCATTCAACTGATTTAAACGGAAAGTTATATTATCAATGAGTTTTTCCGTACGAATCTCATCACTGATAATCCTAATTGTATGGTATTTCAAACAGATGGTCATATCGTTGCCTCCGACACCAGTGTTGTTTGGGTGACCGTATGTACCGATTTCGGCACCGCAATCGGTACAGTAGTGTTTCGGGCGATGCTCGCAAACCACTTGATGTTCATCCAGTATATAGTCAATTGTGCCCAATTGACCACAACCTCGATGACTAAACACACATTTTACATGTAATCCCAGCAATAATTTAGCGACAATTGGCGGTAATGTCTGGACATACGGTTCGGACAACTTTTCCATACATTTAGGACAATTCACTCCTATCTCTACTTTCTTATCCTCTTTGACCTCTTCCTCCTCTGCCGTCGAGTTTTGTTTGACTTTAGGACTATCATCCGTACTAATTGATTGTCGGCTACTATTGTTGCTACCAAGCGCTAGCACTACCGGTTCCCAGCACTGGTAGCATATCTTTGAACCGCAACAGTAGGCCATAAACACGCCATCCGATGGTCTTACCAAATGGTCGCACTTGTGGCACAATATTAGTGACAGCGTATTGGTGTCAATGGTGTCCGAAATATTAGATTTATGTAATCTTTTAATAGTTTGTATCGATAACATTGTTGACGAGGAGGAAGTCATTACTAAATTTATAATTAATTATATGATATGTGATATTATTATTATTAGATAATGAAACAAAAAATAAGACTAAATTATATCAGATTTATATCATTAACAAAAAAATCAATCAAATCGTTAATACTATTATATATAAAATAATTAAAAATAATTATAACTTACAGAATAATGAAACAAAAAAAATAAATTCAATTAATTATAAGCAAATAATAATTTAGTCAAACGTTATGTTGTATAATGACTTATGAGTGACTTTTATGACTAGTAAATAACATTATTTTTTTGTTACATTAGTAATGAGTTTTTAATAATTTTTTTAAAAATTAGAAATTTTTAGAAAATTCTAGATATAATTTTTCAACAATAAACTATATGTATATATAAAATAAATTTATTTTAACATTTATTATATATATATTATACTTTTATTAAAATTAGTATCAGTATCAGTTTATTAAAATTGATTTTTTTTGTTGTTGAAATATTTAAATAATTAGTAGAATTTTTTTATATATAAAATAAAATATAGGCTTAAATCTATATTATAGACAGCCAGCAAATAAGTATTGTTTTTTATGCAGTTATACATATATAAAATGTTAGTTTTATTATTTAATTATTATTTAGTTAGGTTAGTTTGGGGTGAGTGTGAGGTTAGGAAGTGGTTGGGTGGGAGGGGGTGGGTTTGGAGCTAATAATTTTCTACTGGCTGTCTATAATATAGATTTGTTCCAAAATATAATATTAACTTAATTTTTATATACCATTAAATTGTTGTCGTTTTTGTTGTTGTAGTTTAATTTGGTGTTTGTTGAGCACAGTTAGCATATTAGTTATGGCCAATGATGGTTTGCGTAACTGTTGGACAGTTAGCGGCCGTCTATCCAATGGACACCTACTTAGATGTCCAATACTAGTACTACTACTACTACTACAGGCACCGCCGGTATTGTTAAGCCATTGTTCAATACAATGGCGACAATACAGTCGGCGACAGCACTGAGTAACTACCGGTTCGGTGACCACTGCCAGACATATACCGCATGTCAGGTCATTAATCAAGTCGGCTATCGGTAGTGTATTATTATTGTTGACCATTGATGACGACGACATTTAGTGGTCAACGAAAACAAAAAAAATATATATAAAAATATTGTCTAATTTCTTATAAAATAATTTATATCAAAATTTTTTTATTAAACAATAATTTTTTTTATACTTAAATAAGTTTTTATAGAAATTTTTGTTTGTTTGTCAGTAATTTTCAACTATATATTTATAAACTATTTATATACAGGTATTTTGTAATAATATAATTTTTATTTTATATGTGTATCAATACATTATTATTATTATTGGTCTATAAATTTCTAAAAGTAATATTTCAATTGGTTAACGAAAAAATGTTTAAAATTATGGATTAAAATATTGATTAGATATTTATAATTAAAATAAAAAAAGATTAAAATATTATAATAATAATATACAGTATAATACATTTATATATTATAGTATATACACTGTATATTATACAGTATTAATATATTGCTATTTTTAAATTTTATCTAGTTTATTTATATTATAATATTATAAATTATTAAATTCCTGGTTATAAATACTTAAAATAAGATAATACTTTATAGTACAGTATCATTGTTTTAGTTTGTTTTTATTATTAATAAAATATTAGTTTTCAAAACTCAATAACATAAGTAAACTATTGATATAAATCCCGGAAAAAAATTATATTAAATAAATAATTTAAAACTTATTAATTTATTTTTACTATCATTAAAATAGATTATTACAATTGAATTTAATTAATTAGGCGTCGTTCACATATTACGTTCGCACTTTTTAAGAAATCTAGACCCCTCCCTCCCCTATGTTCGCAATTGTTCGCATGTAGTCATTTAAAAAAATTACGTTTGTTTGTCTCTAACCGTTACCCCACTCCCACCCAACCACTTCCTAAACTCACACTCACCCCAAACTAACCTAACTAATTAATAATTAAGTAATAAAACTAACATTTTATATATGAATAACTGCATAAAAACAATACTTTTTTAATAAAAATTAATTTTAATTATCTATTATAACAAAGAGTATGTTAACAAAAATTATTTCAAACATATTATTTTATAGCTTAATCAACATTACTTGATTGATGATAAAATTTATTAACAATTATAACTTATTGTGATATTTATTTTTTTTATGTATTTTGCAAATTAAAAAATACTATATACAGCATAATTGATGTTTAAACTATAGATTATATAAAAATTTAAAACAACAATATTATAGTTTTTTTATTAGTTTTTTATTCAAATTAAAATATTTTTCACCGATAATTATATGTTTAGAAAACATGTTTATATATATATATAGACAAAATTTAGTTTATTCTAAATATTGTAAATAAAAAAATATTTTAATTTTTACAAAACTATTGTATTCTAATTTGATAATTAACTCATAAAAATTACAATAATTTTGTCCTTCAAAATAAACTGATTATCAAAATAGTTGACTATATAATTACGTAGTAATTAAATGATAAAAATGCAAAAAATAGTTAAATTACTGTATATAAGTATTTCACTTTTAACTTCTATTCATTTGAATTATATTGTATACAAGTATTTAATAATTTACACTTCAAAACAATCATTAATAAGTTATGGCATCAAATTGCGACCAACAGGTGTCTAATAATGACAAAATAAGTCTTAAAGATTTGATAAATGCTAAGGATATTAATGAAATAGATTTCGATAAAATAGATTTTTTAAGGTGAGATACACCCCATGACATCAAAGATCAATGTCTTAAACTATGTCAACAGTATTTGGCCGGCAATTGGTTGCAACAGTCAACCGATACTATTAAAGTAGTGCGAGTGTCGGGTGGTATGACTAACCAACTATACTATTGTGGAATTGTTAACAAATCTGATGATAAACAAGAAGTTCCACAACAAGTGGCGGTTAGACTGTATGGACCAAAATATTTCAATAATAAAGACTGTGACGGAAATGAAAGACTCACTGATGTAGTCATAGCACTGATGGTCTCACAAAACAAATTGGGGCCTAAAATATACGGTATCTTTGATGGCGGACAAATACAGGCGTTTTATAAGGTATTATAGAAATTATTATATTAATTTAATTTATATTAGAAAAACAAATAAATATTTAATTAAAATTGTTAGAAAAATAATTATATTTATTAAAATCATAGCACAAACAGTTTAAAGTTGATGAGCAAAAAGATCCGAAATTAGTGACCGAATTATTTCAAAAGTTAGCCCGAGTTCATGCTTTAGATGTGCCCATCAAAAAGTGTCACTGGTCATTGAAGGAAATGCATAGATTTTATTATAATTTCATTAATAAAACTGAGTTAAAATGTTTGGTCGATAAACTTGAGGTATTCATTGAAAATGATTTGAAAGTAGAGATGGATTGGATCAGAGGTGTGGTTGAAAAGACTAACAGTCCGCTAGTGTTTACACACAATGACTTCCGAAGCAGTAATATAATGGTTTTGGAGGACAAAAATGTTGAATCCGGGGAACAGATAGTATTGTGTGACTTTGAATATTCAAGTTATGGCTATCGGGGACAGGATTTCGGTATTATTATATCTGAATGGGGACGTACTATGAATGATATAAAGAAACCGTTGACTTTACCCAATGACTCTACTTTAAGACAAATATTTGATATCTATATCAAAGAAACGGAGAGATTGATAGGCAAAGAGTATTGCGAAGCAAATCGTTTTACTTTGGATGTGATCATCAAAGAGGCGAAAGTATTTGCATTATATATGCAAATATGGTTTATTGTCTTCACATTAGGCAATGAAGACCAATCACAAGAGTTATTTACAAACAATGATTTTATTTTAGTAAGTTTTTGTTATTATATTTCTAAATATTTATTTTGTTTGTATTTTTTTCATTTTCAACAGCAATTTTCTGATATGGCGTACAAAAATTATTTTCATCTAAAACAACAATTTAAAAATGAAAATTTATTTTAATCATATATACTGTATATTTGTTTATTGAATTACCAAATTACTGTACTCTAAATTAATGTTGTATTTTGTCTTATAATCGCATTATTTTATAGCTTTATTTTATACTTAAAATATTTTTAGATACTATATAAGTTATTTAATGTAAAATACGTTAAATGCTTACACATAATATAAATTAAATAATTATTTTTTCTAAAAACTATTTAAATTATTGGACTTTAATTGGAAATCAATTTAATATTTTATAATATATATTTTTTTAGTTCTACGATTATTTTGTATATTGTAATTGTTTTAGTCTACCTTAATGTGTATATAATATAATTAATATTCATATTAATTATAAAATAAGTTTGAAAATGATTATTTAGTTACAATACTAATCAGTGTTGGCAGAGACAAAATGTTTGTAAAATAAAAAGCATTTATAATCATTATAAAACATTATGTTTATCATTATGATTCTTGATGTTTATTTTTATCATTTATTTAAGACATTATCAATACATAAAATAATTAAATAAAGTCTACTAACTAAACAAAATAATATAATTCTATTATCAATAAAGAAATAAAATATTTCATATGTATTTTGCAATTATTTATTTATATATTTGTATTATAAATATTAATAATTAACCTAAATGTACTTTATGAACATTATTTTAATTAATTTTATAAATTATTTTTTTTATAAACAATTATTTTACTGTACATATATATAATTATAATTTTATTTTTAAATTATAGTTGTTAAATTTTGTCATTTTGTGAAAGTAAATAATATAAATAATTCGTTTATACTATTAATATAATCTATGATATTATATTTATTATATTAAACATAAGTAATTTTTTTAATATATTAGTATATATAATAAATAGCATCAAATTGACCTTGATTTTAGACAGATAATCATGAAATACAGTATCTAAAATTGCAATAAATTTATCAATAATTTATCAATTATTATACTGAACACTGATAATAATGTAAGTATATTTTGTGATGAGTTAAATATGATTTACTAATTTAAATATATTTTTTTTATAAAAATCAGTCATTTTACTATAATTATAGATTTTAAATAATAATTTTGTGTCAAATATGGGATCCACTGATACTCTGGAAATTATTAATAATATTAAAAATTTTGATGAAATCGATTTTCTGTCAATGGAACTGACGAGAGGTAAGACACCGGAAGATATAAAGGAAAGGTGTCTACAGTTATGTCAGGACTATATTGCCGGTGATTGGATCAGACAGACAGTCGATACTATTGAAGTCATACGAATTACAGGTGGTCTGACTAATCAATTATACAAATGTTCAATCATTGAACCCATTGGTAGTACAACGGATCCCAGTGTTGTGGCTATCCGTTTGTATGGAAGTAAATACTATAATAAAGATATATGCGATGGTAGCGAAAGACTCAGCGATATAATCATAGCGATGATGATGTCGGTGAAGAAGTTGGGACCAGAATTGTTGGGTGTCTTTACTGGTGGAGATATCACTGCATTTTATAAAGTATTTTATAATGATTACAGATTTATGATAGAAAATGTTTGTTATATTTAAAAATTGTTTTTTTTAATTAAATGTAATGATATACAGCACCGACAGTTCAAACTTGAAGAACAAAAGAATGATAAACTTGTGGAAGAGTTGTTCCGAAAGATCGCTCAAATTCATGCCATGAATGTGCCTCTGAAGAAGAAACATTGGCTCCTCAATGAAATCGATACCATCTCTAGACATGTACTCAATTGTACTCCTTATCGACAGCTAATCTGTGAACACAATTGCGAAACACTTAAGACATATGATATCAAAGATGAGATCCGATGGCTTAATCAGACGGTTCAACAATGCGGAAGTCCCATGACTTTTACACATAACGATCTTCTAAGCGCTAATGTAATGGTATTGGAGGACAACAACAATGATAACAGTGGAGACCAGTTATTGATCTGTGATTATGAATACGCTTCCTATAGTTATCGGGGATTGGATTTGAGTTCAATTATTGGTGAATGGGGTCGACTCTGGAATGACTTCAAAACGGCTCACAATTTTGTCGACGACTCTACTATTAAACAATTGCTAAACTATTATATCGACGAAAATATCAAAATTTTTGGTAAAGAGTATACAGAAAATGCTAACAATTCAATGGATCAGTTGATCAAAGAAGTCAAAGTGTTTGCATTGGTCTACAAGATGTTTATGACTTTGATTTTCTTTAAAGGCGATGACAATAAAGATAAAGTTGAAACTAAGCCAACATTATTAGTGGTTTGTATTAAGCAGTTATTATTATTATATTGTTAAATACAATAGTTTTTTTTAATTATTTTATTTGTATTTTTATTCATTTATTTATAGAAATTGGCTGAATGTGAATATAAGAATTATTTTCGATTGAAAAAACAATTTGGATTTTAATTAAAATTTTAAAAATTTAATTAATTAGATTTTAAATATTTTTTTTTATATATAAATTTAAGAAAAAATAAAACTTTTTTTTGTTAAATTGTAATTGTAGTAATAAATAAAAGCACTTTTTACTAACATGCTAATATCAATTAAAACTATATATTTAAAATGTAATTATTTTTTTAAATCAAATACTATTTTTTAATTAAATTTTTTATTCATATTTTTTACTGTACTGTATATTATTTACTGACTAAACAATTTAAATGTTTATTCAAATGGTTTCATCGAATCAATTATATTTCCTAAACTATTTCAATAGTAAACATATATATTTATTTTACTCTAAACAATATTATTTCAATAGCAAACTATTTTTTATTATTTCAAAGTCAATACAACTATTTCAATAAAAAATTATATAAATTTTAAATACTATTTCTTTTATTAAAATTATTATTAGTGTCGATAAATTACATAATATTTGAAACATTAATTATAGAGATAAAATTTGATAAAATTACTATAAATCTTATAAAATTAATCAGTATCATTTATTCAATAATAATGTCTTACATTTTTAATATATTCACGAATTCCTGAAAGGAATACGTATATGCATTCTATAAGTCTGTCTGTCTGTCTGTCTGTCTGTCTGTCTGTCTGTCTGTCTGTCTGTCTGTCTGTCTGTCGGTCTGTCTGTCTGTCCCACGAGGACATAGGTTCGAATCCACTATCCGCTACAAATTTTTTTTTGAATTTTTGTTTTGTTTTTTTCTTATTTAAGTTTATTTTTTAGGAAATTGAAGAAAATGGTGTCCAAAAATTAATTAAAAAAATTTTGATTTTTTTTAATTTTTTTTTTAATTTTTTTGAATATTGATTTTTTATTTTTTTCGTTTTAAGTTTATTTTTTAGGAAAATAGTAGTTTATTTTGTAATACTGAATCATTTGATACCCCACATGACTATAGTTGTTTATTTTGTCATACTAAATCGTTTGATACCCTACATAACTATAGTTGATTTTATTTTATCATACTGAATTTAATTTTTAATTATGATTAGGAATTCGTGTGGAAATGCTTTCTAGCATTCTCAACTGGTTTAATAATACATTAGTTATCAAATAACAATTAATTAAATACTATTACGTTTCTCAAATAATGCTGAAAAAAGTTAGTTAAATCTGAATTAAAAAAATGTATTAAAAAAAGTTTCTAATATTAAATAAATCAAAAAACATTATTTTTTGTAATTTATTTTGTATATCATTTGTTTGATGACTATTAATACAATTTTCATTTATAAATCTACTGTATTGTTAGCCAATAGAGGCCAACACATGCAAACACACCTCACTTATCAGTTTATTGGATATAAATACTGTACTGTCAGTCAAATGGGCTGACATTTACGTTAAATAACATGAAATGCAATTAACAATTAAAGGTTTATATTAAATAAACTTTTTTAAAGAAATATTTTACACTAAATAAATGTATTAACCTTTGAACATAGATATAATTATATAATATAGATATAACTTAAATTGTTATGATTAACAATTAGATAATTTTTTTATTAATGTAAATTCAAACAATTTTTTTTAAATTTAGCAATAGTAATGATAATTAATAATTTCGCAATAAATTTTTAATAAAATACAATATTAATTAAATAATTTAAAAAAACTGTTTTATTAAACTGTGTTATTATTTAATTAAAAAAAATATGGATTCTAATGGTCAACAATCTGATAGTCTTAAGGATAACAAATGTATGGAAAATGAAAAACTAGTTTATAATCAACTCATGAGAGGTAAGACACCCGAAGATATTAAGGAACAGTGTTTACAGTTATGTCAGGACTATATTGCCGGTGATTGGATCAGACAGACAGTCGAAACCATTGAAGTTAAGCGAATTACCGGTGGCTTAACTAATCAATTATATAAATGTTCAATCATTACACCCGAGGCTAACACTACGGTTCCCAATGTTGTTGCTATACGTATATATGGTATGAAATGGACAAAAAATCATGTCTATGAACACAATGAAAGACTAAGTGATATAATCATATCTGTGATGGTTTCGGAAAAAATGTTGGGACCAAAAATTTTTGGTATTTTTAACGGCGGAGAAATCACTGCTTTCTATAAAGTTTGTTAATATTTAGTGACAATTAATATAATAGTGTAATAAATATATTATTATAATATTTTATTAATTTATTTTTTATAACAACTGACAGCACCGACACTTCAAACTTGAAGAACAAAAAGATGCAAAACTTGCCGAAAAATTGTTCCGAAAGATGGCCCGAATTCATGCCATGAATGTACCGATAAAAAGAAAGCATTGGATGCTTAATGAAATGGACGACAACTATCAGCTATTTATAAAGCGATCGTCTATTCCTCAACTAATTGATGAATTAAATTGCGAAACACTTAAGACAGTCAATATGAGTGATGAAATCAATTGGATTAAAGACAAAATCATTGAATTGGGAAGTCCTATGGTTTTCTCACACAACGACTTATGTTCAGTTAATATAATGGTATTGGAGGACAATGAGTATAATAAAAGTGAGGATCAGATATTGATTTGTGACTATGAATTTGCCTCATATGGCTATAGGGGTCAGGATATTGGATCAGTTATTAATGAATGGGGTCGAGTGGGCACTGATTTAGAGTCAGACGACGACTTAGTTGATGACAATGTTATTAAACAATTGCTTCTCTATTACATCGATGAAAATATCAAAATTTTCGGTAAAGATTATACAAAAAATATCAACAATTCAATGGATCAGTTGGTCAAAGAAGTGAAAGTCTTTGCATTATTTAATAAAATTAATTTTTCATTGTTTTTCTTGAGAACTGATCACGAATCTGATGAATCAGCATTTGATGAAAAATTATCATTGGTTTGTATAATATTTATAACTATATCTTAATATTTATTATAATATTATTTTATTATTTTAATATAGAAATTAGCTGAACAACAGTTTAAAAATTATATGCGATTAAAGAAAATATTATATTTATAAAGTCAAAGATTTTAATAAACAATATTAGTTATCAAATAACAATTACCTGTAATTAATATTGTGTTTAAACAAAGTTGTGTTATTTAAAATGTTTTTTTTATTATTATTCAACATGTGATTATAATTATGTATTATACAATTTTTGTAAAACAATATACTATTTTGACAATCAATATTGTAAATGATTTATTTTAATAAAATGTTATTTGATAATTATAGTAACACCAAAAATATTTTATAATTAAAATTTAGTTCAATATGTGGTATACTTAATATGCATAATATGACTACTTAAGTTAATTAAAGTAGTGAAAGTGTAGTTAGTATTCATAATAATACTAATATTGTAGTCAAACAAATGTGACAAAAAAAAGACTAATTACTTTAACGTAAAGACAAATATAAGCGATTAAATCAATTAACTTAAAAGAGAAAATCCATGAATTGGGAAGTCATATATTTTTATTTAAACAGGAATTAGCTAATCAAACAATACAAAAATTATATGCACTTATTATGGAATAATCAAAAATTGAATTTATTTAATGAAAAATAATATTTTACATTTTAATAGATAACATTAGTTATCAAAACAGTTACGGTAATTGAATAATATGTTTCTCAAATTACATTTGCTTTTTATTAAATTTATATTATTTGTTAAGTTTTAAATGTTTATATGCTTTAAATTTGTTAATTCTTGTTAATTCTTGTTAATTAAATTATTGTATGATTTAAAAGGTTAATTGTAAGGATTTTTTAAATTTAATTTTTGTATATCATTTTTTTCTTGACCAAACATCTAAATCTACAGTATTTATATTCAATAAATTTTTCTTGATATTCTGCAATAAATAAATGTATTAACCTTGAACATAGATATAATTATATTAATATAATATAGATACCACTATTTATTAAATTATTGTTATTATCAATTAAATCTTTTATTAATATAAGTATTCAAACAAATTTTTTAATTAACGTTTTTTATAATCAATAATAATGACGATATCAAAGAAATTCTTAATATATTTATAATAAAATATAATATTCAGTAAATAATTGAAAAAACTGTTTTAGTAAACTGTGTTATTATTTAATTAAAAATATGGATTCTAATGGTCAACAATCTGAAAGTCTTAAGGATAACAAATCTATGGAAAATGAAAAACTAGTTTATAATCAACTCATGAGAGGTAAGACACCCGAAGATATTAAGGAACAGTGTTTACAGTTATGTCAGGACTATATTGCCGGTGATTGGATCAGACAGACAGTCGAAACCATTGAAGTTAAGCGAATTACCGGTGGTTTAACTAATCAATTATATAAATGTTCAATCATTACACCCGAGGCTAACACTACAGTTACCAATATTGTTGCTATACGTATATATGGTATCAAATGGACGGAAAATAATGTCTATGAAGACAATGCAAGGCTAAGTGATATAATTGTATCGGTGATGGTTTCGGAGAAAAAGTTGGGACCAAAATTGTTGGGTATTTTTAACGGCGGAGAAATCAGTTATTTTTATAATGTATGTTAATATTAACAGACAATTAACTTAATAGTGTAGTAAAAACTATTATTTTAATTATTTTATAATTTTTTAATAATAACTTTAAGCACCGATACTTCAAACTTGAAGAACAAAATGATGTAAAACTTGTCGAAGAATTGTTCCAAAAGATCGCCCGAATTCATGCCATGAATGTACCGATAAAGAGAAAGCATTGGATGATCAATGAAATGGAAGATAACTACAAAAAAGTTAAAAATCAATCGTCTATTACTCAACTAATTGATGAATTAAATTGCGAAACACTTAAAACAGTTGATATAAGTAATGAAATCAATTGGATTAAACATAAAGTTATTGAATCGGGAAGTCCTGAGGTTTTTTCCCACAATGACTTGTGTTGCGCTAATATAATGGTGTTGGAGGACAACGAGTATAATAATAGTGAGGATCAGTTATTGATTTGTGACTATGAGTACGCACCATATAGCTATAGAGGTCAGGATTTGGGATCAACTATTCTTGAATGGGGTCGAGACGGGACTGTTATAGATACAGACCATGACTTTATTGATGACAATATTATTAAGCAATTGCTTCTCTATTACATCGATGAAAATATCAAAATTTTCGGTAAAGATTATACGAAAAATACCAATAATTCTATGGATCAGTTGGTCAAAGAAGTGAAAATATTTGCATTATTTAATAAAATATTTTTTGCACTGTTTTTATTGAAAACTGTTCACGAATCTGATGAATCACCTTTTAATGAAAAATCTTCAATGGTTTGCATAATATTTATAGCTATTTATTAATATTTATTATAATATTATTTTATTATTTTAATATAGAAATTAGCTGAACAACAGTACAAAAATTATATGCGATTGAAAAAAATATTTGATTTATAAAATCGAAGATAATATTCTTATATTTTAATGAATAATATTAATTAACAAATTAACAGTTAATTACTATTGTGTTTAAACAAATTTTTAAAATTAATGTTATATTATTTATAATACACAATAACAATTTTTTTGTAACACAAAATAAAAAGTTTTATTTAATAATTATTATACAACCAAAATATTTAACTATAAAATAAAGTTAATAGTTTTATAATAATATTGAAAGTGTTCATCTATGTATATTATAAATATTTTTATATTAAAATTAATCTGTGATATCAAAATTTGGTACTTCATATGCATTGTGACTAAATTAATCAAAACAAGTGAAAGTTTAGTTAGTTTGCACTGGTATTCAAAATGATTTACATAATATATATACACACACATACACAAAATAATTAAATTATTAGATATTAGCTAAAAATGAATATTGGATTAGTTTATTAAATAAAATACATATTATATTCAATTGAATTAATTAAAACTAAGCTTGTTAAACTTAGCTTATAAAACTAAGTTAGATATTTTTATAATTTAATAAAATTAGTTATTAAAATAAAAACAATAATGTATTTTTGTTTAGTTTTTGTCTAATAATTTTTGTATAATGATTTATATTACAAATGCTTATTACAGTGTTTTAATAAAATATTTGTAATTTATTTTAGATTATACTAAATTTTAATCACATTACAAAAATAGACTAGTTTTCTTTTATTAACAAATTGTATTACAATATAAAAAAAATCTGAACAAGGACAATTAGTATTATATATATATTATCATTAGTCACTATTGATAATACAGTACATAGTAGTGGTGTAAGTTAAACAGTCTTGTCCTGTCAGCTACTAGTCCTGTCCTGTGGATTGTTTCTGTAATAAAAACGTTGTCTTTTCCCGTCCCGTCCTGTTTCTATACAAGACTAATACCAGAACAGGATCTTGAAAGACCAAGATTTTGTTTTACACCTTTAGTATATAGAATCTATATTATAGATGTACTGTAAATTACTTATCAATATTTGATATACAAATGAACAAACAGTAGAATTATTATACTATTATATTATAATAACTATAGAGTATATCAATAAAAAAAACATAAATAATAATATAAATTTATTATTTAAACTAACCTTGAACAGTGTTATATAAGTTTGAATAGTTATAATATTAAATTATTTTTAAAATTCATCAAATATTTATTATATATTTAATATAAAAATATTAATGTTAATTTAATTTAAAAATGAGTATTAATAATATAAATGAAAATCACAATATAGTGATGAAAAATAGTGAAGATATTTCATCTATTAATGAATTATTTGTGGGAAACACGGAGTTATATAGAGGAGAGACACCCATTGATATCAATGATCAATGTTTACAGTTATGTAAGGATTATTTGTCGGGTGAATGGATTCAACAAACAGTGGACACTATTGCTGTCCGACGTATTACGGGTGGACTTATGAATCAATTATATTATTGCGGTATAAATGATCAAAATATAACATCAAAAGTACCGCAAGAAGTGGCCATTTTATTTTACGGCGAAAAGATTACAAAAGCTAAAGACAATAATTATGAGAGACTTAATGATGTTATAATTGATTTGATGGTATCTGAAAATCAAATTGGTCCTAAAGTTTGTGCACTATTTGAACATGGTCAAATACAACATTATTATCAGGTTAGTCAATTATATTATCTTTTTAATAAATTTTTAATGTAAGTAAAAACCAAAATACAAAACACATTAATAACAATATTTTTAAAAAATTAAATAAACTTTTTTAAACTAAATTATTTTCAGTAATAAAAACAGGAAATAAATAAATGAGTGATTGAAATTAAATTAAAATTTTAGTAGTATTAAAATTATTTATTACACTAAATTTTCTAATTTTAATAAATTACTATAACTATGACTTTTCAATAATATAATTATCGATGTTTTAATTTTATTTGACATAAAGCTATATTTAAATAATAGTTTCTAAATTAGTTACAGTAAAATATTTTAAGTAAAAGTGAATAAGTATAGGTACTGATTATTATATAATTAATTTTTATTATATTTAAAAAATAATTTTTAATCACTTTTAAAAATATTTTTTTTCTTTTTATAATTTAAAGCACCGACAGTTCAAACCCGAAGAACAAAATAACCCTAAACTGGTTGATGAAGTGTTTCGCAAATTGGCCCGAATTCACGCCATGGATGTACCAATAAATCGCACATTTAATTGGTTAACTACTGAATTAAATGACATTTATAAACTTGCATTTGAAGGCAGTATTGATATAAAAGCAATGTCTGAAAAATACAATTGCGAGGCATTAATGACAGCAGATATGAAAAATGAGGTTCAATTTATCAATGAATTGATAGTAAAAGCCAACAGTCCTATTGTGTTCATTCACTGCGACTATAGATCTAGTAATCTATTAATTACCGAATCGGTCGATAAATCTGACGGTCCTTTAGTTGTCTGTGATTTTGAATACGCGTCGTACGGTTACAGAGCTTATGACTTTATGCCACTTCTTCAAGAGTGGGGTCGCAATCAATTAAATCTGAACGTTGATGGCATACCTCTTGAGGAGTCAATAAGCAGACCATTAATAGAGATTTATGTCGACGAATGTCATCGTATTTATGGTGAAGAATATTCTGCAAATGCTATCAATACTGTCGATCATATTCTCCATGAAATCAAAATATTTTATGTTATTTATCAATTCTTTATGACTTTAATTTGTTTAAAAATGGATTTAAATAATAATGCAATACTCAAAAACTTGCCATTGGTATTCAAATTTTAATAATATTATTTTTTAATAATTAATTTTAACAAATTTGTCTTATTTTTTATAGAAATTTCCGGAAATGTATTTCAAAAATTACTTAATACTAAAACAACGTTATAAAGATATGAATTTATTAAATTAAAATAATGTACAATAAAATATTTTATGTTTATATATAATCATATGTTTATGTTACATATTATTTAGTTAATTTAATTATTTAGTAATAATTATTTTTATATAATTTATATTTTACAATTTACTAATTAATAATATTTTGTCAATAATAATGTTAATAATAATATAGATTATATAATTTAACAATTAATTAAAAATCTAAAAATAAAACATTAATTTTAATTTATAAACTATATATTTTTGTGTGTATTTTGTGTGTGTATTTAAATAATACTTTCGATTTCAATTTTAGTATTAAATATAAATGTAAAAACTATCAAATCTAGTGATATTAATAAAGTTTTTGTTAAATTGTAAATAATTTTATATCAACTCATGAGAGATAAGTTATAAACTGTTGAGTTCTTATAAAATTATATATAATTAATCTTCAGATAAGATATACAAAATTATAAAGAAAATGTGTATTCAATGGTTACTATAATAATAGTATATATTTCTATAAACTTATTATTTATAATATTATTTAATTAATTAATTATTTTAAAATATAGTTAATAAGTGATTAAAAGTACAAAAATTATTAGCAATTAAATTAAAGCAAACAGTTTATTTATAAGGTCAGCGATAAATTTTAGATATTAATTGATAACAATGTGATTAACAATTAATATCAAATCTTATCAAATGACATATGCTTTTTAGATTATTAAATGTTTTAATTAATGTTTTAATTAATGTTTTAATTAATGTTTTAATTAATGTTTTAATATTTATTTTATGTATTTAATTAATATAACTCTTAAACTACAGATGGCTATTAAATAGTATTTAATTTTTATAACAAATGTTAAAAACAAATTTTCGTTTATATTTCGTAAAATTTATATCTATTTATTATTTCAAATATATAATGATTTGTAAGTAAAAGAGACTAATATCTCTAAAATACTTATATGACTTAAATTATAATTAAAATCTGTTTTACATTAAATGTTATCATAAAAATTTTAAAAAATAATAAATATAATATTATGCAAATTTGTGTCACTAAAAAATACTGTAAATAAACAAATTTACATTCATTTGGCTTTATATTAATTTTTATAACAATAATTAATTTAAAATTAAACTGATATTAGCTTATCATAAATACTGTATTACACATACATAATAGTGTTGCCGTTTTTGTCCCAAACCCCGTCTTGTCACGTCTTGCAAGATCTTACTAGTCTTGTATATATACATAATATATATATATATATAATCAATTTACTTATTTATTTATATATTTTTAATTTAATTTTAATTCACCTATTAATTTATAATAAAATCATTTATTTAAACTATTTTTATATTTAATAAAATTTTATGTAATAATTAATTTGTATGTTTATTTATCTAATTCTTTAATTAAAATATATATTAATGATATTATTTTTACATTAAATATTAATTAACTAAAATAATTAAAAATAGTTTATATTATTAATTATTAAAATATTTATTATTTATAAAAAATAATACTATAATTATAATTTTTTAAAAATAAAAATAGCTTTTGTACATAGGTCATAGACATTTAAAAAAAATTTTTTTTGGAAAATTTTGGCAGGATTTTCAATTTTTCCGTCACGTCTTGTTCGACAACACTAATACATACCATGAAAAGTTTATTAACTACAAACTGTTATATAATACACTTTAAGTTATTCAGATATCTAAAAATATGTCTAAAATATCTAATTAAATAAGATATAATTCGTAAATCAATGAAAATATAATAAATAAATAAATAATATTTCAAGATTTAGTTATTTAAAATTAAAAATCTATATTTTCAGCTTAAATATAGAGTACAATTTGATGTTATTATTATTATTATCAACATTTGTTTATTAATTAGTTCAATAGATACCAGTTTTAATCATAGTTTATAAAGCTACATAAACTGCAGTATAAAATAATTTAGTTTAAAAAATAAAATCTATATAATTTCAAATACTTTTTAAAATATTTAATTATTATTATTTTTTAAAATAGATTTTTGTTATTTATAATTGAATCAATAATAATGTCTTCAGACAAAAACAATACCACATCTTCTACAACAACAACACCGGAACGTAAATATAAAAATCTTAAAGACTTCGAAACATATGAAGAGTTTGATATGAGATTAATTGAACAAATCAGAGGAGAAACGCCGGCAGATATTAATGATAAATGCCTTCAATTATGTAAAGACTATTTGGCCGGCGATTGGCTAAACCAGACACTGGACACCATAGAAGTGACCAGAATATCGGGTGGTTTTAGTAATCAATTATATCGATGCGCTATTAGTAATCCCATAAATCTAGACAAACCTCATGAGGTGGCCGTACGGCTGTATCAAAGCAAATGGTTTAATACAGAAAATAGTGGCGGATTTGAGAGACTCAATGATATTGTAGTTGAGATTTTGATATCACAACACAAATTAGGACCAAAAGTATTGGGTCTGTTTGATGGCGGAGAGATACAGTTGTTTTATAAGGTATGTGTCGTTAAATCAATTTATAGTGTTGCATAAAAATTAAATTTCTTAATTCATTACAATTATAGCACAAATTATTGCATATTGAAGAGCAAAGTAATCCTCAATATAGCGAACAATTGTTTCGTGCGATAGCACGCGTTCACGCATTGGACGCACCACTCAAGAAACAGCACTGGATTCACAATGAACTGTCCAATGTGTGGGAACAGGCAAAACAACAGTTCCCATCTGATCAGCTCTTAGATGAATGCGATTGTCAAACATTGAAAACACATGATTTAGGACAAGAGGTTCATTGGTTAAACAAAACTATTGAAGAGCTTAACTGTCCGATGGTTTTCTCACACAATGATTTCGTTCATTCAAATATCATGATTTTGGATACACCTGATGACAGCGGCAATCGTATAATGCTTTGCGACTACGAGTACGCCAGTTATGGTTACAGAGGCCAGGATTTGGGAACAATTATATGCGAATGGGGTCATCCATGGAATGACATGAAATCATTTCATAATTTTATCGACGATTCACTTATTGAACAATTTCTTCGACATTATATCGATGAAAATGTCAGTATATTTGGCGACAAGTATTTGGAAAATGAAAATAATTCATTGAATCAATTAATGAAAGAATCAAAATTGTTTGCATTGGTATTCAAAATGACACTTATATTATGGTCAGTAAAAGGAGGCGATGAAACTGATGGCTTTTCACTCGACAATAAAATAGCAGTTGTATGTTATATTTAATTTAGAAAATAACATTATTTTTGTTAACTTTTCATTATTTTATTTTTTGTTATAGAAATTGGCTGAAAATGAATATAAAAATTATTGGCTTTTGAAAAATCAATTTTTAAAACAAAATATATTCTAAATGTATAATAAATGAATATATTATGTAATTAGAAATAAATTACAAATAAAATGATTTTTTTATGTAAGTTAAACATTGACTATTAAATAATTTATTTTATTTTAACAACTTTTAAATATATTTCGTATAAAATTTCTATTATAAATCAATAATTTGTAGTTTATATAATTATTTATAAATAAAATCTCTAAAATATAAATAATTACATGACATTTATTTTATAATAACAATACTAAACAATAATATACAATAAAAATTGCTAAAAATACTTGATTTGAAAAGTAATATTAAATGTAAATGTAAAAATTAGCTTATCATAAATAAGTTTATAAACTACAAAATGTTATATCATATAACTTATATATGATATATACAGTACAATATATAATTGAGCTCGTATATGTCAGTATGTCTAGCACCTGGGTGTTACTTTTTGTAAATATAATAATAACAATTACAAAACATATTAAGAAAATAATGACTATTTTAAGCAGTTGTGTAGACATTTATAAATAAAAGAAAATTTAAGAAAAAAGTATAAAGTTCAATTTAAATTAAAATTTTTAAAAAATATATGCATTAAATATTGATACAAAATTTTCTAGCATAGTTTTTTCTTATTATTTTTATTATTAAAAGCACACAATGACTTTAAATTTTTATAAATGTTTTTATGTAATTTATTAAAATTCATAAATAATTTTATATACACTTAAAAACAATGTTAAAGTTATTATGGTATATATATATTTAAAAAAAATTTAGTTTAAATTTAAATATATAGATTTTTTAAAAATATTCTATATATAAATTTCTGAATAATAGTTTAAAATAGTGATCACTTTCTTAATATGTTTTGTGTGTAGTTATTATACTAACAAAAAAATAACACCCAGGTGCTAGACATACAGGCATGTATATTGTTACTAGTTCAAATATATAATTATATTAACACATGTACACATATTAACAATTTATTCACATATCTTGCATAGAGTCTAATACTAAACAGTTTTTTAAAATCCTAAACCTATTTATTAGAATAAATAAATAATAGTTAATTATGATTTAATTAAAAATTAATACTTTTTACGTATAAAATCATTAATTTAACAAAACAATTGATTGTTTTGAGTGATTTCTGTTATAAATAATAATAAAATATGATATTTTAATAATACAAAAAGTTTACGTTTAAAATTTTGAGTCTTACGAAAATTAATTGCGGTTTTGGTATTTTTTAATTTAATAAAAATTTCAAGGTCAAATATAAAGTACAATTTGATATATTATTATTAATATTTGTATATCAATTAGTTCAACAAATACCAGATTTAATCATAGCTTATAATGATATATAAACTGCAATGTTTTTATAGATTTAAAAATTAAAAACAAATAATTTCAAATACTATTAAACATTTAATTATTATTATTTAATATAATTTTGTTATTTATAATTCAATCAATAATAATGTCTTTAGATAAAAATAAAACCACATTTTCTACAACAACAACACCGGAACGTAAATATAAAAATCTTGAAGACTTCAAAACATATGAAGAATTTGATATGAGATTAATTGAAATAATAAGAGGAGAAACGCCGGCAGATATTAATGATAAATGTCTTCAATTATGTAAAGACTATTTGGCTGGAGATTGGCTGAACCAGACACTGGACACCATAGAAGTGACCAGAATATCGGGTGGTTATTGTAATCAATTATATAGATGTGCTATTAGTAATCCCAAAAATCTAGACGAACCTCATGAGGTGGCCGTACGGTTGTATCAAAGCAAATGGTTTAATAAAGAAAATAGCGGCGGATTTGAGAGACTCAATGATATAGTTATTACGGTTTTTATATCGCAACACAAATTAGGACCAAAAGTATTGGGTTTGTTTGATGGCGGAGAGATACAGTTGTTTTATAAGGTATATGACGTTAAATTAATTTATAGTTTTGTATAAAAATTAAATTTATTACTACATTGCAATTACAGCACAAATTATTGCATATTGAAGAGCAAAGTAATGCTAAATATAGTGAACAGTTGTTTCGTACGATAGCACGCATTCACTCACTGGAAGCGCCACTTAAGAAACAACATTGGATTCACAATGAACTGACCAATGGGTGGGAACAGGCAAAACAACAGTTCCCAATTGATCAGCTCTTAGATGAATACGATTGTCAAACATTGAAGAAATATGATTTAGGAAAAGAGATTCATTGGTTAAACAAAACTATTGAAGAGCTTAACTGTCCGATGGTTTTCTCACACAATGATGTCGTTCATTCAAATATCATGATTTTGGACAAACCTGATGACAGCGGCAATTGTATAATGCTTTGCGACTACGAGTACGCCAGTTATGGCTACAGAGGCCAGGATTTGGGATCAATTATATGTGAATGGGGTCGTCCCTGGACTGACTTCAAATCAGTTCATAAGTTTATCGACGACTCACTTATTGAACAATTTCTTCGACATTATATCGATGAAAATGTCAATATATTTGGTGACAAGTATTTGGAAAATGAAAATAATTCATTGAATCAATTAATGAAAGAAACAAAAGTGTTTGCACTGGTATTCAGAATGATGGTAATACAGTGGGCTATAAAGGGTAATGGAGATACTGATGTCACTCCAATCAATAAAAATATATCAATTGTATGTAATTTTAATTATATTAAATATCATAACATTTTTAACTTTTCATTATTTTTGATGTTGTTATAGAAATTGGCTGAAAATGAATATAAAAACTATTGGCTTCTGAAAAATCAGTTTAAAAAGCAAAAAATATTTTAAATTTAAATAAATTAATATTAAGTAATTCAAAATAAATTATTTTTTATATAAGTGATAAACATAATTAGTAATATAATTTATTTTTTATATTTAGTATTGAAATCCATCAAATAAATATAAATAATATTGTTAGATATAATTTACACAATTTTTTTCAACAGATGGCTATTAAATAATATTTATTATTTTAACATTTTTAAATTATTGATATATTTTGTATAAAATTTTATTATTTTAATTATTCTATATCTATGTAATTATTTGTAAATGATGCTTATATTTCTATAATATAAATAATTACATGACATCTATTTTATAATAAAATTAATAATTATTTATGTAATGTACAGGTTTTAGACTTATTCACATATCTTATATAAAGTTTAAAACTAAACATTTTTAAAAATCCTAAACCTATTTATTGGAATAAATAACTAATAGTTAATTATAATTAATTGCTTTAAATGATTTCTGTTATAAATAGTAATAAAATCTGATATTTTAATAATTTTTTTAGTAATAATAGAAAAAGTTTACGTTTAAAGTTTTTGAGTCTTACAAAAATTAATTGCGGTTTTGATATTTTCTTAATTAAAAAAAATTTCAGGTCGAATATAAAATATAATTTGATAAATTATTATCAATATTTGTTTATCAATTAGTTCAACCAAATACCAGTTTTAATCATTACTTATAAAGCTATATAAAGTGCAATGTTTTTTATAAAATTAAAATCTAAATGATTACAAATACTTTTAAAAATTTAATTATTATTATTTAATAGATTTTTATTATTTATAATTCAATTAATAATAATGTCTTTTGACAAAAATAATACCACATCTTCTACAACAACAACACCTGAACGTCAATATAAAAATCTTGAAGATTTCAAAACATATGAAGAGTTTGATATGAAATTAATTGAAATAATAAGAGGAGAAACGCCGGCAGATATTAATGACAAATGTCTACAATTATGTAAAGACTATTTGGCCAGCGATTGGCTAAACCAGACACTGGACACCATAGAAGTGACCAGAATATCGGGTGGATTTAGTAATCAATTATATCGATGCGCTATTAGAAATCCCAAAAATCTAGACGAACCTCATGAGGTGGCCGTACGGTTGTATCAAAACAAGTGGTATAATAAAGATAATAGCGGAGGTTTTGAGAGACTCAATGATATTGTAATTGAGATTTTGATAGCACAACACAAATTAGGACCAAAAGTATTGGGTCTGTTTGATGGCGGAGAGATACAGTTGTTTTATAAGGTATGTGACATTAAATCAATTTATAGTTTTGTATAAAAATTAAGTTTTTATTTTATTGATATTTATATTTATCTCATTCATAGCATAAACTATTGAAAGTTGAAGAGCAAAGTAATGCTGAATATAGCAAACAATTATTTCGATCGATAGCACGCATTCACGCATTGGAAGCGCCACTTAAGAAACAACACTGGATTCACAATGAACTGACCAATGGGTGGGAACAGGCAAAACAACAGTTCCCAATTGATCAGCTCTTAGATGAATGCAATTGTCAAACATTGAAAACACATGATTTAGGAAAAGAGATTCATTGGTTAAACAAAACTATTGAAGATCTTAACTGTCCGATGGTTTTCTCACACAATGATGTCGTTCATTCAAATATTATGATTTTAGACACACCTGACGACAGCGGAAATTGTATAATGCTTTGCGACTACGAGTACGCCAGTTATGGCTACAGAGGTCATGATTTGGGATCAATTATATGTGAATGGGGTCGTCCCTGGACTGAGTTTAAATCAGTTCATAAGTTTATCGACGACTCACTTATTGAACAATTTCTTCGACATTATATCGATGAAAATGTCAATATATTTGGTGACAAGTATTTGGAAAATGAAAATAATTCATTGAATCAATTAATGAAAGAAACAAAAGTGTTTGCACTGGTATTCAGAGTGATGGTTATATTATGGGTTATAAAAGGTGACGGAGACACTGATGTTTCGCCAATCGATAAAAAAGTATCAATTGTATGTAATATTTAATTTATAATAAATCATTATTTTTTTAACTTTTCATTATTTTTGTTGTTATAGAAATTGGCTGAAAATGAATATAAAAACTATTGGCTTCTGAAAAATCAGTTTTTGAAACAAAATATATTTTAAACTTAAATAAATAATTTTGTAAATAAATAAACAAATTTCAAATAAATTAATTAGTTATAAATTTTTAGCATAGTTTTAAGCATTATTATTAAGATAATTTGTTTAAAATGTGAATCAAATAAATATAAATAATATTGTTATAATTAAAATATATAAATTATAATTACAATAATTTGCAGTAATTTAATTAAAAATTAATACTCTTTAATCTTGAAATTTTTAATATTTTAAAGTTAACAAAATATTATTTTTTAAGATTAATTTGTTTAATTAATCTATTAATAAAACAATAATTTATTGTTTTTAATGATTTATATTAGAAATAGTAATAATATCTAAAATCTTTATTACGGTACAAATACAAATAAGTTTTATGTTTTACAATTACCTAAAATATAAGATAAAAAAATATTTTCAGCTTAAATATACATTTGAATTTTATAAATTATTATTATCTATATTTGTTTTATCAATTAGTTTAACCAATTACAATATTAATCGTAGCATAGTACTGTATATAAATCGCTAGTTTTTTTATAAATTAAAAAAATAAATATAATACTTTTAAATATTTTATTATTATTTTTAATAGATTTTGGTTTCTGGTAACGCTATATAAGCCGGTAAATTTAAAAATAATTTATATATTTTTAAACATTTTATTATTATTGTATTATTTTTTCAAATAGATTTTTGTTATTTATTATTCAACCAATAATAATGTCTTTAGACAAAAATAATACCACATCTTCTACAACAACAACAACAACAACACCTGAACGTCAATATAAAAAACTTAAAGACTTCAAAACATATGAAGAGTTTGATTTTAAATTAATTGATCACATTATTGGAGAAACACCGGCAGATATTAATGACAAATGTCTTCAATTATGTAAAGACTATTTGGCCGGCGATTGGCTGAATCAGACACTGGATACTATTGAAGTGACCAGAATATCGGGTGGTTTTAGTAATCAATTATATCGATGCGCTATTAGAAATCCCAAAAATCTAGACAAACCTCATGAGGTGGTCGTACGGTTATATCAAACCAAATGGTATAATAAAGATAATAGCGGAGGTTTTGAGAGACTCAATGATATAGTAATTGAGGTTTTGATATCACAACACAAATTAGGACCAAAAGTATTGGGTCTGTTTGATGGCGGAGAGTTACAGTTGTTTTATAAGGTATATAACGTTAATTCAATTTATAGTTTTGTATAAAAATTAAATTTATTAATTCATTACAATTATAGCACAAATTATTGCATATTGAAGAGCAAAGTAATGCTAAATATAGCGAACAATTGTTTCGCGCGATAGCACGTGTCCACGCACTGGAAGCACCACTTAAGAAACAACACTGGATTCACAATGAACTGACCAATGAATTTGAAAAAATTAACAAACATTTCCCAACTGATCAGTTCTTAGATGAATGCGATTGTCAAACATTGAAGTCACGTAATTTAGGTCAAGAGATTCAATGGCTAAACAAAACTATTAAACAGCTTAACTGTCCGATGGTTTTCTCACACAATGATGTCGTTTATTCAAATATCATGATTTTGGACAAACCTGATGACAGCGGCAATTGTATACTGCTTTGCGACTACGAGTACGCCAGTTATGGCTACAGAGGCCAGGATTTGGGATCAATTATATGCGATTGGGGTCATCCTTGGAGTGACATGAAATCAGTTCATAATTTTGTGGACGACTCACTTATTGAACAATTTCTTCGACATTATATCGATGAAAATGTCAATATATTTGGTGACAAGTATTTGGAAAATGAAAATAATTCATTGAATCAATTAATGAAAGAAACAAAAGTGTTTGCACTGGTATTCAAAATGATAATTATATTTTTCTCTCTAAAAGATGGACTAAATGATGATTATCCACTCGATAAAAAAATATCATTTGTATGTATATTTGTTTGCTAAAATAACAGTTATTTTAATTTTTATTGTTTTATTGTTATAGAAATTGGCTGAAAATGAATATAAAAATTATTGGATTTTGAAAAATCAGTTTTTAAATCAAATTCTAGTTTAGATTTTAATCAAATTATATTTTATAATTATAAGAAATTAAAAAAATAAAATAATTATTAGTAGTATTAATAATATTAATAATATTAATAATATTAATAATATTAATAATATTAATAATATTAATAATATTAATAATATTAATAATATTAATAATATTAATAATATTAATAATATTAATAATATTAATAATATTAATAATAATATGTTTTTATCCATTTTTATTTTAGTATTTAATGTTAGTATTATATTATCACCATAACTTTAACTAATAAATATAAGTAATGTTAATAGACTATAATAAATGTTTAATTAATTAAATTTAATCTTTAAAATATAATATTAAACTAAACTAATAAAACATATGCATATTAAAATAAAAATTTTAATCATTATTTAAAAATTCAATTTAATTGTTTAACATAGATAATTTAATTTTAATAAATTAAACTATAATATAAATAATACATAATCAGCAAGGACATTGAGTGTAATCTGTACTTAAAATCATTAGTTAGATAAATCGATAAATAATTAGTACATATGATTTATGACAACAATAAAAATTGAATTTTTTTTTTGATTGAAAACATTCATATAAAAATAGCCTTGAACATTTTGGTATATAAGTTTGAATATTTATAATATGATATAATATAATTTTAGAAATTCAATTATATTTAATTAATATAAGAATATATTTTTAATATATTTTTTTATTGCTTAAAAATGAATGTCGATATTAATGCAAATAACGAAAATGTGTCAAAAGAGACTAAAAATATTGAAGATATTTCATCGATTGAAGAGTTAGATATGGAAAACATGAATCTCTATAGAGGAGAGACACCAATTGATATTAAAAATCAATGTTTGAAGATATGCAAGGATTATCTGTCGGGTGAATGGATTCAACAAACAGTGGACACCATTACTGTCACACGTATTACCGGTGGACTCACTAATCAAATATATTATTGTGGTATTAATGAACCAAATCAGACATCAAATGTACCCCAAGAAGTGGCGGTTAGATTTTATGGAGAAAAACATATCAAAAATAGTAGCGATAACTATGAAAGACTTCCCGATGTTATTATTGATTTGATGGTATCTGAAACTAAACTTGGTCCTAAAGTGTATGCTATATTTGAGCATGGACAGTTGCAAAAATATTATAAGGTTAGTAAATCATATCTATTTTATTATAAATATGCAATATATATATATATTTATAAAATATATATTTTTCAATAAAGCACCGACAGTTTAAACCTGAAGAACAAAATAATCCCAAACTGGTTGATGAGGTGTTCCGCAAATTGGCCCGAATTCACGCCATGAATGTACCAATAAATCGTACATTTAATTGGATGACTACTGAATTAGACGGCGCCTATAAACTTGCATTTGAAGGCAGTTTTGATGTAAAATCAATGTTTGAAAAATATAATTGCGAAACACTATTGACTGCTGATATGAAAAGTGAGGTTCAATTTATCAATGAATTGGTAGTAAAAGCCAACAGTCCTCTTGTGTTTACACACAATGATTTTAGATCAAGTAATCTATTAATTACCGAATCGGTCGATAAATCTGACGGTCCTATAGTTGTCTGTGATTTTGAATACGGATCATACGGTTATAGAGGTATGGATTTTATGCCAATTCTTCGAGAATGGGGTCGAAAACAATTAGATTTCAGTGTTGATGGCATACCTCATGAGGATTCAGTGATTAGACCATTGATCGAGATTTATGTCGACGAATGTCATCGTATTTATGGTGAAGAATATTCTGCAAATACTATCAATAGTGTGGATCATATTCTTGAAGAAATCAAATTATATTATTTGATTTATCAAATGTTTATTACTCTAGTTTTGTTAAAAATGGATTTAACAAACAAATCACTTGTGAAAGCTATTCCATTGGTATTAAAATTTCATTACAAATATTAATATATATTTTGTATTTTAATATTTTATTAATTTCTTTTATTTTATTTTATTTAATAGCAATTTCCTGAACTTTGTTACAAAAATTATTTGATTCTCAAACAGCGTTATCAAGAAATGAGTTTATTATAAAAACTTCATTTAGTTTTGTTTGTTAAATATTTTTACATTATTTTTTTAAATATAATAATTATAAAGTTATTGAATTCAATTATTTTTTATGTTAAATATTCATGATTTTTTAAACATTTGATATTTAATTGATATTATTAAAAATATAATTTCTATAACTTATGTACAAAAACTGTCATTTAAAAAATCCGATTTAATATATTATACTATACTATATATATAATATTGTCAACATAATTGTCTAATTAAAAACAAATGTTATAAAATAATAATAAAAATTTTCTTAAAGATAGTCACAAAAAAAGTCAAATAATAAAAAATATTTTTTTTAAATCGAAATAATTTATGGGATATGTTTGGGTCAACAGAAAAAAGCCGATCTCCTGGATGTTTGTGTCGGCAAAACTGTTTGACATCTCTTTCTTGATGTTATCTCAAAATGTTGTCGACGACAAACTGATCGATAAATTGAATGTTTGTCCGATTGCGGGAATTTTTTTACTGATTTGTCCCGCAATTAAAGTGTCGGATAGTATTGATTTGATAAATTGTTGGACAACACTAACGATATTTCCATATATTAATGATGAAGAAGATGTTAATGTCGACGACGATGATGTCTGTTGTTTTTGTTTCGACGGTTTTTCGACATCAATGACAGCTTTATCTTCTATTTTCATCAACAGGAGACCATCACCTCTTTCTTTGGCTAATTTGGTCAGTGCTTCGCTCACTGAATCGCTACGAACTTTTGCCAAATCTATTTTAGCCTTATTAAGCATTTCGTTGGCCATCAATCGGACAGCCGATTGTCGGTCATCCGGATCTACGGATGTTGACGACGACGACGACGACTGGACAGTCTTGTCAACCAAACTGGACAACTCCTGATAGATCCGGCGTTTGGCTTTCACTGACTCTTGTTTAATCAATTGAACGGCTAATGTATAAGGTTTAGATAAACCGTCTTCCAGTGCCGTCTCAATTGAGTACTTTAAGTCACTGATGGCCTGTTTGGCCGCAATTTCAACGGTTTGTTTGAATTTGTTGTTATTGTTGTCGTTGTCGGGCATCCCATGTTTGATCTGACCGTTACCAACATTTTTGGTGGTCTCCGCCGGCATTGAATCATCGGCCGATTTGTTGTCCTCACTGTTATTGTTGTTTATAATTAATATCAATACAAACAAATAGATAATAAACTTATTTGCAAATACAATCATTATTATTATTGAAATTAAATTAAAAATTATTATTTAATAAAAAATTAATATTATTTAAATAATTAATAATTTTTTGTATTAATATTTATATATAGTAAATACTAGTAAAAAATTAAGTATATAAAATAGTATTGCAATGATAATTTTAAATATATATATATATATATATATATAACTTATACTTTATTTAAAATATCAATTAATGGTCAAAAATAAAATATATAATTACTTTTTGTTATTATTATTATTGTCATTATATATCAAATTAATTTTTGAACTTTTTTTGATATTTTTAGTAGTATTAGTAGTTGTAGTATTAATTGATTTTAATTTTGACATTTTAGCCACACTTTCTATACTATTAATGTCAAAATTTATACCTAAGATAATAAATAAATAAATAAAACAAAAATTTATTCAATTATATCTCATATTTAATTAATAAATTATATAATCTATCATAAGTTGCAAACCCATTGATGGCAAACAGTTAGTGATTGTAAAGTTTAATACAAATACTATTAAAAGAATTATTATTATTTTCATTATTGAATAAAATTTTCTCATCATTTTTGGTCAATAAAACTACAAAATATGTCAAAAAACTTAATTTTATTACTAAAATAAAAATGTTTTTATTATAAATCAATTCAATGCCAGTTTATATTTCCACACAAACAATAAGATTAACATTTGATAAACAATTTATTTGTTTTTGTTTCAATGAAAATACTAAACTTATTTTTAATCCCCTCTAAAAACACATACATATTGTTAATCTAAATATTATAATTCAAAAAACATTTGATTTCCTATTTAATTATAAACTATTTGTTTGTTTGTATAGTAAAAGTTTTGTAAATAAGTTTTATTTATTAATATTTATTATATTTTAATATTTTTAAACATTTATTAATGTATTAATGATTAATGTTAATTGTGAAAGGGGATAATTACATATTACGTTTGCAATTTTTAAGAAATCTAGACCCCCTCCCTCCCCTATTTTCGCATGTAGTCATTATAAAAAAATTACGTTCACATGTCCATTACCGCTAACCCCCCCCCACAACTAAAAAATAGTATATTATCTAATTGCGAACGTTCTTAATATCACTACCCATCCCCCTCATTCGCAAAAGTTCGCTTTGGCCGACCCCCTCCCCTCAAGTGCTAACGTAATGTGAACCACCCCTTATGTATAGTAAATTAGTCATACAGTATATATCATTTAAATATAAGCTGTAAATGTTTACTTTACTTAAGTATTGATTAAATTTTTACATTAAGAAATCATATTGTTTTAGACTAGAAGTAGAATCTGAAGATTATTTTAGAAACCGAAACCGAACCGAAATTGTGTTAAATTGTAAAGTATATATAAAATTAAAAAAATTTATATAATGTTAATTATAATATATTTATTTATTATTATATTTAAATAACATGAGTTAAATAAAAATTTATAATTAGTAATATATAATAATTAATAAAATAAATAATACATAATGATAATACAGTATATATATAATTTAATTATTAATTAACTAATAATTAGATACAAATTTTAGACTAAAAAAATATTTTTAGACTAAAATTTACTATAAGTTTCATTTCCAGTTTTAGTCGGTTTAATTTATTTAAACCGTTTTATTTCTACATTTATTATACACTGAGGTTGAGTTTGAGTACATCGGGGTTAGTATGAAACTGTTGCACTCATACATTGAAATTATTATTAAATACTTCATTAGACTACTGTATAACACAGTAACCTTCAATTACTACTGCTGTATATATATATAAGAATTGAAAACTTGTTGAAAAAATATATATTTATTTATATAACTTTGTATAACATTATAAATTATATTTTATAATTATAGTTAAATATTTATTGTAAAATTTATAAATATGAGTAAAGATATTAACGATAATCCAGTTAATGGAAGTAATAAAGTAATAAAAAATATTGAAGATATTACTTCAATGGATGATTTGGATTTGGATAAAATAGATTTAGTTAGAGGAGAGACACCAATCGATATCAATGATCAATGTTTACAGTTATGTAAGGATTATCTGTCGGGTGAATGGATTCAACAAACAGTGGACACCATTACTGTCACACGTATTACGGGTGGACTCACTAATCAAATATATTATTGCGGTATTAATGAACCAAATCCGACATCAAAAGTACCACAAGAAGTGGCGGTTAAACTTTATGGTAAAAAATTTATAAAAAACAGTAGCGATAACTACGAAAGACTTCCCGATGTTATCATTGATTTGATGATATCTGAAAATCAGCTTGGTCCTAAAGTCTATGCTATATTTGAACATGGACAAATTATAAAATATTATAAGGTATTTAAATTAAATGTATTCAGTTTAAAATATTAATTAATAAGTTTTATAAATTACTGATATTATTTGTAATATAATGTAAAATAGTTAACACGTATTCTAATTAAAATTAAAAAATTTTAATTTCTATGTAAAGCACCGACAGTTCAAACCTGAAGAGCAAAGTAACACTAAACTGGTTGATGAGGTGTTCCGCAAATTAGCCCAAATTCATGCCATGAATGTACCGATCAAACGAAGTCATAACCGATTTGATGAAATAGACGAGTCGTACAAAATTGCATTTGAAGGCAATATTGATATTAAAAAAATATTTGAAACACACAAATGCGAGACACTATTGACTGCTGATATTAAAAGTGAAATTCAGTTTATTAGAGGTCTGATAGAAAAAGTAAACATTCCTATTGTGTTTACACACAATGATTATCGATCGAGTAATATATTAATTACCGAATCGGTAGATAAAACTGACGGTCCATTAGTTATCTGCGATTTTGAGTTCGTCTCTTATAGTTATAGAGGTTTGGATTTTATGCCACTTCTTCGAGAGTGGGGTCGCAAACAATTTGATATGTCTAACGATGGCTTACCTCATGACGACTCAGTTTTACGGCCATTGATTGAAATATATTTGAATGAATGCGAAAAAATTTATGGCAAAGAATTTACTGCAAATAAATTGAATTCAATGGATCACATGCTTTACGAATTGAAATTAAGTTATTTGATATACCAATTGTTTGTAACACTTGTTTTAATCAAATATGATTTAAAAAATCAAACACTGGCTAATAATATACGATTTGTAAGTATTATTTTGTATAATTTTATTAAATAATTATTTCTTATTTTTCAAATATATTTTTATAGTATTATCCAGAAATGTTTTATAAAGATTATTTGGTTCTTAAACAACGTTATAAAGAAATGAATTTGATTTAGACAAATGTTATTGTTTTATTTAATAAATTCATTATTTAATTTTATTATATAAATTTTGTAAAGTTATTTGTAAAGTTAAATATGAATAATACTACTAAAATTATTTAATAATATGAAACAATAAAATACTTATATTTTTATTAAAAATAATTTATACCTTATTATTATTAAAAGTACTGTATATTAACAATTAAAGCATTAATTTGATGATTTGATATATATATTACTTATACTGTATATAAAATATCTATTAATCGGCAAAAATAAAATATATAATTACTTTTTATTATTATTATTATTATTGTCATTATATATCAAATTAATTTTTGAACTTTTTCGATATTTTTAGTAGTATTAGTAGTTGTAGTATAAATTGATTTTAATTTTGACATTTTAGTCCCAATTTCTATACTATTAATGTCAAAATTCATACCTAAGATAATAAATAAATAAAAAAAAACAAAAGTTCGCTTTAGCCGACCCCCCCCTCTCCTCAAGTGCGAACGTAACCACCCCTTATGTATAGTATACAGTAGGGCTGTTAGATTCCGGCAAAATATATAAATGAACATTGATATATTATATACAGTATTAAAAAATATTATGCATACAAAATTTTATATATACAAAAAATAATATAATACATTGAAATATATATAATTATCCACTGTTTAGTTATATATTTATTTTAATCACTTTTTAAATAACACAATTTAATTATAAACTAATTGTAATTATTAATTTATTTATTGTTATTTATAATTTTTTAGTTACTGTTGTCTACATATATTGTATACTAAATATCTACATAATTGCTTGAATTGTTTATCACAAAAATAGCACATTTAATATATTGTTTTTGTTAAACATTTTAAAAACACATCAAACAGTCATATGATATTTGCTTTAATTTTGTTATTTTAAAGTATTTATGTATATGTATTCATATTTTCAATCTTATCTGTATTTATTTACTTTAGTATTTATGACATAAATTTTATGTGTTACTTGCCCGGATTATAACAGCTTTAGTATACAGTATATATCATTTAAATATAAGCTGTAAATGTTTACTTTATTTAAGTATTCATTAAATTTATACATTAAGAAATCATATGGTTTTATATATATGAATGAATTTAAACCGTTTTGTTTATCATCTATTATAAACTAAATGTACTGTACATTTAGGTTAGGTTAGTATGAAACTGTTGCACTCAAACATACATATTATTATTAAATATGTTATTTATTATTATTATTACTGTATTAGACTATAACACAGTAACCTTCAATTACAACTACTGCATACCCGGTATATATAAGAATTGAAAACTTATATATCAATTTATATAACTTTGTAAAAACATTATAAATTATATTTTATAATTATAGTTAAATATTAATTGTAAAATTTATAAATATGAGTAAAGATATTAACGCTAATCCAGTTAATGGAAGTAATAAAGTAGTAAAAAATATTGAAAATATTACTTCAATGGATGATTTGGATTTAGATAACATAGATTTAGTTAGAGGAGAGACACCAATCGATATCAATGATCAATGTTTACAGTTATGTAAGAATTATCTGTCGGGTGAATGGATTCAACAAACAGTGGACACCATTACTGTCACTCGTATTACGGGTGGACTCACTAATCAAATATATTATTGCGGTATTAATGAACCAAATCCGACATCAAAAGTACCACAAGAAGTGGCGGTTAGACTTTATGGTAAAAAATCTATAAAAAATGGCGATAACTATGAAAGACTTCCCGATGTTATCATTGATTTGATGATATCTGAAAGTCAACTTGGTCCTAAAGTATATGCTATATTTGAACATGGACAAATTTTAAAATATTATAAGGTATTTAAATTACAGTATATTGATATAGTTTTATTTATTCAGTTTAAAATATCAATAAACAAGTTTTATAAATTAATTATTTGTAATATAATGTAAAATAGTTAACACAAATTCTAATTAATATTATTTTTATTATTATTCTTAAAAAATTTATTTTCTATGTAAAGCACCGACAGTTCAAACCTGAAGAGCAAAGAAACACTAAACTGGTTGATGAGGTGTTCCGCAAATTAGCCCAAATTCATGCCATGAATGTACCGATCAAACGAAGTCATAACCGATTTGATGAAATATTAGACGAGTCGTACAAAATTGCATTTGAAGGCAATATTGATATTAAAAAAATATTTGAAACACACAAATGCGAGACACTATTGACTGCTGATATTAAAAGTGAAATTCAGTTCATTAGAAGTCTGATAGAAAAAGCAAACATTCCTATTGTGTTTACACACAATGACTATCGATCGAGTAATATATTAATTACCGAATCTGTAGATAAAACTGACGGTCCATTAGTTATCTGCGATTTTGAGTGCGCCTCTTATAGTTACAGAGGTTTGGATTTTATGCCACTTCTTCGAGAGTGGGGTCGCAAACAATTTGATAAATCTAACGATGGCTTACCTCATGACGACTCAGTTTTACGGCCATTGATTGAAATATATTTGAATGAATGCGAAAAAATTTATGGCAAAGAATTTATTGAAAATAAATTGAATTCAATGGATCACATGCTTTATGAATTGAAATTAAGTTATTTGATATACCTATTGTTTTTAATACTTATTTTAATCAAATATGATTTTAAAAATCATACACTGGCTAATAATATGCAATTTGTAAGTATAATTTTTTATATAATATTATTAAAAATAGTATTAAATAATTATTGATTATTTTTTAAAATATATTTTTATAGTATTATCCAGAAATGTTTTATAAAGATTATTTGGTGCTTAAACAACGTTATAAAGAAATGAATTTGATTTAAACAAATGTTATTATTTTATTTAATAAATAAATTATTTAATTTTATTATATAAATTTTGTAAAACTATTTTTTATTAAGTTAAGTATGAATAATACCACTAAAAATATTTAATAATATGAAACAAAAAAATAATTTTTAAGATTAAATAATTTATACTTTATTATTATTAAAAGTACTGTTTATTAACAATTGAGTTGATGCAATAGTAATATTTTATTACAGATTATTGTAATATCAGTTTATTTTATAATAAATATAACATAAATTTAGTTAATTAATGTTTTAACCTTGATTATTGTATATTACTGTATAAATAATATTTTATGTTATCAAATATTACAAGTTTAATAGTCACAACTTGAAAGTCACTAGAATATAATAAACTTAATATAATTTGTTAATAAAAAAAATTACTCTAACAATGGCTAATAACTCTAATAGTAATGCAATAAAAGAAACCAAAAATATTCAAAATATAACCAAAATTGAAGATTTGGATTTTGAAAATATAAATTTATTTAGAGGAGAGACACCAACTGATATCAAAAATCAATGTTTACAGTTATGTAAGGATTATCTGTCGGGTGAATGGATTCAACAAACAGTGGACACCATTACTATCACACGTATTATGGGTGGACTCACTAATCAATTATATTATTGCGGTATTAATGAACCAAATCAGACATCAAAAATACCACAAGAAGTGGCGGTCAAATTGTATGGTAAAAAATCTATAAAAAATAGCGATAACTATGAAAGACTTCCCGATGTTATCATTGATTTGTTGGTATCTGAAAATGAACTTGGTCCTAAAGTCTATGCTATATTTGAACATGGACAAATTTTAAAATATTATAAGGTAAGTTACATAAATTAAATATAAATATAAATAAAGTATATTTAAATAATTTTATTATATTAATCAAACTAAAGCATAGACAGTTCAGAATTGCTGAACAAAGTAATACCAAACTGGTTGATGAAGTGTTCCGCAAATTGGCCCGAATTCACGCTATGGATGTGCCCATCAAACGTACAAATAATCGTTTGGATCTAATTTATGAATCGTATAAATTTGCATTTGAAGGCAATTTTGATATAAAAACAATTTTTGAAAAAAACAATTGTCAAACACTATTAAATACTGATATTAAAAGTGAAATTCAGTTTATTAGAGATATAATAGTAAAAGCCAACAGTCCTACTGTATTCAATCACTGTGACTATAGATCAAGTAATTTATTAGTTACTGAATCAGCCGATAAAACTGACGGTCCAATAGTTGTCTGTGATTTTGAATACGGATCATACGGTTACAGAGGTTACGACTTTATATTATTGATACGAGAATGGGGTCGAAAACCGTTAGATTTAACTGTTGATGGATTCCCTCTTAAAGACTCAGTTATGCGTCCATTGATTGAGATCTATGTTAATGAATGCGAAAACATTTTTGGCAAACTTTTTACAGCAAATGAAATCAATTCTGTGAATCACATCATCGATGAAATCAATTTATTTCATTTGATTTGCCTTTTGTTTTATTCAATATTTTTTATAAAAATGGATTTAGAAGACAAATCTTTTCTCAAAAAAATGCCATTTGTAAGTACTTTACTGTATTTATATTAAATACTATATATTAAACAATTTGTATAAATAATTAATTTGTTTTATTATTTATATAGCATTTTGCGGAAACATTTCTTAAAAATTACTTAACTCTCAAACAACGATACATTGATATAAAATTAATTTAGATTGTAATTTCAATTACATACAAATTAACTAACTTTGAAATCAAATATGAATACTATAAACTGTTTTTATTATAAAGTATAAATTAAATTATTTGTACAAATATACAGTTGTATTTTACTGTAAAGTAATTTTTAATTAAAAAATATAAGCTAAATAAAATTCAAAAATCATAATTTAGTTGTGTTTTATTTTATCAATTTTGTTAAATTATTTTTAATTAATTTTAGAATAAATACTACTAAATAAAATTATTTGTTAATATTGTCGACCATTAGATGTCAACACACATTCATACAGAATATATGATAATAATTTATTTTTGTTTCGATTACAGTATTTTCAGTTTTTATATGCAATCGTTTTTCTACAGTATATAAAAATTAATTTTAATATAAAACGTCAAACATAACAATTTTATTATAATATTAATTTTATTTAATTGTATTGTTTTATTAACGCAATAATTGTAGACTTAAGTAGCAAACAATATAAAATAATAATATTATTCTTAAAAGTTTATTAAGTATTAAAGTTATTATTAATATTATTTTTATATTTAAGTTCAGTACAGTATATGATATACTTTTAATATCAAAGTTTAATTTTTTGATAAACATATCATAAGTCTAGTTATGTTTTAATTCTGATTGTTATAAATATTAAGTATTAAATTTTATAACTTTAATAATCATAAAGACTACAAACTTCATAAAATTTTTATAAAATTTGTTATAATTTTAAATAATAACAATTCTAATAATGGCTAATAAGGATAATAAGGATAATACAAATAATGCTATAAAAGAGACACAAAAAGAGTTTAAAAATACTCAAAATATAACTAAAATTGAAGATTTTGGGTTAAATAATATGGATTTATATAGAGGAGACACACCAACTGATATCAATGATCAATGCTTACAGTTATGTAAAGATTATCTGTCGGGTGAATGGATTCAACAAACAGTGGACACTATTACTATCAAACGTATTACGGGTGGACTAACTAATCAGTTATATTATTGCGGTATTAATGAACCAAATCCGACATCAAAAGTACCACAAGAGGTGGTCATTAGATTTTACGGGAAAAAACATATCAAAAATAGCAGCGATAACTATGAAAGACTTTCCGATGTTATCATTGATTTGATGGTATCTGAAAATCAGCTTGGTCCTAAAGTCTATGCTATATTTGAACATGGACAAATTATAAAATATTATAAAGTAAGTTTATTTACAAATAAATATAAATTAATACAATATATATATATTTAAATATTTTTTAAATCGCTAATTCAACTAAAGCATAGACAGTTCAAAATTGCTGAACAAAGTAATCCTAAACTGGTTGATGAAGTGTTCCGCAAATTGGCCCGAATTCACGCCATGGATGTGCCCATTAAACGTACAAATACTCGTTTGGATAGAATTGATGAATGGTATAGATTTGCATTTGAAGGCAATTTTGATATCAAAGCAATATTTGAAGCAAACAATTGTCAAACACTATTAAATGCTGACATTAAAAGCGAAATTGATTTTATTAAGGATGTAATAGTAAAAGCCGACAGTCCTATTGTGTTCAATCACTGTGACTATAGATCAAGTAATTTATTAGTTACTGAATCGGCCGATAAAACTGACGGTCCAATAGTTGTCTGCGATTTTGAGTACGGATCGTACGGTTTCAGAGGTTTTGACTTTAAATCACTGATACAAGAATGGGGTCGAAAACCGTTTGATTACTCTGTTGATGGCTTACCTCTTGAAGACTCAGTTTTACGTCCATTGGTTGAGATCTATGTTAATGAATGCGAAAAAATCTTTGGCAAACAATTTACAGCAAATGAAATCAATTCTGTGGATCACATCATCAATGAAATCAATTTATTACATTTGTTTTCACTTTTGTTTTTAACAATATTTTTTATAAAAATGGATTTAGAAGACAAATCAGATATAAAAACTAATCCATTTGTAAGTATTGTACTGTATTTATGTATATTTATTATATAAATTTATCATGACATATAATTAATATTTTTTTATATTTAACTTTTTATATTTTTCATTTATATAGCTATTCGCGGAAACATTTCTTAAAAATTATTTGGTTCTCAAACAACGTTATCAGGAATTGAATTTAGTATAATATTATATTTACAATAAAAATGTTAGTTTTATATAAAAAAAATGTTTATTCTTAATTTTTTAATAATTTAAATTTGTTATCTTTAATTAATTAATATTTAAAAAAATAAATTATCAAATTTTAAAGCTAAACAAGTATTAGCTTATTTTATATACCACAATATATTACAATTACATTTACCGTAAAGTAATTTTATGTTAAATATTTATAACTTTTTAATTTTGTTATGAAATTGTCATTTATATAAAAGTTCTATAATTTGTTTTATGTACTAAATTTAAATTATACCGTAATTTTAGGATTAGACATTCAATTATCTATAAGATTGTGACGGGTGTGGGGTTGACTTTCCCGTCATTGAAGCGAAGCTGTGATGAAAAGCCAATGTAGAGTGTAGTTGTTAATGAATGAGATGAAAATTATTAATAAATAATATTAATTAATGCGAATGTTCATTAGGTGCCGTCACAAGTGTATATAATAACATTGAAATATAACTAAATTTTATTTAAAGTTAAAACACATTGAAATAGATAGGGAGTACATAGTGTTCCATTACAATATAATATATAGAATATAGGATAACTATATAATGAAAAGCAAGAGATGCGTGCTCTTTGATAGCAAGCGAGTAACTGATAAAATAATGGATGCTAAGCATTATTATATAGTGATTCTACTAATCAATAAATGTACTGTCAAGGCTATGCTTCCAGAATATTCTATAGTTACGCAACTATAGATACAGTGACGCAACCAGAGCATAGGAATGCTATGATTGACAGGTCTATGGGAGTTATAATGTAAAATGTAATATTTGGTTATAATTAATAAAGTATAATTAGTTATGTGTTGTGTGTTACATAGTTGTGTTAAGTGTGAAGTCTAGAACACGAAGATAACAAAAAGTCTACAAAAATATTAAAAATTACTAAATTATTGACTAAATTAGATTTACAACAAATAGAGAATTTCAATCAGTTATATATGGTAAGTATTGTATACTTATATAAATGGGAGCACTGTACCACTATATAGTAGTGTACACATTAATAGTACAGTGTACCCCAACATATAATGTTAAGCACTGTTGACTCTCCACTGCTATAGCGTATTGAGTCAACGCCCCTGTAATGGCGGCTTCCCTGAATGCATGTGTTTGTATATGTTTGTATGTGTGTGTATGTGAATGTATGTAAACATCAATTGGTAAGTATGTTTTTAAATTAATTAATTAAATGTATATAAGTATATATAAGTATAATAATTGTGGTTCATCACAAGATAATGCAAATTTTTTGTATAAAAATTTTGATGTATATGTCCACTAAACGGACTCACAACACATTTGATAAAATTGATGACTTAAACATTTGATTTGATTTATTTATATTTACGAAAAATACTAAACACTTGACGACTTTCATACTAACATTGATTGTGAGATATGACTGTATGTCGACACAAATGTCAATTAGTGGACACGTTTAGCAACCCTACACACACACAAACATTGATACATGAATAACATAGTCATGTTATTATCAACTCATATAATAAAATAAATTAATAATTATATATTGAGATTCTCAATGTTATTCACCCATTATAACTTAAAACGTGATTAAATTTATTATAAACTATTGTTCATTAGTTAGTTAGTGTATGTGTTAATTAATTTTGGTTATTATATTAGAATATTAGAAATTGATTTTATTTGATACTTATTAATAGATTAATCAACAATAAAAAAATTAATTATATTTATAGTTAGTCTAACTGATAGAGAGATAGAGATAGTATAATATAGATTAGAGTAGAAACTATGGCCTCTAAGAAAAATCCCGATTATTTTGATCTCAAAAATATTAATAAAATAATCAAAGAAATTGACGAATCGGATAAGTTTTTTACTAATAATAATAACTATAATGAGGACGACGTGGACAACACCGATGATGAGACAGACAACAACAATACCGATAACAATAGCAAACAGAGGCCAATACGGAGGAATAATACCGGAGCAGTCAATGGAAAGACGCCAACGACAACACAGAAAACTGGTAGCAAAACTGGAGTCAACAACAAAAGTCCAGTAAAGACTGTATCCGAAGAAGCGGCCAAAGAGTTATACGATTTGTTTAACTATTACGACAAGAATTTCTTTGACAATAAATTTGCCAAAAATAATACGACTGTCCGCTGGTCGACCCGTATGACCAAAAATATGACACGTATTGTTAAAATGCCGCCGAAAGACCCGAAAAGGTAACGGTGGGGGGAATTGAAGGGTGGGTTGTATTGTACACTGAAATTGTAATACCATCATTGATGACATGATTTTATATTTATTTTTATTTAATTATTAGTAAAGAGCAGACATTGGAGATACGTTTGTCCGACAGATTGTTGGCCAACAAAGACGACAAACGGAACAATCTATTGGAGGAAACATTGTTAGTTCAGATGATTAAAATTAGCGGCAAATTTGTTACCGAAAAAAGTTTAGTATTTGTATTATATATATTAAAATATTACTAAAATATTATTTTTAGCTAAAAAGAAATTGAGTACAAATGCTAGCAAAACACCAACGGATAAGGTATTTAAAAAAACAAAATTATTGAAAAAATTAGTTACAAAAAAAAATTATTATTATTATTACAAATTTTGAAAAAGACTACCAAAACTAAACAATTGCGACAGACAGCTGACTTGGCTCCGGGAGATAAACCAATCAAAGTGGTTACCATCGAGGATACGGCCAATTACGATGACGACTACTACTACTACAGTGATGATGACGAGGATGAGTTGGACAATATTGATGGCCAACAATTGGCGGCGGCCGCAGATCCCGTTCCCGACATACAGGCTATGTTTCGCCGATACGATGAAAAATATTTCGATGGCGTACTGTTTGAACACGAAGTTGAATTGTTTTGGATCAACAATATGTATATAGCGGCCGGTATTACTTATCCCGAAAATCGGTAAATAATTTATTAATTAAGTAATTGACAGTATCTATCATATTATTCAACTATTCATACATATCTATAGATGTAGATATACTTATATCTGAATATATGTGATATATATATTTGATTATATAAAGTAACTAACAGTTCACTACAACTACATGCATACCTGTAGAATAATATAATATAAGTTAAACAACAAAAAAATAAACTGTATAATTATAATTTACAATACAATAATTATATATATATATATATATATATATATATATATACCTGTTTACATCCCTGTGCTCTATGTCTCTGTCTCTATCTCACAGACATAAATGTCGACCGATTCAGATAAAGCTTTCGCGACCACTGTTGAGATTTGCCGGCGAAAAGCAGATACGGGAGACACTCCTACACGAAATGATTCACGCCTATCTGTTTGCACTAAACATTAGCGGTAAGTATATATATAGTACATACATATACCGATCCACATCTCCACATCTACCGTTTCCTTATTAAATGCCTTTCCTCTATTATCTAGATGCTCATGGACCCGAGTTTATCAAAAAGATGCATCAATTGAATCGAATGGAAGGGCTGTCTATAAGTGTGTATCACAATATGGTCTATGACCAGGATGGTTTTTATAGGGCATGGATAAATAATCGTCGGGCCCGGGAAAAGTTTGCAGCCAAACATCAGTACAACAATAATATGATATAAATAACTTAATCTCTAAAATCCTAATCATTTAATCCAAATTTTATTAGTCATAGACTATAATCTCCTGTTAACATACTTGAATAATAACTACAATATAATCTATAAAAAATTAATTACTTATTAAAACTTGTTAATTATTATTATTTAAATGATTTCCTATTATTATAATAATTATTATTATTTGTTTGTTTTTTGTAATTATTTTCATATTAATATATTTTTTTTGTATATTTAATATATAATATTTTTAAATACCTAAAGTACATAATCTGATTATATAAAAAACAAATTATCGTTTTGATTGATTAATACTCTATATTTGATATTTAATTTTTTTTTGTTTGATTAAAATTATTTGTTTTTTAAAAAATCACCTATTTATTATATTACGGTAATTAATTTTAATAATAATTTAATTAATTTAAACTTTAATAATTAAAAATATAATAATTTTGAGTAGTTACAAAAAAAACATAGTTAATTATCATAGAAATTTTAATAAATTGTTTAACTATAAACTTATCTAAAAAATAACATTATTTATATCAATTAATTTATAGAAATATTTTATATTCGTTTTAATGTCGTTTAACTGTAAGTTTATCTTTAGTACAGACATAAAGTACTTATAACTTAAGTATTGATATTACAATTTTTTATTACATTTACTTAATCAGTATATAAAATACATTTTTAAAAAATCAAAATTTCACTAAATGTCAAAACCAAAAACTATTTTAGTAACCGAACCGTTAAAAAGTAAACCAAACCTCAAAATACTTGTAGTGATGTTACAAAATTCACAATACTATTTTGTATACAATATATTCACAAGTAATACAGAATAATCCAAAAAGTGTAATTAATTTAGTAATAGTAGTAATTAATAGTAGTATAAAAGGTATTATGATAAGTATAATGCATATAATAATAATATAAATAACACAACAAACATTTTAATAACTGTTATTAAAATATAAATCATGACTAAAAAGAAAATTGTGTATTTAAATCGAAAATAAAATTTAGAAACCAAACCGAAAACGTTTTGATTCCAATCTCTATTTTAAATTAAATAATAGTAAATTTTTATTCCTCATAATAACTTAGATTATTGAATATATCATAACTTTACGTTATTTACAGTACACACATTAACAAAAAATAAATGAAAATTGAGCAAGGTATCTACTCTATTTTTAATCAACAATTTATCTTAGATTGATTTTAATATTTAATATAAAACTGTACTAAAAACATAAAAAATTATTATTAAATACTGTATAAATACTAAGTTTAAAAACACAGTGGCCTTCAAATATATAAATACTTATATATTCTTAATATAAATACATAAGAATTAAAAACTCATTAATATTTATAAAACTTTACAAAACATAATATATATATATCATATATATCTTAAAATTTATTGTAAAATTCCTAATTATGAGTTAAAATATTAAAATTAATTCAGTTGTTGGCAGTACTAAAGTACTGAAAAATATTGAGGAAATTACTTCAATTGATGATTTGAATTCAGATAACATAGAATTAGTTAGAGGAGAGACACCAATCGATATCAATGATCAATGTTTACAGTTATGTAAGGATTATCTGTCGGGTGAATGGATTCAACAAACAGTGGACACCATTACTGTCCGACGTATTACCGGTGGACTCACTAATCAAATATATTATTGTGGTATTAATGAACCAAATATGACATCAAAAGTACCACAAGAAGTGGCGGTTAAACTTTATGGAGAAAAATATTTAAAAAATAGTAACGAAAACTATGAAAGACTTAACGATGTTATTATTGATTTGATGGTATCTGAAAATGAAATTGGTCCCAAAATTTATGCTATATTTGAACATGGAGAATTACAAAAATATTATAAGGTTTTTATACAAACTAACTATAAATATAAATTTCAATTTATATAACTTTATATTGTTTGTTATATTAATCCAACTAAAGCATAGACAGTTCAGAATTGCTGAACAAAGTAATCCTAAACTGGTTGATGAAGTGTTCCGCAAATTGGCCCGAATTCACGCCATGGATGTGCCCATCAAACGTACAAATAATCGTTTGGATAGAATTAATGAATTATATAAATTTATATTTGAAGACAATGTTGATATCAAAGAAATACTTGAAACAAACAATTGTCAAACACTATTAAATACTGATATTAAAAGCGAAATTGAGTTTATTAGAAATCTTATAGTAAAAGCCAACAGTCCTATTGTGTTCAGCCATTGTGACTATAGATCAAGTAATTTATTAGTTACTGAATCGGCCGATCAAACTGACGGTCCAATAGTTGTCTGTGATTTTGAATACGGATCGTATGGTTATAGGGGTTACGACTTTATATTACTAACACGAGAATGGGGTCAAAAAGCGTCAGATTCTACTTCCAGGGGTTTACCTCTTGATGTATCAGTTATACAACCATTGATTGAGATCTATGTTAATGAATGCGAAAACATTTTTGGCAAACAATTTACAGCAAATGAAATCAATTCTGTGGATCACATCATCAATGAAATCAATTTATTTCGTTTGGTTTGTCTTTTATTTTTCTCATTTTATTTTATAAAATTGGATTTAGAAAACAAATCGTATTTGAAAAATATGCCATTTGTAAGTACTTTAGTCTATTTATATATATTTGTATAAATATGATGAATTAAAGTATTAAATACTGTACATTAAATGTATATCTAATTTTTTTATTTATTTATGCAGATTTCTGGTGAAACATTTTTAAAAAATTATTTAACTCTTAAACAGGGTTTTATTGATAAGAAATTAATTTAATTAACTATTGAAATAATATACAAACTAATTGTTTTTTAAATAAATATAATTATTGTACTATCCATTTATTGTTTATTAAAATATTATAATTCTAATACTATTGCATTTTAGTAATAAAAAATGCAAAATAAACTAAATAAAAATTTAAACCAAAATAAATTTTTTATCATTTAATAATAAATATTATAAAATATTATAAATAACTTTTTTTTACTATTTAATCACACAAATAAAACACTTTAATATGAGTAATTTTGCATTAAATCAGCTACTATAAAAAATTAACATTATAAGTTTTAATAAAAACAGTAGACAAAAATTTATTAAATTGTAGTCTACCGTTTTTAAATACATTAGAATTTGATATTCTATTGTAATTTATTTTATTAATAATCAAATTAAATTAAATAATATTTAAATTTAATAAATTAATTTATTACTATTTATTTTAACTATTATAAATTGGTGATATAAATAAATTCCATATCTTTTAATGTAATAAATATTATAAATTGATTATAATATAACCTTGACTTGTATAAAACTTGTATAAAAAATAGTTTTATGTTTACATTGAAAAAATAGAAATTGATTATATTTAATATCAAAATGTTTTATTAAATATTTTTATATTTCTGTATTGAAACTATAAAACTAATTGTAATAATGGAAATCAATAATAAAATTGAAAAAATAAATGAATCAAAAAATGTTGAAAATATATCGGCGATTGAGAAATTAGAGTTTGATTTATTTAGAGGTGAAATACCCACTAATATTAATGATCAATGTTTACAGTTATGTAAAGATTATCTGTCGGGTGAATGGATTCAACAAACAGTGGACACCATTACTGTCACACCTATTACGGGTGGACTCACTAATCAAATATATTATTGCGGTATTAATGAATCAAATCAGACATCAAATGTACCACAAGAAGTGGCGGTTAAACTTTATGGAGAAAAATATGTGAAAACCGGTAGCGATAACTATGAAAGACTTAATGATGTCATTATTGATTTAATGGTATCTGAAAATCAGCTTGGTCCTAAAGTGTATGCTATATTTGAACATGGTCAAATTTTAAAGTATTATAAAGTAAGTATTTATTTAAACTAATACAGTAATATCTTAAGTATGAAATTAAAATTATTATAATATTTTTTCGGTTTGTATTTCAAAGCACAAGCAGTTTCTAATTGAAGAGCAAAACGATCCCAAACTGGTTGATGAATTGTTCCGCAAATTGGCCCGAATTCATGCCATGGATGTGCCCATCAAACGAACCTATAACTGGGCTCTCAAAGACTTAGATGATTCCTATAGTGCGGTATTTGATAGTAATATCGATATCAACGAAATGTTTAGAAAATATAAATGCGAATCATTATTATCGGCTAATATGAAAAGTGAAATACAATTGATTAAGCAATTGATAGCAAAAGCCGACAGTCCTGTTGTTTTTATTCACAATGATTTCCATGCATGTAATATATTGGTCACCGATCGGGTGGACAATATTAACGGTCAGATTGTTGTCATTGATTTTGAGTACTCTTCGTACGGTTTCCGTGGTCTTGATTTTATAGCACTAATGTTAGAGTGGAGTCGCAAACCATTTGATTTCAGTGTCGACGGCATACCACACAACGATTCATTGGTCCGACCATTGATTGAAATATATCTAAATGAATGCCAAATAATTTATGGCAAACAATATTCAGCCGATAAACGCAATTCTGTTGATCACATTATCAATGAAATAAAATTATTTCATTTGATTTGGTGTTTGATCGATACAATTGTTATGTTGAAACTGGATTTAACAAACAAATCATTTTTCAATAATATACCGTTTGTTAGTTTGTTTTGTTTTCTAGTATTTAGTTATTAAATTTAATATATTTATTATAACTACTTTATACTATTATTAGAATTTTATTAAACATTTATTTATTTGTTGTTTTATTAATATATCTTTTTATAGTCATATCCGGAAATGTCATTCAAAAACTATTTGACTCTTAAGAAACGCTATGAAGAGATGAAGATTATTTAATTTAGTAGTTTTAAAATATTATATTTTTATATTAATAGCTTTAATATTTTGAATACATTTTTAATATTAAGATTTAATAAATTCATATTTACAAGTATGTAATAATCTGTGTGTTAATATAAATCAATGTAAACATACAGAATTGTAATATTATTATTATTATTATTATTATTTAATAAATTTTACAAATAAAGTTAAGTTTTTGAATTTGTTATAAAAAATTGTTTTAAAATCTAAGTATATCTAGTTTATCGTTTACGCAATATAATACTGTATAAACAAATAATAAATAGTTTAATATTTAATTTTTAAAAACCTGTATATTAAATGTAACCTTGATTTTTTTGTGTAAATATATAAAAATCATTAATACTAATATAAATATAGTTTAATCTAGTTTTAAACTTATTTTTTTATAAACTATTATTATTAGATCAATAAATATTAATTTAATTAAACTATTATATCGATATTACTGCTAATTTAATAATGGAGACCAAAAAAGTGTTAAAAAATATTGAAGATTTCACTTCAATTGAAGAAATAGATTTCGATAAAATGGATTTATATAAAGGAGAGACACCCGTAGATATCAATGATCAATGTTTACAGTTATGTAAAGACTATTTGTCGGGTGAATGGATTCAACAAACAGTGGACACCATTACTGTTAGACGTGTTACGGGTGGACTTATGAATCAATTATATTATTGCGGTATAAATGAACCCAATTTAACATCAAAAGTACCACAAGAAGTGGCCATTAAATTATATGGAGAAAAGCCAATAAAAACTACAGACAATAAATATGACAGACTTAACGATACTATAATTGATTTGATGGTATCTGTAAATCAACTTGGTCCTAAAGTTTATGCACTATTTGAACATGGTCAAATTCAACATTATTATAAGGTATATTTAATAATTAGAGGAAATAATTTATAATAAAGTATTCTAGTTGCTATATTTAATTTGTTATACTATTTTTATAATTAATAGCACCGACAGTTCAAACCTGTAGAACAAAGTAATAAAAAACTGGTTAATGAAGTGTTTCGCAAATTTTCACGAATTCATGCCATGGATGTGCCCATCAAACGGACACACAATATGTTTATGAAAGAAGCGGAAGTGTCGTATAAATATCTATTTAATGACAACGATATCAACATTAAAGAAAGATTTGAAAAGTATAACTGCGAAACACTGTTGACCGCAGATCTTAAGTCAGAGTATGAGTGGATCAAACAAATTGTATCTAAAGTTAACAGTCCTTTAATATTCACTCATAACGACTTCCGGTCGAGTAATTTGTTGATCACTGAATCGATGGATAAAACCGATGGACCAATAGTTGTCTGCGATTTTGAGTTTTCGTCGTACGGTTACAGAGGTATGGATTTTCAATCTATTATTATGGAGTGGAGTCGCAAACAGTTTGATTTTAGTACCGATGGTCTGCCTCACGACGACTCAATATTGCGACCATTGATTGAGATTTATGTCGACGAATGTCAGCAAATTCATGGCAAAGAGTTTTCTGCAAATTCTGTCAATACTGTCGATCATATTATATATGAAATCAAAATCTTTACTTTAATTCGTTATTTTTTTGGAACAATAATTGCATTGAAAAAGGATTTAGAAGACAATTCAAATACAAAATACAAACCAATGGTTTGTCTATTTTGAATTTTTTTTTATAATATCATAATTTTATCTAAAAATTATTTTTTTTTTGTTAATTTATTTTTAGCATTTTCCTGAATATTTGTACAAAAATTATATAATTCTCAAGAAACGATTACAAGATTTAAATGTTATTTAATTACTTAAGATTTTGTAATTTAGTATTTATGTTATTAAGTTAATATTTTTGAAATTGTATTACAAAAAAAGTTGTTTTACAATTTTTATAAGAGAAAATTTATTGAAAATTAAGATTAATAATATTATGCATTGCATTTATTTATCATATACTTAGACTTAAGTTTCTTATTTTTCATGGTTATTACAATTTACAATTAAAAAATATAATTATTTTGAATTACCGGTAAGATTATTTTTTTAGTGCAAAATTAATTTTTTTAAATTTTTCATTAAATTTATCAAATCATATGACAAATGTTTATATTTAACTATCATTTGAAATTTTAATTTGATTGTATCTGAAAGTTAACTTGGTCATAAAGTGTATGCTATATTTGAACATGGACAAATTGTAAAGTATTATTTAAACTTTTTATACACCCTAAGCTAGAGATTGTTATGAAACTTTTATGCGTTAGAAGTACTGTATTACACATATTATTAATTTCAATTTATTTGTATGAATAATAGAAAATCTATAAAAAAAGTATTAATCAATAATAAGTGCAGTATAAGCAACTAATAAATATTATTAAACAGTTTATCAAATAAAAATGTCTAAATAAGGTAATGTAAGTTGGATTTGTTGTAATCAAATTGCATGTCATACTAAATAATAAATAATAAAATTTAATGCCAGATGTCTAATAAAAAAGAGGAATTACTAGTATATTCAAAAACTTTATCAAACAAAAAAGTTTTTTTTATTAAAATGAATTAAACTTAAAATAATTTTTTTAAAAATTAATTACAATAACTATATGAAACTAAACGACAAAATTGTGAAAAATAAATAAATTTTATTTAAATATTAATACTAATGTTGATATTTAATAGCATAAAAATAAAATATATACAAAAATAATTAATTTATATATTTAGTAATTTTTTAAATATAATGCAATAAATCTAAGCAAACATTTTTAACAATAATTTATTTTGTAACAAAAATTAAAAATGTTTCAATTTAATATATTTAACAAATGTTGTCATTTTATTGACAAATTATTTCAATTTTACTAAATTTAACATTTAAATCAACTAAATAAACATCATGTAAGTGAACTTTTTGAGTTATATATGATTTATGCATCTGTTAATACTAAATAATGTAAAGTCACTGACTATTGCATAACATAATATCAATTTTTTGCAATAAGTGTTTGTGTATTACTACTAATTTGTAAAGTATTTAAAGGATTAATAAAAAAATATGAATCCATTTTTTCATTAGTTTTGAAGTTTCTTGAACTAATATTATTAAACAAACAATAGTTTTAATAGTTTATTAATAAATTATAAGTTATTAGTCGATATTAATGTTCATAAACGATACAATAGTAATGGAAACTAAAAAGAAGTTAATAAACATCGAAGAAATTACTTCATTTGAAGAATTAGATTTAGAAAACATTGATTTATATAAAGGAGAGAAACCAACGGATATTATGGATCAATGTTTACAGTTATGTAAGGATTATCTGTCGGGTGAATGGATTCAACAAACAGTGGACACTATTACTGTCCGACGTATTACGGGTGGTCTTATAAATCAATTATATTATTGCGGTATTAATAAACAAAATATAACATCAAAAGTACCTCAAGAGGTGGCCATTAAATTATATGGAGAGAAACCAATGAAAACAAATGATAATAATTATGAGAGACTTAACGATACTATAATTGATTTGATAGTATCTGTAAATCAACTTGGTCCTAAAATATACGCACTATTTGAACATGGTCAAATACAACGTTATTATAAGGTACAGTTATTATTATTTTTTAAATTTCAATAAAAATAGGCTGAAAATAGAAGAATTTATGTTATTTACAAAAAATTAAAAGGCTTTACAAATAACAAATATATAATTACTGAACTTTTACATAGTGTTGATAATCAGTTTAATTTTAGATTTAAAATAAATATTATTTATAATTATAATATTTTAGTAAAATTCATATATTATTTAAATTTTTTAACGATAATTTATGTATGATATAACAAATAGTTTATTTACAATCAATTTTATTTAATTAATGATTAATAATAAACAACATGCAATTAATGTACAGAAATAATCAGATAATACTAATTGTAATACCAGTAATAACTAAATATATATTTTTTTAAAATTTCAATTAATAGCACCGACAGTTCAAATTAGAAGAACAAAGTAATGGAAAACTGGTTAATGAGTTGTTTCGTAAATTTGCACGAATCCATGCCATGGATGTGCCCATCAAATACAACTATAATTGGTTTATGAATGAAGCGGAAGATTCTTATATATATATATATATTTTGAAAGCAATGTAAACATTAACGATGTGTTTGAAAAGTACAACTGCGAGACACTGTTGACCGCAGATCTTAAGTCAGAGTTTGAATGGATTAAACAAACAGTAGTAAAAGCTAACAGCCCTATAGTATTCATTCATAACGATTTCCGATCAAGAAATTTGTTGATTACAGAAACGGTAGATAAAACTGACGGACCAATTGTTGTCTGCGATTTTGAGTTTTCGTCGTACGGTTACAGAGGTATGGATTTTCAGCCCATTATTCTTGAATGGGGTCGCAAACAGTTTGACTTAACCGCTGATGGTCTGCCTCACAACGATTCAGTATTGCGACCATTGATTGAGATATATGTTGACGAATGTCAGCAAATTCATGGCAAAGAGTTTTCTGCAAATGTTGTCAATACTGTCGATCATATTATCTATGAAATCAAAATCTTTATATTGATTTGTATGTTTTTGGAAATCTTAATAACTATTAAAATGGATTTACAAAACAAATCATTAAAGAAAAACATGCCAATGGTTTGTCTATTTATAAATTATTTTTAATATTATATTTCTTACATTATTTTTTTAATAGAAATTTCCAGAGTTGTCGTACAAAAATTATTTTATTCTCAAAAAACGATTACAAGATTTAAATATTATTTAGTATTTATTAATTTAATTTATTTACAAAGTGATATAAAATTTTATTAGTTTTTTATTTTGAATAAAAATTATTATAAATTATTATAAATTAAATTTAAACAAAAGTATTGTAAATTTTTATTAAATTTTTACCAAAATATTTAGTACATTTAGTTCGTGGTGTTCGCAATACACTATAGTATTAAGATAAACAAATAATTATCAGTAATACTACTGTATATTCAGCTGTATATACTACAGTATAATAATAGATCACAAAAAAGATTTTATAATTAAATATAACCTTGATTTTGTGTGTGTATATATATACCTGTATGTTAGTATATATATATATAAATTACTCACAAAAATATTTATTTAGTTGGAAAGTTTTTTGAAAATTTGTTTAATTATTAAATAAATAATTGTCATTATAATAAAATTAACAAAATACCAATACTGTATATTCAAAATGAGTGTCGATATTAATGCAAATTCAATAATGGAGACCAAAAAAGAGTCGAAAAATATTGAAGATATCACATCTATTGAAGAAATAGATTTCGATAAAATAGATTTTTATAAGGGAGAGACACCTGAAGATATCAACGATAAATGTTTACTCTTATGTAAAGACTATCTTTCGGGTGAATGGACTCAACAAACAGTGGACACTATCACTGTCCGACGTATTACGGGTGGACTTATGAATCAATTATATTATTGCGGTATAAATAAACCAAATATAACATCAAAAGTACCACAAGAGGTGGCCATTAAATTATATGGAGAAAAACCAATAAAAACTACAGACAATAAATATGACAGACTTAATGATGTTATTATTGATCTAATGGTATCTATAAATCAACTTGGTCCTAAACTCTATGCACAATTTGAACATGGTCAAATTCAACATTATTATAAGGTAGTGTACATTATTTTCAATAATTGATCAAGTTAATTTATAATGAATTAATTTTTATTTATTATATTTTTAAAATTTAAAGCACCGACAGTTTAAACCTGTAGAACAAAGTAATCTAAAACTGGTTGATGAAGTGTTTCGCAAATTTGCACGAATCCATGCAATGGATGTGCCCATCAAACGGACACACAATATGTTTATGATAGAAGCGGAAGTGTCGTATAAATATCTATTTATTGACAACGATATCAACATTAAAGAAAGATTTGAAAAGTATAACTGCGAAACACTGTTGACCGCAGATCTTAAGTCAGAGTATGAGTGGATCAAACAAATTGTATCTAAAGTTAACAGTCCTTTAATATTCACTCATAACGACTTCCGGTCGAGTAATTTGTTGATCACTGAATCGATGGATAAAACCGATGGACCAATAGTTGTCTGCGATTTTGAGTTTTCGTCGTACGGTTACAGAGGTATGGATTTTCAATCTATTATTCTCGAATGGGGTCGAAAACAGTTTGACTTAACCGCTGATGGTCTGCCTCACGACGATTCAGTATTGCGACCATTGATTGAGATATATGTTGACGAATGTCAGCAAATTCATGGCAAAGAGTTTTCTGCAAATTCTGTCAATACTGTCGATCATATTATCTATGAAATCAAAATCTTTACTTTGATTCGTATGTTTTTTGGAACATTAATATCATTGAAATCGGAATTACTAAACAAAACATTAATGAAAAACACAAAACCAATGGTATTATAATATATATATATATATATATATATATAATTATGAATTATTTTGAATATTAAAGTTTTATCTGTTTTTTATTCATTTATAGCATTTTCCTGAGTTTTCATACAAAAATTATTTGATACTTAAGAAACGGCTACAAGATTTAAATATTATTTAATAATTTAATATTTTTTAATTTACTTTGTAGTGTTTTGTATTTACATAATAAAGTTATTTCTAATTAATGTTTAAAATTTTTTTTAATTACCGTATTTCCAGACATAATGTTCCACCAAATGAGTAGAAAACTTTAAAAATCAACTTTTGTTTTCTAAACAAATATCACATTTATTTTCCATTCACTAGAAAAGTATGTGAGAGAGAGTAGGGAAGGAAAACACTTTGGGTGGGAATCTATGTAAAGTATAATCAATAGTAATTATTTTAAAAATACTTTTTAATTAAATAAAATGATAGTAATTCATATAATACTAACAATAATAAGCTAATAAACCAGTCATTAAATTGAAATTTGTAGGTCATAAATAATTATATATATATAATAATATATATTTATATACAGTATATTCCAAATAAATGTTTATATTTTTATGGATAGATTTGCTAATTTTGCTAAAAAGATTAACAATTAATACAATTATTTAAAATAAAAAATTATTCTTCATGTTTGTTTCCAAAATATTTTTTATAATATAAATTAATTTATATTATACTGTAGTATTTAAATTGTTATTATAATCATTTCATTAAAAAGCAAATTCAATTTATATAAAAATATTGTGAAATTTATTTTTGTTATCAAAACTTAGTACATTAAGTTTGCTGTTTCGCAATACACTATTAATATTACTAAATTATTATTAATATAAATTTAATCAAAAAAGATTATATACACAAATATAACCTTGATTTTGTATATATATATATATATATAAAATAACTGTGTCTTATTATATATATTTATATAAATCATTAATAAAATTATAAATTAGGTTTTTAAACTATTGTTATTATACCAGTAATTGCTATAATAATATATTTATTAAATACCAATACTGTATATTACAATGAGTGTCGATATTAATGCAAATTCAATAATGGAAACTAAAAAAGAGTCGAAAAATGTTGAAGATATCACTTCTATTGAAGAATTAGATTTCGATAAAATGGATTTATATAAAGGAGAGACACCCGTAGATATCAATGATCAATGTTTACAGTTATGTAAAGACTATCTTTCGGGTGAATGGATTCAACAAACAGTGGACACTATTACTGTCCGACGTATTACGGGTGGACTTATGAATCAATTATATTATTGCGGTATAAATGAACCAAATTTAACATCAAAAGTACCGCAAGAAGTGGCCATTAAATTATATGGAGAAAAGCCAATAAAAACTACAGACAATAAATATGACAGACTTAACGATACTATAATTGATTTGATGGTATCTGTAAATCAACTTGGTCCTAAAATCTATGCACTATTTGAACATGGTCAAATTCAACATTATTATAAGGTATTGTCAATAATTAGAGGAAATAATTTATAATAAGTATTTTAGTTGTTATATTTAATTTGTTATTATATTTTTAAAATTAAAAGCACCGACAGTTTAAACCTGTAGAACAAAGTAATCTAAAACTTGTTGATGAAGTGTTTCGCAAATTTGCACGAATCCATGCCATGGATGTGCCCATCAAACGCACACACAATATGTTTATGAAAGAAGCGGAAGAATCATTTAGATATGTATTTTTTGACAGCGATATCAACATTAAGGAAACATTTGAAAAGTATAACTGCGAGACACTGTTGACCGCAGATCTTAAGTTTGAGTTTGAATGGATTAAACAAATTATAGCTAAAGTTAACAGTCCTATTGTTTTCACTCATAACGACTTCCGGTCGAGTAATCTGTTGATCACTGAATCGATGGATAAAACCGATGGACCAATAGTTGTCTGCGATTTTGAGTTTTCGTCGTACGGTTACAGAGGTATAGATTTTCAGTCTATTATTCTCGAATGGGGTCGAAAACAGTTGGATTTTAGTGCTGATGGTCTGCCTCACGACGACTCAGTGTTGCGACCATTGATTGAGATATATGTCGACGAATGTCAGCGAATTCATGGCAAAGAATTTTCTGCAAATGTTGTCAATTCTGTCGATTATATTATCTATGAAATCAAAGTCTTTACTTTAATTCGTTTGTTTTTTGGAGCAATTATTTCAGTGAAAACAGATTTACAAAACAATGCATTTATGAAAAACAAACCAATGGTTTGTCTACTTTTAAAATCTTATTATTATTATTATTATAATTTAATCTATAATTATTTTTTTTATTAATTTATTTATAGCTCTTTCCTGAATTTATGTACAAAAATTATTTGATTCTCAAGAAACGATTACAAGATTTAAATATTATTTAATAATTTAATATTGTTTTAAATTTAAGGTAAACATTTTGGGTGGGAATCTATATAAAGTATAGACAATAGTAATTATTTTTTAAAATATATTTTAATTAAATAAAATGATATTAATACTATTATTATTAATAATAATAATTCATATAATATTAACAATAATAAGTTAATCAATAAAAATATTGTGAAATTTATTTTTGTTATGAAAACTTGCATTAAAATCTTAGTACATTAAATTTGCTGTCCACAATACACTAATAATATTAATATATTATTTTTAATATAAATTTAATCAAAAATGATTATACACATAAATATAACCTTGATTTTTTATATATATATATAATTACTGTATTTTATTATATACATTTATATAAATCATTAATAAAGTTTATAAAACTATCGTTATTATACCAGTAATAGTTATTATAATATATTTATTAAATACCAATACTGTATATTACAATGAGTGTCGATATTAATGCAAATTCAATAATGGAAACTAAAAAGGAGTCAAAAAATGTTGAAGATATCACTTCTATTGAAGAAATAGATTTCGATAAAATGGATTTATATAAAGGAGAGACACCCGTAGATATCAATGATCAATGTTTACAGTTATGTAAAGACTATCTGTCGGGTGAATGGATTCAACAAACAGTGGACACCATTACTGTCCGACGTATTACCGGTGGACTTATGAATCAATTATATTATTGCGGTATAAATAAACCAAATATAACATCAAAAGTAATACAAGAGGTGGCCATTAAATTATATGGAAAAAAGCCAATAAAAACTACAGACAATAAATATGACAGACTTAACGATACTATAATTGATTTGATGGTATCTGTAAATCAACTTGGTCCTAAAATCTATGCACTATTTGAACATGGTCAAATTCAACATTATTATAAGGTATATTCAATAATTAGAGGAAATCATTTACAATTAAGTATTTTAGTTGTTATATTTAATTTGTTATCATATTTTTTTAAATAATTAATAGCACCGACAGTTCAAACCTGTAGAACAAAGTAATATAAAACTGGTTAATGAAGTGTTTCGCAAATTGGCCCGAATTCACGCCATGGATGTGCCCATCAAACTCACGCACAATATGTATATGAAAGAAGCGGAAGAATCATTTAGATATGTATTTTTTGACAGCGATATCAACATTAAAGAAAGATTTGAAAAGTATAACTGCGAGACACTGTTGACCGCAGATCTTAAGTCAGAGTTTGAATGGATTAAACAAATTATAGCTAAAGTTAACAGTCCTATTGTTTTCACTCATAACGACTTCCGGTCGAGTAATTTGTTGATTACTGAATCGGTAGATAAAACCGATGGACCAATAGTTGTCTGCGATTTTGAGCTTTCGTCTTATGGTTTCAGAGGATTAGATTTTCAGTCTATTATTCTCGAATGGGGTCGCAAACAGTTTGACTTTAACGCTGATGGTCTGCCTCACGACGACTCAGTGTTGCGACCATTGATTGAGATTTATATTGACGAATGTCAGCAAATTCATGGCAAAGAATTTTCTGCAAATGCTATCAATTCTGTCGATTATATTATCTATGAAATCAAAGTCTTTACTTTAATTCGTATGTTTTTTGTAGCAATTATTTCATTAAAAACAGATTTGCAAAACAATGCTATTATGAAAAACATGCCAATGGTTTGTCTACTTATAAAATATTATTATTATTATTATTTAATCTATAATTATTTTTTTATTAAATTATTTAAAGCTCTTTCCTGAATTTGTGTACAAAAATTATTTGATTCTCAAGAAACGATTACAAGATTTAAATATTATTTAATAATATAATAGTTTTCAATGTATTTTTTTAAATTATAAAATATTATTTATATCTATAGTTAATTTTTAATTGTATTGCAAAATAAGTTTTCTAACAATTTTTCACACAAAAAATGTTGAAAATTATGATTATTAATATTATATGGCAATTATAATTTACAATAAAAAATAATTATCGTTATGATGTTTTTTATAAACTAGAAAATAATAATTACTTACATATAATAATTATATTATAATTATACTTTGCGTACATTTTAAAGAAACATAATATAAAGAATTAATTTATATATTTATCGTATACTTTATTTCACAATAATTAAAACATTTATATACTATAGATAACAACTAATGTTAATAAAGATTATAGTTTGGGTGCAAAACACGTCAATTAGCCAACAATAAACATTTTACAATTTTATACATCAAAATCAAATCATATGACATATATTTATACTTAAATATAAATTAACATTTGATAAGATAATCGGAGTTAAAAAAATGTGTAAAGTTTTGTTTATAAGTTAAATTAAAATTTATTAGTTTAGTATAAATAATATTTAATGTTAATTTTGAATTTGTTTGATTACATTATAATTTCAAATAACAATAATGTCAACTAATATGAATGCAAATCAGGTTAACGGCGATAATAAACGAATTCAGAAAAATATTGAAGACATCACTAGTATTGAAGAATTTGATTTTGAAAAACTAGATCTCTATAGAGGGAAAACACCCGACGATATCAAACAACAATGTTTACAGTTATGTAAGGATTATCTGTCGGGTGAATGGATTCAACAAACAGTGGACACCATTACAGTCACACGTATATGTGGTGGACTAACTAATCAATTATATTATTGCGGTATTAATGAACCAAAAATTACATCAAATATACCGCACGAAGTGTCCATCAGATTTTATGGATCAAAATATTTCAATAATATTGATGTCAATGTTGATAACGAAAGATTGACAGATGTTATCATTGCCATCACTGTATCAGATAATAAACTTGGTCCAAAAATATATGGCATATTTGATAAAGGTCAAATACAACAATTTTATCGGGTTTGTATAAATAGTAGTTTGTTTTATTTAAAATCTCCAAATTGTATAAAACATTAATTGACAAAAATGACAACTATATCGGTAAAATTTAATTAAATATTTATAACTTTATTTTTTATTTTAATATTTAAGTGTAATTTTTTTAAAATAATTATGTAGTATAATTTCTGATAAACAATTTCTATTTTAGCTAAATTCTATGTTTAGTTATATGAATTTATAGTTATATTAGTTAAATAAGTTTAAATATTTTTAAAAATTTGAAATTGGCTTATATTTATTTTTCGTTTAAGCTATTAATATTAAATTTTAATATTTACATAATATTATAAAAAAGCACCGACAATTCAAACTGGAAGAGCAACGCAACCCAAACCTAGTCGATGAGGTGTTCCGCAAATTGGCCCGAATTCATGCCATGGATGTGCCCATCAAACGCAGTGATTGGATATTCAATGATATGGATCACTCGTATAGAGTATTGTTTGAAGGAGACATCAATATACGAGAAATATTTGAACAAAACAATTGCGAATATTTATTAAAAGCCGATTTCAAGACCGAAATTGAATGGCTCAGACAACTTGTAGACAAATCGGACAGTCCTATTGTTTTCACACACAATGACTTCCGCTCCAGTAATCTCATGATAACCGATACGCCCAATGAAACCGACTGTTCAATAGTTGTTTGCGATTTTGAGTACTCGTCGTTTGGTTATCGCGGTTACGACTTTACAGCCATTATGCGTGAATGGGGCCGAAAACAGTTGGACTTTTCAGTGGACGACATACCACAGGATGATTCAGTGGTGCGACCAATGATTGAGATCTATGTCGACGAATGTCAACAAATTTTTGGCGAACAATACACAAGAAATCCAATCAATTCTGTGGATCGCATCATCCGAGAGATCAAAATATTTCATTTGGTTTATAATCTTTTTGGTGCACTTTTGACCCTCAAATTGGATGTAAAGAGTCAATCGCTTTTTGCTAATATGAAATTGGTATGACTTTCATGATTCCATATATAATACTGTAATTATTATTATTATATTTTTTATAAATAACCATTTTTTTATTTGTACAGCAATTCCCTGAGATGTCATTCAAAAACTATTTGATACTCAAGAAAAAAATTATTGATATGAATATTATTTGATAATTTAAGACATTTATCAATAATTGATATTTTAAAATATGTTATATCTAATAATTAAGAATAAAATTTTTAATTAATTTTATATATTTAAGTTTAGAATTTTTGTTTTTATTCTGTTATCAATTTGTATCATTTATGCCTTAATTATTTCATATCAATCAATAATTTATACTAATATTGATAATAATAATATAATAAATATTTATAAAGTGTAAATCGATAACATTAATAATTTCATTTTATTGGTACAACTAAATTATTGTCTACTTTTTATTAAATTTAAAATAACTAAATTTTTATTTAAGAAAATATAAACTTATATTATTTATTTCACCTAAGATTGACTTTTAATTTAGTGAATAAATTATTAATTTTATTTAATTTCTTTTTACAGATAAAATTAACTTTTACTTGTAATAAATATCATCACTACTTATTGATAAAACAACATTTTTTTCAATCTATAGAACCGGGCGGTGAAAAGTGCATTCTCTGTAACTTAAAATTGACCGCATCTTTAGCTCTGATATCAGCGATAGGTGTGGTTTGAGTGCCGTAATAATCACGCAAATTGTCGGCAAATTTATGTTTGCTATCAGTATTTGATTTGATTGTTTCATTTGTTGAGTGAAGTGGCGATTGTTTAATAAAATCTTGTACCAAATTTTTATCTAACTGTTCATTTATTGAAAACAAATTTTCCGTTAATTTTGGATACTTTTCTTTATTTGACTGATCATCACTAGTGCCAGGTGTTAGCTATAGAGATTCAATAGAGATTAATAAAAAAAAACAATAATAATTTTTTTCTAATAAAAATTTTCTAATGATTATCTCTAACATATTTCCAATGTTTGAATGTATAGCCTATGGTAAAGCACAGCACCAGTAGTCCTAAACAAAATGATATAACAGATCCGTACTCAATGGTCATCATTGAATAGACGGCTAATCTCATTAGCCAAATGAAGTTGCCCTCAATTTGTGTCGACTTTTATCAAATTAAACCAACAATAAAAACATTAGTTTTATTATTATTAATCATTTATTTAATGCTAACAAATACCTCTTCAAACCATACAAATGGTATAACAGCTTCTCTAATATATTTGAAATCACTTAATATATAAAAATATTAAAAACAAAATTACCGATAAATTATAAATTAAAATAAATTTAAAAAATTAATTTTATACTCTAATAGATCTATCGGTTGCATCAATAGATTCATTTGCAATCTAGCGGCTCCTTTCATAGGTGTTCCTAAAGTCTAATAATATAACACAATATATTAAAATTAATAATTTAAAGATAAAAGAAACTTTATGTTTAGCTACCGGTTCGATATCGAAATAACTCTCGTGTAGTTCCCGATTAGGATGCAGACCATCAATAGTTTGTGTAAGCCTACGACTGGCGTACATTAGGTGTGGATAGGATAGGGCTAATGGGGCTCCACTGAGACACTGTCCGACATAGAAGATACCATCGCATGCGTCCGGGATATGAGGTGTTCTACAATAGCAACGGTTGTCCGGATTTTTTTGTGGCGAACCAAACAAGTTGGCCGGCAGTACGTAACGCCACGAAGGAATGCCATTGACATGGGATACACCAGAATATGTGGCATATATTGATCTATACATTCATATTATAAGTAATGTAAACATAAAGTTTAGTATTTCATGTGATATATGTCTAGATATTTGTGGTGACCTATCCTAACCTACAAGCGGCGGCGTTAAACACATAGAGTGTGTCCTCTTTATGTAGAAATGAACCCATATTTGAACCGTCGGTGCCGTTAAACATATTACACTTACGTTTGTCATAGTAATTAAAGCGTCTATTAGTTTATGGAAATAATTAAATAATATACGAATCAATTGAGATCAAAATCAATAGTAATATTTATATATTGATATTTAATTTAAAATATTTATAATAATTTACTTTACATTGTTTAATGTATTATTTAATTTAATACTTATGTTAACCTTATGGAAATTTTGTTAATTATTTTGTTAATGTGTCAATCATTTTATTAAATTCATAATTATGTAATAAATTGTAATAATCATGCTTATGAAAATTATTGAAATAAAATACACTTTACTCTAATATACAAATTATAATAATTATTATTCAAAAAAATAGGAAATATATTTAGATTTACATTAAATTTAGAAAAACATGAATTTGTAATAACAAATGTATAGTACAGATGGTATTACAAATTCATGTTTTCAAACTATTAATACTTTTAACTTATTTTATCATTAAATCTTAGAAATCCAATTAAATTATTATATAATTGAGATTATTATAAGATTTATTATAAATTTAGTTATTGCTTTAAATATGGAAATTGCAATAAACTTTATGGTTAGTTTGAATTTTAGTTTTAAATACATAGTTTTAAGAAATTTTTTAAGTTTAAAGTTTGCCATCTCTGTGAAGGCGATGTAACTATAACTTTGACCTTTATATTTAAATCCCTCAAAACTTATTGATTATGAGATTACAGTTTATAACACAATATAATAAATCAATTTATTTATTTAATAAATCTAATGAATCTTCTAAACTAATATGTGTTAATAATAATATTAATAAGCAAATAATTATAAATAAATCAATTAGTTTTATAAATTATTATCCATAATAATTTAAAAAATTAATATTAAATTGGGTCAAAATATTTGTTTGTTAGTGACCTTTATCATAAAGGCTATATGTGAGTTATCTAGGAGGGTGTAGGTTCGCGTCCCTTGCGGGCAATTAAAATTTTTGTTGCTTATTTTTATTTTATTTTTTTAATAACATATCAAATTTAAATTCTATAAATAATTAAAATATGACAAACCGTTTATTTTCATAAGAAATAACTTTAAGAAACTGTGTGTCTCCCTGTCCAGTGAGCACCTCATACGGACCACTTTTGCTGTTATTTTTGCCATTCAATATACCAAACCTGTTGTTAGGCATACCGAAATCGGGTATATTAATACCCAATAATTTTAATGGTTTTACCACTGTATCAATAGTGTCCAAAATTGATAAACGATAGCCCTCTATGAGTTGGCCAACAGTTAATCTTTTAACTATACGTTCGCTATGGTTCATAAATAGCCGATTTATTATGCGAAAAGCTGCCGGTGCTGTGAGCGTCGATAGTGGCAATTTATCTATCAAACCCTTTATTATAGCTGCCAATACCTGATTTATTTAGATATATATGATATGAGAAATTTATAATAAATTTATTAATTTGTTGTAAAACCTACATAGATTGGCACATTAACAATAATAATTTGATCATTTCTTGATCCAACTGTCCTCTCTATATCAAAAGTATACGATGATTTGCTCCAGTATTTGACCGACTCATGATCGGGACTCCATGAGATTATCTCTTTCCACTGGTGTTTCCTTTAATACAGTTTAATACAGTTATTGTAATTATTATATATATATACAGTATAACAATATATAGTACAGTAGAGTATAATGCATTTTATTTAGTTTGTAATAAAAAAAATATGTTAATCCAATTATTTTTAAAAAAATTACTAAATTATAGCCTACTTATACACATATGGACCCATTTCCCTAATTTTAGCCTTAGCTCCTCTAATAAATTGACGTGGATTATCAATAGTGAATAAATAAACTGAGAAATACATGGGCAGTGGCACATCCATCCAGGTCTTTGTCACTGCATTTTCATCTTCTGTGATCTGCATTTGACTTTTGATAACAGTCCTCAATAGTGTCGGATAGAGAATCACTAGTAAACCACTGGTAACTGTTATAATGCCACCAATGAGTCCATATAATAGTATATTATTTCTTACAATTTGAGATTTGTGTAACATTTTTATTTTGTTTAAATAAATATTAATAAATAAATATAAAAACTGATAATTAATAATAAATTTATAAACTAGCAGATTTTTGTAAACAATATCAAAGTTATTTTATAGTGTTTAGAACTTTGATATAAACTTTTTTTAAATTTTACAAAATAAAGTATAAATTATATAAATTTTATTTATTAAATAGTAATGAAATATTTTTTAAATATTTTTAAGTTTAAATGAATTCTGTATTGAATTTGTTTTTACTAAGAATTTATTCAAAGTCAAGGTTATGTTTGTTTTCTATATATTAGTATAAAAACATATTCAGTATATTAATAGTATATACATATAAAAACAATAAGTTTTAGTACATTTTTGTCATTAAATCGTGCAATTAATAGTGGTTTCTAGTATTGATTTTTTTAATATTATATAAATATTATCCTAACATGAAAATTTTTTATACAAAATTATGTAACATATAGTACTCGAATTCAAAACTTAAAATATATAGTATTATTATTACATTACAAATACAGTATTATAAGCATTAAATTTTTACAGTATACATGTATAATAACATAATTTTCAATATAAAGAAAAAATCAATATTCATTATTATAAATAATTATGTTTATAATTAATAATTAGGTAAATTTTAGATAAATTATAAATATTTAATTAAAATAAATATTAATTAAAATTTTATAGATTAGTTGATTAATTATTTTTTGTAAATTAAATACTGTATCTATTCAATATAATATTAAAGTAAACTAATAATTCATAAAATTTAATATATCAATTTTTTAAAATAATAAAATTTAAAGTAATATATAATATGTAACTTATAATGTAATAATTTAAAATAATGAAATTATTAAGTTGAAAGTGAAATCAAATAAATTAATTTTATTATTAAATGATTATCAAAAAAAAATATAAAAAATAATAAAAAAAGTAACTGTATTTAATTATTTAACAGCTGAATGTATTATAAATGTTGAGTTAATAAAATGATTTGCATATTAAAATAATAAAATTTATAATATGTTTTTATCAAATAAAATTCATTTTAAATTGCGGATTAAACGTAAAATTGTTTACAAATATTTATTGTTATTTTACAATTTGTATTTTTTTGTTAAAAAGTATTTAGTAATTTTTATTTGATTATGAATAATAACAATTTAAAATTTATTTTGAGTATATTTCTATCAACCCTTGGGATAGTTGTGTTAAATGATAAAAAGTTAGATAGTGGTAACACATATAACGTAGGAGTCGGTATTGGAGACATAACAGGTCCGGCAGCTGAAAATATTATGGTATTTGTTTGACTATAAGGTTATATAAATAAAACAATAATAAAAATAAATATCATTACCATTTGACAGATGGGTTACGCAGATATCAATCAAGTGGCAGCCGGTATTCACATGAGATTGTATAGTAGAGCTGTCATTATAGATGATGGAAAGGGAGGCCGAGTATGCTATGTGTCGTGCGATATGGGAATGATTTCACAAAATATCAAATTAAAAGTATTATTAAATTATATATACATATATATATCATATTAATTAATAAACTAATAATTAGGTTTGTTAGATAATAGATATACTTAAAAGTAAATACAACAGCATCTATACTATCAACAATGTTATGTTAGGTTCGACACACACCCATTCAGGATCGGGTGGTTATCTTAATTATTTAATGTATAACATACCTTCACTGGGATTTTCCAAACAAAATTTTGATACAATTGTCAACGGAATAATCAGAAGCATAGATAGAGCACACCATAGTATGACCAACACTAGGATATACATAAATACTGGACAACTCACCGACACTAGCATTAATCGGAGTCCCACGGCTTACATGAGAAATCCTGTAGAGGAACGGGATAGATATGGGACCAACACTGACACCAATATGACTGTTCTAAAGATGGTATCTACCAGTGGTCAAGATTTGGGTGCCATTGTATGGTTTGCTGTACATTGCACCAGTATGAACGAGACTAACCATTTGATTAGTAGTGATAATAAAGGATATGCGTCTATTAGTTTTGAAAAACACATGAATGGCGGTACACTTGTTGGAAAAGTATGCAATAATAAAACATTTATTTGAAAAAATTATTATTTAATTTAAATAATAATAATATATAAAATTAGGGACCTTTTGTTGCACTTTTTCCTAATACTAATGAAGGCGATGTATCTCCTAATACAAGAGGACCCCGTTGTGTGGATACTGGACTACCCTGTGATGCTGTTAGCAGTACATGCAATGGAGATGTAGTTATTTTGTTATTATTTTTAAATATCATTACTATCTATTTATTATTCATTCAACTATTAAAAATAAAATATAAAATAAATTTATGTGATCCATCAGATAACCAAATGTATAGCATCGGGTCCTGGGAAAGACATGTTTGAGAGCACCCAAATAATTGGTGAACAACAATATAAAAAAGCTAAAGAACTATACGATAGCGCCAACCAAGAAATAGTTGGACCCATAGACTACATTCATCAGACCATTAACATGGAGAACATTGAGGTTAAACTACCTAATAATCGGCAGCAAACTGTTAGCACATGTAAGGCGGCTATGGGAGTCAGTTTCGCTGCCGGCACCATTGATGGTCCCGGTTTATTTCCATTCACACAAGGTTTTTAGTAATTTATCTTAATTTATATATATATATATATATAATAACTTATGTATAACTTTTGATGGCATTGACTTTTGTTTTGGTTAGGAGTGACAGCAAATGAATTTTGGAACAGAATCTCACAGAATATAATAAAAACACCAAAAGATTTGGTTGACTGTCAATATCCGAAACCGATTCTCTTACCGACCGGTTATCTTAAAATACCGTTTCCCTGGGAACCGTCTATAGTGCCGACACAAATATTTCGTATTGGACAATTGTTGATAGTGTCGGTGCCCAACGAAATGACTACAATGTCTGGTCGACGGCTCCGGGAGACAGTCAAAAATCAATACGAAAAGTCATCAGTGAATGGCACTCAAGTCGATGTTGTTATTTCTGGTTTGTCCAATACGTACTCATCATATGTGGCCACTTTTGAAGAGTATGTCGACTTTAATTGTAAAATAAAAAAAACATTTCAAGTTTTATCGACAATGTTTTCATAGATATCAAGCTCAACGTTATGAGGGCGCCTCTACTCTCTACGGGCCGTATACTTTAGATGCCTACTTACAACAGTACCGTAAATTGGCGGCATATCTAGCGGCCAACAAACAGAGCCAATTAGATGCCGGTCCTCGTGAACCTGACTATAATGATAAGCAGTTTACTGTAATACCGGAAGCAATGCCTGACTGTGTACCACCGGGTCGTAAGTTTGGTGATTGTTTGTCTCAGCCACGACTCCAGTACATTAGTGGTCAGCGGGTGAAAGTCAGTTTTGTAAGCGCCGACCCTAGAAATGATGTACGAAGCGAAAGCACTTTCCTTAGTGTCGAGAGATTAGATCCACAAAACAATCAGTGGATATTAGTGGCCACTGATGCCAATTGGGAGACAAGGTTTGTATCATTCAATACAAATTATAAACACTGAGTTTGCGATACATTAATAGTAGTTTTTATAATATACAGTATTTGAATATTTGTTTTACTATAGATTTTTATGGAAACGAATTAATAATTCATTCCTATCGTGTGAAAGTCAGGCTACTATCATATGGGATATACCTAATGATACACTGGTTGGCAACTATAGGATCAGACATTTTGGTAATTATAAAGATTTGACTAATAAAGTGTTTCAATTTTACGGAGTAAGTATAATAATTTTTTTTAGTAATTTTTAGTATAATAAATTTTTACGATTTTAACATTGAGAAAATTTCATGGATTTTTTTATAGTAAACTTTAAACTTATTTATTCATAAAAATAGTTGATATGAAAAAAATGCGAAAATAAATAAATAAAGTTTACTATTAAAATCTATGAATTTTTTTTCATTGAAAAATTATTATTATTATCAATAACTAGAGCACCAGAAATTTCCGAGTTATGGCTAATTGATTATACTGTACCATATAGTATATGTATATTAATAATATAATATAATTTATATTGTTATATAATATTATTAAATTTGTGATAATTATTGTATATTTATATCATATATTTTATAACAAGAAAATATTGTAAGATAATTTATATATGTATTAATATGTAATATGAAAATATTTTCACTAATTGTGTATTTTAAAAATAAATAATTACATTTAATAAATAAAACTTATCAAGTATTTTAAATAAAAACAAATATACAGTAATAGCTAAAATGTCTAGAAAAATATATAATGTATAATATTTTAAAATTACTTAACAATATATTGTTGAATTAATAATTTATAAAATTAGAAATACTTTAATGATGAATTTCTGCTATAATTAATATCATAAAAATCATTAGTGGTTTGTATTAAAATAACTGTATAGGAAATGATAGCCGAAATAATAGCAAACAATGTCGACAAATGAATGTCGAAAAAAGTCGACGCGTTTAACGATATTTTTGGTGACATCTCTGATACCATTTTCAGGTCTATCTTGAGTGCCATCCGATCGCCGGCTGTAAGTGTTGTGTCATTAGCCAAACTGTCGGTTGCCTTCAACTCCATAAACTCAACAAACTCTTTGACAATGTTGTGGATCAGATCACAAGCATAACAGAGAGCAACAATTGTGGTCAAATGCAGTGCCATCGACAGCGAATAGTTGATAATCCATTGTTGTGTCTGAAATATGTTTAGTTTGATAATAAACAAACACATGTCAGTGATGAGCACCAGTGAACTATTGATAAGCATTACTAATAGTATCGGCGATAGCGACCGGTTCATCGACTGGACGTTAGCTTTCAGTTTAATGAGATATCCGTATACATCAAACATCCGGTAGGACTTATAGTTGTCCCTCAAATAAGTCAACTGAACTCCAATTTGATGACTTTTATATAGTATGAGTGCAATCATCGACGTCGGTATCATTACATCATAGGTTTTGCACGTAAACATAAACACCATTTCAAATGTCGACAACGGCTTCACTTGTGTTATCATAATAACAGTTGTGATAAAAAAACTGATCACAAACTGTATGCCAATTATAATGTTACCGATAAGCTTGTCGTTGATTCGACAGTCATTGACCACTTGAACGGCAATTGTGTCTATTATTCGGTGACCTTTGACCGCAATCACACAATATATTATGTAGAGTTCGACGACGTGATTGAAAAACGATATGCGAAACAGTATTTTCAGAAAAGTTGATTTGGTTTTGTATTGAACTTCCTTGAGATGGGTATACTTTCCCAGAATATAGACCAGTAGTATGAGGTGCAGCACAGGTATCAATAGATTCCATAAGCGACTAAACAGTTTTAAGAAACGGTTTTTAATATTATAGCCGCCATAAGATAAGCCACACAATTGATGTACAAATACTAATAGATTTAAGCCAACGTTTTTCTCCATAATTAATTTAATAATTTTTTATTTATATTATTTTAATTTAGTAAAAGTTTATTATGACTTTCTAAACCATTAATAAAATACAAATAGTGTATAAAAATTATATATATATATATATTGTATTAATATAAATTTTTTAATTTAAACTTTTTTGTGTGATACTGTTTGTTACATTAAATAGATTAATACTACCAAACTATATAGATTAAATGTGGCTATTTTAATTTTAATAATGATAATATTAATAATAATATTTTATTTCATATGGTTTTATAGACGATGCGCTCAACTCTATCGTTGTAATTATATTATCATTCTGTATATAAGTATTATTATTATATATTATATATATATAGTATACTTATAAATATAAGTAATATTTTATTAACAATATTATAGACATTAAAAGGTCTGTAACTATTTATTATTAGATCAGAAAAACATTTTGTTTGCTATAAAACATTATTAATACCATTTAATACTATACTATGAAAACAATAATACAGTATAACAAACATACTGTTTGCTAACTTAATTAAAAATATAATTTTGTTTAATCAATTTGACAGCAAATATGATCAAATAATATTTTTTTTATATTGCGGTAATAATTTACTTATTTATAATTTATGAATATTAGATATATAAAAAATATCTGCTGTTTTACTTTGTAGTGAAAACATAAATTACTTATTAGTTTATTTATTAATTATTTAGCTTAGAGGGATACTTATACTTTTATTAATATAAAATAAATTTGTCAAACTCAATGTTGTCATGGTCAACTATTAACTATATTTAAGCTTATGTTACAACAAACTACTATTTTTTAAAAATTAATTTAATTATTCTACATATATTTGCTTTTTGTTCACTATTTTTTAAATGAATAATTAATTTTTAGATATTATTTTATAGTTGTATCAATTAAAGAATTATTATTGTTTATTATTATTTTTACTTAGCCAAAATAATTATAAAATATAAAAAAATATTTAAAAATTTTATTAGAAAGCTATACATTATACAGTATTCTGCTATTTTAATGTTATTTAATAATTTATTAAATAATTTATACAAATCTATTTAATGTAATGAATAAAACAAAAATACTTATATAAACATTTTAAATTATTTTCAAAATTATTTTCAGAATTCAAATTTTTGTCTTCTTATTTATCATAAGTATCTATCAATCTATCAATTTTATAAAAATTAATTTATTTATTGTATAAAAAATACTGTATATAGCTTAACAGTTTATTACATTAATTATATAAAATTTATAATTTTATAATTATATTTACAATATATTTATTAATTGTTTCAATTTATTAGATTTTTAATTACAGTATTTTGTATAACCGTTTAGTGAAATAAAAAAAAATCAAATTAAATAATAAATAAAAAATATAATAATATAAAATATATAAACATATAATTTTTTTTTAAAAAAATCAGTACTACTTAATACTTTATTTAATATTATATTTATTTAGATAAAATTTTTATTAACATATAGTACACATATAATGTTTTTTGTTTTTCAAACATTAATAAGATTAAAAGATCCATAGTTTTATAGATAATACCAATTTACTGTAGGATTATATATCAACAGTAGATTCAACTATTTTTTGAAACAAAAAATTATTATCTGTTTTTTTCTGAAATTAAATAATCTCAGATTAATATTTATTAAATTTATTATAGATTAAGTATTATGTTATATTGTAAGGTGCAAATAATTTTGTAATAATGTTGTTTTTAAACACACAAACATATTGTATCTACAGTATAGTTAATAATATATAATATTTTTTTAGTATTATAAAAAATTACATAATATATAATCCATAGGTAATTCCACAGTATTTATTTAAACTACTTATTTAAATGTCATCAGTGATAGTTACGGATCAATAGGATAATTGATAAAATAATATGATATAAAAAATATATAAAAATACCAAAAAAAATGTTGCTATAATTTTATTTCTATTAAATTTTTGCTTAGTATTTTTAATTAATAAAATTTTGAAAAACAATTATGAATTTAGTAATTAAAATACAATTTTTATTGTATTTTATTTTCTCTCAAACAAATGGTAATGTGTTTTTCATGATAATTAGTAAATTAAAAATAATTTCATAGTTTATAGTTATTAAGATTTGTAATAAATATAATATTTGTTAAATTATTTTGTAATATTAGCTCATATCGATGAATCAGTACATAATTTCAATTTTAATGATGTTTCACTGGACACACCAACATTAGATGATTTGGGAAAAGTAATAAATAAATACTGTATTAATAAATATTAATTAATTAAAATTTGTTATACACTATATAAAGTTATTTTTGAAACTAATGAGTGACTTTGGACAAAGTCATAGGGACAGTAAGTCATGTTTAGATTGTAACAAAACGTTGACATACCTTCGCGAACATGTCAAGAGTGGTCAACAAATACGCGATTTAGCCGAAAGCACGTGCAAAACGGCAACATCGCCACGTGTTTGTCGCGGCAATATCAATATCAAGGCTGATCCGATGGTGTATATTATTAAAAATAGTAAGCTAACCGTTCAAGAGTCATGTAGCGCTATGATGCATCCGGATTGTATGACACATTTGAAAGCGCCCGTAACTAAATGGGTAATTGAGATGATGTTTATACAGTATTTGCATTATTGTTATCTCAATACTTAATTTTAACACTTCAATACTATAAAATGAAATAAATAGGTTAACTGGGAGCTACCTTTACCCAAACCTAAACCATTTACACCAAAAACTGTGGGCACAAAACAATTAAAAATGTTACACTTAACCGATGCTCATCTTGATTTGTGGTATACGCCCGGTTCAAACTCCCGGTGCAACGAACCAGTATGTTGCCGCTCGACCTCTCCCGGACACAATCATTCGGCCGGTTACTGGTCAGAGACCAGCTATAGTTGCGATACTCCTCTGTCGTTTGCCGAGACAGCTCTCGAGCACATGTCGGTTGCGCACCGGGACATTGACTTTGTGATCTGGACAGGCGATAACATACCGCACGACACCTGGAATACCACTGAAGCGGTTAATCTGAAACATGTGAAGTATATGACTGACTTAGTTAAGAAGGCATTTCCCGGAAAATTGGTGTTCCCATCGTTGGGCAATCATGAACCGCACCCACCTTTTATGTATAAAAACCGTGTCTAATATAAGACATTAATGTGTTTTTTATTTGTTATTAAAAGTTTATTTGTTAATTGTTAGGTTTGTGCCCCATGAAGTTGAGGTCAAAACAAACGGTAGTTTTTCGATGAGTTGGCTGTACGACACATTAGCAGATAGCTATTGGTCTCAATGGATAAGCACACCGGCAGCTAAACAGACATTCAAAAAGGGTGGTTATTTTGCAGCACCACTTAATGCTGACATTAAGCTTATTGTGCTAAATAATGCCATTTGTTGGCGACCTAACTATTGGATTGCTTACGATCCCTACGACCCGGACGGTCAACTCCAGTGGCTGATCAATGAGTTAGATAGTGCCGAAAGTGACGGCAAATATGCTATTATAATAGGTATAATAAATCAATGATTATATATTTTTTTATAATATAAAGTATAATGATATATTTTTTGGGCACATGTAGGTCACATACCATTTAACGAGTGTTATCCAGCATGGACTAACAATTACTTCAGGATAATGGAAAGGTATCAACAGATAGTTGTTGGCAACTATGTAGGCCATACTCATACCGATGAAATACTGGTGATGCTCAACAAAAATACTAGAACAAATGAGACATATCCAGTTGGACACGCATACCTGGGCTCTAGTATGACAACGTTTTCGGGTCTATTTCCTGGCTATAGAGTGTTTACATTAGAAAACACGGGAAAACCGATTGACTTTTTGATGTATTACTCGAATGTTACAGAAGATAACCTAATGGGCAAAGATGTGACACCTAAATGGACGGCCGGCTATTCGGCCAAACAGTCATACAATTTGAAATCCCTGTCCACTGAAGACTGGAATAATTTTATAATACGTGCAAAAACCGACGACAGTCTTACGAAAACCTATTACGAGCGGTACTATCGGTTTAGTGATGCCTTTCTCGCCAATCATAAGCATACCATACAAGATATGAGAAATATTCTGCAAAACAAAAGAGTAGTTAATCCCTTATATTTATAATTACAATAAATATATATAAAAATTGAAATAAATAAACTATTATTATAATAATAAATAAAAATTTTAAAAAATATTGCATTACAAAATGTTTTGTTTTATAAAGTATTTTATTATAAAATTTATATTATGCAAAAATAAATACAAATAATATACAGTATTATCAATAAAACAAACATTTAAAATTTAATAATATTTTCTAATTGACCAGGTTTAAAAATGACAAAATTGTAATTTAAGATTTAAATTTTATTTAAATAATATATAGTATTTTAATTATTTTTAATAATTTAAATAACATATAATAAAATAAATATTTTAAGAGAAATGTGTGGTTTGTATGAGTATTACAGTATAGGATATGACGGCCGATATGATGACCAAAACAGTGGACATCCGGATGTCGAAGAATGGCAAAGCGCTGAACGATATCTCTTGGCTTACGGTACGTATCAATTGTACATCTAATTTGTCAGATATAGCACAACATCCCTTTCCCTTTATGTCGATTTCCATTGATTTAACAACAATTTGGTCGCTCAGTTGCTTATCGATAAAATGAATAAATTCAGACATTGTTCGGTGCAATAAATCACATGAATAGCAAAACAATATAATGATTACCAAATGCACTGAAAAAACTGACGAATAGTTAATAACAACATTATAGGTATGTCTATCAAAATTAATAGCTATACGGCATATATCAGTAATTATAATCAGACACGAGTTGAATATCATAATTATGGGTATCGGTGCCAGCGATTGGTTCATGTGATGCATATTTATCTTCAATTTGACGAGTATTGTGTAGACCTGTGGCAAACTGTAGGTGCGGTTCAGGTACTGTTGTTTGAGATAATTAATTTGTTGATCAATCGTACGACTCTTGTAATAGGCAATACCAATGATAGATGTGGGCACCACTAACTCGATGGGTGCAAACAAACAGACCAGTAAACTGTCTAAAGGTGCTATATATTTAGGAAATGTCACTATATAGGTGACGGCATAAACAATTGAACCGATAGTTTGAGCTATAATTACAGTAAAACTAATTTTTCGGTCGTTTAGCGGCACATTAGGTATTATTAGTGTCTGAATATTACGATAGATTTTATGACCTTTTATTAATATAAACAAATAAATAGCGTATAGTTGTATGTATTGACTAATAACTGATATTTTTATCAATATTTGTACCATCGATGACTTGTTCTCATAGAAATCGGGATCGATTGACAAAAAATTTTTAAATATATAATATGTCATTAATGAACAATGAATTGATGGGATTAATAAATTCATTGATTTACATATATATTGCCAAACAGTACTTTTGATGTCGACACCAGAATAGGATAAGCCATAGCATCGGCTATAGATTAACATATAATATAATCCTTTATTTATTGAAGTTTTGGTAATCATAGTTATGCTTATACTGTACAACAGTACTACTTATAATACACTAAATGACTATTTAGTAGAATCTAAAAAAATGAGATCATATAAAATATAACGTATAGTCAAATGTCTAACTATTGTTAAGAGCAGTCAAATAACAAACTTAATTATATTTGACTAATAAATGTATGAATATTAGATAAAGTAAATTTAATTTATTTAATGTAATTAACAAAAAAAATACAATATTAATATTCAAAGTAAGTAAATATTTAAATAATTTTTTACATAATAATATAACACTATAAATAATAATAATTTTATTACTATTAATTATCTAATCTAATGTATAAAATTTGCTTAAATTGACTTATTTTTGTATTTTATATTCATTGTTTTTAGAGTTTACTAGAAATAAAAATGTTTTTAATTAATTAGTTCAATAATTTAATCAAATAAATTATAATATACCATAAAATTTAAGTTGTATTTTAATACAGTATAACATAATTTTTATTTATCAATTCAAATCTCAATTGAGTATAATTATTAATATATGACTATAAAAAAAATATTTTAATTTTTTTAAAAATAGCAAACGTAATAAATCATTAATTAAAAATAAACAGACACACATTTTTGAAGGTGATTTTATTATTAATATTGATATAATGATAATCACTGATCAACCAAAATATTTAATAAAATCCTATTGATGTGAAAGTTTCAATATATTAACTAAATATTTATAGTATTTAATTTCAATGTCAATGCATTATTAGTATGTAATACATAACTACCGGTAAATATATTTTATTATTTGGTAAACAACTATAGTATTAATTTACTGTAAAATATCAAATTAAGATATTTATTATAAAATTATAATTATTTTTATAATTATTTGCTATTACTACAATTATTTACTTGAAAATTTACTTATAAAATACACGTACAAATAATATGTCTAAATATTTTCTATGATTTATATATTTGTAATTTATTAAGCATACAATAGCAATAAAATTATGATTACTAATAATATATTAAATACAGTATAGTAAGTTACTATTAGTAACTATACTATAGTTTATTATGATGTTTTCATTTGTTTAATGTGTAAAATATTTTCAATTAAAAAAATATTAGATTTATTATTCATATATTAAATATTTTGTTTACATTAAACTATTCCCGTACAGTTTAAATATTATTATTAATATAAGCATACATTATATAAAATAATATTAATTTTAAAAAGTTTATTTATGTATATAATGCTTAATGTTTAATTTTGCATTAAATGTTATTTTTAAAATATTTTATTTACCGTATGTATATAAATAAATACTGTATTTTAATTTTAAAACATCAATCTTGAAAAACACGTATTAATTTTAAAGTTAAAAATGGTATATAAACTTAGTTTATTAACTTGTTTACCAATTTTCACATTTTAAATATTGCCCAGTAATATTAATTGAATATAAATGTTTAATTATAAGATATAAGATATATAAGTCAATACCAAATAAATATTTACATAAATATTAAATATATTGTACTAATTTATATATTTAATGTGTTATAGATTTAATGTCAACAATGATTATCACAAATTCAATTCACATTTAACTAAAATAGTTATAAATTTACATTTAGATTAATAATGAAATAATAAGCATTTAAAACGAAAAATTTTTATAAAACAAATATTTTTCAAAAAGCGTCTCACATTTCGTCGAGTTTTTCATTGCAATTATACTGTAAAATGTTAATGTAATATATATTATACAAAGTATTCAATATATTATTATCTAAATATAGTTATTGAAATTTTTTTTATTTAATTTATTGGAAAAATTATTTCAATTTATAAAAATTATCAATTTATTTTGTGTTGTCTACATAATATTTTGTTATATAAGTTTGTTATATACAGTATATACATTATAATATTGTGATTAATTATTATTATTATGAATCACTTGTAATAAAACTAAAGTGTTAATGAAACGTGAAATCAAATATCAATAAAATAATAACTATTAAATGTTATATTAAATGTTATTTTTCATAAGTGTGTCAAACACATAAAATAAGACATAATTTTATTTTGAAATAAATAAATATAATTAATAATAAAAATAATATTACAATTATTTTAAAAGTAATTTATTTATAAAAATCATATCATTTTTAAATTTAAATGATGTCGACTATTGATATATCGACAACTGTGACGGCATATGATTGTCTGACCAGCAAATGGACAAAAAGTCGTGTATTAATGTGGATTACAGTGTTATTAGTCGGCTTTCAAACTATATTATCGATTGTTTGGTCGGCCACAGATATGAACGAAACTAACAATTATATTATTATTGCATTGTTTTCGGTAACATTGGTGACCATTTTGACTGTTGCATTGACCCGATCAAGTACTAGTCTATTATACATACATACAATAGCATCGTTAGGCTATTGTCTCTATTTGATTGATTTTCGTGAAACTTATATCTGGTATATGACTATAATCAGTGCCGTCATTACAACCGGTCTATCGTTTCTATTGGCACTGGTATTTACGGTCAACCACTGTAACCAAAGTAAATCGTATCGCAAGTGTGGCCGACAACTACGTCAAGAGGTGGCCTCGTTGTCTCTACCGGTAAAGACAATCAGCGGTAACTACTCGTTGCCGACGATTGTCCGCAACGGCTATGAAGACTATGTGAAAACCCGAAAGGATGGCAACGATAACTGTATTATAATAACTAATGACTCGCTTGACATCAATTTTAATAAAGTTTATAATTAATTTTCTTTATTTTCAACTATTTAAAGTTTATTTATTATTATAATAGTTTTTTTTTGTATATATATATTAATATATTATTATTTGTCATGATATTATATATCATAAGTAATAACTGCTGATAATTATAATTAATGTGAAAATTGTTTTATTTTTGTTTATGTGATTAGCTATTATGGCTTTAAGTTTTTAAATCTATATCATGTGCTTTAATTAATATTAATAATAAATTATTAGTCTAATATGTTGTTTAAAATATAAAATGATTCAAATAAAACTATTTATCATAATTATGATAATTATTAATTTCGTTTTTTAAAAATTTTATTACACAATTGATATAATATGTTACAATTGACATATGATATAACTAAATTAAATTGCAACAGTATAAGTATAAACTATAATTTTAAAAACAAGTTAGAATAATTACAATTACAAATTAATCTAAAAATTTTCTAGACTTTTATTGTAAAATTACATTAATGATGATTTACTAGAATTATATATAAAAAATCGAAAAATTTAATTTGAAAATAAAATTAAAGCTATCAACTATTAAATATCTCGATTTTATACAATAAAATTTTTTAAAATTATCATCAGGTAATTTAAATCGTATAAATAAACTATATACTTATTTTTTTATTAGTATCATGTTGCAATTTTAATTATATGATTATTAAAGCACCTATGAAGTTTATATGTACTTTAATTGCATTTAATGAATCATAAATTTTATATAAGTATTATTTATAATGTCAGTATTATTGCAATT